GATCCGTAGTAGCGGATAGACGTTCTTAATAGTAATATTATTTAGTTTACGATAGTCTATATATAATCGTAGACTCCTATTCTTCTTAGGGACGAATAGGATTAGATATCCTATACTAGATTCCGAAGGTCGGATATAACTCTTCTCTAGATATTCCTTAAGATACTTATATAGAGCTATTTACTCTCTTTCGAATAACGAATATAATAGTCTAAACGTAGGTTCCTTCCCCTCCTAGAGCTTTATCTTATAGTCCTATAGCTTATATTTTAGTAGAGTCTCGATTCCTACTTTCTTTTCGAATATAGACCTTAGTACCTCGTATTCCTTTAGTAGCTTCGTCGTTATATATACTAGTATTTATATCGGTCTAACCTATATATACTTCTTTTTACGGGGTCGTTCTACTACTATTACTTCCTCTATTAGAGGATCGTTCGTATAGTTATAGTTATCGAATCGGATCTAGGTTTTTACCTAGTTAATAATAGGATTATATCTCTTTAACTAGGGTATATCTAGTACTAGATTATATTTTATCTTCGTGATATCGAGATTAATTTCTTCTTAATACTCGTCGATATATAACCGAACTTTTCTCAGTTCGTGTAAGACTTCGGATATAACGCTTCCGTTAAAGCCGGATAGCTAATACAGCTATGTTTTCTAAGCTCTCTAGGTTTCTAGCTTCCCGGCTATCCTAAGGTTTATAAAGTTTCCCGTGTATCCTAAGTCGATTATGATACTAACGTCTTATATTACTAACGTCCCTTATAAGACTATAACTTATAAATATACCGTAGTAGCGATCGTTATTATAGTTATATCTATTTCTTATACGCCGTCGATATTAACTCTTAAACGTCGGCGTTCTCTTAGGGTATTTCTCTTTCGGATAAGGCGCCCCGTATCCTATCCTTAGACTAGTTTTTTAGCTAGTAAAGGTAATCTATTTTACCTAAGATAGACTCGGATACTTTATAGTCCTAGTCTTAGTAGCGGTCGATGGACTTCTCGTGAGCCTCCTAAGCTTCTAACGCTATTATCTCTAACCTTTCTAGTTAGAGATAATTAAGATATTATTCGTAATAGTGTAGAACGTTTCGTAACGGATAATGTTCTATTCCCTTATAGGGATATCGATCCTTAATATAGATCTCTATAATCGTCTCTACTAAATATAGTACTTACTATACTTCTTTTCGTCGGCTTACTCGGTAGACTTCCTTAAGCGCGTTCCGGGCTTAGCGTAGGACTCGGTTTCTCTTAATAATATATTATTAGCTATCTTCTCGTTCCAATAAGTCGCTAAGAGCTCTCGAAGTCGCTCTTTATAACTCCTCGAGGTCGCTAGGTTCGTCTAGGTTTATCCTTTCGGCCTATTCTAGGACCTCGCGAGTCTATTTCTTAAGGCGGTCCTCGAAGCTTAGCGTTCTTTTTCGAACTATCTTCTTTAGTTCGACTATCTATATATTGTTATCGTCCTCCCGTTATACTACCGGGTTACCTTCCTAGTGTCCGTGGACGGCGTCCCCTAGAGGGTAGCTTAGGTCGGAGTATAGGTCTATTACGAGGACCTACTTATCCTCTTAGGGCGGCTTCGTAAGATCGTAGATAAGGTAACGATATCCCGGTTTCTCCTAGCGATAACTAGGGTCTTTATATAAGTCGGTATATTAGTATCTTATCCTAATTTATAGGAACTTATTATCTATAGTGTAGTATATCACTCTACTACCGTTTAGGGGGTCTTCGAACTCGACTATGTTAAACTCTAGTCTACCGGACTAGCTTTCCTAAATTCGGTAGGTATACTACGTAATAGGGTTCCCCTCTTAATAGACGTATTTTATATCGGGATTCTACTTATCTACCTCGTATTGAGGATTTTAGTAGAATTGGATAGATACGATCTTTTCTTATTCTTATCGAATAGACGTAGGATCGTATACTATATATTCGTGGGAATCGGCGGTATTTAGGTAATCTAGGTCCTTATAACTCTTAATATTCTAGAACCTTATCTTTAAGTATATACGGTTCTATATTAGGTCTAAGATCGTAACGCTCCCCTAGTCGATCTTGTCTCCGGCCTTAGCTATATTCGCCTCTTATATCGGTATTTTCGTGTCCTTTTTCTTTTCGGCCGCGTTTACCTATTTTTTCTTCGCGCGGTACTCTCGTACGTAGTATCCTTCCCTACCGTAGTTATAATACGCGCCTTTCTACTTTCCCTAATCTTTACCTCGGTTTGCGGGGCCACGAGGCTTCTACGTATCCCTTTTCTTTTAAGCTTAATCAAGGTCTATTAGTATAGGTCTATAGTAAGGTTAACGTAGCTTACGACTATTAGCTTTATAACCCTTAATTATATAGTCTCGGCGTAGGTTATCGTAACGCCGATATTCTTAGTAGTCGTTATCGATCTAGATCGCCTTATCGATCTAGTCCTCGATCTTATCGCTTTTAAAGGTACGGATTTCCTATTTAATCGCTAGCTTAAGACCTTTACGAAATATAGAAATCGCTACTCTATTAGTCTACTCTAATTCGGCGTTTAGAGTACGGAACTTAGTAGTGTAATCCTAGACCGAACTAGTTTACCTTAGGTTTATGATTTATCGCTCCGTCTCTCGTTCTTTATTCTTAACGCCGAATACTTTCTTAACTTTCTCCTTAAAACCCTTAAAGGTAGTAAATAATATAATTGTCTTATCCTCCCTATTATCTAGTTTATTCTCTATATAGTCTTTCACGAAGGGTCGTAGCTATACCTCGGCGGCTCCCTCGAAGTAACTTCCTATAAATAGAATCTTCTTTAAGTCGTCCGGGAAGTCGATGGGGTTCATGAGGACGTATATATCTATATGGTGGATAAACGGCGTTATCCTCTCCTAGGATCTATTGAAGGGCCTAGGCGGATTACTAAGCTTCCCTTTAGCTATTATTCTATCGGTCGTCAGTCGTGGAGTGCTTAGTCCCGCTATTACGTCGTTTAGTGATAGTCTAGACGCTTATCGGGTAAGGAGTTCGTTGGTCGGGGATATAGATCTAGTCGTCCTTCCCTAACTACTTATAGAGTCACCTTCTAGTACTAAAGGTGAGTAGCTAAAGTGTTAGAGCCGCTTCTTTAAACCTAAGCGGGTTAGATTCCTTAGTCATAGTTCCTTAGTAAGCTTGAGCTAGGTAAAGAAGGTGTAAGGTATAAGTAGTCTAATAACTAAGACGGTGAAGTAGTTAATATATGAATTAGCTACGAAGAGAGTGTAAGCTACCTAGGGGTAACGAGCGTAACTATATAGTTATAAGGGCTTCCTAAATAGGTAACGGGAATGGTATGTTGATATGTTGATATGTTGATATGGTGACACACCAGCATATCACCATATCGGACACTTCCCTTTTTGGTCGTCACGTATCCTCCGCCTCAGCCTTGTGCCCTAGGCGCCAGACTGTGCTCCTCTCGGGTGACTTTCCCTGGGTTATCCCGCCCGAGGTCGCATGAAAGGCCTGTTCCTAACACATATATAGAAATCTATTTACTTCTTCTAGTGTATTGGGGAGAGTCGTGCTGAGAGCTGGGGTTTCGCCAAGGCTAGATCTTAGGCTGTACATATATACAGGATAGGTTCAGGCGCTGTGATTGGCTGGCGCGCGCTGGGGTGGAATACTTCTTCTTCTTCTTTGTTCAGTGCTAGTAAGACAGTTAACTTAGCAATCAATCAATCACTCAATCAATAAGTTGCACAGATATCTACTTGTTCGGCTGTGTTATTGTTGTTGTTGGTGGTTGTGTTGTGTGTATACGGCTCCCCCTGCCCACGTACGAGTTGGCTCCCCATGGCCTTGAAGCCTCACCCCAGTTCAATAGTATTATTGATAGGAATACTAAATATTATATAGTACTATTTTTAAATATTCTATAGTTAAGGCTAGTCTCTAAGCCCCTACCTAATTAGACCTTTTAAATTATTTACCGTATAATATTTGCGGTATTATTAATAGGTACTATTGAGTAGGATAGTAGGATTATTTATACTTGAGAATAAATGTAAGTATACTAGAGGTAGAAGGCTATCCGCCTTTCTTATTGAATGATTAATATATAAGAGGCTAAGCGTAGGCAATAATTATTTGGAAATGGTAGATTCACGGCCGGCTCCCCACTTTGCTCACCCCTATCTTGCTCGAGCCGGGTGCGCAATCACTTGTCTCTCACTAGACGCACCTAGGTAGTCTCCAGGCTCAGCTGAAGTCGTCTCGCAGGTTCCGAGCTCGTCTAATGAATACTCGCGGCTAGTGAAAGCAGCGCCGCAGCGCCGCCGCTATGGGCACCGTCATCGGACCGATTATACCTCAGCCGGTGACGGATATACGGTGGTATTGGGGCCACCGGCCTATCATCCTCTTCCGTCGAAACTCCTCCGAAAGTCGTGAGATAGTATTTCTCCACGACTACTGACAGGTGCGCCCCGATCTCAACGCAATTGAGGATGTGGACAGAGACCCGTCCTTCCGCCCTTGGGAAAGTCTTAGGCTTCGCAGCCTTTACTTGGGATATACTACCAAACACAATAGGCCGGGAATGACCGGTCTATTCAAGCGAATCAGCTCTTCTCATTTCATTGAAGCGGCCAATCCTCCTTTCTGGGGCTCTTCTCAAATGGGTAACTGCCTATAGACTGGCGACTTATGGAGGCCCCACAATGTACACCAAGAAATGATGAAAGACGCGCCGGGCCCGAATCTATGCCAAGTATACACTCGCCTCGCCCGATTGGCTCGTAGGGCGCTTTTCACAAAGGTCGGCAGCGACGTATCGCTCTCACTCCTTGGAGTTACGGCCCGATTATCGGACCAGAAACATGACTTTCTCTATATGGATACCACTCGCTGGACCTGACTACATCCGAACTCAAAGGTCGACTATTGACGCTCGCTTGGCTCGCGTGTCACAGGATAATTCTTGGTTGGTGCCTCTCTCTATCACGACGACAAATATGACCGAAAGTGTTCAGAAACCCAGGACTTTATATGAGAAGGTTCTGGAAAGTCATATCGTTGACGAGAAGGAAGATGGGACAGTATTGATCTATATTGGTATGTCAGCATCTCCAGCGTTTAGATGCTGCGCTTTCCGCAACATGGGCTTACATACTATTCGCCGAAGATCGACATTTGATCCATGAGGTTACTTCGCCAGTATGTTCTGTCAAATTGATGATATTACCACTTTGTTCTCCGGCATTGATGTGAATTCCAGCAAGCTTTTGACGGACTGAGAAGTGCTGGCCGCCAAGTTCGGCGGCCAGACTGTACTCTTGCCACGGTCGACCACGTATGTTCCCTTGTCTGCATACAAAGGTCAAAGATTAATGGGTAATTAAAATAACAGAACATTCCAACCGCATCGCGCAAGAATTTCAAGAGCGTGCAAAGTTTTGTTAAGGACAAGAATTCCCGTATCCAATGCGAAACTCTACAAGCCAATGTGGAAGAGTTCGGTGTGCCCTACTTCGGCTTCGACGATAGTCGACAAGGCATCGTCCACGTTATTGGTCCGGAACAAGGATTTACGCTTCCAGGAGCAACTATTGTCTGTGGCGACAGTCACACTTCAACTCATGGCGCCTTTGGGGCCCTTGCCTTCGGCATCGGCACGAGTGAGGTTGAGCACGTCTTGGCCACTCAGACTCTCTGGACGAAGCGCAGTCTAAATCTATCTATTGACGTCCAAGGGACCCTTCATACCGGCGTCACTAGTAAGGATTTAATCCTCTATATTATTGGCACTATCGGCACGGCTAGAGGTACTGGCTACGTAATTGAATTTACAGGGCCAGTCATCCAAGGTCTTAGCATGGAGGCACGTATGTCCTTATGCAATATGTCGATCGAGGCTGGTGCCCGCGCCGGTATGATAGCGCCAGACGAAGTTACATTTGAATATCTCCAGGGTCGCCCACTTAGCCCTAAATATAGAGGGGCCGAATGGAAGAAAGCCATAAGCTCGTGGTCCGCTCTTTACTCGGACAAGGGAGCCAAGTATGACCTGGCCGTTCAAATTGATGCCCGAGAAATCATACCGACAGTCTCGTGGGGATCTTCTCCACAGGACGTTCTCCCTATCACAGGAGTCGTTCCTTCCCCGGACGATTTTGCTTCGGACGAAGACCGCAAGAAGAGCTGTATCCGGGCTTTAAACTACATGGGTCTCACTCCTGGAACTCCTCTCCGGGATATTCAAGTGGACAAGACCTTTATTGGTTCGTGTACTAACTCTCGGATCGAGGACTTAAGGGAGGCGGCACAGATTGTATCGAATCGAAAAGTCAGCCCTCACATTCGACGCGCGATAGTGGTTCCAGGCTCCGGCTTAGTCAAGAAGCAAGCAGAAGCTGAGGGCCTAGATCAGGTGTTTCTAGCTGCCGGATTTGAATGGACGGAGGCGGGATGCTCGATGTGTTGCGGCATGAATCCCGATGTCGTTCTTCCTCAAGAGCGCGTTGCAAGCTCTTCAAATCGCAATTTTGAAGGACGCCAAGGAGACTTAGCTCGTACACATCTGATGTCTGCTCCTATGGTAGCTGCTGCTGCTATAGCTGGCAAGCTCGTGGATGTCAGAGACTTTTTACAACCATGAACCCCAACGAAGCAGACGAAAGCTGTCATCAACATCCAGCCCGAAGAACAAGATGATATCGGCAGTTGGGATCGCGATCTGGATAACAGTGAAGAGCCTGTTGCCGAAAGACCTCAAGGAGATATTGACAGCCATACAACGCGCCAGTCCGGCGGACTGCCGAAATTCACGACTTGGAAAGGGATTGCAGCTCATATGAGTCGGGCCAACGTTGATACGGATGTAATTATCCCCACGGAATTTTGCAAGACGGTCAAAAAGGTGGGTTTGGGTGTTAATGCTTTCTACCCCCTCCGGTATAATCCCAGAGATGGCAGCGAACGCGCAGAATTCGTCCTGAATCAAGGTATCTATCGAGAATCCAAGATCCTAGTGGTCACGGGACCTAATTTTGGATGTGGAAATTCTCGAGAACATGCACCTTGGGCGCTCAATGATTTCGGTATCAGATGTATAATTGCCCCTTCCTTTGCAAATATTTTCTACAGCAACGCATTTAAGAACGGCATGCTTCCCATCACCGTCCAGAATGCGACTGTTATGGAAGAACTTGCTGCCGAGGCTCGGGCAGGCCATGAACTTGAAGTTGACCTTGTCCATCAGAATATAAAATCAGAGTTGGGGGTTGTACTGGCGCAGTTCGAGGTTGATTCTTTCAGGAAACATTGTCTAGTGAACGGAATCGATGAGATCTCCTTGACTCTGCTAGCAGAAGACAAAATTCGGCATTTTGAAGCTCTGCGGACTGCAAACACGCCGTGGCTGGACGGTCGAGCATTCATGAAGCAGAAACACCGACTCAAAAGGAATCTTGAGGCGACACCAGTGCCGGGTGTAGACTTTGCGCCTAAAAAGGGGGGGGCAGAATGGTGATAGCAAATGGTACTGCAAGGCATTGCGGAGGTTCAACAGGAAGAGAGTTTTTAGGCTCTATCTCACCACCAAGCCTGGCAATCATATCCCCCAACATGGCTGAGATTCTGCTGTAGGACAGGTGGAAATCCAAATCCCTTTGGAGCAATTTTCAGACAGACTGTGGACTTATGTGTGACATTCAGAGGTAGGGCGGACGCTGAAGATCGTAGGCACGACAAGAGGAACATTTTTTGATCGCGTAAAAATGTTGACAAGTGGGATGGGAGAATGCCTTGCATAATAGAACTCTGCTCGAACTATTAAACCTTGACACCTTTTACATACTTCTCCCAGGTAGCGGAGTTCCAAAATGTGGTCCTTGGTTGCCTTCGCAAGGAACCTGCCATTGCAATACGAGTTACATTGAATGGTGGTCGCAGAGCTTCCTTCACAAGACATATCGGAAAGCAACCCCGTAGTTTTCGGTTGCAATTCCCACGACTGCAGAGTCGTCACCTCCTTTAGTCTCCGCACCGGCTGCCGTTCCACTAAGCTCGCCCTGGTGAAGATTTTGTCTCTTGAGCCAGAATCTGAGACAGCCAGCTAGGATAAAGTTGAAGAAGAGGAATCCCGCGCAAATCCATTTTCCTTTCGTATAGTAGGGAGCATCGCTCGCTGGGAAAATGCGTGTGCCGACTAATGGTCCAGCCTGCCCAACGATGCAAAGCAGGACGAATGAGACCCCACGTCGGTCGTCAGAGCCTTGATTGTTCAACACCCAGGGAAGAATATTCGCAATGGTCGGGAACAAGCCGCCCGCACAAAGAAAAACGCCAAAGTATCGCGCTGCGGTTTGGTGGGTAGCTGCCTGGATGGTGTATCCCACAGCGGACATGAGTGAACAAGCCATGATTGTGTACCCACGTTGCAGGGTGCGGTCGGCGATATAGGTGCTCGCAATCGTGAGGAGAAAGCTGAAGAAGTATGGCGGCGCGCTGAGGCCTTGTGCGTGAATCGCCGTAAAACCCATTTCCTTCAGAATAATTGGCAAGAAGACAGGGAGAGAAGAGTACGACACGTTGGTGGAAAAGTACATCAGCGCAGCTATCCAGGACTTGAAATCCAGTAGTGCGGCTACCGTGTCCTCGGTCTTCAGCTTCCCACGTCGATCCTCAGCGCTGATATTGCCGACCTGCAGATTAAGCCTCGCGCGAGCCACGTTCTTTTCTTGTTCGTTGAGAAATTTTGCTTCAACAGGAGAGTCGGGAAGTAGAAAGAAGATGAAGAAGGAGAATACTACCGTCGGCAGCCCTTCGGCAAGAAATAGCAGTCTCCACGAAGCCAGCGCGGGGTTGCCAGAGGTAATTCCATACGCCAATGCTCCGGTAAAGCAGTTGGCGAGCGGTGCACATGACAGAAAAAGACCGCACCGGAATCCCAACTCTTTCCTCAGGTAGAAGAAGGAGAGGAAGTATGGCATGCCAGGTGTAAAGGCCGCCTCACTAATTCCAAGAAGCAGTCTGAGAACCATCATGCCCGCCCAAGAAGTGGCTGCAGCCTGACATGTCGCCACGATGCCCCTTTCATCAAACGTCAGCGGTCTATATTCACATCGGGAGAACTCAAGGAGTGGGGTGACGGAGGAGTAGGACTCCTTCTGTCGATTGCTTACCAGATAAGCATGGTAACAGCGGCCCAGATGTGAGGGGGGAAGATCTTCCATCCAAGGACGCCAACCTGAGCCACGAGATATCCGATGTAGAAAATGGTGAGGAGCCAGGGATACCGGCCCTTAGTGTCCAAATCAAGGTCTTCGTTCATGCCGGCGATGGCCGCATTCCCAATGTTGGATCGATCCAAGAATGAAAGGAAATCTTGAAATATAAGTCAGCCAAACGTTGCGAGCTTCCGACGCAGTGTAGTTAGCACTCACAGCATAGCCCGATGAGAGGGACTACACGCCAATCCAGCTTCCGGAGGACTTTCTTTTCCTCCGCATTATGGCGTGCCGGGTAAGTTTCCACGCCAGCTCCCACGCGTGGTGCTTCGTCAAGGGTAACGATTTCATCCAGCTTAGACATGGTGTTGCAAAAGATGGGGAAACAAGATGCTATCCCCACAGCCCTCCGCTGCAACAGCTGGACTCTTTATATCAGGTTTGACTTGGTACCTTCCCGACGGGAGCGGTATGTCGTGAAGAGAACCTCTGTCGTGGTAGTCCGGGGACCTTCTCTTGTGTGCGGCGATGCTCTCGCCGATGGATCGGAGACCCTGTGGAAAGGGCCAACTCCTCGGCCCGGCAATGTACTGAGTAACCAATGCGCTTCGACAACTAGAGATGCTTTACGGTGCTACATATCTTGAAGCCGCTCAATCGGTCATCCGTGGTTGTCGCGGCGTCGCCGTCATATAAAAGGAAGCAGGTTGGTTTGATGCCATACAAATATTTCTTCTATACATGAGTCACTAAACAATAAACCATACTGGATGTCAGGAAAACAAGGATGGGCTCCGTTCGCAATTTCGACGTCGTTGTTGTCGGCGGGGGGAATGCAGCACTCTGTGCAGCGCTGTCCGCGCAACAAGCCGGAGCAAGTGTTGCCATCATCGAGGCTGCCCCGAAGAAAAGTCGTGGGGGTAACAGCAGATTTGCATCAGCAGCGTTCCGGTTCACCCATGGTGGAATTAACGACATCGAGCCGCTGTTACACCCAGGAGCGAAAGCTAGCCTCCAACGTGCGAGGATAGGACCGTATACGAGAGAAAAATACACCGAGGATATGCAACGCTCGTCGCGGGGATTCTACGATGAGCAGGCGTGGCAGGTCTTTCTCGACAATTGCTATGATACCATGAAGTGGATGCGAGACCAAGGAGTATTGTGGAAGCTTACCCTGAGCAAGTTCTTCAAGGAAGAGGACATTGTCGAAGGTGTTGTCGATGTCAACCCGGCCGTGTGTGTCATGAGCGAAGGTGAAGGCGTGGGCCTCACCGACCGTCTCTGGGCAGCCGTCGAAAGAGTCCCGATTGCTACCTTCTACTCAACCCCGGCTTGCGATCTTCTCACTCAAGGCAAACACGTTATCGGCGTCCGAGCCCGCGGCGAGAATGGCTTTATCGACTTCCATGGACAGATCATCTTGGGCAGTGGTGGCTTCGAGGCATCTCCCCGGCTTCGTCGACAATATCTTGGTGAAGGGTGGGATCTCGCCAAGGTCCGGGGCACACGATACAACACCGGGATAATGATTGAAAAGGCCATTGCCGCCGGGGCTCAATCAGTCGGGCACTGGGGAGGCTGCCATGCCGTGTGTATCGACATCAACTCTCCCCAAGTCGGCGACCTGGAAATGGGCGACAAGACCAGTCGTTATTCGTATCCCTTCGGCATCACTGTGAATAGTGACGGACATAGGTTCTTCAATGAAGGCGAAGATACTTTTGACAATACTTACGCCGCCACTGGACAGAAGATAGCCGCACAGCCGGGGGCTCGCGCGTTTCAGATTTACGATCAGAACGTGCTGAAGATGCTGGAGCCGAGATATTCGACTGGAACACCAATAGTGGCAGATACGCCAGCCGAACTTGCGCAAAAGCTAGGAATCAACATCATGCAATTTTGCCAGACTCTAGACGACTACAACGCTGCTTGTCCCAAGTCTGGAGAATTCAGCCCATTTCGTCTCGATGGTCTCTCAACGGGTAACAAACTGGCCATTCCCAAAACCAATTGGGCGCAACCTCTGGTACATGGTCCCTTCGTGGCTTATGTAGTCACTTGTGGTGAGTTTTCCCGGGGATGGTTTGCGATTTACAGCTCTACTGACACAGTCCAAAGGCATTACTTTCACATATGGCGGCCTCAAAACCGATGCATCAGCACGAGTCCTCAATGACGGCGGGGAACCCATGCTTGGACTCTGGGCGGTTGGGGAATGCAGTGGCGGTTTTTTCGCCTTCAACTATCCTGGCGCTGCAGGGCTGATGAAAGGTGCTATATTTGGGCGTATTGCTGGTAGAAATGCCGCACAGAGGGCCGTCAAGAAGCACAGCGACCTATCAGGGGCTACCAAAAGTGGTGCTGGCCTGACTTCACTGCTGTGAAGAGCATATTATATTGCAGATCATCAAGTCCATCGGAATTGAGAAATTGTCTTGGAGTTGATATTGGTATACATTTTCCTGCAAAGGTGAAGAACCGCCCAAAGATTTGAACAGACGACTTTGCTACGAATCAATTCTCTACATCCATGTTTCAGAATGTCAATCTCAAGTGAGCTTGCAGTGTTTATTATCAGGTAAGGACCAGTAAAAGTGGGTGTCTTGCGAGAGCAGTTTGTGTTATTTTCCACATGGAAGAGAAAGAAATGGACGCCAGTCGATGCTCCGATCTAGACAATCTGAGTTACTCGGTACAAGCCCACCAGATTATGCTGACTGATTTGCACGCACCTCCCGCACAATTCCTCGTGGTGCCGGAAGCTTCAGCATTATCGTTTTCGGCCTACTAGATCTAGAATGTGCGCCTCAGTATTAGTTAGCATGTATTCCGAGCCTGCTAACCGGCAATCCTTTAAGCCAATCAGGGCTTCCCCAGCTCCGAGGCGGGCCGATAAAACGGCCCCCTGCTTCGGCGAGAACCCCAACAAACAAACCTTTCCATTGGTCAGCTGGCATCGGAGAGCGGGCGCGGAGAAACGGGACCGACAATTTGTGGCTTGAGAGCATACCCTTGTGGTATATCACTGAAGACAAGTAACTACAGGCGAGTATTGAGAGTATCCGTGGTCTCACTGAGGACATCACTGCCCTTGACATATTTCTCTCCAGATCTACTGCGACCGTCAATTCGAGAATCATGGGGGCCTACCCCTTCTCAGTGGGCGTGTCGGATGCCCTCAAAGCGCACAATGGAGTTGATGGCTTTGACCACGGCAAGAGATCACAGTCATCCGAGCTTCAAAATTGTCGTGGTCGCCTTCCTTCGATTCAAGCAGCCCGATTACGCACGATGCTTTTAGAAAGCTGGAAAGATCCGAGCCAGATCTTGGCAACTTGCTGCGCTGACGACGCTTTATCAGCACGGCTGATCGAGGAAGCAGGCTTTCCGCTGATATTCCTAGGAGGCTACGCTGTTTCAGCCAGCTTAGGGCTTCCTGACACGGTATTCGACGCTCTCCATTTTGCAAGAGATACTATAGGATGATGGCTGATGAAGTTGAGGGAGTTAGGGTTACATTGCATTCCAGGAACTTGCCAACAGAATCCAAGAAGTTTCTCGTCGAGTCAATATCCCGATTTTTGTCGATGGTGACACTGGTTACGGTTCATCACCGAATGTCAGGAGGACTGTTGAGGGGTTTGCCAGGGCCGGTGCTGCCGGGGTCATGATTGAAGACCAAACGTGGCCCAAGAAGTGTGGACATACCAAAGGCAAATCAGTCGTCTCGCGTGAGGAGGCCTTTGCGCGTGTCCAAGCGGCTGTGGATGCGCGGAATGAAGGCACGGACATTGTCATTCTTGCGAGGACCGACTCCTTGATTCTCGGATGGGACGAAGCCCTCCTGCGTGCCACCACGTTCGCAAAGATGGGTGCTGATATGGTCTTCATTGAAGCACTGCCAGACCGTCTCGCCATGGAGAAGGCGGCAAAGGAGGTTCAACGCTCCCCTATTGGCCAACATCATCGAAGGCGGATTGACGGAGAACATCTCGGCAAGAGACTTGGCTCAGGCTGGGTTTGCCATGGTGGCATACCCTTTCACCATCGTTGCGGCCAAGATCAAGGCAGTCCGAGAAGCTCTGGAAGGGATGAAAGGAAGCATGACCGTAGGAGCCCCGCCCCAGATATTGAGCGCGGCTGAAGTCTGCGAGGCAGTTGGCTTTGAGGATTATTGGAAGCTCGAGGAGAGATACAAATACTGAGAAGAGTAGCAGGGCATCACTCATCCATCTTCAGGAAATCAGTACAGCTTGAACTTCATTACTACCAGCAGTGCTTGAGTACAGACACACGGTGGTCGTAAGCAGTCGAGGGAGATTGGCGGTTAGTTGCGGCAGCAGGCGGGCCTAGACATCTTCAACACTCTCTCGCCTTGCAAATCCTACCTAGGTACCCAGGTAGTAACCGCCGTAGGTGCCAAACTCTCTAGGGTGCCTGGTGCCCAATTGGCAAGCTCAGTCATTCGAAACTGCCCTAGGGTGCTAAGCGAGGCACCAGCGAGAGCGGGGGAAACCTCTGGCCAGGGGCGGCCGCGCGGGGGCATAGGCGTGGGCTAGACTTAACTGAATGGCCAAGGACCAGGTACCTAAATAACCCACTGTTCACTCTCCAGCTTCTCTGCCTGGGCTTCTCAACCCACCATCATCTGAAGCGAAGCAAAAGGCAAGCCAACAAAGCAGCAACAATTGGATGCAACAAACTCTCCAATGGATAAAATAAACTAATAACCCAGATGAATAGCCAAATGACCAAGAGCTTGGCACCATGACCTTCTCGCGCCGCATTACTTGCACGGCCTGCAGGCAGAACAAGGTCAGCCCTCACCCTTCTCTCCCTAAGATATCTAAAATATGAGCATCCCGCCCAAGAATTTCCTGTCTCTCTGTTTTGTGATGCCAATACTCTGCTGCATGTGAGTTTTAAGGCTGATATATATAGGTCCGCTGCGAGAAAGGCGACGGAACCTGCCAAAGATGTGCAAAATATGGTCTTATTTGCAAGGAAGACCCGAGGTACCACAGAAACAACAGCAACAAGTAGGTGCGCACCACTGGCTATCGGTTGGAAATGTACTCCACGCCGCAAAAGGGAGTATGAAGGTCCCTGACCATGTCTCGTCTTCCAGGAAAATCGACGATCTGGAGAAACGTGTGCAAAGACGTCTCAACGTGGTGGGAGACGTCAGTGGAGCAGTTAACTCCATGTCAATGGATGAGACTGCCCCGGTCTCTCAGCAATTGACCCTGGATCTGCCTGGTCAGCTGCCACCGTCGCGACGAACGCTCCAACCTGCACTGCCCCAGACGCAGATCTCTGTTCCTACATGGCCCCCTGAGACCCCACCAGGAGACTCAGGCCGTGAAGGAAATCAGCAAGCAACCTCTGATGGAGCATGTACTGGAACTCTAAACATCTTTGCTCGACGACTTGGCCGCGTTGAACTGGAAGCAGAACGCATAAACGAACTTTTTGAGACGTAGGTTGCTTCGACCGGAGACCACATCACGCTTAGGATGCTGACATCAGTGAAGTTTCTTCACCTCATATGTTCCGTACCTTTCGTTTCTCGAAAGACGGCCACAAGATTGGTATTTCGACCAGTCGCCTCTGCTATTCTGGGCGATAATCAGCGTAGCTTCTCGACGCGATGGCCAGGACCTCACACTCTTGCGTATGTTGGCTCAGCCTGTGACAAAACTCGCATGGGAGGAGATTGGAACCCGTCAGACGCCACTTTGGACCATCCAAGGTCTCTTGCTATTGTGCACGTGGCCATTTCCAGCAATGTCTCTACTCCTGGAGGACTCACCCACCTGGGCCGACATTGCCATGAGTTTGGCGATCCAGCGAGGCCTGCATCGTCCTGAACGATCAGGAGACTTCACCAGATCAAGGTCTGCGCTGCCTCCAGCAATGCAGTTACAAATGTCCCGGACGTGGGCTGCATGTCATATCACGGCACAGAGGTATGTCTTGATCCTTGACTGCCAATCTTTTCTTCTGAGATGGCAATGATCATACTAAGACGTGTGGTGGAATATAGCGTTGCCTCAACTTATGGACTCTTCAACTCGGCAGCTTTCGACTTTCGATTTTCAGTTTTCGAGGAAGAACAGTTTCAGCAGAGCCTGGCCCCGCCTCTCCGGTGCCAGCTCACCATCCAGAGGTTCTGTGGACGGGCATGCAGAACCATCTTTGACAGTCCAATTGGACTTTCTGGCTCACGTGCCTTGCGTGTTGATGCCTTGATCGATGAGCTAGAAGCGGAACTAGACAAGATAGAAAAAGACCTGACAGGTCAGATCTCCGGTGAGTTTAATTTCTCATGCACCTCATATACCTCGTTCACCAAAACTAATACGGTCACCCAGGCATCACAGAATTATACTATCTGGCTGCGAAGGTGTTCCTCCAAACCCAGCAATTCTTTGGCACCGATATGAATGCAGACTACCGGCAGCGAGGAGTCCTCAAGGCTTATACGGCGGCAGTGGCCTTCATCAGAGCCGCTACATCGGCCCACCGTACAACTTTCCTGTTCGACTTCATCCCCAACTACTTGTTCCGCATGCTTTTTAATGCCACGTGCGTCATCTGGAAGGTCTTGACCTCTTCGTACCGTGAACGCTTGGATTTCCAGCAAGGCAAGGCCGACTTCAACGAAGGTCTCTCTGCCGTGCGGAAATGTTCGATCGAGAACAATGACGTCGCCGGCCGCCACGCAGAGATCCTCGCTCAGCTCTGGCAGATCAGCTGCGGCGATGGCGGGGACAGCTTAGGCCCTCACGACGAGGGCTATCATTTGCGAAGCCGTCCTCCTGAGCTAGGAGTAGTGGATCGCTTTGGAGCTAGCCTGGTGTTCGACTGTTTGTTCTTCTGGCGCGAGCATGTCGGTGGACAACGAAGGATGGGTCTACAGGCTGCGACGACAGGTCAGTATTTGGCGTTGTTTTGCGCTTCTCCCCAACCTACGGCTCTCTTTACTTCTACTTCGGCCACCCCTAAGAGTAGTTTTTATACTCACTCTCAATTAACATAATAGTACCTGTCACCTTGAATCAGAACGATACCCCGAGATCGAGGGGTGCGACTGAGGCAAGCTTTGCTTCTGGGATTCTCCAACCAGAAGAGCTGGAGGGCCAATTCCAGCTCAATTCGTGGGAAGACGTGAACTGGTCTTCGATTCTTGCATCACCTAATGGCTTTCACGACTTCGGGTTATGAAGCGAAGCATTCGCGTGGTTCGTTTCCAACATGTCCGCATAGGACACGATAAGAACTGGATTGATGGGGGTGTAAGGATCTCCTCTTCCGAGCGTATCGCCCAGGGGGAATGCGCTTTTCATGAGATCGTCGATGGAATTGATTCCCAGCAAGGCTCCGCCGGCGACGGCCATTACGTCCATCGAGCGCTTCTGTGGAAGCCGCAACATTATGCATGTCCGATGCGAAGGGCCGGATTTCACTCCTGGAGCTGGACGGGGTGGAAGGGCCGGATTGAATACAGCTACTGTCTCGACGACTGGGACGGCTACCAGGAGGAGGGCATCGAAAGAAACGAAGAAAGACATTCAAAACGGAGGCGAAGAGAGACTATCGAGGAGCAAACCGTAAGAAGAAACTCTGAGATATTCGTCGGCATGGGTCTAGGTAGAGAGGCACGGTTCATCCAGATATCTTCCTCCCGCGCACGGATCAGGGCTCAAATCGTCAGGAAAAACGGCACAAAGGTGGACTACCCCACCAAGATCGATCCGAGCAGTGGAAAACTGCCATTGGCAACCACTGGACGATCCTTGACCGCGACGATACCCCGTTGAAGAATCTCGTCGGCGACGTTGCGAGATACGAATACCCGGACTACTTCTTCCGGACCGACCTTGACCTGTCCCCCAAGTTGAAACAACGAGGCGGCTGGTGCGAGGTGAATTTCGTCAAGTATTTCCCCTGGCTCCGCGACAACTATTCCAGCAACCAGTGGATTATCGATATGGTGGGCGTGCTGGTCGTTTCGGAGAGCTTGGACGTCGTGGGAGAGTACCTCAGAATAGCTTCCTGCTTTCTGCAGCTGAGGGACTGGACGGATTTGGAGCCAACTTCCAACTCGCACAACTTCGCGCAGAGGACCGGAGAAGCCTTGCACATTTACCGGTTTCACAACAAAGGGCGCTGCTCGCAACTCGCCACAAACAGATGGAGAAGGCTAGGAGAACAGAGCAAGCGCAACGAGGCAACTTGGAGACTGCGGGGAATAAGGTCAATTGTCTGGACAAAATCAGATTGATGCGGAAACCTCCCCATACAGGGAATGTCCATAGCTCGAATCGGTGACAAGAGTTGATTCGATGGCCCCAAACTGTCGGTAGCTTCCCGCCAAGTCATTCGAGGCATTATTGCGTGTTTTGATGGCCACGGAGACAATCGTTTGACCACGTCCGGCTCCGGACCCGGCTCCGATCTTCGTGTCCCGTTTTATTGGACTACAAGTTGAACGATCTCTGCTGAATAAATATGTAATAACTCTAGTATCAAATCAGGAAAGTTTGTTCGAGACTTGTAAATTAGTCGTCTCAGTTCCCCGGAAACCACCCCGTCAGAGACCTGCTAGAATTCTAAGATTTTCCCAAACATTTCGTAACCGTGTCCAAGAGAGTCTGACGACGCGTTTGAGGCACCCACGATGCAGGATATAAAGCGGGCAGTCCTCACCGATTCCACACGGCTCTTATTTAAGTACGAGACCAATACACCTGGAGGAAAATGTCCAGCGCACTCGAGACCAGACACCCAACGATTCGCTCGGCTGACGGCACTCAGATTTGGGCAGCTTCGGCAGGACGATCCGCGAAAGATGCACCCGTCATTGTCTTTGTTCCCGGGTTTTCAAGCTCAAGTTTGACGTTCAGAAAGCAATTCCAGGATGAAAGCCTTCTGGCAAAATATTGCTTGGTACGTACCAGGTTCTTTATGCGGTCGAGAGGTCTGGCAACGAGTAACTCTGGGTGACGAAATCAAATCCTCAGATTACCTACGAGCCTCGAGGGCAAGGTCGGTCGGGCCAGCCGTTGGAAAAGGCGGCATATTCGTCAGAGCGCAATGCTGAGGACTTTAAGGCTGTATGCGAGACGTTCGGGGCTACGAAAGTGGTACTCGCAGGATGGTAGGTCGCCACGGTTCTGATACATCCCGTGGAAGACAATAGCCACTAAAGAATGCGGTTAGGAGCTACGGTGGCATTATCCCAGTGGATGTTTTTGCGCACCTGGGGCCCGACTGGATAAGTGGCATAATCTACCTCTCAGGTCTCCCCTGGCGGTCTGCTGTGAGTATATCTTTCTACCAAACCAGCCCATTGAATCCACAATTAATGCACCCATTCACTCACTCTGTGACTTCTCTCAAGCACCCTGAAATCGGCCATCCTTTCGCCTTCGAGGCACTTGGGCCGCTCATACAGCCTGATGCCGCCGGCATCGCCACGAGCCTCGAAGTCGTACTCGACAGCTGCTTCTACCCGCCCAACCGAGATACCATGACATACACGGAGCACACTGCGCTTGCGGGGGCAATAGGGCAGCAGCATCCAGTGGCTCGGACGCTCTTGCTGACCGCCCGGGACCAGGATCCAACTAAGCTACTGGATCACGCGACCACAATGCCAGTGTTGCTGATCATCGGCGAACATGACCGACAGATATTGTGGGAGAATGTAGACGCATTGCTGAAACGACACTTTGTCCGGTACGAGGTCTTGCTCGTCAAGGACGCCGGTCACACGGCGTTTTGGGAGAGGCCCGTCGAAACGAATGTGGCGATCCAAGCTTTTGTTGATGAACTGTGAGAATATCAAGCCTGCGCTGCCATAGATTGATACTTTTGTGAATGACACGCGATTCGTTGCTCAAGCTTCTTCCTCGTTCTCGTCCGGCAAACCATCAGGAACCCATCCGAAGGTGGCGAAGTCGATATAGTATTCTCCCATTCCATCATCGTCGACCTGCACGCCCTCTCGCCTGAGAAGTTCTGCCTGGAGACTCGCCCATCCTGGTGCCCTGAAGTGCGAGCATCAGCTCGTGCTCGCCTTTCCTGCGGAAACACACATGGCCTTACCGGTGCGATATCATGCCTTTGGAGTTAATGACCCGTTGCCACGGAACACTGTCCAGGTTGTAGTGCTCGATAGGGCGTTCATCGGTCCCGGTATCATCGTGCCCCAGGTGGTCCTTGGTAGTGGTGGCAGTAGCGGTAGTAGGCCCTCGGTGGAGATTTGACAGGCAGACGCCCACTTGACGTGCTCTTTGCGCTACGTGTAGAAGTCAGTTGTCCAGACTAGCATGAAGTATTGGGGCCAGTGGCCCATTCTGTTCGCTGATGGAATTGGACCTTACGTGTTCCGAGAAGCGATGCGATGTGTTTGTATGTGGTGACTCGACCCGGGGGTATTTGCTGGATGGCCTCGTAGACGGCGTTGATCCACCACTCTGTTTCTTCCGAGCGAGTCATTGGATCTGGGGGTGAAAGACAGCAAGTTAGCATATAACTTTGGAACAAAGAGCGGCCTTCTCACTGGCAATTATTTATATAATGGTCGTTCATCTCGCGACTTGCGGGTGGCAATATCCCGGTACAATACTTTTAGTACTTGCGCGATAACATGACAATGAAGTGACTCGGACTCGACAATGGATACTAGTTCTCGGTAGCTATGATCACGTCGGAAGTTCTGTCACTTATCCATTAGTCGCCCGTACTGGGTAGTAGGTTTTCTTTTACCTGACAAGGCCGAAAAGGCCCCCGTTGGCCCGTATCTTCGAAGAAACCTTCCATAAAAGGAAATCAAGGCCCACAAAGTCGCATGGCTCTCATTTGTGCTGATTGTCCAATCTACTCGTCATTTGGGAAGATTTCTCACCAAATCGACCTTGCAGGAGGTGTGAAAGGTATTGATCGGTAAACGTAGCCACGGCTAATGCCGTTACATTTAGCCATAGTTTCGGAGCAAGAGATCTGCAGCGCCTTCAAAGCCCGACTTCGCCATCGTTCCACGGATGGTCTTTGCAATGGCTTCGTTCCCTTCCGAGGGGCGGACGTCATGTACGCAATGACTTATGCCCATTGCCGCCAGTGTGCCCAGTACGTGCGTCCGGCTCCCCGCCGAGAGGTGCTTCACCAGCCAGTTTAGGATGCGCAGTTGGGCTGCAAATCGTCCGTCTCCGGGAAGAAGCAGTCGGCCCTCCTCTGCCAGATTTGTCAATGCTATCCGTTGACGTACACCTTCTGGATGTTCGCAAGATTGCTGGCATTCTTCAAAGTCATCGAAGCCTGATCTGCTAGCTACCACGCGGACCGGAGCCTCTGAGATCCTGGGTGCGTGTATGTTCCATGCCATGTTCATTTGACGTGTCTTTAAAGGATCAGGAGGGAAGATTTGACACCGCCTCCACGGACCAGGCTGGGTGTAGTAGCAGCGGCATTCGGTATAGAAAGGCGCGTTGTAGAAATCGATCGCATCGGGAGAGCGGGCGGCACCTGCAAGATTCTTGCGCAGCCGTTCGACCCAAATCAGCACCGTGATGTAAAGAGAAGCGTCCTGCATCAAGGCGAAAGTTGTGTCTTCGGACTGGGGCTGCCCAAGGTCACTTTGGGTACTGGATTCAAGAGGAAAGGGGACATCCAAGTCAGTTGCATCGCTCATATTCAGTCCGTACACGTCTGGGCCCTGAGCACCGTAGATTCCTGGGCGGTAAGAGTCGTCGCCTATCCTGAAAAGCGCCCATTCCAGTATCTCAGAAGCTCGAGGTGTGTTTGCCCACTCAGCACGCCAGAGATCCAATTCCACGGAGATGCATTCTAGCCGGTGCTGGAGAACCTCCACTGTCGATGGAACTTCGTTGAAATCGAAGGTAGAGTATCCAGTAGCTGTGGCATTAGTCCGCAAGGTCCGTTCTTCAAGCAGCTCATCCGTTGCTTGGATAATACTGGGGATTTTCGCCAAGATATCCAGGAGTTTGCTGCGGTTCGTCTTGGATTCGCTAGAGGAGGACCACGGGGTTGTCCTCCAACATTCCTGCTCTAGAAATGTACCTTGACGACGGACTATTGCGCTCGATATCTGCGTTTCCCACTGTCAGTCTTCTAATTCCAGATTTGAAGGAGGCCATGGAACCCTCCTCGAATGTGTGGATTGTTATAATTGAATAGGGGTCAGCTTTTACCAGTGTCATTCTGCAAGACTCGAACAGAGGCAGAATACTGGGGTCTGTGAAGTTCTCGGGGCCACAGTGCTCCAAAATGTGGGCCAAGCCGTGGTGGTGTGTAAAGCGGAGGTCCTTATCAACGGAAACCTGTGCGGCCGGTCTGTCAGCGATCAACTCCTCGGCCCGGCCTGGTTAAGGAGCTACTTAGCGAGGAGGTTGTGCAGGGGTGGGCACTATCGAGTAGTCAACAAGGCTTACCGAGTAAGATCCCATAACAGCGACAGGTTTGACAAGCAGAGCCAATTGTGCCTTGGATACGCTTGAGAGCTTCGTTTGTAGTCGTTGTAGACTTGCACCGTAGAGGCGCGCTGCCGACTGGCGTAGACTTGTGACATGATGGTCTCGGCCGAACAAACCGTATGCCAGGGCGCGAAGGCTGTCGTGGCCAAGGTCGTCGGTTTCTTCGGCCAGATGCTGGCGCATCGGCGTGTCTTGCAACAAGATACTGTGCACATTGATCCAACTGTACGAGTCAAAGAAATAAGTGAAGGAGATGTGATCGAGGAAAGGCAAGAGAGTCGGCTCGCGAGGCGGGCTTATCCTCTGTGGCTGGCATATCAAGATCGGGCGGCGTTCGGGTCTAGACGAGGTATCCTCTCGTCCGTCAGATGGACCGTCGCGCGCAGTCGAAGTCGTTGAAGACCCGCGCTGGGGATGGCTGGCATCTTTTGGCGAGATCGCAATGGCAGGGTATGATGTGCTTTTGTTGATTGTCCTGATACGGAGAGGCGCTGAGTCTGGAGCGGTGACAAAGCCGTAGGTGTGGACGCGTAGCACCTTTTCGTATCCTTGGCAATCGAGGTTTGATTTCTGGCATCGCTTGCAAACAGGTCTGCTCTGGTCGCATTTGACTCGCCGCCTGCGACAGGTGTGGCAGTTTCCGCTGGTTGGTTCCCGTCCCATGGTGACTTGCCACGGAAGCAAAGCTGAGGGTTTCGAGCTCAAAAGACTGAGGTAAGCTTGTGTCAGTCCGCAGACTCGATCTTGGGGTTAATCCCCCGATGTGGCAATGGCGCTAAAGCGCCGGCCCATCGCACCGATGGATCTTCTGTGCATACGAATCTGATTCCTGGATCGCAGTTTGTCCTGCGCACGCCAAATACAGGTAGTCGGACGGAAAGCTCTTCCATACACTCATGCTCCGGATACAGTTAGTGCACTTGTCGCTGGGAGGGTCGGAGGAGTGAGACACGACGCCAGCACGGCTCAAGACCTGAAGCTCCACTCTCCTAAGGACCCTTTGTGTCTCCTGATCAGTGAGAGAAAGGAAAGTATGTTCGAGCTGCTCCGGGATTCACGTCAGGACGAAAGGGACAGCGTGGCCGCTCTCACGGGCAGCATGTCGGATATGCCGTGACACATGGAGTACAGATTCTCCTCCCTTCCTCTCCCGGTCTTACAGAAACTCAAGGAGAGAATTGTAAGTATTTTGACAGAATCGGAACCGGAAATGTGCCAGCATCCCACGCAGTCTGAGTCGACGAGAAGCCAGTGTCAACTGAGCCCAACAGCTCGCAGCATGGTGCCCGACCAGCCTGTAGCTCACGCAGCACTCGCCTTGGCCATGTCTTCCCTTCCAGAGTCTATATTCAACCACAGCTTCCGCGTTTACCTTTATGCAAAAGCCTTCATGTCTATGCCCACGCCTGGAGAGGCCACACTGCCAACAAGTCCGATTGAAATCGGCCCCACTGGACTGCACGCGCTTTTCACGGCTTGGATGCTCCACGACATATCTATCATCGACAAATAGGACTCGACTCCTGAACGCTTCGAGGTTGTCAGTGCTGACCAAGCCGCAAGCCTACTACGGCAGCATGATGTGGACGAAAGATTGACGCGTGAAGCTTGGCTTGCTATGGCGCTGCACTCGACTCCGGGTATTCCGGACCGCGTCCCTGGCATTATCAAGGCATTGCGACAGGCTATTGTGGCATAGTTTGAGGCAATCGAGGTCCCGTCTGCACGCATGAGCGAGGAAGATCGAGAGGTTATCTGCAACGACCTAGCGAGGCTGAATATTGAGAAGGATTTAGGGCAGGCTGTGGTGCGCCAGGCAGTGATCACCCGGACCAAGGCGCCTACGGTTTCGTGGCCGGGAGTGATGCTGCGAGCCAAAGAGGAAAATCCAGACTGGGACGGTGTCGACAAAGCTTTCTGGGACTGTGCATAGGCTTGATGGAGTGCACTGGCAAACCAAAAGAAGTCCCTGTGCGATGGCTCTTTACTTTTTGATCTCATTGTGGTGGTTTAACCTGTTTTCCTATTTTCCTGCAAGAAGGCCATCGTTATCAATCCATCTACTTCCACTTCAGACTACAACACGCCTCGAATGAGTGTAGTTTGATGAAAATTCTGCTTTGTCCTTCTCCGTCACCCAGGCCTGATCACGCATTGCAGCCCAGAGCTTCATGTCCTGCGACACATCTCACCTCAATTCGCTATTCTGAGTACTCCGTCGATGGTGCTTGATTTTCATGTGCTCTTGATGAAATCCAGAATAAGCCTCGAGATCTCTTCCGGAGCGTCCTCGAGACAGAAATGGCTTGCATTGTCCAGATAATGGATTGGAGCATTTGGAAACGCTGCTTGGAAGACCGGGACAAAGTACTTGGCGAGGAGAACCTTGTCGCGGGTGCCTTCTATCATCATGGCAGGCTTGCTGCGTACGGCAGTCCGCGCCTCGGCTGTACCTTGCTCGGCTTTGAACGAGCCGGTAACGATGCTCTTGGGGAAGGCGATAACACCGTGGCATTCGTCGGGCGTGTCAAAGGGCGATGAATAGGCGCGGAAGAAGCTTTCCGGGGCGTCACGACGCTCGAAACCCTGAAGCAGCTTCATGAGCCCAACAATAGCCACACCGGCATTCCGCAGAGTCGCTTCGAAGGTGCCGTCACTGACGGCGCGGTCTGCCCAAGAAAACCAAGCTGATTCTGCTGCATTTCGCTTCCAGCAGTCGTCCTCAGCGGGCATCCCTAAGGAAAGAAGCGTATTCATGACGACGATGCGGGTGATGCGGTGTTGTTGGCGCAGAGCCAAAGCTCCGCCGATCTGTCCCCCCCAGTCGTGCACAACGAGGGTGATGTTGTGAAGGTCGAGCTCTTTGACCAAGCTCTCCAGGTTATCAGCGTGACGGCGAGCCGTGTATTCCACGTTCTGAGGTGTCTCGCTTTTTCCGAAGCCCATGTAGTCAGGGACGATGACCCGGTGCTTCTTGGCCAGTATGGGTATGACCTCGCGGTACAAGTAGCCCCAAGTTGGTTCCCCATGGAGGCAGAGAACAGGTGATCCCTGGCCTTCATCGACATAGTGCATCCGGAAGCCAGCAGATGTCGAATAGTGTGGTTTGAAAGGAAAAGTCCCATCGAAAGTCTCGTTCGCATCAATCATGGTGGAGTGCGATACGATAGCTGTCTTTGTCGTGCTCTGTCACTGTGACTTTTTGGAGGGGATCCATGCTTGTTTATATTCATTATCGGCCGTTTCGTCGGATTGTACGATCACATGCTCAAGCACAGACATGGTTGTCCTGCACAGTTCCGGTTTCAGTATATTTGTTCGAACGTGGCCGAAATGTTTCTTGCCTGGAATCCACCTCGTATCTTGCGTCGCTTTACCGACGGAGCGGTCAATAATTGGCCACAGAGCCGGCTTCACGCTATACCTTCTTTGGTAGCTTTCTTCGAAGTATGAAAATGAACTGACAGGTCCGTCGATGCTAGATTATGAGGTCGAGCACAGGGCAGCATCACCTTCCTGCCTGGAGCGAGAGAATCGCGAGCAGTTTCTCCACACGAGACTTGGCGTTCCGACGAACCTCGGAAGATTGGTGTTGTTGCCTGCGACCTTGAGAACAATCTCAACAGCCCTCTACTGAATGGCAACGTCGACCGAATTCGCTGTCGTTTGCGATGAGTGGGCCGGCGCATGATACACAAGAAGTCACGCCTCCTTCGAGCCCTCGTCCCCTTCTCACCGCTCCTCCAACAGACGAGAATGATGGTTCATCATCGATCCAAATAACTCCAAAGCTCATCACCGACACGCTTTGCTATTAGACCTAGATGTCCTCCGAAACACGAGATTACCACCCTTCGGCTGACACAACGCTCTCTTCTCTGGAAGAGAAGGGACACCACACCGGCGGCAACGATTCCCCCGCCGCTCATCGCCTTGACCAAGTCGACAAGACTGAGCCTGGAGGGACGCTTGAGGTTGACACAGGGGAAGATTTGGTCAAACCACGAGAACTCTTTCTTACCAAGCGGGACAGCAAGGGAGAGGAACAATGGTGGGAGTGCCGTTGGAAGAACGGTTGAGGTCAGGAAAGCATGGAAATGAACAAAGGAAGATCATACGGCAAGACTCCATATTGCGATTACTGCGGGCGCCTTTTCCACCAGCGTCAGATTGCGGAGGTGGGGGTACCGAGGGGCGAGGCCCACCGAGTTGGCATTACATAGGCTCAGACTACCGAGCCGAACTGCGCCTTCGAACTGCTCGGCTTGCCTCGACCTTCGCCGATACAATCATCCCTTTGGCGCCATTATCATCCAGCCGGCTACGATGCATGGTTGGAGGAACCCGTCGCAGTCGTAGTGGGCAAGGCTGTCCTTTGTGCTGCAGGATTGCGAACCCTTAACCATTGGCGGGATGGAGGTCGAGGAGGATTTAGTTCATGCCAAAGGCAGTTGCGTTATGGCCAGAGCATAGCCTACTTCGTCAGCGTGGAGCGAGACTATTTGATTCAGGGGGACACCTCTTATAGCTGCTGAATGCACACTAGAGCTATAAGTCGAAGGTTGATGCATTCGGTCTATCATGGCCAATATATGGAATGGTGGAGATTATCCTTTTATGCTAAGGCAATGTGAAGTCTAATATATCATCTCGCTGCTATGATTCGTCCACGGCAAACCCCAAAACCTACTGTGCTCCCTTCTTCTCGCGGAGCCGCGCGAATCTCGACCTCGTCTCCGTCTTCCAAAAAGGTACGTGAGATGTGGCTTACTTGATTCGAACCAGTCAACTGCAGTTTGACCGGCGCGTGGCCACCTTTGGACATTTCCAACAGTGAAGCAGCCTCCTCGGGCATGGGGCCTGACACCGTCCCTGTAGCTATAAGATCCCCAGTACGTAGCGGACATCCCCCAGCGGTGTGATGGGCAATCATTTGCGCAAAAGAGAAAATCACATGCCTAGTGTTCGTTGTACATAAGGTGTATTGCTGGCGGTCTGCCGCTAGTAGAGCACGGTCAGCCAGTATAGTCTCTCCCGACCATGATATGACTCACGCGTAATACTTGCCTGCAAAGGAATATCAAACGCCGTTCGAGCCGTAGACTCTGTGAGGTAAGACAGAGGTTTTGTTTCCAGCAAGGCTGTCAGCTAGCTACTTGTTGGAATTTTTGATCGAATTCACAAGACTGACCTTCCTCACTGTTTCGACACGATAATTCGCCAGGGCGTCGAGACTGACCACCCAAGGCGACACGGTCGTGCAGAAGTTCTTGCCATTGAAAGGGCCCAGCGAGGGAGACTCCCAACGCTGGATGTCGCGTGCGGACCAGTCATTCACTAGCACGACGCCGAAAATGTGATCTTCAGCCGTATTCACGTCGATCGAGTCTCCCAGCTGCGTTTCCGTGCCGATAAAGGCGGCGAATTCGACTTCAAAGTCCATCTGGCGAGTTGGGCCGAAGACCAGCCCATCTTCAGTGACGTATTGGCCCTTTGGGCGTCGAACCAGCGTATCAGAGACCACGACCGAGGACGCTCGCCCGTGGTATGCGATGGGGAGATGGAAGTAGTTACTGTTCAGACCTATACCGGGCCGGACGATGTTGACGCACTAGGTTGTCAGTCATGACTCGTCACTCACAATGGGCATCCTACATTTTGAGCGTGATACACCCCAACGAAGAAATCTGTATAGTTGGGAATATCGAAGGGCAGCAGCATCTGGACCGTCTCCATGAGCAGCAATGACTTTGTTCGCCGTTCCGCGTCGTTCCTCAAGAGATGCCCATGTTTCGTGTCCTTAGCTAGCAATTCGACAAGAAACCCTCGAACACGGCGATGCACTGTCCGGCCCAGACTGGCGTAGTGATTCAAGCTGCTAGTTTTGAGAGTGTCTTGGTCAAAGGACAATGAGGAAAAGACATTTTCCTCTGCCAGCAGCTTCATATCCAGCACATAGTCGCCGATGGCCACACCAATCCGGGCATCCTGATCGCGGGTCTTGAAAACACCCATGGGCAGGTTATGTAGCTGGAACTCGCTCGAGCGGTGGATCGGGACCCATGACTCGTCGTCCATTGCTTTTTGATCCTGCTTTTCAACTGGCTAATGGATCCAAGTCCCACTACAGTGTATAATAACCCTTTTATATAGATAATCCAGGCGGGCCAAACCCCAGACGTCGCACATATAGTAAGGAGGTGTTTCGAATGGATCTCCAAGAGCACCATCGCCGAAGCAGTCGGTGAAGCCTATTCACCCATGTGACAGGCAAGTAGAACATTTCACATAGTGCGATCGGGAAATTCGGCTTATGGTGATTTGTGCAAGGCGCAGGAAATTTGTTAGTGTGGCACCTAAAACATTTCAGCGTCCGTTTGACCCGCCCATAAAAAGACCAAAACGAACGGCACTTTAGAGAGGATTGCATCATATGATGCTTGGTTCTCGGGTGTCTAAAATGATATTCCGACACGTAAGGGTGGGATATTCATACGATTTTCCAGATAAAGAACTGCATTTGATATGCATTACACACGCAAAAGGCCTGTCGCCATCCTCTGACATGTCCTTGCATAATCTTGGTTCCCACACACTATTGTTTAGAACTGATATCAAAGTCAATCTCGGCGTCGAATTGATCAAGCCAATAATCGAATGACGAGACCTGCTCGCTAGGAACAAGGTACCTGTCGCTGCTGTAGTCAGGCAGACCATCGAATATATTCGGCTCCATCATAAGAAGTGGATTATTAGGTGGACTGTCTGGATTGCTAATCTTTGAGACCTCTTCGATGAGGGATGAAATTGCTCCTGTGGCGCGCAAAAGGGTGGTCACTTATTTGGTTCTTTACGTACACCTCGAAGGTGACTCACCTTCATTTATCGCACCCTGCTGGCTTTCACTTGCCTGTAGTCCAAGATCAACAATTTCGGCGTCGCGCTCGGCCATCGATCCTCGGTTCCACACGATCTCGTTGTGACTAAGGATCGAGGTATGTGCACGGCCATGAACGCATCGATGATTACACAGCTGATCGGGAGTCAAGACCTTCGGCTCGCCATGCAGCTCAGGCCGATCTTTCTCGACGGTCGAGTAGAGGGCCATGACATTGGTGCACTACAAGGCTATCGGTCAGTCATTGGCGTGCAGATTCTTAAAGCTGTTTTTTACCAGAAGAGAAATAAATCGCCAGTAAAGCCCCATTTGTTGCATGATCTTGAGGTTCGCCACAAGGTTGGTCGATACGCGTGCCCGCACCTCTGGATCCGTACACCACCGAAACGGGATCTGGACCGCGCAGGACGCGTAAGCTGCATATCCGATGAAACTGGGAATGCGATCCGGACTCAAGGAAGACTGGAGAATGGCTTTCAGACAAGCAGAGACGGAGCAAGCTCGCTCAAAGGCTTCCTGGGCCGAACTTCGTCGAGCGTAATTTAGTCCCGCTTCAGAGTGGCCCCACGAGAAGAGAGGGACAATGGATGCGTGCAGCGTAGCGAGGCTTTGATGATACAAGATGTGGAGAAGGATGTAGAGTGGTTGCACATGAGTCCAAGAGGACTCAAGGAGAGCTGGTGTGAACTTCCACGCTCCGGGAAGCGAGCTGTTCCAGGCTTCAACTCTTGAGTGCAGGCTCTGAAGGTTGTCGAGTTGATTGTTGCCATTCTTTACCGAATAGTAGATGTCATTCCTATCGCATATAAGCGTGTTTCAGAGGTCCAAGCGATTGTCGTGGTTACCAGATCATCAAAATATCGATGAGCACCGCATAGATACTGGGCTCACTACTTCTTGACATACTTGCATTTGTCTTACTCATAGCCTCGAACTGACTCTCCGGGCAGGGTTTCCGGAGCCGTGCAGTGGCCTGGGAGAAGTTGTTCATTGCAAAATCGGGCTTGGAGCCAAATAGCATCATACATGCACACGCCCAGAAGCGACGTCGTCTCACTTCCACCTCCAGCGGCTTCGCGTTGGGCTCTTGACGCCCCGCTGGAATGCCAAGGACATATGCAATTTGAATTCCATTCCCTAAAGACCAAGCCACAAAGTTAGCAATTGAGCAAAGGCCTCGGATTTTCGATGGCATACATTTGTATATGAAGCTCTTGCGCCACGCGCCCTCGCTATACCAGTAGAGCGCAAGATTGATATAGGTGACAATGTTCTCCTCTCGAGGCTCTCCCAGCTCCATGGTAACCATAGACTCTGCGGAACGTGCCCACTCGCGGCCAAATCCTGCGTCTGTCAAGGAATGATGGCTGGAAGGTCCTCGGTAGAATCTGGATGGTATGAGCTCATTTCAACGAATGGTCTTGAGGGAGGCTGCGTACTTTGACGCAAAAGCACACGCGCTCAACAGAACATGATGATTTGCCGTACCAGCCCTCACTTCTGACAAAAATGTTTCTTGGTGGAGTAGCAGGCTGGCATTGTAGGCATGGCTGAAATAGAGCACGGTAAGATCCAGAGCGAGCGCTTGTGGGATTCTGCAATATCCGGCACCGGCGTTGGTTTGAAAGACCGGGTGAGCTGCGGTCGTCCAGTTAGGCGATGGCGATACGTGTAAGACGTCAGCATTGCTAGTTTCACCAGAGATAGTGTCTCTCGCCGCGCGTTGCAGCATAGGATCCTGCGAATGAGGCACTTGATGTGGGTTGATAGTTGAACCGGACGGCACATCTTCGTAAGAGCATCTATATCGAAGTCGTTGGCATCTTTTACAGCTGCCTAGACCGACCCTGTGACAGCGAACCTGATAGACAATGGTATGTCAGTAATTACTGTCTATGTAGTACAATGTGATGCCAGCAAGGCCCCAATTTCATCCATCCGGAGTCTGAAATGGAACACCCTGGCGTACCTTCTGATTATTGCATCGGTCGCAGGCTTTTCTCGGGCGCCCAGCCATTAGAGGTGCATAGTATCTGCCAGCAGCAGCAGCACTAGGCTCGAGAACAAGTTGAAGGTCGGTAAATGGCGAGGCCGTTGTCGGGGATTTCGAGGCATATATGAAGATGACCTCGGCTTAAGGAGATCACAAATCAGCCAATCAAACCCGTCGACGGCCCCTAGCCAATCATTACCCGCGCTGACGCTCTACGTATGCCGTATCCAGGGTTGAATTTACCGATCATCTATATTCCTCTCATCCGACCCCTATCTGTGCGTACATGCTGGCAAGGCCGGGGATAACGGACCTGTAGAGGGTATGAGCCGAAGACTTATGGCAATGTCTGCATATATTTGGATACGGGCGTCCATGTCGAGCCCAGACCTGGAGTCAGTCAATATCCGTATCAACCAGCTTCAATCTACGCCATGTCAGGAGAAAAGGCTATCGTTCGCAGCAGGTGGTCCTCAGATCGCAGTGAGGACTTGTTTCAGGTCTTCAACCCCGCCACAGGAGAGACTCTCCGAATGGTACAAGGTGCAAGTCCCATGGAGGCACAAAAGGCGGTAGAGGCTGCCCACCGGGCATTTGAAACGGACTGGAGACTACGCTCACCCACACAACGGGCTGCTATACTGCTCAAAGCAGCAGACGCTCTCGAGGAACATGCCGACGAACTAGCCACGTGCCTTTCGCAGGAAAATGGAAAGCCTTTCAGGGACGCTCGACCAGCAGACGTGAACTTTTTGGTTCAGGTTTTCCGATATTTTGGAGGTCTAATAGACAAATTGCCCTCGGAATTCTACGACCAGGGCAGTATCTATGCAACAGTTGTCCGTGAGCCGTTTGGAGTCGTTCTCGGCATTATTCCCTTCAACTGGCCGCCAATCCACACGGGCGGAAAGCTAGCTCCGGCCCTGGCGGCTGGCAATACTGTCGTGCTCAAGCCCGGTGAACAGGCCCCGTTGACCGTCATTCGCATTGTCGAGATTCTCAACACGGTCTTTCCCAAGGATGTTATCCACGTTGTTCCAGCTAAGGGCATCGCCGTTCCACAAGCACTGATCAGCAACCAATTGGTACGTAAGATCTCGTTCACTGGCTCCACAGCCGGCGGGGCAGCGGTGGGCCAGAGTGCTTTGGCGAGAGTTACCCCCGTAGTCCTCGAGCTTGGTGGGAAAAATGCCTTCATAGTTTTTGAGGACGCCAATATCCACGACGCAGTGCAAGACGCCCTGGAAGGGGGGTTCTACAACAAGGGCGAAGCGTGTACAGCCGCCTCGCGAGTCTTGGTTCACGAATCGGTCCACGATGAGTTCGTTAAGCAGCTTTCAACCGCTGTCGAAAAATTGAAAGTGGGCGAAGGTCTCTTGGAGGACACGCACGTCGGGCCCGTGGTCAGCAAAATCCAACAACAAAAGGTCCTGAAATATTTGACGGTTGGCGCAGAAGAAGGAGCCACTATCGCTGCGCAGGCACCACTACCTGCAGACCTGCGACTGAAGAACGGATTCTTCGTCCCCCCTACACTTTTCACCAACGTGAAGCGTGACATGCGCATCGCCAAGGAGGAGATATTCGGTCCAGTCGTGACGGTAACCAAATTCACGACGTACGAAGAAGCAATTGCCATTACCAATGAGTCCGAGTATGGGCTGGTTTGTGCAGTTCACACGAGTGATATGAATCAGGCGTGGCGGGCGGCCCGCGATGTCGAGAGTGGAATAGTCTTTGTAAACAACTACCACCGAAACGCCCTTGGGACGCCTTTTGGGGGCACAAAGTCTAGTGGATTTGGCAGGGAGCACTGTATCGAGACGCTCCACGATTACACCTGGGCTAAGACAGTGAGGATACCGTCGGGCCGTGGAGAGGTTCCGAGATGGAGAGGTGTCCAGGATTGTTTCAAGAACTAAGACGATCCGGTGACATTTTCAAAGCGCGCGCAATTGATTTTCTCCTTCAGATAACTCAGTCACCTATGGACTATTCGTGATATGATCACGACAACTCCAGGTTGAGCAGTTTTGCCGCATTCCCATACGCAATTGCCTCGAGCTGTTCCACGCTGACCAGCCCGGAAGTCCGCAGCTCTTCCATAAATTTGAGACCTGCCTCGTTAGATGCAAACGGATAGTCCACCGAATAACAGATGCGGTCTGGCTTGCACTGTCTCAGCAAGCATGCCGCGGGACTCAGCGAGAACATGCCACTGGTGGTGATCCAGACATTCTCGTCCCACACACTGCGCAAAGACCGCTTTGGGCCCTCGCGCCACATTGTCTCGACCCAGTGAGCGACACGGTCGAGCTGGAATGGCAACATCTCACCCATATGGCCCAGCACCAGCTTGAACCGTGGATACTTGTCGAATAGGCCTGAGGCATATAGGCGCAAAAAATGCGTACCGCACTCGGCATGCCAACCCCAACCGTTAGTGCTCAGCGAACGCGCAATCACCGGTGAGTAGTTGCCTTTGTACAGTATAACGGCCGTTTGCTCGTTGTAACTGGGGTGCAGGTAGATAGGTACGTCCAGTTTCTCAGCTGCGGCACAGATGGGCCAGAAGAACTCGTCGTCGTAGAAGCGGCCCTCAGTCGTGTTATCAATCATAGCGCCCACGAACCCTAGCTGTGTGACGGCGCGTGAGAGCTCTGTTGCTGCCGCTGCCGGGTCGTCGATCGGTAACAGAGCGAAGCCACGGTAGCGCTCGGAGTGGTGGGAGATGGCTTGGGCCAATTCGTCGTTGGCGGCGATGCAGGTTGTGGCGTCGATGGGAATCGTGTTTGGCCCGTGAGAGATGACCTGGAGACGCACGCGGCCTTTCTCGTTATCGGTGATGCGAATCTCTCCTACTGTCTTGAGAACCGAGCGAAAATTATCAAACGCGGGTCCTGAGTATGGGTCCGGCTTGCCCTGCTTTACGTAGTACTCTTGCACATATTTCGAGAGCCAGTGCTCTTCGAGAGTGATTAGCCAGGCTTGTGAGTCGGACATGATGTCTATAGGAGGATTCATGTAATTGATTACGAGGCTTAGAAGAGGACGTCGGATGCTATTGGAAAGAGCCCGAGCTGCTTTCAATTATACCCATATCCGGAACTGGATACAATTAAGACTCCAGACGGCAAATGCCACGGACTCTCCTCCTGTTTGCCGTATAGACACGGAGAACGAAGCGAGAGCCTCCGTGGCTTCTAGGGGTCTGTCCGCATCGTGGAAGCTCTGGAAGGGCCAGCATATTGTCGGCTCTCCGGAAATATCGTTGACTCGGATTTGCCCTGGGTTAATTGAGTGACGTTGACGGATCGACAAATCTATTCAAGCTATAATTAAGATATAGATGGAGAAACAGGAAGACCTCTGGCCTGATCTTTCAACTGCTTCGCTACGCTGGAGTCGGTTCCAATCACTTGGCATGTCATTAAGGTTCTCTAAACTGCCTCTCGAGGGGTGGTGGTTTCCGGGGTAATTGCTGGAATGAAACAGCAATCGGCATTTCATAATCTTCGTGTCGAGAAATGTCGTTGCGAACTCGATCAGGCATGTCCTAAAAGAAAATCAATCGCTTACCACAGCGGAAGAGCCTCTTACTAACAACACTCTTTGATGAAGCTGTTCGACCGTGTGGAATTGAGTATGATTGGTTGGATAAGCCAGCGGTCATTTCGGTTGATGGTCTCTGACTCAATCTTCCCACTTTAACATGGTGAGCATAACGGTACAGCCACGCTCAAAGGAAATACTTGTAGTCGGGATGTGCATCCCCCAGCTTGACGAACTGTTCGGCTAGGTCCATCCCCTGAACCTGACCCAGCAGCTTTTCTCTGTACTCCGGCGTCTCCTTTCTCTTGTTGAGCCATTCGAGCATCCACATCTCTGCCACCGTAAAAACAAGTGTCACCACGGTCATCGACAGGATCAGTTTGGACGCCAATGGGTAGTAAGGCGCCTGCTCCGAGGGAAAGATCCACGCGCTCAGAATTCCTCCCGAGTTGGTGAAAACAAAGCATGTCGCTATTGCCGTAGCTCGCCGGGTATGGGCTGCCGTGTTGTTGGGGATCCAGGACAGGTAGCACGGGCCGTTGGCGTACAGCCCGGAGATAACAAGGAATAAGGAGGCATAGCGAACCGCATTGCTGCGACCTCGATAAAACATGATGACACCAATCAGAGCCACCATTCCAGTGATTATAGCGGCTAATCCACGCTTTCTATGTCGATCGGAGAGGTATGAGGTGGCCACACAGACGACGAATCCCACTGCAAAGGGCGGCACTGTCATCAGCTGTGTCCGTGTCGAGCTATACCCCATCCCGGACACGATGGTAGGCGTGAAATAAGCCATCCCAAACAGACAACATGCTGAGGCGAACATGATTGGAAACAAAATCAGGATGTGAGGAGTCGCAAAGACCGATAGGACTCCATTCAGTGTCACCCGTTCCGTGTTGGGAAACTCCGCGTCAAGCTGCAGGCGGTCTGCATAACGTTTGGCTTCTTCAGAATTGAAAGTGCGGACCTCGTTAGGATGGTTGGGCAGGACGAAGAAAGCCACAACACTGAAGCAGACGGTGAAGAGGCCTTCAAGGCAGAAGATCCCTGGCCATATACCGGAGATTTAGCATGTGGCCCTCATCTTTACGGTTGGAGTGCTGCTGTCATAGTGTTTGACCGTCGATGGACGTGAAATGCTTACATTGCCAACCAGCCAGGCCTCCAATTCCGTCCATCTTCTCAATTGCAGCTGCCAGTAAACCGCCAAATGCTCCACTCAGGGCGGCAGCAGAGTAGAAGAGGGCAATGCGCAGTTGAAGTTCGTCTCGTCGATAAAACATGCTGAGATAGAGATTGATGCCGGGGAATAGGCCTGAAAGAACGTATCAGCCAACACTCTCTCATGATTGCGAAGCGGTCCAGTCAAGGTTGGCGCGGTGAGCTCCGGATAACAAGCGAAATACCTCCTTCAGCCATGCCCAGGATGAGCCGAGCGACCAGCAGGCCAGAGTAGCTGTTGACCTGCGATTGCAAGGTTGTGACGACGCCCCAACAAAAGCACAAGCCGGACAAGAGGAGGCGAGGTCCAATTTTCCTCAATATCAAGTTCGACGGAAGTTCGGCAGCAATCTAGGATTGATGGTTTAGCTTCGTCATCCCATCGAAATAATTGCCGGCCAAGATTCGTACATAGAGCACATATGTGGCAGTAACCGCTATCCGGGCCAATGTCAGTGATAGTTCCGTCACCTTGACTGGTGTTCGGGTATCGTAAGGACTCACCGGTTGAGTATTGATGACTGGTCATTTGAAGGTCTTCTTGAAGACCGGCAATACGGGCGTTCCCTATGTTGGCACGATCCAGAAACGCCAACAGGTACAGCATTGCCATCATGGGTACGAGAACCACATCCAGTTTGACCAGCATCTTCCGGTTGTACGAAGCCAACTCAGTGGCTGACAGAGAGGACAGCTCTTGGTGATCCGTGACTGGCACATTCCCGGGACCAGTTCCGTCCAACCCTTCGACGTGGTCGGATATCTCTTTTTCTGCAAAGACAAGGACCGCCATTGTCATACAAAGTCAAACAAATCGGATCTTTTGACCGTACCTAGGTAGGTATCTGATAAAGAGGCTGACCATGATCAAAAGTCCGGGGTTTCCGCCAACAATTATCATTCATTCGTGAGTTCTCTGCTTAAGGTGTTCATCGGAGATTGTCATGGGTAGTTTTATTTCCCGCAAATCGACGGTAAATGTGGAATTTCTGCAGAAAGTTCAGAGCCGGCATTCCAATCGGCAAACTGAAACCTAAATCTCTATAAGCACTGCTGAACACAATCATACCGGGTTGTCAGAGGCTACAGTCGACATGCTGTAACCATGCCAAGAACCTCTTATGAGACTGGGCGCTGTCAGGTCGGATTAGTCTTGAGCACTACCAAAAGTAACATGGAGGAATCGAGTATGAGCGCACTTTACAGCGGACTGGAGACTGCTCCTATTCTGGTAAGGGCGAGCAGTGCCACCAACGAGATGCGTTTGAAGTTTCATGCTGTCACAGCGGCAAATACCCGAATTCCACCAGGCTCCCGCAACAGACACGAAGCATCCGTAGAATCTCAAACTCTCCCAGGTCTACAGAAGCACTTGTTGTTTATTCCCGCGCAGTCCGATATGGCGGCTTTGCGGAAATGCTACTGCGTCTGTCCACTCGGTCGCAGAACACTCAGGTCATCTCCTCCTTCTAATATGGCATACATTAGAGTGACTTTGTCATTATTGGTAAGTCAAAGTCTAAAGAGATCTCTAACCCCTAGTTCACGCTGCTGGCTGTCCAAAGCCTCGGAAAAGCATCAATTGATGGATTGGATGAGTCCAGACAAACATAACCGATCTCGCATCCGTTGAACCGACCTCGAGGAGCCGCATAGGATTTCATGACTTAGAAGCTCATAACAGGATTAACGACCCGAAGGTATTGACGACCCGAAGATATGGGCCCGAGGCCTGCATTCCTTTACCTCCGTAACGAATCTTGAGGGTCATCGCACAGAGTTTTCTACCTAGATACTTCCTTCCCTATGCTCCTCGACGCTCCTTTTTCCCAGGACATTCTGCTTGGTTGCCTGCCATCTCCACTGCTTCAAGTACCCGCTGGCCCTGTGCTATCTTGCTGTGTCCGCCGAGCCGTTGTGACAGCCCCGTCGGCGCCTGCGCTCAGAGACTACAAACTCAAAGGACTCCAGAACGACAACGTTGGGCTCTGACTGGGGAGATTGGGATCAAAAAAGTTAGAAGGCACAACCACATTAAACAGCTGGGATTGGTCAAGGAGACACGGGAACCAGATTTTGCTGTGTTGAGAGCTGGGCGACTCACACCTCTTTGAAATATCCCAGCGTTCAATGCATCAACTTGCGCAACTTGCGCTGCATTTTTTGCATTCCCAGAGGCTTGTAGGGGCCCAAATTTGATTTCGGCGGCATTTTCGTCTTGTCCTCTCCGCAGAATACCTGTCAATGGAACATGAAACGTTAGCCGAAATCACACAAAGGAGCAGGACCCTAGCGACGACTACACCACAAAGTTTTACAGGCCTCTCACGATATGTAACAGCTACTTGCTTGAGTGTAGGCAATATTGCAGCTCGTGGCAGCCTGCTGCAACCTTCGGTCATCACCAATTTCAAACAGGGTTCGTGAACTCAGTCACCGAAACGAAACTGGAGGGCTTTCGACACGCATCAGGACTCTTTGGATAGCCAGTTGCCGGCGCAGACGACATGGTTGTGCTGATGGCAATCCTCAGACAGAAACATTCAAGATATGCACAACAACAACAACACCGAAGACTTACATTTCCCACCGGACCTGGTATCGAAGTCACTACTGCCCTTAGCATGTGTCCTTGCTGGAAACAGCTCCACGGAGGAGCTATTAAACGAAGACTAAACCCATTATCGCCCGGTGCCATCAGTGCGAGAGGAAACTAGCCTGATGAGGGTATTGGACATCAGGTCTGCTTAAGGTATTTGTTCAATTGGATCCAGACATAAGGTTTCGGCCACCTTTCGACACGCTGATACTATACCTGCTTTGTGCATGTTGAGTTTGGACCACGCTGGGCGGCAGTACGCCGCTGTCGACTTACCACCTGGGGTCTGTTCCTACCCTTGATGGGAGTCTCTTCACAATATCAGCTTACTTTCTTACCCAGACTGTGATTGGTACGGTGGAATGCCTTACCTTTTCGAAAAATCCATCTTGTCGTTCTGGGCGGTACCATTCTCGGCCCCAACAAAGCTTGGCCTCCTGGGCTCGTATACTGGCCCGGTCGGCCTGATCTCTGCCAGGCTTGTACCACAATACAGCTCCCGGTAAATGGTGGGAGAACGGTTGAATCCGCTGCCGTCCGGCTCCATCTGAAGGATGGGGGTGGGGAGAGGGGGAATATGCCTCCGTAGTCTTCCTCTCAATTCTCTTTCCAAGGCCAGTGGTCTGCTAAATGGCATGGCAATATCCCACACCGGACTTGTCCCCAAGATGTTGTCCCGAAGCTCAACGGCATGACTCAACATGAGATTCGCGCTCAGCTTTTCATCATGTCCAATTACCTTGGGCGGAAGAATTCCTGGGTCCTCTGGATCAAGTGGAATGACCTGCGACAGTCACTACTTATAGCAACGACTTGCCTTAACTGTTCATCAATTCAGCATCTACCAATCCCAAGGCCGGCGATCTAAATTGCTCGCTGACCACCTTCGGCGTGCCAAACCCTGAGGAATTCTCACTCTAAATTCCTTACGGTATGGCTCTCCCACCGCCATTTCGAGAATTTCCAGTAGTGGTATGGCGCGTGTAATGAGAAATGCCACGTTTCGGAACGAACACCTGCTCCATGGAGACATTCCGTTTAGCTCGCACCCCGCGATTTGTCAGGATTGGCTCAACTCTTGTTGAGAACGAAAATAGGTATCACAACCATGAGACATGAGACTCGTCGGAACATCTCCATCTCTTTCTCCAAGGCTCTCTGCGAAACCAGAGTTCTTTTACGATATCGAGAACAACAGCATCAGTAAGACATTTTGCATCGAATCGTCATCCAATTGCTGTCGACCATCATTCTGGCGTCTTTCAGTGGTTTAATCTCCCTTGCATCATTGGTGCTCAAGTTGTGGTCCTTTTAACGAAACCTCGTCCCTGTGGTCAGCACCACCAAACATGATGAGATTTTTCTATTGCGGCTGTCCGTATGTCAGCACGGCACGCGCGGAACGAGCCTATTGGTACCCTGAACAAAAATGGATCATGAAAGTCAAGTTCTGGCCACGAGGCGCAATGTCTCCCATGCATGTCCAGTGGTCTGGTGTATTCCAAGGATTGCGTGGCAGTATGGCTCGTCGAGCAGTCCGATCCTACGAGGAGCCGCGGCTGGAGTATGTCTTGGTATACTCTATTTATCCCCCGACATTTCCTCATCAAGGCTACCATCCGTGGGTCAGGCAGGAATCACATTCAAGATGGTGTTGTCAAATTTTAACCTCTCTGAGCTTGAAACTCTTGCTGCAACATGTCTGGTACAGGCAGGCTTGTTCAATCGCAAGCTCCAAAGTTCCAAACTCGTAAATGGGCACACAGAGTCGCTGCATCCAGGCGATGGAGAGCTGAGAGATCTACGCTTATCTCTGTTTGAATCGGTGCAGAATCTTCTCTTGAAGGTGACTCCGCCCGAATTCATCCTGACTCAAGGTCTTTCTGCGAGCGTGGGTTCCCATTTCGTTGATTTTGGAAGGTGACGGCTGAAATGTTTCAGATCATGGATCTTACAGCACTACGATACATCAACCGATTTTCCGTGGCCAAGGGGGTTCCGACCAACGACAAAATCTCCTACGGAGCGTTGGCCAACAAGGTCGGCGTCGATGAATCTCAACTGAAGCGAGTCCTGCGATACGCCATGACGAAGAGCATCTTCATCGAGGTCGACGGTGAAGTGGCCCATACTGAGACATCACGACTTCTCCTCCAGGATGGCATTGCGACTTTGAGTAAATACTCCAGTGACAGAGGATGGCCGATTGCGAGCTGTTTCAATGATGCTATTGACAAATGGGGCCACGGCTCGCCAGAGCCGAACGAGACGGCTTTCAACGTTTTCAAGGACACCAACTTGTCCATGTTTGAGTACCATGAGCAGCACCCCGATTTTGGCGCGGATTTCCACGCTGTCATGAATCAATTCACAAAGTCGCCGCCATTGTCTCATGAACACATCAAGTCGGCATTTGAATGGAGCAGCTTGTCTCACGCAACAATCGTCGACGTGGGCGGCAGCCTCGGCCATGGCAGTGTTGCTATTCTGGAGACGAATCCCACGCTCACATGTGTCGTCCAGGATCTCCCAAAGACAATCGCACAGGCGACAGATCCTTCGACATCGATCGTTCCCGCCCATATGAAGAGCCGGATCAGCTTCCAAGAGCACAGTTTCTGGGATCCTCAACCTGTGGCCGCCGACATTTACTTTCTCCGAATGATATTTCACGACTGGGCAGACAAATACGCCAAGAAGATCCTGCAGGCTCTTCTGGTGGCCATGAAACCGGGTTCAAGGCTCCTGATCATGGACTATGTCACACTTCGGTACGGTACGCTCAAGATCGGGGACGAGCGACGGATGCGTATCCGGGATATGCAAATGATGGTGATGCACAATGCGCTGGAAAGAGACGAGGGCGAATGGAGACGTCTCTTTGCCGAGACAGATTCCAGGCTGAGCTTGATCAAAATACGCAAGCCAGCCGGAAGCGCCCTATCATTGCTTGAAGTAGTTTTGGATGACCGGAGGGATTCTGTGCTTCAGCCTTGAGTCTGTCATGGCACCGAAGAGGGAGGACAAAACAGGCCTTGGAGATCTGCTCCATGGATTTGACGCAGTTCCTTGTTCGAAATGCCATGATGGCTCATGTTGGAGGATGTCTCCATGCTTAAACTGGCGTATGATTGTACTCGCTCACGTCCTCTATCTAGCTTTGACGCACCTGGCTAAATAAGCGAGCAAAACCGGCAATGTCCTCGACACTTTCAAGGCTCCAGCAGGCCTCAATCGCCTTTTGAGCCGTTTGTTTTCCGAGAATAGGTACTGCTTGGTCCAAGAACTTCTCCTCGAGACTCTGCTTCGTCATGGGCTTCGCCAAGGAGCCCGTAGCATGCTTGACATGGATCCTTTTCTCCTGATGCTCACCAGGGCGATACCTGAACACCAAGCACGCTTCATCGTCACGAATTGCTGCATCTGTTGCCACTTTGATCTTATCTCTCACAGACGCAATCGAAACATCGTCACAAGCCTGATCCGCGAACTCCGTGGGTCCAGCACGCCCGTGGACGAGTGCAACGGCACATCCGTGATATAACGAAAATATAGTTTCCAGGCCGGATTTGGGATGCTTGATCGAGCAAAGTCGCACGCATTGGGGGTTCACAGTCACATCAACCGCGTCCAACTTCTCGGCAATAGTCTTGTCATCTGCAAATGCCTCCAAGCAACCATCGATGAGAGGGTGAATGACAATTCCGCAGGGATATGGCTTGAACGTGTTCTCGACGATCTGCCACTTCCCGTCCTGGGTGAGCGTCGATATCAGCTGCTCATTGACAGTCGTTGAGACCAATTTTGCCCATGCCTCAATAGGTCTTTTGCAGCTTTGAAATCCATGGGATGCGAGTTCCGCTGCAAGAATCCCATTTTGCGCAGCTCTCCCCATGTGCAATGTCTTCGTATCTGTCCCAAACATCGCCCTGATCCCTCCTGCCATACTGCAGGCATGCCCCAGCGCCGCCGCGAATTCTTGTGGGTCAAGCTTTAGTCCCTTTGCCACCACTGCCGCTGCACCAAACGAGCCAGTAGTCCCGGTGATGTGCCTGGAAGCATTAGCGTTCGTCGTTCAGACGTTCAGACGTTCAGACGTTCAGACGTTCAGACGTTCACTTAGCTTACCATCCATCCCGGTAATGCCCAGGTGATACCGCATTCCCTACAGCGCATTGCGCTTCAACTCCACACACAAAGGCAAGCAAGAACTCTTTGCCTGACAGATGATGGTGCTCCGCCCATGAGAAAAGCGCCGCAAGAGGTGTTCCAGAAGGATGAATCACCGTCCGAAGGTGCGTGTCGTCATAATCCGCTGCTGTAAGAGCAATACCGTTGAGCAAGGCAGCATCTTCCACGCTTGCCCGCTCGACTCTGCCGAGCAGACTGGCTTGATCTGCCTGCTTAATCAAGGGAAAGACTTTCTGCGTTGATGAGGCTCTCGAGGAGCCCAAACCGCAACCCAGGCTATTGAGAATCCCGCATTTTGCCTGCTCAACAACCCTGTCCGGGAGATCCTCATACGCCAAATGTGAAAGGAAGTGTGCAAGCTTGGCAGTATGGTCGACCGTGGCCATTTTCAAACGAGATTGAGGTAGACTTTGACTTCAAAAACGGGTGTCGTCCTGGAAGTTGGAGTCATGGAGTCGACATATCATGGAATCATCTCCAAACGGTCAGTAGATTTGGAGAATGTCATAGTCATAGCCATCGGTCATTCTTCCCCCAAAAGTTGATATGCATCACCTCTGAACTGCCAATTCCATCGTATGCCTGATACCCTCGTAAAAGCATTGACACGAAACTATGCCTTCTGATGACCCTCGGCTTGGAGTCCGTCAGTTTGCGCGGGGTCGATAGCGGCACGTACACCGCGCTTGCCTGAAGCTCAGATCGTGTCCCTATGGGAGCACAAAATCGCGTGGTTCGTATCACGGCCATTCCTCGTGATTCTTGCGGGCTCAAGTGATATTCGCACCTTGGATGCGTCAAAGGTCATTGATTTCCTTGATGCCACAGTTGCTGCGGAACTCCGCACTCTTGGCAGCCGTCGAGCTAAATCTAGTCCATCAGGGCTTTGACAACACTTTCAGTGCCACCTCCAATATTGGCTGGCGGAAATGACGAATGAGATGTGCTTCCCGACCAGAAAGAATGGCTGTATCGAGTCCAGCATACTTGACAGGCCCTCCACTTCGGTTGAGCAGCGTCTCTTCCTTGGTCACCGCCCACTTGAAGTTGCCATACCGTGTCCACTTGCTTCGGCGCAGCAGTACCTCCTGCACTCTCCGAGATACCAGTGTCGGTATGTGTTTCACCGAGCTGCCGTATGCGGCTGAAGCTAGGACATTTGTTACAAGGGCCGTGCTCACTCTCGAACTACTAGAGGACAGTCGTGCACAGCAAAGGAAGATCTCGTTGCGATTAATGCCACTAGGAGGCTCTGTGACTTACGGGCAAGGCTCTACAGATGGAAACGGCTATCGAAATTACCTGCGCCAGCTGCTCGTCTTGAATGGATGCGAAGTCGATATGGTTGGATCCCGCAAGGCAGGGTCTATGGAAGATAACGACAACGAGGGATGGCGAGGTTATCGCATCGATCAAATCTTGGCCAAAGCCGAGAAATCCGCATCCGCGCATATGCCGAATATCTTTACTGTCAACGCTGGTTCGAATGACTGCATTCAAGATTTCGAAATCCATGGAGCCGGCGGACGAATCCACCACATGCTCGAGTCTTTGTGGAAGAGATGTCCTGCCGCGACAATCATCCTCTCCACGTTACTCATGACTGCACAAGACAGTGCGGAGCAGCGAGTGCTTCGCGTAAACTCACAATTGGTGAGCTTGGTAGAAAAGGAGTTGAGCGGACAAAGAAAAATAGTCCTTGTCGATATGCACGGTGCTGATGGCCCACAGCTTTGTGATCTGGTGGATGGAGTACATCCAAACGATGATGGCTATAAAAAGATGGCTCAGATTTGGTATCAAGGTATCCAGGAGGCCATCCACAAGGGGTTCTTGTAAGATATATTCTTTCTCCCGTTGGGAACCCATTTGTGTAAATAGCTAGTCATAGGATTGCTCGCGCAAGGTAATTGCAGCGTGTGCGCTCGTAGGAGTACTTACGGGCTGAGTCCTCGCCGCTCTGAGGGAAAAGCGGCTGTCTGTCCAATACAGAAAACACAGAAAATGGCGGATGCTCTTTGCTTCAGTATTGACGTAGCATAACGACAGACATCTCCTGCAGGCCTGTCGAACAGGAATCTGGGGATAGTCACCCTAGAGGGGGGAAAGCTCGATTGGATGTCGCTCTTTGGCAGACCGAGTGTTTCCCGCGAGGGATTTCCGACAACATGTTCAACGTTCGGATGCGAGGCCTAACCAGAGAGCCAAACCTATGTGCATTCGGCCGTCCTTTGTCGTCTGATCTCTGGCGACCATGATACACAACATCACGCCATTCTTTATGCTTTAGCATTTGTGTAGCGCAGCTTCACGGACAGCTGGCATGACAACAGGGAAAGTAAGGTATATGGTGGTCGAAAGGTTAAATTCCCTCGCTGGGTTGGGTAGTTACACCTTGCCGTCTTAGCACCCTTGGCAGCCGTCGAGCTGAATCTCGTCCACCAATGGACCGGAAGAGCCGAGCGAAAGACAAAGCTCTTCTGCCATGGCTCAATAGATAAGAGGTATCGCTCGCGTTGAAGGGCACATCTGTCTTTCCGTGATTGAGTCTTTTCTTCAACAGATAGTCGCGTACCACATATCACTGGCTGCTGTGTTCCAACCAGGTGATCCAATCAGAGGTTCTTTGAACAGGAAATTTTTGGTGGAGCGGTATCACTCGAACATTTCGTGAGGTGGTGTACTGTCTATCTTCTCGCCAAGACTGGAGAGTAGCCGAACGAGCCGATTCGTAGCAGTGGATCATAGATAAGGTGCGTTCAGATATCATCAAGGTGGAACCGGTTCGGATTGACAGTAGGAGTAAGCTTCGTTAACGTCATGAATGGAGAGGCGTGATGGCGGTCCAAAGGCAGATTTCAGGTAGGTTGTGTCTACTAGGTCAGTTGCTATACCAAGACAAAAGCCCGGACATGATGGACAGGCTCAAAAAATAGTTCCAGCCACGGACGGATATAGCGAGGTCTCGATGGCAGCTGGTGAAGTACTCCTGTCCACCACATTCGAGTCTTCGATCCGCTCTCGAGCCTTTTCTCTAATGTCGAGTAGGAGTCTCGATGACATCAATCACAAAGGCGTATGCTGATCCGGCCCGTGCTGCTTACTTGTGAGGTTCGCAAGTTAGTCGATCTTGGGCCAGGTAACCCCTCGCGCAAACGAGATCCATTGTGCTATTCCCATTCAGACTATCGGAGTTGAGTAGGTGCAGGTCGAGATATCCATCAGATTGAGAATCTCTGACGCGTTACCCTGTCGAGGTGAAGTGTTTTCCATCCAGCCACTCCTGATCAGTTTTGTTCGAAAATTGCCCGCGAGGCTCACATGACTGGCTTGTGTCCTGCACCATGCCCTCCAAGAGCCTCTCTAATTCATTTGCGCCATGGCCCGAAATGCTTATGGACCTGCTGGACGGCCGTGGGTTGGAGCTGACGCTGTTTAGTTGTTCATCAGGACCTATTATAACCTTGAAGCTTTGACCCAGATTCGCTTGGGCCACCCTGTGTGACCCAACCACGATGTGTAAGGAGACGAAACTCACGAAGAAACTGCATACCGCGTGAACACCCCTGACCAGTCAACGGGTGTGGCCCTTGACAGCGGATCTGTTCGAAGTGCATCCTGCGTTGCCTCCTTACACGAAGACCGTTCTATCCGGACTGAGGGTTGCGCAATGAACCAGATCAACTTTGACTAGGTACTATCGCCTGCCTGAGGTTGCGTGCCTAGTCGAAACGGTATTATTGGAGCCACTGGCCATGTCGTCGCGCTCTCCTGGTCATCTCTGCGGTGAATCTGGAGCTTAGGCAGCTAAGCTTCTGGAGTTCAGTGAGCTTCTTGGAAGCGACGATGGTGACGCTGGTGCCGAGCATGAGGAATCACTCGCCAGCTGGGGCTGGCTTCGCATCATGTTGACTTCTTCGTTCACTCTGTTCAGAAGCTCCTCGATCTTACTCTCATACTTGGGCATCCTGCCCTCCTGTTTCTGTGTGACGCCCTGAACCTCTGTGGCATATCTCTGCAACTTTGCAGAACTGGAGTAGTGATTCTGATCAAGTCTTGAAGCCATGCCACTCTAGCCAAGGGATTGCTTGGGGAGTTGACCCATCAATTTGCTCCGAAAGAATGTTTAACCCATATTTCAGTCTGCTGTATCGGCTGCAAAAGAGCTTGAGTTTGGCCACCTGTGGCTTCTTCCAGCCTCTCTCCCCCCTGATTGTGTCTTCGCCGATTTTGGTGGGCGATCGCGCCCGTACCTCGTGTTCAAAGAATGTCCGTCTCTTTTCCATATCCTTCTCCAACTTCGTCATACCGGTTCATCGAGGTTCAGGATACGTTCGGGTGGGTTCCAGGTAGCTTGCCCGTGACGAGAGATCCGAGCTCTGGTGAGAGTTTCCTGCAGCGTAAGCTTCCTTGGAGGGGAGGATCATCATCATCAACAAATCGTTTCCAATGTTGGGCCGTTGAGGAACGGTCGTCAGCCTCACCCACCAAGCCATCATGGCTCCGACGAATGCGCTTGTCTTGCCTTCGCTCGGTAAACTGCACCTCGAACAGGTCGCCAGGTCGCCAGGTCGCAGTTCGGCCTTGAGGCCTCAGTCGTATCTCATTTTAGTCACGCATCGCCGTAAGAACGCATGGAAGCTCCCACAGAAGCTTGGCAGACTCCGCTACTGCAACATCCTTATCTCTGGCACTCCACTGGGGCCACCCGGGGCGACCCAGGCATTTCAGAATCACTGGCCAAGCTCTGGCAAGCAATCCCGGAGACAGCTCGGCGTGCCCAATCACAGCGAACAGATCAGCCGAGGAGGCAACAAAGGCTACGGGCCTTGCCCGCGTGGCGGAACGCTTGCAGTTGAAGCAAATCATGATGGATATCATGTCCTGGCATAACTGGTGGTCAGTCTACCTCCGAGCAGTGCTCGCCATTTCCGTGCCGGTGCTAGCGACCTACCTACCTAAGGTAGTTACCATTACGAGAACAACGTGTCTGGGCCTGCAACGAAGGAGGGCTTCATTACGGTCTCGTGATGTATTTAGAAGATCTGGCGAACCCCGATCACGAGAGGAGCGCCACCATCGGTGGGCACAAGCGATTTGCTTCTGTTCGTCTCCCCACCCAGAATTGGCCTCCATCTCCGCACAACTGACGCAGGCGTCGCTAAGTCAAGACGCCCCGGGCACGATGTCACCTTTTTGTGGCGATCGCCAATGAGCTTGCTGATCGAATCCGGGATCTGTGCCGCCCGAACCACTCTCAATGTGACGACAAAGGCCTCCTGTCTATGATTTGCTGTACCTGCTTGTTGCTAATACCCTCATGGCTCACGGATGCTGGTGGTGCTTGCCGATACTTGGGAAGCTTGGTGGTGCTTTAAAACCGGGGTGATCGCGATCCATCCTCTGACATTGTTTCTGTTTCTTCCACTCCTCCCTCTTGCCTGTCGCCAAGATGAGTTTCGAAAACAAAACCGACGCGGTCAATGAGAAGTATCTCCACGATGGCCACGGCCATGAGCCCGGCTCGCTCTCCGCACATGTGCGTGGCCGGCAGTTCAGCGTTGACCCGGAGGATCGTGCTTTGGTGGAAGGAGACCAATACGCGCTCCACCGTGAGCTCAAGGGTAGACACATGCAAATGATTGCCATGTGAGTACAACACCAAGCCCCCGAGCCCCAAGATGCGTACTTGTACTAATCAACGCTTCTAGTGGCGGTGCCATTGGTGCTGGTCTATTCATTGGCTCTGGTAGTGCTTTTCAGACTGGTGGACCTGCCTCTGTGCTTCTTGGTTTCATGATCATCGGTCAGTTGTGGCCTTGCAAGAAGTACAGTATGACAGCTAACACTTTTTTTAGGGCTCATGGTGTATGTTTCTTGAGATATCGGAAGGATTTTACCTCATCTCACACTGTCGTTTAGGTATCTCATGATGCAGGCTCTGGCTGAAATGTCCGTCATGTATCCGATCAATGGGGCTTTCACCATGTACATCTGCCGCTTTGTTGATCCCTCCTTTGGATTTGCCTGCGCCTGGGAGTACGCCATCAGTTGGTTGACTGTGCTGCCCTTCGAAATTTCAGCCGCGTGCAACATTATCCATTACTGGCCTGGATCGAACGGTATCAGCAACGCTGCCTGGATCGTCCCACTCCTCTTCGCTCTGGTGGTTATTCAAATTTTTGGTGTGAGAGGATATGGCGAGGTATGTCCGTTGCAAGTCTCCTGGACAATGAGCTAATTGAATAGGTCGAATTTGCTCTCAGCATTATGAAGATCATCGCCTGTATAGGTTTCATGATTCTCGGGATAATCATCGACTGCGGTGGCGTTCCCACAGACCACAGAGGCTATATTGGTGCAAGATACTGGTAAATTCACACGAGGAGTTACTACCGGCAAGACTGATGGCTCGGAACAGGCATTCACCTTACTCCGCATTCCTCAATGGCTTCCACGGCTTCTGCAGTGTCTTCGTCACCGCGGCGTTCGCCTATACTGGCACTGAGCTGACCGGATTGGCTGCTGCGGAAACGGCCGACCCGAAAAGGGAGATCCCCCGTGCCTCGAAACAGGTCGTATGGCGTATTGCCATTTTCTACATTGTCAACCTGTTCCTCGTCGGGTTGATCGTACCAGCGAACAGCCCTCTGTATAATGGCCAAGGTTCGGAATCGCGACACTCGCCCTTTGTCATTGCAATTCAGCTTGCTGGCATCAAGGCCCTCCCATCGATCTTCAATGCTGTAATCTTGATCTCCGTTATGAGCGTTGCCAACTCCTGTACTTTCGGCTCCACTCGAACAATTCAGGCACTTGCTGCCAATGGTGCGTGGGATATTCCGTAGTATTCTACAACGCTGACTTCATCCACAGGCATGGGCCCCAAGATATTGGCGTACGTTGACAAGAAGGGCCGTCCTCTGTCTGTCGTCATTCTTCAGCTTCTCTTCGGCTGCCTGGCATTTATCAACTTGGCATCCGATGGCGGAACGATCTTCAATTGGCTCCTGTCACTGTCAGGTCTCTCTATCCTCTTCATCTACGGCGGTATCGCTTTGGCTCATATTCGCTTCCGCAAGGCATGGTAAGCAGCAGTATACGTTGTTCGCTCTGCTACCCAGCAGCTAACCTTTCGCAGGGCTCATAACGGTCATTCCTTGGACGAGCTCCCCTTCAGGGCCGCTTTCGGCGTCTGGGGATCGTGGGTCTGCCTGCTCATCAATGTTGTCAGCCTTATGGCTCAGTTCTACGTTGCACTCTATCCAGTTGGGGGCCCTTACCTGGACGCCAACACCTTTTTCCAACTCTACCTTGCTGGTCCTCTACTCATCTTCCTGTACTTGTGTTGGAAGATCTACAGCTGGTTCGTCAGGCCCGCAGATCGTCCGTTATTCATCAGGACGAGAGATATCGATATCTACACCGGCATGAGAGAAAGCCAGAGGGCCATCAGCGGCGCAGGTGTCCCGGAGGAGCAGAGGCGCGCTAGCATATCGGAGTTGCAGGCGGAAAACAAGAAGAGAGGTCCCAAAGATTACATTATCGCTGCTATTAGAAACCTCATCTAAGATGTCGAGAGCCAAGACGGATCACCATGTACGAGACGGCGATCTGTAGTTACAATACATGGATCTCAGCGATCGGGGTTGAAGTTGTGTTGATTTCAGTTGTGATGGCGTGGTCAGTAGTGCGGCGGATCAAAAATTGGACAATTCAGACGCGCTCTGGATAAAATCTGTCGAAACCTGTGGTTTCCCATCTCGTGGTGACTTCGGCTTCGGACCTTGGGGTTTAGACTTTTCGAATCACTCATTGATCTTGTCTAGCATTACTTTTGTCAACGTCGGGGTGCCATCTTCATGATACTCCTCGCTGTAGCTCGACAGAATATCCCAGGCCTCCTCTTTTATCTTTAACATTTCTTTCAGCTTAGTGTCGTTTTGACACCTAAGTCAGGCTTTCTTTCGCACTTCAAACTTCATACTCAACCCCAGAATCATGAGACTTTCCCCTGAGTCGACAAATTTCAAAATGGCGTCCATAAACTTGTTATTGAACCATTAGAGCGAAGCGTCATAATACTTCGGATTGGGCAGTTAGAGATGATGGGGAATACCACGGTAGCCGTCGTTCAGGTGCGGTTCCTTCTTGGTATTCTCATTGAATTATGGTACCTTCTCTTCACTGATGGTTGCGGGCTATTTGGGTTTCCCATCTGGCCTGAACCCATACCATGGCTTGTGCTTCTTTGGATCGTGTACTGGTGGCTTGGCATTTGTCGCCCTCGCCTCGAGCTCTTCAATTCCGTACAGCTGCCCCTTCCTGACGTGCACAAGACCGACAAGACCAGATCTCAAAGCAGGTGGAAGTGGCAATGCGTAGCCTTCAGGGCCAAATCTGCTGGGGAAATAATGTGTTCTGGGATAGGGCTGAAGATGGAAGGTGGGTGGATATGGACGGGAATACTGTTCGTATCCAGCTGGAAGTGGAGGGTTCCAGGGATGGTCATTCCACTCTCCCCATCCACAATCTTCCATCAGATGTCCCGGGTTTTCGCAATTGCCACATTTTTCTTTGATGGAAGCATCGCCCTTTGGCCTGAAGACCTGAATCATATTTTGTGCGACCTCATGAATCTTCGCTGGATGAGGTCCCTTCCAGCGTGAGCAGATGGCGGTACCGAAAGGTTTGAAACGAGCTTTGCCCCGGTCAACCTTTAATAGCAGATCAGACTCTGGGAGCGGTGTTCTTGGGCGGTTTGGATGAGCCCCTTGGGAACTCGCATGACTTGATTGTGGGTGAATTCCCATCTGCGGTGCTGTGCTCGGTGGAAGAGGCGGGTCTCCAGCCTTTCCCCATCCGCCAACGTTGTGTGAAGGGTTAGGCGGTGGTGGAAGCACTGGACCTGGGGCTTGAGGCTGACCAGGCGCACCTTGCTCTTGACCAAGCGCAGGGACAGAAGATGAGGTCGCTGGCGGAACCGTGGGGCCTGGTTGACTGGGTGTGGTGGCGGGCAGACCGGGTTGCACTCTTTGGAGACTGGAAACTGCTACCGACAGCTGGCTCACAGCTCTAGCGACCATGCCTTCTACATATGTTTCGAGGTGACGAAATTCTTGTTGCACGGAGGCTCCGTTGTCCCTCGGGTGGCGAGATCTACCGCCGCGGCCACGCCCTGAGCTCGAGCCCCGACCTCGGTTTCCGTTTCCACGAAGCGAAGTGCCCCGAGAGGATTGGAAATAAGAAGAAGCGGGGCCATGGGAGCCGCCTGGAGGTGCATAGCTTTGGGAATTTTGCATGTCATAGCTGTCCGAGTTTTGATAGAGGCCATGATTGTATGGTCCTCGATCGTATTCTTCTTGGTCATACTCTTCCTGATATTCTCCATAATAATCCTGTCCGTATTCTTCTTGGTCATACTCTTCTTGATATTCTCCGTAATGACCCTGTCCGTATTTTTCCTGGTTATACTCTTCTTGATATTCTCCATAATGACTCTGTCTGTATTCCTGAGGTCCAAAATGCTGTCTAAAGTCATGTGCGGGTTGTTGTGGTGGATAATACGCCTGGTGCTGCTGGGAAGCCTGTCGCGACGTCCCCACGGACGGTGGCGGATAAGGTCGCAACGGCCGGGGAGCTCCAAACGGACTAGCACAAGGCGGTGGAGGTTGCCGTGGTGCAGGGTGTGAGCGCTGCTGTTCGTGGAACGAGAGCTGGTGTTGCTGGGTGTACTCGTCGTACTGACCCTGGGTGTGCATTCCCCTCGTCGGTGGAATGCAGAATGGGCAGTCAATGCTGCCCGGAGGAGCTCGCCGCCGGCATGATGCACACTGGAGAACCATCGTGAGGCGTAGCAAACTTGAAGATGTTGATCTAGAAATCAATCTGGAGAAGAGGAAAGGAGAAGAGGAAGTCGAGTGTAAACAACATGAATTTGGGAACTTTGTGTGGGACACACACCTTGGCGCTATGAATTCACTAGCGACGAGGAAACTTCTGGTCAGTGGATTTCTCAGGTTTGGGCTGTGATCGATGCATGGCGAAATCGGCTCTTCACCTATAAGTGTCACCATAACGCCTATTGATTGTGGTCGGAGTGCTCCATGATCAATCGCTCTTATCCCAGACTTGTTCGCAGCCTTGCGGCGCGAAGCTGACATCCTGCATGCTCCATGCCCATCCTCTGCGGACTTGGGAACCATGATTCCGGACGATCGGCCGAGTATACCTACGGCCACCGTTTGTGCGGTGAATCGAAGAGATGTGTAAACAAGCTTTTCCGCTCCGCTGCAGCCGACCGCCGTGCCCGCATCTACATTGTGAACCTTTATCCCACTCTTTGTCCTTGGTGGTAAAAGGGCATCTGCAGACACGACAGCCACAGTTGGGGAGGATCAGCCCATTGATGCCAGAGTCCTTCATATCCCAGTCAGGAAAGATTCGAGAACCACGGGACCTTTTTCCGGCTTCGCAGCGGTGTAGCCTACACTGCTATTTCAACTAGGAAATTGGGCCTCTCTTAGAAATTTGTTACAGCCAGATTCTCGCCGGATCTGATTTGCTGCGCCAAACTAGTTCTCAGTGTGTGGCCTTGGGTGGAATCCCCAGCCAGCCTGTGAAATCCTGCTGTTGCCTTGAGGCCCACGACTGTTAGATACCCGCCGCAGTTCCATCGACTTTGCAACCAATTGAGGCTGACGCATATTACTTCAAACGTTTTGCAGAGCCAGAAGATGCCGTCGTGATTCTGATCTGGATGATCTCAAGCTTCCACGAGAGATTCCGGACCGTGGCAAGTGACGAAGAATCATGATCTAGGTCGCTGGGGTATACAGTGAGTGTTGCTACGTGGCTCAAACACCCATTCAGCGAATGGTCGAAATCAAAAGCATGTCAACACTGAATGATGTCGTCCAATGCTATACCTAGTCTCCATGGCAACCCTGAAACTCTTTCAAAACTTCAGCCACAGCACAATTGCGTGATGATCCGAGGACCATGTGCAGACCCACCTGATATGCGCGTCTTCTGCACCCGAAATCTTTTTCCTTGCGGTGAAACTCCTCAAGTTCACATATTTCGGCGATAATTACACTGACAACACGATCGGCTCAGAGATCATCCGAAGAGAGCACGCGTTCTGACAAAGACAGTGGCCAGGCCCGGCTTTAGACTCGCATGAATGGGTGCAGTGACCCGCGGGAAGTCCCTAAAACAAAGCTGAAAGTGCCGCTCTTCATGGGATGTCGATGCGAGATCTATCGAATCCCGAGTTTCCTCGTCCTGGCCAATGTTGGGTACATATGAGGGCTGGAATGATCTGTGGATACCGAGAGAGATAGTGCTTAATTGATACCCGGTAATTACCGAGTATGCTGTGATGCATTTGGCATGGAAGGGAAAAGAGACCGTATCCACAACACTCCACGCACGGATTACCGCAAAGAGCAAGCTTCTCGGCAAATTCGGTACGCCCATACACAAGACACTGCCTCAGCTTCCAGCCGAAAGCATAGCAGACGAAACAAGCGAAGGCCCAAAGTGGTACAGGAAAGTCTGGTAGCCATTGCTTCAGCCCCCCATTCGCCAGCGCAGGTTCAGAAAGACAGATTAAGACGCATTGAAATTTTCCTCGACATGTGGCTCTCATTCATACCCCGGAAAATACGAGGTGGCTTTTGTGGTGACCTAAACCTTGCTTCAGCTTGCTCCACCTCCACTTCGAAAAGATTGCCATTCTGGGTTCAAGCGCCAGGCAGGGCTGAATGAAGCTTTGCACATGGTTTGCTTCGGCCCCGACCTCCAGGATGCTCCGCTTCGGGCTGCCACTTTCCTGGCCTTCGCGAGTCTTGCTTCATATGGATTGCATTGCATTGCATCGCATCGCCGGCATCTTTTCCTTCATCATCACGAGTTGAGAATTGGAGCATCGTCATCAGCAAACCATAATTAGGCACTTCTGTACTCGAACTCAGTCCAAAGAGGCACTGATGGGGCTGCCACCGAGTATATACAGCCGCTCGTCACTCCAGATGGTCCTCTCCATACACCATTCAAACACTGCTCAATTGACGACCGAGCAAATCCATCCACCATGACTGAGACCGTTCCGGGACCTCGTGCCCTACCAATCATCGGCAATCTTCTCGATATCTGGGAAGATCGAGCCATCCCCATCCGCGGCCTTGAGCGTTTTGCAGGAATCTACGGCCCAATCTACCAGATAACCGTCAACGGGAAACGGCGTATCGTGTGTAGCTCTGCAAGACTTCTTGAAGAGATGGTTGACGAGAGACGTTTTGTCAAAATCCCACCTGCGAGCATCTCGGAGAGACCAGGCCCCAAAGGACTGTTCGCAGCGCGCAATGAAGACCCAGATTGGGGCCAGGGCCACCGAATCCTCATGCCAGCCTTTGCCCCTTTGTCTGTCCTAGAAATGTTCACGGACATGAAGGACATCGCAAATCAGCTGATTCTTTCCTGGGCGAGGAAAGGGCCAGAAAACAGGATCCTGGCTACCGAGGATTTCACCAGGTTGACACTGGACACAATCGCCCTCTGTACCATGAGTTATCGCTTCAACTCGTTCTATCAAGATACCATGCACCCATTCGTTCAAGCGATGAACCTCCTCTTCTCTGAAAACACCGCAAAGACGAGCAGACCCAGTTTCATTCAAAGTCTGCTGTTCAAGACCAACGCAGAAACCGCGCAGGCTAGAAAGGTCTTGGTAGAGACAGGAAAAAGTATCATCGAGAGTCGCAAAGCCAATCCGGTCGACAAGAAGGATGTTTTGAACACTATGATTTATGGAAAAGACCCTAAAACAGGAGAGGTCATGCGTGACGCACTGATTATCGAACAAATGATCACATTTCTTATTGCTGGTATGTTTTGTACCTCTTTCCCGAAATTACGACTGATGGTTCTAGGCCACGAGACCACCTCCGGGCTGTTGTCCTTCGCCACAATGCAACTGCTGAAGAATCCTGACACCTACCTCAAGGCACAGAAGGAAGTTGACGAAGTCATCGGGAACCGATCCATTGAGGCCAGCGACATCAGCAAATTGAAATACTTGAACGCCGTGCTGCGCGAGACCGCCCGCCTCACTCCTACAGTCCCTGTTCTCCAGAAGCAGATTAATCCGGCCATCGTGCATCAGATAGTCACTGTCGACAACGGCAAGTATAGGATTGAGGCAAACGATAACATTGTCATACTGCTGGGCAAGGCGCAGAAGGATCCGAAAGTATGGGGAGACACCGCGGAAGATTTCGATCCTGACAGGATGTTGGACGAGAACTTTGACAGAATCACAGCAGAATATCCTGGATGCTGGAAGGTAAGGGATTGCTCTGCCGCATTGGACGGATGTTAACTCAGAATAGCCATTCGGAAACGGGAAACGAGCCTGTATCGGGAGACCCTTTGCCTGGCAAGAGTCTATGCTGGTCCTTGCAATGATACTCCAGAACTTTGATGTGAAGCTTGATGACCCCAACTACAAGCCAGCCATCAAACAAGCATTGACTATCAAGCCGGACGACCTTTACATCAGAGTCACACCTCGCAAAAATATGGATGCCACCGCAATGGACCTTTCGATACACAGTAGAAGCACAACTGACCCTCGAGTCAGCTCGTCCTCATCCAAAAAGGATGCAGAGGTGTCTCGATCCACAAAGCCGATGACCATTCTATACGGCTCTAACACAGGCACTTGCCAAGCTTTCGCCCAGCGGCTGGCAGCAGATGCAGGATCGCACGGGTTTCACGCCAATGTTCAAGACCTGGACAGCGCCACGAACGCGTTGCCGAAAGGCCATCCGGTGATTCTCATCACTTCGTCCTACGAAGGCCAGCCACCCGACAACGCTGCCAGATTCATAGAGTGGCTCTCGAACTGTGAGCCGGGATCTTTGGATGGCGTGCAGTACACAGTCTTCGGTTGCGGCCATCGTGAGTGTTGTTCTCCTACTACTCAATTCCAACTGACCCTTGGCAGGTGATTGGAGCCAGACTTTCCACCGCATTCCCAAGCTTGCTGACCAACTCCTGGAGAAATACGGTGCTAAACGGGTCGCTCCTTCGGGCTTTACCGATGCGTCGAAAGGTAACATGTACGGCGAGTTCGAAGAATGGCTGGAGAATTCTCTCTGGACAGAAGTCTTCGGCGGTCAGAGCGGTGCGGCTCCAGCTGAGGCGACACACGTTGACATATCTACAAGTGCACGGGCCTCAAGTCTCCGATACGATGTCTTCCTGGCAACAGTCAAAGAAAATCGAGTACTCACCATGGAAGGCGAACCGGTCAAGTGCCACATGGAGATCGAACTCCCTCAACACGCTACCTACGAGTGTGGTGACTATGTGGCCGTCTTGCCGCTCAACTCTGAGAAACACGTAAAAGAAATCATGGCATATTTCGGCTTGCCAGGAGATGCTGTCGTTACCATCAGGTCGAGCGGACCATCAACCATTCCGGTGAATACGCCACTGTCGGTGTTTGATGTTTTGCGAAGCTACGTTGAATTATCTCAGCCTGCGACAAAGAAGGGCCTCAAGACACTTGCAAAATACGCCGACCATGCCGACGACAAAACCTACTTGGAGAATCTGATTGTGGACAATGCTCGCTTCGAATGTGAAATCACACAAAAGAGAACAAGCCTAATCAACCTGCTCACCGAGCGTCCATCTGTCAAATTGCCTTTTGGTGAGTTCCTCAGCCTTTTACCGCCGTTACACGTCCGCCAGTACTCGATCTCCTCATCACCTCTCGCGAACCCCAACGTCTGTTCCATCACCTACGGAGTGATTGACACCGAGGCTTTGTCGGACACCAATCAACGCTTTGAAGGTGTTACCGGAACCTATCTGCGAGGGTTGCAAGCAGGGGACACGATTCAAATGAACATTCGGCCAACAGCGAAGAAAACATTCCGCCTTCCTGTCGACCCAGAACAAACTCCGTTGCTCATGTTTGCCGCCGGGACAGGAGTTGCTCCCTTCCGAGGGTTTCTCCAAGCACGAGCCATTCAGATGGAATCGAATCCCGGCCGGAAATTGGCGCCGGCCCTCTTGTTCCTGGGCTGCCGAAGTCAAACAAAGGACAGGCTTTACGCCAAGGAACTGGACGATTGGGCTGAGAAAGGAGTCGTGGAGATCAAATACGCATTCAGCAGGGAGAAGGAAGCTTCTCTAGGCTGTACGTACGTGCCAGACAGGATGCTTCACGATGCAGAGGAGATTGTCACCCTCTGGAGAAGAGGCGCTCGAGCGTACGTTTGCGGGACCCGAATCTTCTCCGAAGGTGTGCGCGACGCCGCGAAAAGGATAGCCGTCATGGTCAGAGATGCTGAGCACGGTCGAACAGATGCTGAACTGAAGGAGCTGGAGCAACATTTTCGCGAGGCTATGCAGACCAGAGTGGCCAGCGATGTTTTTGATTGAGGATTTTCGGAGCATTTGCCTCCGTGGAAGGTTTAGAGATTGACTTCGCGGCTTCGCCGTTGTGTCAAGTATTCAGGCGCTGAGTTTGGCTTTAAAGGCGTTTGATTAGCTGTGACCTGGATCTATTTAGTCGTGGCGCTGGTCGATAAATTCAAGAATTGCCCCTCACAGTTACGGCGATTGAGATGAAGCTCATCTCTTTTAGGCCGTCGTGCTTCTGGATTTGATGCTATGTTCGACAATGCGATGGCAACCAGTGACAAGTATCAAGTACGATCTCCTTCCAATGGGTAGGTATGCAGTGGTGGCTGCAAAAGGCACAACATTGGCGTTGCAAAAGGCACAACATTGGCGTCTCCTCGCGCGTCTGCCGCAGTCCTCGCAATACCAGGCGCTGCAACAATAAACATTTTGGTGTTTGTGACTATTTCTGCCTCACGGGTTTTATACAGCTTCAGAATCATGAACTACTCTAATGTCGCACTGGATTCCTACCGCCCGCTTGTTACTGGGACGCCCTACAGACCGAACAGCAGGACATACAACTCCTATTGAAACGCCGAGGACCTCAGAGCTTCGAAAAATAAAAGCCATACCTCACCGGTCAAAGCACTCCGTTGGCATCACTTCCGCCCTCTGAAGGATCCGAACGCTTGGAAGACCCCGCGCATCAAATCCATCGGATTCAGTGCGTCGACAAGTGCCTGCACTGGGCGGTAAGTCTTCGGCTTCCCTTCCACGCAGGATCTGTACTCCCTCGCATTGAAAGTAAAGTAGAATCCAACCATGAAGATAACGCCCTCGACGCAGATGAGCAAAGCTGGTAAGCCGATGGTGAGATCATCATATGTGACGTGCGAGTTGCCTGTCATTCTGGATTTGAGGATGCTGAAGACGAACTAGGGGCAAGTCAGATCCAAGTTGAGTGTAGAAATGCTTCTGGGGTTGACACTCACATGCTGTAAAGCGCTGATGAGGACAAAGAGCTTGAATACAAGCAGCTTGGAAAAAGCATTATGTCCAGCCATATATACTTTGAGCCTGCGCTGGAATTTCACTACCGCCAGAACAGCCCAGATGGTTGTGATGAGCTCCAAGATTTGAATCTGGGGTGAAATGTCAGATGATGGTACGATGGAGCGGTGTTAGCTTACACATACCCAGACGTGAGCAAACCTCAGATGAGAAGAAGTGCTGCAGTAGACGCCAGTTGCCTTGGTGATTTCCTGAATGATGATGAGAGCTGTGTAGATGACGACATAGAAGAAGACAGTCCTCCATGTCTTCTGCGCAAACGCGTGAGCCATTGATACAAGACAGAGATCGTTCATCATACCCAAAACCACTGAATGCTGCCCCCAGCGATGACCTCTCCTTTCCTGGAGACTTGTGCAAGATTCTGGAAGAAGGAATCTCTCGTCTGCAGGTCAGGTGTCACATATTGCACGTAGAGGAGGAAGAGAGATGCCAGAGCGTAGGCTTCGTAAAGGTTCGCCCAGGGTGAAAGGTAGTCGGCGGCGTCGTAGACATGGGTCGAGATGACGGCAATGACTGCAAATACCAGAGGTGTAGAGACAATCCGAAAGATTTGGCGTTGCTCGTTAGGCGCTTTGTAATGGCGCAAGTGAGGAACAACCAGGCCTAGCCATAGGAGCAGAGAAACCCCAAAAAAGGCCCAGCAGATGATAGTAATGAGATTTTGAAAGGTGAGAGACCCAATGATCGGATCACCTCTCGCGCCGGCATTGGCAGGCTTGGCAGGACAGCCTGTTGAACTTGAAAAGACAATCATGGTCAAATCAACAGACGTGGAGAATCTAGAAAACGTGTGGTGGTGGATGCTTTCTTTTAAGTTTTCGTCTCTTTTTGCTTTTGAAGGAAGCGTTATATCTGTCTGATCTGAGTGTTATATATCCTCGAGTCTGGGACACAGCATGGACCACAGCCCCAAAACAATGCTGGCTGTCGAGTGGCGCCGTGGTACACGAGGTGACGATATTGGAAGTCGACACGCCAGGAGAATAGAGGCTCGTGGCCGTGTCTGCGACTTGGACCTCGTCACGGATTTGGGAACAATACACCACAAGGGTGTGCAGGTGCGTCCATAGGTGTGTTGCTGTCGCATACCTGGAGATTCTCCTCGCATGACCTTTGAGAAGAAACTCAGCCCTGCGTGGCCATCGAGCCCCTTGGCAACCTGCGGGCGTCGTCAACATGGTTTGAACAGGCTCTGGCGAGATTGAAGCATGGATCCCCTCCTCGCGCTCTTTGGTTCGCTTTGCAGAGTTGCATCGAGCAGCTGGTTACAAACCTTTGGAACTCTTGCAGGGATTCGACGTCAAGGCACGTTCGGAGCCGAGCAGCTGAAAGAAAGAACCAGGCACCCACCAGGCAGAGGCGCAGTTCTTTTTTTGGAGGATTTCGGAAAGCGTCCCGAGGTTCTAAGCGAAGCTGCTGGGCGCTAATAGTCTCAATAGTCTCACTAGTCTCCCGTATCCGCATATGCTGCACTGATGCAGTAATCAATGCGAAAAGCAAAATTCCCCTCCACGGAAACCCGTATTGTGTACCCAGGTACTGTGGCTTGAGGCTAACGAGAGGAAGTTTGAGTGCACAGCATTCCTCCAGTGAGCGAGACAATGTCGCGGCAGCTCCTATGTTCTGTCGGTCTCGACCTCGGCGCCGCTGTCCCGCGCTCGTATTGCACTGATGTCACGGCATTGAGTGAATGTGCAGTTGACCTGCTCAGAATTTTCACTCGTATCAGAGTATACTTCAAGAAGGGGATTCCCTTCCCGCAGACAGATGGAAGCGTCCCGTCTCCATTACAGTCATGAGACGTTGACGCCCACACCATCGCTCTTCCGGATTGACTTTACCTGCTTTGATCTTGAGTCGTCTCACTGAACTTCTCATTCTTGCAGCATCCAATGGATCGTCAAGTCAGCAACGCATCGAGTACTGTAGAGGACTACCAGGAGATCTACGAAGCAGCAATTCATGACCGACTTCGAGATGGGATTAGGGTGCTTGCTGAGCGGAAGAAACCCAGCCGCCACCAACACAGACACCTACATATTGAGGATCAAGACCCTGAACTGACAAGGGTCGCAACCAGAATATCCAAGGACATTGGCATCACACCGGACACCCTCGCCGACGTTGACCCTCGGCTGGATCCCGGAAGCGAGGAATTCGATTTTCGGTTCTGGGCATCGACCATCATTCAATTAGTGAGAGAAGACGGCATCAAGCGAGCCAATGTTGGCGTTTGCTTCAAGTCCCTCACCGTGTGCGGCACAGGCTCGAGTCTGGCTCTACAACCGACAGTCGCGAGCCCGTGGCTTACCCTTATACGACTGCCCATGCGTATGACCAGACCGAAACAAGAGCCCAAAGTGATCCTCCACGCCTTCAACGGATGCGTGAAAAGTGGCGAAATGCTGCTCGTGTTGGGAAGACCTGGCAGCGGGTGTACAACCTTTTTGAAGTCGATCTCTGGCCAGTTGGGCGGATTGACAATGACACCCGAGACATTCATCCACTACGACGGAATACCACAAGATGTTTTTAAGAAGAACTTCAGAGGGAAGGCGGTCTACAATCAAGAGAATGACGAACACTTTCCGCACTTGACGGTGGGACAAACCCTGCGTTTTGCCGCATGTGCCCAGACGCCAGAAACTCGGATTCGAGGCATTGATCGAGAGATGCAGGCCAGTCACATTGTTGAAGTTATGCTACGGATCTTCAGACTCTCCGCTGTCCGAGAAACAAAGGTCGGTAGCGACACTATTCGTGGTGTCAGTGGGGGCGAAAGAAAACGTGTTAGTATTGCAGAAATGGCTCTGGCGCGCTCGCTCCTGGCTGTCTGGGACAACGCGACCCGAGGACTCGACTCAGCAACGGCGTTGGAGTTTGTACGCTCTCTACGCACTTTGGCTGATGTTGCTGGTGTCACTCAAGCTGTCGCTCTCTATCAGGCCAGCCAGAGTATCTATGATATCTTCGACAAGGTGCTGGTTCTATACGAAGGACGACAAATATTCTTCGGCCCAATTGATTCGGCGCGTTCGTACTTCGAGAGAATGGGATGGTACTGCCCTCCAAGGCAGACAACTCCAGACTTCCTAACCTCGATCACCAATCCATCGGAGCGGCATGTCCGTCCTGAGTGCACAGACAAGATCCCTCGGACTGCTGTCGAATTCGAACAATATTGGCTGGAATCGGAAGAATACCAAGCCTGCGTGGCAGAGATCGCTCAGTACGAAGAGGATGCAAAAGACAACGGCCGCCTCCAAGCACTGACAGCCGCCCATCACGGAGCACAAGCACATCACACCCGAGACTCGTCACCTTATCTCATGTCCGTGTGGATGCAGATCCGGCTGTGTATGAAGAGATCCTCTCACCTACTGTGGAACGACAGAACATCCACGGTAACGCTGGCGATGGGGCGAGTTATACTTGCCTTGATTATTGGCAGTATATATTTTGGCCCTCCTGATACTACAGCGAGCCTCCAGTCTAGGGGCTCGGTGATATTTCTCGCTACCTTGATGAATGCGCTGATGGCCGTTACTGAGATCGGGGCTCTGTTCGGCAAAAGAGGTGTTGTACAGAAGCAGAACACCTTTGCATTCTACCATCCATTCGCAGATGCCCTTGGGTCCTTTGTTGTCGACATCCCTGTCAAATTTGTCATCTCGACCCTGTTCAACGTCGTCTACTATTTCTTGGCCGGACTCCGTTCTGATGCTTCGAGCTTCTTCATTTTTCTGCTGTTCAACTTCATCTGCACTCTGGTCATGTCAACCATCTTCCGCAGCATTGGCGCCGCCTCGAAGCAGCTTCCTCAGGCTTATGCTCTCGCTGGTATTGGGGTCCTTATGATGATTATTTACACGGGTTTTACACTTCAAACTGCCTACATGCACCCCTGGTTTCGCTGGATCAACTATATCAACCCCGTTGCCTATATCTTCGAGGCATTGCTTGTCAATGAAGTCCATGGCCGAGATTTCCCCTGCGCTCCGCAAAGCCTCGTTCCTCCCTATGCAAAAGGAAATTCCAACTTTGCTTGCGCTGTTATTGGAGCCATGCCAGGCCAGAGGGTTGTGTCTGGAGATTCGTGGGTGCAGTCCGGCTACCATTACAGCTACTCCCACCTATGGCGAAATCTTGGTATCGCATTCGCTTACATGGCCTTCTTTCTTGTTTTCTATCTCGTTGCCACGGAAGTGAGGTCAACAGTGAATGCGGAACCACAACGACTCGTATTTCGTGACTACAGGACAGCCCAGAGTCTAAGTCCAACTGAAGGAGACATCGAGGCAAAGGCGGCTGGCGGCGACCAAGAAAACCCACCTCCACAACTTCCTGGCTTAGGGGATGGGGTGCCCAACTCAGCCGCAAGATCTCAGAGTGTAAACAAGGGACCGAATGAAAAAGGACAAGATAAGACCGGTACCCTTGCATGGGAAGACCTGACATTGGACATTGCAATTCGAGGCAAGAATAAACGCCTGCTGGACAACGTCAACGGCTGGGTCAAACCTGGGACACTGACTTGCTTGATGGGGGTCTCAGGTGCTGGAAAGACTACGTTACTCGACACGCTTGCACAGCGTCACAACACCGTTGGGGACGTCTCCGGCAAGATCACGGTAGACGGTATGCCGCTTAAGCCATCGTTCCAGCGGACAACGGGGTACGTCCAGCAGCAGGACCTGCATATGCCTACCAGCACAGTCCGCGAAGCCTTGCGCTTCTCTGCTCTTCTACGCCAACCTGCTTCGATCCCGAAGACCGCGAAATTCGAATATGTCGAAAAGGTCATCGAAGTTCTGAAAATGGAACACTTCAGCGATGCAGTGGTTGGTCAGCCCGGGGAAGGGCTGAATGTTGAGCAGAGAAAACTCTTGACAATCGGAGTAGAGCTTGCCGCCAAACCATCAATCCTCTTCCTGGACGAACCTACCTCAGGCCTCGACTCGCAGAGTGCGTGGACGATCGTCTCACTGTTGAGAAGACTGGCGGATAACGGCCAGGCCATCCTTGCCACCATCCACCAACCTTCAGCTATGCTTTTCCAGCAATTTGACTCCATCCTCCTGCTTGCGAGAGGTGGCCGCACCACGTATTTCGGACCAATTGGTGCGGATTGCCAGACACTAACTCGCTACTTTGAGGGACACGACGCTAGAGCTTGTGGTGCAGAAGAAAACCCTGCTGAGTATATCTTGGATGTCATTGGCAACACTTCTCAAGACTGGTCACAAGTCTGGAAAGCGAGCCCTGAGTTCACCAACATCAAGTCCAGCATCTGCAGGGTGTCACCAGACTCCTCTCGGGAGCAACATGATGCTGAAGATCGGCGGCAGTTCGCGGTCTCTTTGAGGAGCCAGTTCCACTGTGTCATCCAACGACTCTTTCAAAATTACTGGCGCAATCCAGGCTACATCTACGCCAAGTTGCAGTTTGCCATTCTGTCTTCGCTCTTCATCGGATTCACCTTTTATCTGCAGAATGCTTCGGCCACCGGGATGCAAAACGTCGTCTTTGCCATCTACATGCTGAACGCAACATTCTCAACAGTGGCCAACCAGGTATGTGCTTCTCCTAATGAATCTTTCCCTGGTGCTGACTTCAACTCTCAGATCATGTCCAGATTTCTCCCACAACGGGCTTTGTTCGAAGTCCGCGAATCTCCATCAAAGATGTACTGCTGGCCCGTCTTCCTGCTGGCGAATATCCTCGTCGAGATCCCTTACCAAATCTGCATCTCCGTGGTCGTGTGGGCGTGCTGGTACTTCCCCATCTTTGGACTTGACCATGACTCCGCAACTCGAGCTCTTATGTGGGCATTCTGTCTGCAATTCCTGCTTTTCGGGTCGACCTGGGCGCAGATGCTGATTTTCACGATGCCGAGCACCGAGACGGCGGCGGCTCTGTCGACCATCCTGTTCACGCTGACACTACAGTTCAACGGCGTGCTCCAGCCGCCCTCCGCGCTCCCTGGATTTTGGATCTTCATGTATCGTGTCAGCCCCTTCACCTATTTGATCGGCGGGTGGGCTGGGACTGGCTTGGCGAACAGAGCGGTCGTCTGCGCAAAGAATGAACTGGCGGTTTTCGATCCCCCAACCGGACAGACGTGTGGCCAATACCTCTCGGCTTACCTGGAAAAGGGCGCTCCAGGATCCCTGCTCAATCCATCCGCCACGGCAAGCTGCGAGTACTGTCCGATCAGGAACGCCAACCAATTCCTTGAGACCTCGTGGATTCAACCATCAGACAAATATCGGAATCTGGGAATTTTGTTTGCGTACATTGCTTTCAACGTTTTTGCTGCCATCTCGCTGTACTACATCTTCCGAGTCAGGGGTTTTTCGATCAAAAGCTTGCGGAAGCCAAAGTCAAAGTCGATCGAGGAGAAAGATCATGAAGAAAAGCCGCATCAGAAGAAAAGCTTCTATCTGGGGTTTTACTATCATTTGGCGTTGGCTATTTTGAGGAATCTCGTTCGTTAGATAGATTTTCTGTTCGCTTGAGGCTCGAACCTAGACAGCGTAATTTCTCTTGTAAAGAACCGTCTAGTTGATACATCATCCTTCATCTGTCTTCTCTCGGAACACGATCGTCTGTTTGGTGTGCAGAGCGTGTGGTCAAAGGGTTCAAGCCAGGCTAAGCAATCGTCGCATTCTTCGCCCAGCTCATCGACATGTCCTCGGCCGTGAGCCGACCCACAGCACCGATCGTGTGCTCGGGAGCTTACCGTATAAGCAACATGCAGGGGATATACGAGCTATCCGTTGGATCGGCGACCATGTACTTCATAAGCCTGTGCATAGTTCCTACCCACCTCGCCTCTCACGAAGCCCATCATGTTGTTTGCAATGAAAGCTGCGTGCATATTTGCACACGTTGGACAATACTTTGGGTGTGGCCTTGAAAAACAGCGCAAGGTGCAATTGATGCTGCGAAGTTCGTCAACGACATCACTGGACCTCGAAATCAATGGAAGTCACGTAATCATGAGATGTCAGAGGGACCTCCGAGTACAGTGATCGTATCCCCCGGTTGGACAATCGATTCAACGACTCCCGGGAATCAGTGGTGAGCAAACCGCGGGGATATACGTGGCCAAGGCGGTCTCAGATGACTTTCTCTTGCCCCGGAAGTTGGCGCATGGCAGTGCCAGTGTATAGTTGTATTTATTTCTTGAACAACTTGAGTCGTCCCTAGCCATGTCTTTCAGTTTTCGCAATGTCTTCCCACACCGAGGCGGCGGGCAGGTGTCGACAGGATTATCAAGGCGGATGTCGCTACACCCATGAAAGGCAACGGCAGCGTCCTACCTGCCTCGAGGATCTGCCGGATGTCAGCAGCAATGCTCAAATACAGACCCGATCACTCACTGTCATGATAGGCAAAAACGATAACGGGTGTTGTAACCATTGTTGGGGGGACTGAGTGGTGGCCTCGACCGTCGGTTCGTGCTGATCTCTGTGTACCTGCCTAGGTAGGTAGCATTGCATCTCACTGCAGCACCAAGGACACGTTCCGGCCGCTTTGGTATACCATGAAGAAGCCTGTGGGATATCAATATGTGCGGGCCTCGCGGGCTGCCATTTCGCGAAGTCTCAATCAGCAGACGTCAATGGCGCCCAAGGCTGCATCGTTCTTGGCTACTGCTCTGGGCGTTGATCATCGGGGGATGTCTCAGGAGAGCGAACAGAGCGCGAATTCAAACTCGGCGCGACCTCGGTTAGATGCCAAGTGAAATCTTTTACCGCCTATTTTGTATGAGGAATAATTTGCCTAGCTATGAATAGGAATCAATTCGATTTAATTGCCATTCTGACCTCGTTACCGTTAATTTGAATAAACTGACCTCGCTGTCGATCCTTATATAGACAATCTTGGTGTTACTAGTCATGGAAAACGTCGCTATTAGCGATTCCTCCTCCTCCTCCTCCTATTAGCGCGTAGGCCTAGGCTATCCTTCTTATCTTCGTGTTTATCTTAAGCGCTTCGTTAACGGATTACCTATTAATTAGCGGGCTATTCCTGAATCTGGCGAGCGATTTGAGTCTCTTGTAGACGCCTAAAGGCGTCTTACTATCTTTATTATCATCGAAGGCTTTAGTCTTATCCGTTTAGGCGACGGTAGCCGTAAGATTCTAGGCTCTAGTTTTCGTTATATTTATTATAGCGAAAGGACTTTGAATACTCGTAATCTAGAGGATTCGGTAGTTAGGAATAAGGAAGGTCAAATCGTAACTAGGAGGAAGAGAGACGCTATAATAGTCCACTAAATAGGCTATCCTTAGAGTGTTAGAGTCAGCTTTAAATCAATTAAACGAGGAGACGATGAAAAGATCTAGATCTTGATAGTTAGTATATTAATTTATAAAGGCTATAAATTAACTAATAACTCACTTAGTATCTATTCTAGCCTAATAGCTAATCTTGAGGAATTCCAACGTATTCGTGAGAAGGCGTTATTATACTATATCGCTATAATCGCCTATTCTACCTCTCGCCGTATCCTTAAATCTAAGGAATTTAGTATCTAATTATCTTATAAGCAGTACTATAATCTTATTAGGAAGATAAAGATTAATCAGGAGGATCCGTAGACGATTACTAGCCTTCTCGCGGCTCTTGAGGAATAGTATTTTATCTATCGAACGCGCGTTAAAGAGGCTATTAATTCTACAGGAAAGGTTATTAGTAAGAAGCTAATTTAGATCTAGTTTACTTACGGCCGTTTAATAGAGGTTACAAGGCGATTTATCGCTAACTTTATCGTTATTATCGATAGGACTTTTAATATAAACGATCGGCGCCTACTACTGTTAATCGCGGTAGGAGTGTTAAATTCAGGTAGGACATTCCTAGTAGTCTTTTCCTAATGTCTAGGCGAGGATAAAGAGTCCTACCTATTCTTTTAGGAATGCCTAAAGATCTACTATTTTGATAGGCTAGGAGAGGCTAAAATAGTGCCGATAAAGGTGATATTAGGCGATCAAAATAGAGGTCTAATAGCGTCGATTCCTAAGGCCTTTCTAGACGCCCAATAGTAAATCTATAACTGGTACGCCTATAAGAGTATCTATAAGCGATTACGCGATAAAGATATCGGTATGAAAAAGGACGATTTTGACGATACTAAAGATGACACTAGCTACACTATTCCTAGCCTGAGAAGGCTAATCTAGCAGTACCTTAAAGCGCCGACTTTCTAGGATCTTGAAGATAGACGGAACGCTTTAATTAACGTAGTCAGATCGGCGATATTCCAGCGATATATCGAGGCTAAATAGTAGCCAAAAGAGTATAAAGTGATCTCTATATACACCTCGAAATATACTAACCTAGGCTATAACGTAAGCTAGCGCGGAGAGTCCTATCATAACGTTATAAGAGAGATCACAAACGCTTAATTAAGCCTTAAAGATTCTACAAAAAGACTAGGAATGAAGGTACTATTAGTTATTAAAGATATCGAGGTAGACGAGGCGTAGTTAATAAGGCACTATCCACGGATCGCGTAGACCGATATCTTCATCTCGCTCCGCATAAAAGTTAGTAATCTAGCGATCTAATTACTAGAGAAAGAGTAGTAGATTCTGAAGACGATAATGCTTAAAGGTTAGTAACTTAATAATCGCTATAAGTGCCTAATTCTACTACGATTTAGCATCGCCTATCGCTATTATCTAGCCTAGACATTCCTTAATAATATCGCCATTCCGAAGACCCTTCTACATCCGCGGTAGTGGCTCTTAGGACCTCCAATAACTAAGCCTAATTAGAGGCTATTCTATCCTCTTTAAGGACCTTAAGAATAGCGATAGCTAGCTCGAGATCCTACAGTAGAGATATCGACTCTCCGGCACTAGCTAAACATAGAGGAACGAGATCGATTCGATACTTAGTTAGAACAAGGCGAGAGATAGATCACGTAGATTATATAGAACCTCGTTCGAATCGGCTACTAACGGCGCGAGATATAGAGCCTACCTATCGGCTAACTAGATCCTAATCCTCGCTCGCTATTTATTAAGCGATCTACTTACGGACGCGCTGACGCCAGAGGCCTAATCGCTAACGAGATCCTAGACCGTCAGGAACGGTAATAAGCGCAGTTATAGACATAATTATAGGCGCGATTGTAACGGCCTCAGTTAGCGTTTATATCAACGTTTCATCTAGAGTCTAATCCGATAGCTTAAGAGCCTCAGGATAGTACTTAGACTCCGATTCCTATACAAAATACTAGCGAAAAAGAACTAGAAGATATACTAGAGACCCTACGGTTATCGAAGTTAACTACGGAGCTCGCGGACCTACAAAGGTTAACAATACCTAAACCACTAGTCGTTGACAGATCGCCTAAAAGGTCTAGTAGCCTAATGCCTCAAGACACTCCTCCTTCCTACTAACTACCTCTACGGACGCCTAATAGACCTAGGCCACGGCGTGAGCCTTCGCCTGAGGCGTCTCCTGAGCCAAGAGATCTACCAACGTCAACGGCGCCGCCTACGCTTGGTAGAGGCAAGAGAGTCCGCAAGCGGACGGCGAAGATAATTGAGATCGAGACAGGGTAATAGCGAGGTCGCGGAACTGACTCATGGCGACAGCGAGGTCAAGATTCTCTATAGAAACTAGAGTTATTTTATCTCATATAATTACAGTGGGGTTTACTAATAGTTGGTTTTTAACCGAGGTCGCGCCGAGTTTGAATTCGCGCTCTGTTCGCTCTCCTGAGACATCCCCGATCATCAACGGCGCCAGGCCGGAACTTTGCCCACCACTTTCCATCTCGAAACTCGATTCCTCAACCAGACACTCCTCGTCGAGGTCTTGGAACGTTGTTGTCGCTGATATTGCTGTTGACCGCCAGAGTCAGGTCTGAGCCACATCACCCGGCCTGCCGACGCCCGCTTGTTTTCTACCTTTCGAGCACAATGTGGCTGCGCTTCTCCAGCTACGCGGCTGGAGCTGAATCCGACTTTCAGCAACGCCACCCCTGGACTGCTAAGGCGATTGGGGCGCTCAGGTGCAACCGTTTCCAATCGGCTCCAGGCATGTCTACGGAACACGAGAAGCCTTGGCCCTGGGATCTCGTTTAGTATGATCAGCCGTCCCTTCAGGACGTTATCGTTCACTACTAACGGCTGCCCGTCCTGGCGGCTCTCCAAAATTGCGCTGACAACAAACCTTGGCTGAGCCATTGATCTGAACACCTAGGCTACTAGCTGCATGAGCCAAGCAGGCGTAAGGAGCACCCCTGAGGCACGATGACAATGGGGTAATATGACAAGTCGGGCTAAAAGGGACAGACCTAAGGGTTAACGCTTTCCCAGTCAGGCCAACTACGCCGTCGAGGACTCCCATCCCTTACGGTCAACAGGTTGGGTGCGAAGCTGAGGACAGGAACAGCATTGTCGATAGATCTCTACATAGGTGCGGAGCACATATAAGGTGAGAATTCTTCCCCCTTGCTTCTCAGACAAAACATTCCCAGGACAAGGCAAATCTCTCCTCTCTGGTTTCCGCAGATACAAGTCGTGCATAGAATGTTCACGGCCTACTATAAATTCACACAAAACATGTCTCTCCGCAACGCCGTCAAAGAACTCCGGCGAGGTATCTACAGCAGTCACCCAGCTCCATCTTCTCGTACGCATAGCTCGTGGGGCATTTCATGCCCAGAGACAACAACTGCAGCGTACTTTGATACATGTCCAGCATACCTTCCCACGACACTCTCGCATACACAGCCCGTCCACTCAGCCTCATGCCGCAACTTCCTCGAGGACACGCTCGACTCGGATTTCGACTCGGAAGAAGCACCTCCCCCATACATGAAACTCTCCAATGGGGACACAAAGCCCGAATACTCGAGGGCCGACCCTGCTAAGACCATAGACGCAAATCTTTCTCGGATGGACGGTGCACTGTGTCTCCGATGCAATGCGCGCAAGGCCAAGGCTTGGTATCTCCGGCAAACGGGGCACAAAAGCCAACAAATCACCTATCGGGGCGACTGACAGGAGGGCCAGACTGGAATGTGTTAAAAGTTGCATGAGCGAGGCGTCACGGAGGAATATGGGCGGTTCGGGAGGTGCATTCTGCCTCCCTGGCGATGGTAAAGCCACTAATTTCGAGCTACCGTTGATGTGTAGCTTACAATATCATCCATCCTGTCAAGATCCGCCCTTTCAAACTCGTTTACTGGTTTCATTGCCTTTCAACCATGGCAGAAATGGTCTAACCCGTCATCTGATGCAACGCGTTCGACTTCTATAAAGCGCTTTTTTACCGAAGGCTAAGTTGCAGCATCTCCTCTCGGGTCAGGCTGCGAAGTAAAGCGTGGTGTTGTGGTGCGCAATATTTCATTGGTGAAAGGTTGCACCAAGAGCAATCTTTCCAACATAGAATTGGACGCTGACAAGTTGTATAACACTTGAGCATTCACAAAAGTTTATTGTTTTGACTCAATCTGAGTAGAAGGAGATTCGACTGCCCGACATACGAAGTCCTCGGCCTTGTTTGGTCTTTCAGGCTTGGATGTGGGTTGGTTGCATATTTTCTCGAGATACCGCCGTCGTGCGCAGAGTTTATATAGAAGTGAGTTTTGACTGTCAGGACGATCTCTGCCACTGTCCAATCCCATATAGGTCTCTACTTCAGGCTTTATCTCTGTTTTTGTTTCGTACAGGGGAACCAAGCGTTGCGCAGACGAGGCAATGTTGCGCTGTTGGCTCTCAGGTTGTTAATTCGAGGCAGTTGGTTGGAGAATGCCTGTGGGCAAGCCACAGCCGCGGAGAAGCCAGGAGAGAGCCACCTGGAGAATCGAGATCAGATACGGAGTCCAGCACCGGCCAGCAAGCACAAGGGCCATTGACCGCCGCAGAAGCGCCTTTGGGTGCCATTTGGGTGCCATTATCATTACATGGGCCTTGATTACCTAGGGACCTGATGAATCCACTCATTGGCAGGTTGCCCGACAATCCCACTTCCGCATGCCAGCGAGCCCAGGTACCAGCAGGCAAGCGACCGTTGGCCCCGGTTTTCCGAAAAGCTGGGAGCTTTTCAATATCACCGCCGCGGAAATGGCACACTCCATATCACCCGCCAGCTGACTGAGGGCGATATAAAGATCACCGAGACACAGTATCTGCAGCCAAGCAACAGACTCATCACTATTCATAGTGGAAGCCCGGCAACAAAGAAAGACAACATGGAGCACATCGACGGCAATGTGATCGACCGCGATCTCGCGGCTCGCATGAAATACATGCAGTCCTTCCTTGGTTGGGACGCTGCAAAAGATGGAAAACTCATTGAAGCTTGCAAACCAGTGCTTGCTCCCATTGTCACCAAGGTCGTCGACGCCGTCTACGATCAGCTGCTCAAATACGACATCACCGCCGCTTCGTTTGCGCCCAAACAGTCACAAGAGGGCGGTGCCACCGTGGACGCCAGCGTGCGCGACCTCCACGCCAACCATGAAAACATCAAATTCCGCAAGGACTTCCTGAAGGGTTACCTGGTCAGACTGGTCTCGAATCACGACTGGACTCCCGAGAGCAAATTCTGGGAGTACATCGACATGGTGGGCAAAGTCCACACGGGCTCGACGGATTCGGGCTTGAAGTCCCGCAAGAACAGACCGGCCCTGTTCGTCGAGTACCGCGAAATCAACCTCCTACTGGGATGGGTCGAAAACGCCGTCACCGACATTGTCATGGGCGTCGAGGGGTTGGAGCTGCAGACAAAGGTGGACATTCTGAAGGCCTTCAACAAGTTTTGGTGGATCCAGAACGACCTCTTTGCAAGGCACTATATCCCCAGTCTGAGGGTCCCCCGGATAGCAGACCTCGAGCGCATGACCTGGATTGACAAACTCAAGTATGATCCAGTGTTTCCCATTGTCTCAACGCTTGTGCTTTTGGTCGCCATCTTCACCTGGAAATTCTGAGGAGACGCTATAGATGGAAATTTGCTTTCTTGCACAGGTTATTATATCTCATTGAAGGCACGTGGGAGCAAGAGAAAGAGCCGTCCTAGATATTACATGATCGGGCAGGATCTGTACTGGGAGATTATGCGAGGCCATATTTAGATGTCTACCCACAGTAGACCTTGCCTGGTGAAAGCTTTGAAGTCGGTAGATGGGGGCTAAATATGGACTCTAGAAGGACTACCTGGGTACATGGGTACTGACAAGACCCGATATACGCAATATTGGAAGACAAGAGCAGTGTTTTAATTGTTCATCCTCATAATCAGAGTTCGCCTGGGGGCGCCTCACCAGCCTCGCCTCACCAGCCAAGCCTTGCCCGCAAACAATTTCGCAGGCGAAGACCTGGTGCCATTTTTGGAGACTCAATGCTGAAGAACAGAACAACTTCAATCCGATACTGCAAACTCGCAAAACCATCCCCTGAGATTTGCACAAAATTCCTGCGCCCTTTGAACTTTCCTTGTGACTCCCACGCGACATGATCTGCTCAAGCTGCCGGCGGACGTTTCTCTCCCGCGTTCGCTCCCTCACTCCCAACACCAGGCTTTCCATCTCTTGCAGCTCTGGCCTGCGCTACGCATCAACGGTCCCTGCAACTTCCCATGCCGCTCCAGTCCCAGCTCCTACAGCCATCTCTATCGACGGGCCAAATGCCACTCAATCGTCAAACACGTCGGGAATCTCCCAGCCTCTGTCCGAACCACATACTCCCTCGACCTCGACTGCGAAAACCTCTGGGCCAACCTCGACCAAAGACTCAAAAGGCCCCGTCAAGCCCAAGAGCTCAGTGCCCGGGGGCAAGGAGCTCCGTGGTCTGGGTTACACAAAAGCGAAGCCGAAAGTTCTGGCGCTGGAGGACGACGAGTATCCCGAATGGCTATGGAAGCTGTTGGATCAGAAAAGACTGGGAATCGACACGGAAAAGGTCGATTTAGCAGGTGTGTTGCCATTTGCTTCCGGACAATACAGTCACCCTATAAAATCCAAGAAATACTGACAATGTGTCCAAGCAATGACCAAAAAACAACGCATCCGCTACGAAAAGAAGCAGGAACGTCTCCTCAAAGACCTACCCAGAGAGATCCCCGTTCACGAACAGAGCAAAGACCTGACAGGCCCGGGGGACGACGCCGTGACGAGTCTACAGCGCCGACAAGAGATCACCAAGAGCGCGAGATCCGCGAGACGGAGAAATATTCGGGAGAGCAATTTCCTCAAGTCGATGTAGACCAAGATAGGGCTGAGAATAGGCTATCACTTTGTATCATATATCATCAAGCGACATTTGAAGAGAGGGGCCCTCCTAGGATTCCAGAGATGATCGAATAGTCGCCCATCAGGGACATCCTCCCGTCCAGTCGACTAGATACACCCTGGTATTCAATGTCTATGTATGCCGTTGATGTCCCGATTGCACCGTTGCCAGCGCCTCTCCAATGCCAGTAACCTGAACAACGCCTCAATTATTCCCATGCCTCGTATACTTCCTGCGACATCATGTGCGTCCAAGTCATGCAAACAGCTGGTGTCGAAGATTGGTTTTCCGCCGGGGTATCGTTTCATTCGGTTCATCCCTTCCCCAATTAGCAGAGTGTCCATTCCCATCGTGTCTGTCATTGTCATTTCTTGCTCCTCATGATGCATTACCAAACGCCAACCGCAAAACAGACGTCCTTAAGCGCGTATACTGCTTGCCGCCGAACTCCATCTCAGCCTTCTGAGGCCGTTTCCGCTCGACCTCATTGACTCTTGTGCACAGCTTCCACCAGGGAGACCCATCTCGCCCTCGATCCTTCCGACCTCTCGCCCCCAAGCATATCCCGCACTGAAACTGATGGCCGAGAACACGAGCACTACACCGGCGGAAATCATCCACGAAGCGAGGGTTGGGCTGATCAGCTCTTCGCCAGTGGCGTTCGCGGTCGCGGTCGCTTTGGCGCTGGCAGCCCGGACTTTCTTCGCGGCGTGTCGATCTTTGCTTGATTCGCGCGATTTCCGCTTGGTCTGCTTGTTGGGAGAAGAAGTACGTCTCTGTCGAGGCGGACTCTCGAGCTCTGATTCTGGGACAAGTCGCAGAGTCGTTGGGTGCGTCGACGCTCGTTGCTGAGGTGGCCTGGCATCAGGGCCTTTGGGCCGAACTGCAGCGGCACACGAGAGGAGAGTTGTCAAGGAGGCTCGCAATGCCGCATCATGGTCTGGCTGGTATGAGGACGATGAAGCAGGACGATTTCTTGACTGCATTTGACGCTGGTAGCTGCGCTGAGTGAGTGTGCGATCAGCACCTGGCTCAGATGCCGCTGCCGCGTTCGGAGGGAAATATGAGTCTGGTGCAGTTCGAGCGGTGGACGAGGGTGGGTGCGAAAACGCATTCGGTTGGGGCGTGAAGATCTTGTCTAGACTGCCAACACCAAGTGCCGTGGAGGTATCGTCATCCTCTGTGACGTCGCCTTGATAGACGTCTTCGTTGGAGCTACTGAGAACCCGGTCACTTTCACTCTCGCTCTCCTCATATTCATCTTGGCTACTTCCAGCAGCGCTTGTAGACCGCGGCTGAGGATGGTCGGCGTGTGGGGAGGTTTGAAGTTGACGCGATAGCCGCTCGTCCTGAGACTGCAGTTGTAGTCCGGTAGTGATGATATCGTTGTTGGTGGACGATAAGGAGGCCGACGAAGCCCGTGATGAAATTTCAACCCACGAGTCTATGGAAAGGTCAGCGACTATATCCACATACAGCATGTCGTCGTAGGGAGCACATCCTACCTTCAGAACGTATGCCTCGAATACTGGCATTCACTTGGGGTCCCGGATAGGATTCTGTGGTCCAGGGAGTCCGATGTTCACCTCGCTCGCCTCTCAGGGAGGCGAATGGCTCTGTTTGAGATGGTCGCATGGTTGAGAAAGGCAGCCTTGTGTATTGTAGGCTGATGGTTCGGTGTCGTGGCCGAGCCTGGCTGCGGTCTTGTTCCCTTGGCTGCGCGCTGTGGGATCCTAGTCGTCGCCGATCCCTTTGTTGAATTTTGAAAGCACTCAAGTATTCTGTTTCAATCTTGCATAGAATAAAGCACTAAAGGGTCTGCGTGAGGCCAAGAGACGTGGTGTAGGATAACGAGTAGTCTTAGGCTGGCAGGCTGGGTCTCACCGCTGATGGATGACGATAGTGGGGGATTGGTCTGGTGGTGGTGGGATTACGCGATTGCGACGATCAGCCACGGCACCCTCTGGAGAGAATGGGCAACTGGCTTCGGTGAGCCTGATATCGATGGCGATGGTGTCGAGATCAGAGGGATTGCGATTAGAGAGTGGGAGGAGGAAGTAAGGGAGAGACTGCGGAATGTTGAGTATCGCAGATTGAGGGCAGAGTCTATCGTGCCAAGGGCCCAGTCAGTTCAGCCAGCTTTCTTGTTAGGGAGGCACCTAGGAGGGATGCAAGTCCTGGAATAGTGGCATTCAGGTTCTGGAAGGGCAATGCACAATGCAGTCACTCAATCCATCTAACCTAGGTAGAGACAGGCCACTGAGCAGGTTTCCTGAAAAGGCGGTACCCAGGTGGCAGCACTGACCCTGATTTGGCAGACACGTATCAGGTGCAAGGGCAGAGCCACAAGTCACCCACCAGACCTGATCAAGAGATGGAATCACGCGCGCAATCGTTTGTTGGCCGTGTCTGGTGTGTGGTTCTGCTGGGCCGTGTCAGATGAATCCAATCAATGACCCTCATCTGAAGTCTCCAAGTCACCATTTCGCAAGCGATACGATGTCTCCCCCGCACCGACATCGGGGGTGACAGGCCTTAAGCACGCCAAACAGCACCTCGAGGTAGTTGTACAGTGTTAAATTAACAAAGCCAAAAGCGGGATAAAAAGGCACGAGTTTCGTTGTGATTTCCATTGAACCTTACAACTTGTGAAGGAAAGATGACACCCCTCTATTAGACCCCGGAAAGAGATATCAAGGAAACAAAAGCAATTTGAACTTTTACAGACATTACCTCCGCACCCTCACCGCCGTAGAACCTCCATGCAGAACACGTACAAGGGAAACTGCTCGAGGTGCAGTCATGGATCGACCCGGCAGTGGGATACCAACTTGCAACGCCGTGTCCAGTAGTGATCCATGTGCGATCCAGGTTGACGAGATACCACTGATCAGGTTGTCATCAACTTAGAAGGTAGTCTTCTTGCCAGAGAAGTCACCGAAGCCTCCTCGATTGGTAGTGCCGCCTCTTCCACCGCGAGCACCTCCACGAGGACCACCACGGCCTCCTCGTCCTCCACGACCGCCAAAATCTCTGCCGCCGCCACGGCCTCCACGAGGGCCTCCACGGCCACCTCGACCACCGAATCCACCAAACCCGCCACCGCGAGCAGGCGAATCACTGTTCTGTTGGCGAGGTTGGGCATAGTCCACGCGCATGGGGCGGTTCTTGACGTAAGAACCCTGCGCACCCTCGAGCGCACTCTTGGCCTCCTCCAACGTGGCGAAGGTCACGTAGCCATAGCCTTTGACGTTGCCAGTCTCCTTGTCGGTTGGAATGCGGACACCGGTGGGGGCTCCATAGGGCGCAAAGATGTTGTAGACATCGTCCTCGGTGATCTCGAAAGACAAATTGCCCAAGAACAGCGTATCGGAAGGCTCGCTTAGCTGGTCACCATAAGACTGGCGACGTTTCTCCTGCTTTTCGCCGGAGTCGGGCTTCTTGTTGGCAAAGTCGACGTTCATGACACGGCCGTCAAGCTCGTAGCCTTGCTTTGCAGCGTGGGCCTTGGCTGCATCCGCCGCATTGACGAATTCCACGTATCCATAGCTGTATTTCATTAGTTAGGACAGAATTTAGCGAAAGGGCGAGAAGTGCCGACTTACCCCTTAGATCTGCCATCCTCACGCTGAGTGATCAAACGGACACCGCTAAGCTCACCAAATTCTTCGAACTCGGACTTCAACCACTCTTCATCAACGTTCCAGGAGAGGTTGCCGACAAAGAGGTTGGAGCCCCTTGAGCCGTCCTCTTCGACCTTTGTCTTCTTTGCGGCAGGCGCCTCGGCATCTTCGGCCTTGCGTTTGGCAGGTTTGGCTTCCGCCTCTTCATCTTCGCTGACCTCGGACTCGTCAGACTCGTCGCTGCTTTCGTCCGAGTCCTCGGCTTCTTCATCGCTGCTCTCAGCAGCTTTGACACCATTCGCCTTGGTGGCCTTTGTCGTTTTGGGGCCTGCAGTCTCTTCGTCACTGTCTGACTCGTCGGAGCTCTCCTCGTCGTCGTCTTCTTCCTCCACGGCAGCACGGCCCTTCTTGGCTCCTGTGGTGGTAGGCGTCTCTTCTTCGTCCGACTCTTCTTCGCTGCTCTCATCGTCATCTTCCTCCTCGCTGTCGGAAGCGGCGGGCTTGGTTTTCGGAGCAGAACCGTTCACTTTAGGAGCTTCGTCTTCCGAGGATGCCTCGGAGTCAGACTCGTCACTCGAATCTTCCTCAGAATCATCTTCCTCGTGAACCTTCACTCCATTGACGCCATTCGGCTTGGCCTCTTCTTCAGTCTCGGAATCTTCCTCGGAGCTCGCCGAGTCCTCACTCTCCTCCTCGGAGCTCGACTCTGGTTCGGGCGTGGGTTCCTTGACGGGGACCTTTTTGTTCTTCTTATCTTTCTTCTGCTCTTTGGTGGCAACCTCCTTCGCGATCACCTTGCTCTTGGCCTTCACGCTTTGCGCAGGCTTCATGACGGCTCCACTCTTGACTTTCGACAGAACGCCAGGCTTAGACCCCGTGGTAGGGACGGACTTGGATTTGACTTTGGACATGTTGAACACGAACTGGTAAAATTTCATGATTAGTTTGGGGCGAAAGAAAGACGAAGGAGATGATACGAACTTGCGACCCTCAAGTTAGGATTTTCCTTTCCCACAAAAGTACTGAAAGAAATTTTCAGCAGGTGCGGCAAAACCCTCAATCCACAAGGTGGAATTAAAAGCCCTCGACCTCACTTAGTCACTTGCTTTCGCAAAGGACTGGCAGAAACGTGAATTTCTTGCTGGATGCGCAACACCACGGACGGACCTGGAACAGAACTCGTCGGCAGGATGAGACAAGCAGGAACCTGCGAAGAGTTTTCTGGATACCCTCAGTAGCAACAGACCCACAGAGCCCTCGATAGACCTCAAGTACAGTGTAATGATGCCCTCGAAATAATGCCCACGATTGTGAATGCTGGATAATGGGTGCAGCAGTAAAGCCAGCAGAGATGGAAAATGTAGAAGAAATCAAGATGGGCCCTTTCACTTTTCTTTTTGAAGCCGAAATTTTTCTTCAGGCGAAGAAAAAAACCTTATCTTATCAATTGAAAGGCTGGGTCTGGGCATCTCATCCACTTTGGAGACCAATCAAGTGTGACTATGAGGTACCTCGTACAACTGGCCACTCTGGAAATCTCCAAGTTCAGAGCCCGACTTCACTGCCCTTCTGCCTACTGTCAAGCTGCTCGTCTGCTTCTCAGATCAATATGTCGAGCTCGTCAAACTCTCACAGACCTCGGAAGAAGCGAAAACAACCCTCTGCTCTAATCCGAAGCAACACCATCACCGACATTGTCAAAATCGACCCCGATGACACCAGCGCTATCATGCCCGAGTTTCCCCTTGTGGCTTTCCTGTGGCCAGCTCGGGGAACTACATCTCAATGGATTCTGCTGCCGCTGATTCTGATTATTGTTGGTCTCTTTAGATGGAGCGTTGGGCTTTGGGACCACTCCGGTTATCAAACGCCTCCGATGCACGGAGACTTCGAGGCCCAGAGGCATTGGATGGAGATCACAACCCATTTACCAATGTCCAAGTGGTATTTCTACGACCTTCAGTACTGGGGCCTGGACTATCCCCCTTTGACAGCTTACCATAGCTGGCTGTGCGGCAAAGTGTAAGTGCCTTCAACGCGGACGGGAATTCGACAGCTGACGAGAGAAAGAGGATCATTGTTCAATCCGGCCTGGTTTGAGCTCGACAAGTCCCGGGGTATGGAGGAACCCAGTCTCAAGGTGTTCATGCGCGCTACGGCCATTCTCTCCGAGTACCTCATCTATGTCCCGGCGTTGATCATATTCCTTCGCCACTTCAGCAGGACACATGCTACCGGGACAACATCAGCATCGATCGCGCTTGTGGCTATTCTCATGCAGCCAGCAAACATGATCATCGATCACGGACACTTCCAATACAATACAGTCATGCTGGGCTTTGTTGTCGCAGCTCTATCAAGTATCTATGCTGGTCGACTCTTGTGGTCCTGCATTTTCTTCGTCGCTGCGCTGGGTTTCAAGCAGATGGCCCTCTACTACTCGCCCGTCATCTTCGCTTACCTGCTCGGCTCTTGCTTAACTCCTGAAATCCGCCTCGGGAGACTTATTTCAATCTCTCTCGTCACGGCCCTCGCGTTCGCCGTGTTGGTGGCGCCACTACTCATAGGATCACTTTACGACATCTACCGGGGAATTCCTTTCTCAGAGATGCCCCCACCACCGGTTCTTGCTGATAGGAACATAGCTCTTGACCCCAATGCTCCACTGGAAATGATCGTTCTTCAACTCAGTCAGGCCATCCACCGTATCTTTCCATTCGCCCGCGGCTTATTCGAAGACAAAGTGGCCAACTTTTGGTGCTTCACCAACACCTTCTACAAACTCCGCAAGCTGCAGGGGATTGTCAATCTCCCGCGTATCTCAGCCATGGCCACTCTCGGATCTATCCTGGGACCGATGCTCATTATCGGCGCAGTACCTCAAAAGACGTTGCTCCCTTATGCTCTAGCCACGTCGGCATGGGGGTTTTTTCTCTTCTCGTTTCAGGTCCATGAGAAGTCGGTGCTGCTCCCTTTGCTCCCAATGACGCTACTACTCGGGAGCAAACAAGGTCTCAGCAAAGAATATCGCGCGTGGATCGGGTGGGCAAATGCGCTCGGCGTATGGACGATGTTTCCGCTGTTGAAGAGGGACGGGCTTACAATCCCATACTTCGTGGTATCCCTCCTGTGGTGCTATCTGCTAGGCCTTCCACCGACCAGTGTAAGCGCCTACTACAACCCCGAGCACGAGAACATCATCGGCCGACCACAGGCTGTCGATGATTTGGCAACGCCGACCAAAATTCTACATTTCCAGACGTACGTTGTCATGGCGTTTTGGCATCTGCTGGCAGCATTTGCAACTCCGCCTGAAGATAAGCCTGATTTGTGGGTGGTGGCCAACGCATGCATTGGTGCTGCTTGTTTTGGGATTTGTTACCTGTGGTGTTTCTGGAAATTGATATTGGAGAGCGGCTTGATCGATGGGTACTTTGAGGACCGCTCTGAGATCGAAGAAGCTCAACAGTCTTCGACACAATCTGTCCAGGAGAAAAAGAACAAATAACTTGTCTTTATAGGCCGCCTTCTCAGTATCCTTCCGATGCTCCCCCAAGAGAACGGCGCCGCCTTGACAGTGTAGCATTCATCGAATGCTTAAATGTATAATTTACCATCCCTGCAACCCCACGTCGTCTCGTAAAGCCGCCTTGTCTCATGTACTCATCAGTAATGCCATGCTCTTTCATGCGTAATTGACAACTCCCCTTACTGCCCAGATCTCCCCGTTACCCACTCTTCCAACAACACCGTCAACCACCAAATTTCCAGGGTTGACCACCCTATCCCCGTCACTGTTCTCCTCCCACCACAGCTCCTGTCCACCCAGTGTCTTTATTTTATTCGACTTGCCGGGCTTCCAGGGGCTCACGGGAACAACATGCTCCTCGACAAACCGCTGCAGATTTCGGGCTGCTTTGTCCTCGTTTCTCTCGGCATCCACACCCGAGTCATCACCCGGTCTATCTTCCCATGGCTTGCGAGGAAGCGCCTGCATCGCACTGTTCAAGGGAGCCAGGAGAGTGGTGTTATCTTCAGGCTTGGTGGACTCCAAGCGGGAGGTGACGGTGGAAATGTCGCGTGTCAGTGACGCGAAGATATTGATCTTGCGGGTTTGCGGGAGGATGTCAGAGATCGAAAGGGTACTATCGCCGACATTGCCGCCGGGTTGGCCAAGGTTGTCCCCGCCTTGAACAGGTCCTAGGTTCATTGCTGTCTGGTCTTGACTGAGAGGGACGGGTGAGGGATTGCCGCGGAAGACGTTCAACGGCGAGAGAGCGGTCGCGAGGGAGATTGACGAGAAGAGGGAGCACAAGAGGACTTTGCCATGCATCTCGACGATGGGTTGAATCTACAGGGCACTTCGTAGATTGATCGTTTGGTAATGCTCGGACCACAGAAGTGGAAATTGAGACATGCGACAATTGCTGTGACGTTTGGCCGCAGGAAAGCGGGCAATCCAGGGTGTCGTTCCTGCGCGGCGCTGGTGACATTCATTGCCACCGACAGTTGCACCGAAGATCAGCCTCTCTAGCCACTAGCCTGAGCCGAAGCGGGCCTACAAGCTTACGTGGAAAGGCTCCCTGCAAACAATGACCTTGGTGTTTGGGAGGGGGGACAACCACCTGTACCTTTTCATGCCCCAGAGTCGGCCAACATTGGGAGTAGCTGATCAGGTTCTCGCCGCCAGGTTTACGCCGCAATTTTCAAAAGTGCTCACGAGCTTCAGCGGCCAGAATGGCAAGAGTGAGTCCCGTCAATTTTCTACCCGGCAGTAACCCGGACGGCCGAGCTCGACAGCCTACAAGGGATTTTCAGTGCCCCTCGGAGTCCAAACTCCTGTTTCTCATCTCTCTGTCTAGCTCTCTTCCAATTTGCGGCCTTCGAAGTCCATTTGATGGATGGCGTTGCTCTGGGTCATTTCTGGATGATCCTCTAAAGAGCCTCGACGCGCGCTGAGCATCCGGACTCTCTCATTTCTTCCGACCACACGTTTCAACCATATCACGAGAAATACCCGTTCTGTTTGAGACCGTAAGAAACACCAATATCTGTCACAGAATGGCGGCGGCCTCGTATCTGTTTCGTGTTCTTTCTGAACCAACCGGAGTGGAACGTCAGAGCTGGGAGAAGTGGTATTGCTCAGAAAACATACCCAGTTTGGTCAACGCAAAGGCGGTTGCAAGGGCAGGATTGTATGAGGCGTTCGACGACTATCCGCTTACTACGAAAACGCCGAATGTAGTGAGCCAGACGAGTCTCCACGATGTCACGGTTACGCATACCGACATTGAGCCGCCGACCGAGAAGACGTTCCTTGCCATGTGTCAGGTCGAGGATCCCACATTAGCGAAGGAACAACATCTACAGAACATCGATCAGTCGACAGAATCTCTGGGAGGGAAATCTCCGAAGACTTGTGCCGTTTGGGATTCTCGAGTCTACAAGCTCATCCAAGACTTTGACCCGAAAAGCATTGGACACAGTGAGTTGTCCTTCTGAACTCTCCCTGTGAGCTTCTGAGAGTTCCCTGCCTTGCTAACACTCGTCCCACCGTGTCCTTGGCCGTCAGCGCCTGCGCCATTCATTCTTAATGTTCAAATGGAGCCAGCAGATGATGACGACTACAACACGTTTTATCGGGACGAACACTTGTACATGCTCTCACGAGTTCCGGGTTATCGACGATCGCAACGCTACCAACTCGTGTCTTCGGATAATATAAGCCTGCCAGCGGTTCCCAGATTCATGGCAGTCCATGAATTCGAGACGCTGGATCATCTGGACGGGCCTGAACTCAGAGAAGCGGATGCTAGCCCAAACACTCATCGGGTCATTGGCAATTCCAAAGCGACGAGTGTTCGGGGATTCAAACTTGTGAAGGTATTTGGAGATATGAGCGAATAGAAAAGCTTCGGAACAGAGGACAATAGTACTCTGGAAGCTACCTAGCTATACTTGATTTTTCAGGTTTCGTCCTCGGCTGCCAGCCTTGGTTGTGCCTTTGTACCGGACGTGCAGGCGCCCCATTTGGAGCGAGGGTGCAATAAGCATTCAACTCATCTCTGTCCGAGGTTCACAGCCGTTGATTTCCTAGGAGCTTCTGATTGAAATGGCAGATCGACTTCAAACGCAACCAGGAGTTTGAATGCCGGTGCACAGCTGAGTGAAGCCCCCACCCCCTGAGCCTCGGCCGGGCCCCGCACACTCTGCATTCGGCCATCATTTCCCAGGCTTGCACAACAGCGTTAATAGCGGCCCAGAGCAAACATATCAGTAAAGGACGTGATTCAGGATTAGGAAAGTGACTTGTCAAGGAGCAAGCAAACGTCGAATCTTGAAATGGCTTCAGTCAACAGGCACGCTCTCGTATTTGGGGCGTCTGGCGTCTCCGGCTGGGCAGTTGTAAATCAGCTGTTACATGACTATCCAAAGCCAGGGACCTGGAGCAAAGTCACCGCCTTGACGAACAGGCCTCTCGACATCGAGACCTCCCTATGGCCAAAAACAGATAAACTCCAGATTATATCCGGCCTCAATCTACTGAAAGGCGACCAGGAAACAGTTGAGGAGTCTATGAAAAGCAAGGTTCCAGGTATCGAAACAGTCACACACGTTTTCTATTATGGTAAGTCCATTGAAGTGTTGAGTATCTGATTGGGAGACTCGAGAGGCCAAATCTCACACCGTCCTAGCCTACAAAGCGAATCCCAACTTTGAGCAGGAGAAGAAGGATGCGGTTGACATGCTGGCTCGGTCGATAACCGCTATTGATCGACTCTCTCCAGCGCTGGACTTTGTTGCCTTCCAAACCGGTGCAAAGGTAGGTGGTTCGATTTCACAGAGGACGGGATTAACTTCTCTAGATGTACGGGTTCCTTCTTCGAGAGGACCACTATTTCCCTGTCCCTCTAAAGGAGTCGTTGCCACGACTTAAGGCACCTTTTAGTGACCAGCTCTTTTACCACGCTCAGCTGGACTGGTTGGGTGATTACTCCAAGGGAAAATCATGGACGTGGTGCGAAACACGGCCCGATCTCATTGTTGGATTTGCTCCAAACCATGCGGCTTACTCACTGGGGGCTTCCCTGGGCATTTATTTCTCCCTCTGGAAGGAAATCAACGGCGCTGGCAGCGTAGTCCCCTTTCCCGGCACCATGAAAAGCTGGAGAGCAAAGCACAACGAGGCTGGGAGCGATATGATAGCTAAGCAGACAATATTCCTCGCTTTACATCCAGAGGTGAGCGGCAACGGAGAAGCTTTCAACGTCGCATCAAACCCCCAGGCTGAAACCTGGGAAGAAAAATGGCCACAACTTTGTGAGTACTTTGGCCTGAAATCTGCTCCGCCAGGTGATGGATCCAAGGAGGTTCGAGCATATATCAACGACAATATCGCCCAATGGAAGGCTCTGGAAGAGAAATACCATCTTCGAACGGACATTGCTCAGTCGGGAGTAACCATGCCAGGGTTCGAAATCCTCCACCTGACGCTCGCCGATTTCGATCGACATTACGACATGACGAAGATCCAGAGAGCAGGGTTCGACGAGAAGAGTTCGATCATGGAGACGTGGGGAGAGACCTGGGAAAGGATGAGAAGAGCAAAAATGATTCCATAGACTGTGGTCTAAACTAAAAGGGCTCCTCACGGTGTCTTCCCTTGACTCTCATACTACATTCAACTTGAAGAGTTTATGACCTTCCTCAGAATTGAGTCATTATGTAGCCATGCACACGGCGGTTTTCGCTCCCCAAATGCAAGTCTATTGTCACTGGCTCAAGGATGCTTTCAGTCTGAGTGGCCTGTTAGACGAAACGAAGCACACGATGTGGTTCTCAACCTCAGACTCCACTCTTCCTCGCACCGACCGCGACAGGCTCCACGCTTCAGGAACCACGTGAAGGCGTTAAGGGACGGATTTGCTCTAAGGAACTAGGATCGAGCGGCGAATGAATGCCGTGCAAGAGATCTCGAACTAAATCTGGGGCGATTGGGCCTGGACCTTGGGCAGGCAGTAAAGATTTGACAGGGCTTTTCGCTGCTGACAGTCTCGAACTCTTCTCGAGCCAAGACACCTTACTATGTCATACCACGAGGACTTTAAAGCCTTTTCTGCAAGTTATGGTCGTGGAACTATCCAAGTCGAGTGTCTCTTGCAACTGGGGTCGACCGATTATTCTTACAAGTGCTCGAACGCAGTGGAAAACACTGTGGTGGGACCTGCCTCTTATCTCCTTAGACTACACTGAAGATATGGTCTTTTAGGAAGCAAATGTGGACCGAGCACGCCACGACGAATGTGACAGATGAACCGAGGGCGAACATCTACTCTCCGCCTACTGTGGCCCCCTCATTCTCCAAGCCTCGTCGTCGTCAGTGGAGATTTCCCCGCAACTCGCGGAGATCAGTTGCCGAATCCTCTAAGTGGGTGTTACTCTTCATTTGCCGATCTGGATATGCTAGAGGCACACCACGGTCTAAGCTCAATATCAGTCGGGTGAAATCAATGCAAATCAGAGCCAGCTGATGTTGTTGCACGCGCACTTACACCCAAATACGGAAAGCCGAACTTCATCAGGACAGCCCGCTGACATTTGCTGGTAACTCGTCTATCATTCTAATACACGGCATAGGTAAACGCACCATCGATAGTTTTCTTCTTGGGAACATTACGCAACTGGGAGATTCGTGCCAAAGATGGCTGTCACGACAATGAGGGCGGCCCGTTATCATCCTGTTTGTCAGCGTCGCCCGTCCCAGACCGGCACTAACATATCCCAGGAAACGAATAATTGTACGATAGACGAGATCCCAATTCCAAGCATCAGCGAGAATGAGATGCTGGTCAAAATCGCCTCAGCAAGTCTGTGTCATTCGGATCTGATGCTGTTTGAGGGTTCAATCCCCGCCACAGAGCCAGTCGTGATGGGACACGAGGGCGTGGGCTATGTGGAGAAACTGGGAGCAAATGTCAAAGGCTTCAAGCCCGGTGACGGCATTGGCTTTCTCTACATCAAAGGGGTTTGCTGTAAGCTTGACGGAGACTGCCTGCTTCACCCGCCGCCACACCCCCCTGAATGCCCGGACGTTCTGCTAACGCTCCCATAGTTGAGTGTGAAGGGTGCATGGTGCACAATCTCAACTGCAAATTGGGTACCGCTAGGCTTCAGGGCTTCCAGTCTGACGGCTTCTTCGCTGAATACGCTGCTGTGGACTATCGCAACGCCATAATCCTCCCGGAAAATCTTCCTATGGAGACCTCAGCACCATATTTCTGTGCTGGCATTACAGGTGACTTGGCTCTGCCCTCTATCATCTCTGGACCAATCACAAATACTGATAAACCCCGATAGCCTTTCACGGGGTCGACTCTTGCGATCTCAAGACTGGTCAATGGATGGCGATTGTGGGCTGCGGGGGTCTTGGACAAATGGGTATTCGATTCGCTAAAGCTATGGGTCTGAACGTCGTGGGTCTCGATATCAATGATGAAGTCCTTACGGCTGCAAGGGAAAATGGAGCAGATGTCATCATCAACAGCAGAGACGCAGACTTTGAGAAGAAGGTCCGGGAAGCTACAGGTGGTGGGGCGGACGCTGCTGTTGTCTTCAGTGCTGCCCAAGCCGCCTACGATAGCGCGACCAAAATCCTACGCATGGGCGGTATCCTGATGGTTATTGGACTTCCCTCGAAGCCACTCCAATTCTCTTCTTTTGACCTGATGAGGAAGCTTTTCCAGATCAGAAGTGAGAGTACGGGCCCTCCGCAGCAGATGCCACGAGCGATGGAATTCATTTCAAAGCACAACATCAAGCCGAAAGTTGAGCTATATAAGCTGGACCAGATTCACGAGATGATGGATTTGATGAAGAGTGGCAAGTCAAAGTCTAGAATGGCGGTAGTCTTTTAAGAATTATATGGATACCCATGTGGGTGATTTCTTGCAGATCTACAGAGACTGTCTCTATGGCATGTTTACTACAGACGTGTTTGTACGCGAAGGTATATTTAGACTCCGTAAAACGGACAAGGCCTCCCGAAGGACCTTAGAACCCTGTTGCGAGGTTGTCATTTGCTGAACCGTGGAGATTCTGATGCGAAAGCTTCAAAACCCTGTCATTCCCCCAGCTTTGGACCTAGAACGGTGAACATTCGCCGGTCCGCCAGCCCCGCAGTCTAACAGGCAAGATAGATCTTCTGTTGAATAACGCAGGCTTCATAACCCGTCTAGCCTCTCATTCTGGCAACTTTAACGGGTTTGACGTGTCATAGATAACAGCATGTTGGTCAACAATGTTTCTGAGGCGGAAGGACCGAATCTCAGCATCCCCATTCCCATTCTTCACGACCTAATAGTCTCCTCTGTCGCTCAACATGGAGACAAAGTGGCGATGGTGTGTAAACACCAGCCTGCCGACCTGTTCCCAGCGGTAAACATGCATGATAATTCCAGGATCAAACATACAGAGAAGTCTCATCTTCAATGGACTCATTCCCAGCTGCAATACGGAGCCGACCTTCTCGCCCATGCGTTGTTGAAGCAGGGGCTGCAACCCGGCTCGCCGATTGCTGTGCTACTCAGTGGAAGAGTCGAGTTCCACATGCTTTTGCGTGCAGCAGTCAAACTGAAATGTCCATTCACGCCTCTCAATCTGAGAGCACCCCAAAATGCCAAAGAGATCAGGCATATGTTGACATTGTCAGAGGCCAAGGCTGTTATTGTGGAGGACGACTCGATCGCGGCCAGACTTGAACAGACTGTACCAGACTTGATGCAGCAGATGCAGGTGAAGGCCATGGCGGGACCAAAGTCGGCGATCGAATCGTACTTGTCACTCAACGAAATCGTGTCCAGTGCTGCCGAAGACGATAGCTTCCCGGAGACACAGCGGACCCTCGACCAACTTGATCGTTGTTTGGATGATGTTGTATTCATCTGGTTCACTTCAGGCACAACAGCACTTCCTAAGGCAGCGCCACACACCAACAAATCACTCACTTGCAACGTGAGGTCCTGGGGAGAAGCATTCAAACTCGAACACACGCGCCGATGGCTCCAGATCCTCCCGATGAACTCGATCGTCGGCAGCTCGTGGACACTGGCCTATCTCATACCAGGAGGTAGTGTCACCCATGTCAACTACAACTTTGACGTTCAGTCCATTGCCACCGCAATTCAAGAAGGAGAATACACCGACGTACTCGCGGTGCCGTCCATGATAGATCTCTTGTCCTCTTCCTCGATATTGACCCAGTCTTCCGTCAAAGGCATTGATCACATCATTGTGGGTGGGAGCAAGATATTACGGTCTCATGTCGAAAAGTCTTTTGGCGTCTTAAAATGCAGGCACTTCAGTCCCTTCTTTGGTATGACCGAGGGTACTTCTGTTTGCTCGGAGACACTACACTCTGTCCCAGAGAGTCTGGATGATCCAATTTATGCCGGTTATGCCAACCCTGGAAGCAAGATCAGGATCTGTGCACCCGACCGCATCGAGCCACTCCCCAGAGGTGTGCCCGGCGAGATAGTGCAGGGTGGCTTGCAGAAAATTGAAAGTTATCTGGGAGGTCAAGGCAAAGATAACTTTTTCACTGACAACGAAGAAACTTGGTACAGATGCGGCGACCAAGCAATCATGCTGCCGAATGGGAGAATTGCAATCGTCGGAAGGTATAAAGGTATGTTTCACATCTCTGGATTAGGCGGACTCGCTAGGCGGGACTTAGGGCTAATAGGATCTATCGTGCGCAGACATGATCATCAGGGGTGGCATGAACATAGCTTCTGCAGCTGTTGAAGCCATAATATCTGAAGGCACGGGTATAGATGTGAGTAATCAAGGCTTTCCATGCTCTCGTGGGATGGGACTCCCCAATGTTCCCATGGTAACAATGCTATAGTCTCAGGTGATCGGCATCCCGGACGAAGTCGCTGGTGAGGTTCCAATTGCAGTGATCAAATATGCGGGAGGAGATCAAGATATCGCCATCAAAATTCAGAGATGCGTTCTAGATAAAATGGGTCCTGCGTATGCGATAGAGCAAGTGGTCAACTTGCATGCGCTTGGATTGGAAGACTGGCCAAAAACTAGCTCGGGGAAGGTCCTGAAGCGAGAGTTGCGACTGATGTTTGAGAACTCGCTTCTGTCAGCAGGCCCAGAGCAGACCGACACGCCACGGAACGGAGAATACCAGAGGATCCAAACGCAGACGGACGAAGCCCGGCTGCAGGACCTTCTGCTCAAACGCGTCCAACAGCAAGGAATCCTGGTCTCGAGCATTGACGAAAACTTCCACGACATTGGCATGGATAGTCTGCTTGCAATGAGACTAAAGAATGCTATCGATCGAGACGTCGAATTGGGCGGGCACTCAAAGCTAGCCCCGGAGGATATCTTTCAATATGGCACTGTCCGGCGCCTTGCCGCCCACTTGATGGTGAATCAACATGGCAGCAGGGCTTCAACGGGTGCCTCGTCCCATTTTGACGCAATTGTTGATGAAATGGATTCCATGGTCGGGAAATACGGAGAGTTCCGTATGCACAGGGTCTCGGAGGGTGTTGTTGCTCACAAGCAAACAGTGGTAAGAATGCATGTTGTTTTGTGATCTGTTGCTGCATACTAACAATCACCCCAGCTCCTGACAGGGGGTACTGGCTCTCTAGGTGCTCACATCCTTGCCCTGCTGGTCGACCGGGATGATGTTGCTACAATTTATTGTCCAGTGAGAGGGCGTGAACCAGCAAAGCGACTAGAAGAATCTCTCAGCAGGCGGTTGATTGGGACACCGCAATACCCTGAAAAGGTCAAGCTTATCAGCATCGAGCCAGGAAAGCCCTGGCTCGACTCCGATGCAGCCATGAAAGAAGCTCTACTCGACAACCTTACCGTCATCATTCATGCTGCATGGCCCGTTAACTTCCACCTGCCCCTATCATCGTTCCGCCCTCATCTTCGTGATCTGCAAAAGCTGATTCAACTGTCTTTGGATGTGCGATTATCCAAGCCCGCTCGAATGATGTTCTGTTCCTCAATGGGTGTTGCGCTGAGCACGCGAGGGCAAAAGCGGATTGCAGAAGAACCCATCATGGACTTTCGACAAGGTTTGAGCAGCGGATACACTCAATCCAAGGTTGTTGCAGAATACATTGTGCAAAGGGCAGTTGAAGACTTCGGTGCATTAGCCAGCAATCTGCGAATTGGCCAGATTGTGGGAGACACCAAGCATGGCATCTGGAACGACCAGGAGGCCATTCCCCTGATGATACGCTCTGCTTTGAGTATACGGACGTTGCCCGCCCTGGACATGGTAGGTGGAATAAAACTAGCTGTGACTGATCTTCTACGCACTCTTCTGACTTTGAATGAATCTAGAAATGCTCGTGGATCCCTGTCGACACTCTGGCGAGAGCCGTCATTGAGATTGCAACAATGCCGGACCACCAGCAGCCACCAAGACTCGTCTACAATATGTGTAGCAAGCTCACGTTCTCCTGGACATCAGACTTGTTGCCGGCACTTGCAGACGCAGGGCTCGATTTCAAGACTGTACCATTTTCTGAATGGACTGCAAGCCTGAGAGAATACAGCGCAACAAACGGGTTGGAGGTGGCAAGCATAAATTGTCCAGCCATCAAATTAATCGATTTCTGGGAAAAGTCTTATGGTGGCAAAGAGAAGCAGCACGACGGCGGCCTACAATTCGACACCCGTGAAGCACAAGCTGTTAGCAAAAGTATGGCGACGGCTCCTGACGTGATCAAAAGTGGCTTGATTAAGGTCATGCTGGATTCATGGATGAAAAACTGGGGTGGCCACGTCAATGCCACGTCCGTGAACGGGCAGCAACATTGAGATCGACGGACGGATTCTCCGCCTGCAAAGACCCAGGTGCCTGTAGACTCGCCCACCTACATAGCTGCTTCCACGATGACTAAGTACCTGCGTCGAATTCGAAGCCAGTGGCCGTGTCTGGTCAAGCATGGCCCGCGCTCATTGTTTGATCTCAGTCTAAGAGGTCTGAGTGGGGGAAGACAAAGTTCAGCCCGCCTGGACTTAGCAGGACACAGTGCTCAGGTGCTCGGTGAATGATCTCCGGTAGAGTGCAAGACTGCCGCTCTTCCGTGGCATCAACCAAGCAAAATTCGCCTCACGCCTGCTGTATGTTTTCACTCTCTGGCCCAACGTGCCTAGATAGACTGAATCATCGTCGGTGATCACAGCAAGAGTGCTCGTTGCTAGTGAAAACCAGACATGGCTACAAGGAGATTGACAGGAGCTGGTCAAGGGAGGCGGGGGGTGGGGGTGTAGACCCCTGAACCCTTCTGGTCTTGTACCCCACCCACAGGCACCCACTTCTAACACTGGGTGGGCGAATAGTGATCGAGGACTTTACCAACCCATTACTAGACCATGCTCTCCGCAACCAAGACCCCGGTTTCTCCGCGATTTTTGCTCGCGAGGTGGCCGAGGGCGAGACGAACCATCTGAGGGGCGAGCAGGCATTCCTCTTCTGTTCCTCTCAGCGCAGGTTTTACCGTTCTTCTTGATGCTGGCAGCCGCTGTGGTAGAGCAATCAGTTCACACTGAAGCTGACAATCTTACCGACTCGCTCATAATGCTTACAAGTCCGTTTGCCTCAAGCTGTTCGTCCTTCGCAGCTGAGCTTCCAGAAGACGCAACCAAGAATCCACTCACGACTCCGCAGTCGGTCCCAGCAGATGGAGAGAACACGTATGTCGAGGATCCTCCTTTGCGAAAACCAGGAGGCACGAAGCGACGATTATCGTCGGCGCCGCAGCCCCAGACGAGAAGCTCCAAGACCTTAGCATGTCTCAACTGCCGGCCCAGGAAGATCAAGGTCTGTGGTTGAAGCCCGGAAGTCTTGAGAGGATGCGGTCCTGACACCGGTAACAGTGCGAACGCGTTGGGGGTACCTGTGAGAGATGCCGGACATTAGACATCCCTTGCAGATTGCCAGAACGCGATGAGAGACGGGTGTGAGTTGTTATCCGCAGCCGCGATTCAGGTCTCATCAGAGATTGACTCGAAGCCATAGACGCTATTCAAAGGACTATATCATCCAGCTCCAGGACCAGATTGCTGAGCTGCGAAGCACTGTGGCAACTATGCAAGCGGCATACACGCAGCCGAAGTCCCCATCGCAACCGCTGCATTGGCCGGCGGCAGTATCGGGTTCGCCATCGCAATTGCAAGCGCAGATTCAACCACCATCACAACCACCATTGCAGCTTCAAGGTTCCGACTCTTTAGGCTCTCCCACATTGATGACGGACGACTCCAGCGCCATTGGAGAAAGACCCAGCAAAGGAACTCCCGAGTCGGAACCGGGCGAGAGCCTTATTAGCCGACTGTGTGAGGCCCAAGGACGACTCAACAGCAAGGATGATGGCCAGCTACGATATTTCGGGCCCACTTCCAGCCTGCATCTGACGGAGAGCGTCACCTCGATCTTTAAATATTGCAGTGACGTCTCAAAATTCGGAGCGGACATCGAGAAGGACGTCCCCTGGGCTATGCAACAATATCTTCTTGATCTGTATTGGAAATATCAGCACAACATCCTCCACATTATTCACAAAGAAGCTTTCCTCGCGGGGATGCAGACGCAGCAGGGTCCATACTTCAGCCGTTGTCTCCTTCTGTGTCTCCTGGCTTCTGCTGCTCGGATCTCAGTAAGCCCAGAGATTAGAGCCTTGTCTGTACCGGCCGATGACGACGAAACTGGCGAGAAGCCGATATTGACCAGACAAGCCGAGGAGGCTTTGGAAGAAGAGCTGTTGAGCCCGGGACTGACGACGATACAATCATTGATGCTGCTAAGTATCATCGACTGCTGTCAATCGAACGACTCGCGGGGATGGATGCGGTCAGGTACTCTACGCCCGTCTCGGTCCCTGCGTATTGTAATTAACCTGCGACTAGGAAATGCTTGTCGACTGGCGTTTGACCTTGGCCTTCATGAGAATTGGTCCCGGATACCCAATACCAAGCTCTCCCCCCTCGACTTCGAAGTCAGACAGGTCATCCTGTGGGGTTGCGTTGGTTTTGATAGGTACGTCGCTTGAACATGGACTTGAAAGCAGAAGCTGATGATTCAATATTCAGACTCTGGGCGCTCTATCTCGGGCGGCCACCTGTCATTAAGTTGAGTGACGTTTCCATTGACCGCCCGCATAGAAATGCTCCGACATGGGACATGAAGATGTTTGCAGCTTGGGCCGAACTGCTCGAGCTTTCGGGTCACATCAGCGAGAAACTGTTTGTGTTCTGGGTCGGCCGTTCTGTGGAATTGGTCTGCTGACAAACTTGCTCAGAAATACCAATACCTGCTTTCAAGATCAAATCGATTTCTTCACAGAGGCGCTGCAAAGATGGGATGCTAGTCTCGATCACAGCCTGACTTTTTTTCCGAATGCACCTCCAGGCGTTTATCTTCTTCGGTGAGCTGTTGTAACCTTCTGTATCAAGCTTCGACACAGCTTACAATAGATCTCCAGAATCCAATATTCGGCTTTGACGATCCTTGTGAACAGGCATAACGCGGGATACGGCAATCTGGAGAAGCGGCATTGTCAGAACTCGAACAGGTCGCGTCGGATCTGTCTTGAGCACGCTTTTACAATCTCCAACCTAGTTCTCAACTACGCGACTCATCACGGGGAAGCCAATACAATGCTAGGCTCTACCTTGTACAATATTACCATGGCCGCCACCATCTTCCTCGCCGAGATTAATGAAAGAAACCGACAGGAGGTATCCGACGAAACTGCTGCTTTGGCAACATGTCTGAAAGCCATGAAAGAGATGGAGAGTGCGGAAATTGTGGCCCGAAACCTTCGCAAGATCCTGCAGACCATCATGCGTGTGACTCGAGTCTGTGATGTGCCCAATTATGGCGAGCATATCGACACCTCGACCGGATGGCAACAATCAAGGCCAGGCGCAGAGCTCAGTGGCACTGAAGCAACAGTTGCTGCACTTCCCGCCAAGCGAAGAGACAACCACTGTCATGACAGCGACACTGACTTTACCTTTCTGAACTTCGATACATCGGCGTTTGATGGTGTTTTTCAGCTGCCGTTTGACGAAGCCTTGCTAGACCCGTCTTCCGTGACCGCCTTTTTAGCATCGTGAACAGGGCTTTAGATAGACCAATTAAATCCGATTGCCACCATACGTTGCCCTAAATCCTCGATATCCCCAGCATGACATGAATCTTCTGAATCACCTGTCGAGGTGACTACCTAAAATGGTAGTCGAGATGCTCTAATCCTCTCAGCTTGACTCAGAATCTCGGTATGAGACATAGAAGTCCAGCGGCCGCTTTCGCCGCATTCCACTTGGCAGATGATTGCCAGATGGACCCTGTATTGAAAAAGTTGGAGAGGCGATCAATACCACGGCAGCGTATTCTGAGTCAAGGAAAGGACTTGCAATTTCGGTGAGCATACGATGGCCCTGGCTTTTTGCCTCCAGATGACCTCGGTTAAGTCCAGCCAGCATGCGGAGACACTCGCCTGGATACGGACGGTGAATGGACTCCGAACGAGACACACCCAAGCAGACCACATTCGGAGAATACACTCCCCAAGATTTATGGTTGGGAGTTCAGGGGTCCAGAATGCCACAGGCCCGTGAAAGTCGCGAGTGGCTATATAATAGCCAGAGGACCTGGAAATTTCCTTCCGAGGCTGAGTATCTTTCTAGGACGACGAGAATCTTGCTTTTAGTTACGCATTACCTGCTTCACTCGCAGGAGATAACCTTTTTTTCTGTCCCGCGCGCTTCATATTTACTACAGCCATGGGATCACTAGCAACAGACTCGAGTCGCCGGGATGCGATCGTGATTGGTGCTGGCTTCTCCGGCATCTACCAACTCCACAAACTCAAGGAGGCTGGTTTCAACGCTCATCTATACGAAGCAGGATCCGGGCCAGGAGGTATTTGGTATTGGAACTGCTACCCTGGTGCACGGGTCGACACCCCGGTGCCGACATACCAACTGACATCGGACGACAGCTGGACTGGATGGAACTGGTCCCAGCGTTTTCCAGACTGGTCCGAGTTGCGGACGTATTTCCAGCATCTCATCAAAGTCTGGGATCTCACCGACCTGATCACTTTCAATACTCGTGTCCAGAGCATGCACTGGGACGATCAAGCGCATGAATGGCGACTTTCCCTGGAAAGTTCAAACACTGGTGAAGAGAGTGAGGCTATCGCTCGCAGCGTTGTCGTATGCACCGGCTTCGGGTCGAAACCCTATATCCCCAAATTCGAGGGGATCGAGAAATTCAAAGGAGAACTGTACCACACTGGTTTGTGGCCTCAAACAGGTGTCAACATGGAGGGAAAGCGTGTTGCAATCATCGGAACAGGCGCAAGTGGAGTCCAGCTGATTCAAGAGGCGGCCAAAGAGGCAAAGCATCTTACTGTCTTCCAGCGAACACCCAACACGGCCTTACCCATGAGGAATGATCTGTACGACAAGAACATGAACGATGAATGGAAAAAGACGTTCCAGCACACCAAGGATATGATTCTCAAGACTTATGCTGGCTTCGACTACGAATTCGACCCACAGTCTGCTCTCAAGGTATCACCCGAAGTCAAGGCTGAGTTCTATAAGAATCTCCTGTCGAGCGGCGGCCTACACTTCTGGCTTGGGACGTACTCGGATGTTCTCTTTGACCAAGGGGCCAACGACGAGGCGTACGAAGTCTGGAGGCAGAGCGTATTGCCCCGGATCAAAGACCCTCGTAACCAGGAGATTTTAGCACCGAAAAAGGCTCCACATCCCTTCGGTACCAAACGAATCAGTCTTGAAAAGGGCTACTTTGAGGCTTTCAACCAAGACAATGTGGACCTGGTCAGCCTTGTGGACAACCCAATCACAGAAGTCACTGAGAACAGTATCAAGACGGCAGATGGTACAGTCGTCGAGGTCGACATGATCTGCGCGGCGACAGGGTTCGACAGCGTCACGGGTGGGATCACGGCGATTGAGATTCGAGGCGTTGACCCCAAGCAAACAATCAAAGATAAATGGATGAGCGGGACTTATACACTATTCGGCATGACGGTTTCGGGCTTCCCAAACATGTACATGATGTATGGACCACAGGCACCCACTGCATTCGCCACTGGACCGTCCTCAGCCGAGTGTCAAGGAGACTGGATCACTTCCTCTCTGATATACCAGCGGGACAACAACATCACAAAGTTCGAAGCCACCAAGGAGGCCGAGCAGGAATGGCGCAATCACACTCTCGAGATGGGCGAGAAGGGCCTGTTCACCAAGGCCAAGAGCTGGTACTATGGCGACAACATTCCCGGCAAGCCTCGCGAGGCGTTGAACTACATGGCAGGGCTTCCGACATACCGGAAAAAGATTTGGGAGTCGGCCAATAACAATTACAAGGGATTTGAATTGTCTTCATCTGCATAAAGGACCAGTGTTTTGGCAGTTACGGGTGTCAGCAAAGTGGATCGCTTCGTTGTGCTGTATTCAGTCAGGTTCGTAGTCAAATCAAATGGATTTGTTCTGCCTTAGCAATTACCTGAGTGTGAGTCTCGTGCACATTCTGACCGCAGTCATCCCAACAATGCTATCATCGGGTGAGACTCAAGGTCATAGAAATGTGTACGGGCAGATCCCGCGATCGTCCTCTAAGGATCGAAGGTCTGTACGCAGAGCTCCTCGCCCTGCGCCCACAGCTTTTCGCCAGTCCACTGCCCTCGTAATTTTGGCATCCGGTCCAGTACACCCCTCTATACTTGCTTGTTTCTTCATCTTCCACTGTTACCCTGATATCTGGGTCAAGGGCGCACGTTAGCGTGGCTGAGCGTCTTGGCGGAGACTTTGGGCTCGTCGAGGCCCAGCTCGTACAACTTCTCAAACAGCCATTTCAACGGCTATTCGCCAAAATACCTATTCAGTATGGTACCGGTGGCGCCTGGGTGGGCGACCAAGGAGAGAATGTGGTACTTATTATACAGCCGCATGTCGAACCCGGCTCGGAACAGCGCATTGGCGGTCTTCGATTGGCCATAGGTCGGGAGTGGATGGTAGGTCTCCTCTGGATCCGTGTATGCCAACGGGAAAAGGCTCCGGATCATCTCAATATCAAGACACTTACTTTGGAAGAGCTGGAGGCGAAATGGTGAAGTTGGGTCTGAAACTCAGTGTGCGACTTTGCACAGTTGAGAAAAGATCACAACCCGTCTACATTACTAACGAGACTGCATCTCCATTTTCAACGTGATTCGGCGATTCGTGATGGTTCCGTCGGTATGCTCAAATTGGAAAGTTGCTCAACTCGAGCTTGGTTTCATCCAGCGATATATCATAATGCAGAAATCTTCTCGGTCTGGCTATGACCGAATTCCTCCTTCCCGTGCGGTCTTCACTATCTCCTTATCACCGAGCTGCACTCTCGACGACATCCCGATGAGATTCAGCCTCGAGTCGCTGCGTCCCTCTCCGTCGTCTTATTCTAGGCGCTTTAATCTCTTTGTACTGGTTTCAGTCTTATTTGAAGTGGTCCTTTGCTCCACAACGAAAAAACCTTCTGTTCAGAAAGCCAAGCGCCGCCGTCATCTCTCAGAAGCTCTAAGTCGAAATTCCAGATCAGCGTTGCTAATATCATTCGCATCTCCAAAATCGCAAGGCTGGAAGCCATTCGTCAGCGCAACTCCTCAACCGAAAAACAACAGCCCTTACTTTTTCCCTATACAGTTTCGCGGACCGGTCGAAAACGGTTGGAAGACAGCGTGATTGTCATTTTTAAATTGTTCTCCTCCGAGCCAACGTTCGGGAAGAAACTTGTCTGGCTCATGAAAGTACTCTTTGCAGTGGTTCGTGGCATATTGGGAAACGTACACGGAAGTCTGAAAGCCCAGTTAATAGCGCAATATCTGGAACGAACAAGACGGGAACAAAACTCACTCCTTCAGGGATGAAGATTCCTGAGATGACGTCTCCACCCTTTGGCACGATTCGTCCGAACCTGAGAGGTTGGCGGAAGCGTCAGTAAAGACTCGCTCGGTAGGCGTATACCATAAGTCGCTTACCCAGTTGGAACCGGCGGGTAGATCCGAAGTGTCTCATTCAACACGGCGAGCATATACTGCAGCCGGGAATTTATTGTGGTGATACTGATCTCGTCGATATGGGAGAAACTCGATCGGACTTCTTTCGTCAAGCATTTGTAAACTTCGGGATGGGACAAGATCAGGTAGACTGCTGCAGACAACGTAGTCGCAGTAGTCTCACTGCCTGCAACGATAAATATCTGTGCACAACTTTGGATCTCGGCTAGAGAAAGAGCATTTGTTCGAAGTGCATCGGCCGCGGAAGTCATAAAATCGTCCCTTTGGGTTTCCATGGCCAGTCGTCGTTCCACTTTATGAATGTTGAAGTTCATCAAGGTCTCCCTTTGCAAGAGCACCTCCTTTGGCACAAAGTAACCCATGAAATGCTTGAGCCAAGGGATCCGGAGCTGAGCATCATTAAAGGCCATGGCATAGAAAGCAGCAAATGTCAGAGCAACGATCGGGTCATAGGTTGAATTCTCCAGACAGCCATAAGGTTCACCGTACGTCAGGTCAGCAATAGCGTCAAAGGTGGCGAAATTGAACCATGAGACGATATCAACTACCCCCTTGGTTGGTGAATCGACCTGTTGCCGTAGTCGCTGCACCAGCAGATCGGAGTATTTCCGGAGGATGGGCTCCTGCAGACGGAGAGAGTTTTCAGAAAAAGCGTGAGAGAACACGCGCCGTTGGCGCCCGTGGTCCTTTGCCAAAGCCATCACCAGCCCCCTTTCGCCACTCAGGGGTGGGGGGAAAAAGTGCATATCTTTCTCATATCCGTCCTTAAGTCCCTGCCTGAACCCGTAGATTGCTTTCCAGCTGTCCATGGTGACGAAAGAAACTTGGTTTGGTGCCACCCTTACCACTGGGCCATATTTCTTGTGCAGTCTGTTGATCTCCCGCACGGCGTTGCCCTGGAGGATGGTCTTGGTGTAAGGGATCTCGCTGAAGGCGGTCCATTTTGGACCCGGGATACGTCGTAGTGGATGGAAATATACGTTGTAAATACCCTTAACGAGAAAGGGTAGAACAATCTGATCAGAAAAACATTAATGAGGTATCAAGGATGAATGGGGGAGCCGGCTACCAGACAAAAGCCCGTTGCGAAGAGGACCAGCAAGGCTTGAGGCGCCAGAACATCCGACAGGGAGAAGCGAAGAACCTCTTGTGCCAGCACCATGATTGGGTGCCTCTCGTTGTCTACCCAGCAACAAGGTTCAGTGGCTTTTTCGCGGAATAGTGCGCGAACCCTGCCCTCGAATCTGGCTTTATACTTTATACCTCTTTGACAATGTACCGTCGTTGAAAATCGGCAATTCGGGTCTCGCAAACGTCTAGGCACGTAGCAGGTGCGTAGAATGTCTCCCCCCTTCCCAAGAAGGAGATTATCTCAGGAGCGAACAGAACATCCCTTTGACAGCCACACTCCGGATCTCTCTCTTGATACTTTCGGAAACGGAAGTCTTCTTGTCGTGCGCCCGCAATGAGCGGACCGTTCATACGCCGGGCCATTCTCGGAATAGTCACTGGATGGAGCCCGTGCGTATACAATGTGAATCTGATTATAGAGAGCGAGCTGATTGCATGCGCCTCCCCATGATGTATCTTAAGGCTGATATCTCCACGTTGAGCACGAGGCAGGAGAGATGCCAACAAACTGACAGGCTCGGAAAGGTCGTATGTGCTATACTTCTGCCCGGTGTTACGTTTTCACATCGACCCTATTATCAGTTTAATTGCTTTGACGCGAAAATGCTTTCCCCTGATAGGAACAACGCAACCCCCAGAGAGAAGATCTCTGCAAGAAACTGGCTGATCTTTGCGACACTCTGTTTCGGTGCCATCGCTGGGGCGATGTCCAACGGCATTATCAGCACGACTCTGGGCCAGCCGTCTTTTCTCGAATATTTCGGCTTCCTCAACCTCACGGGGACCAATACTAGCCTCATTGGAGCCACTCTCGGGGTCTTTTATGCCGGTTGCCTCTTTGGTCTTCACTGCCAGGACTACGTGTCGGACAAATATGGCCGTCGGATGTCACTCGCCGTTGCGTCCGCTACGTCGATTGTGTCTGGGGGCTTGATCGCGGGGAGTGTGCACATTGCAATGTTTCTCGTCTTTAGGTATGAGGGACATCCTTGCTTTACTCTTTGCTTCGCTAAGTGGACGTCCGAACAGGTTCCTCGCAGGGTTTGGAGCCTCGATGTTCGTTGCCGCAACGCCTCTGCTCATGTCGGAGCTGTCCACACCTCGTCACCGAGGACTAATGGTAGGTATGTTTGGCGTGGGACTGTCATTTGGCTATTCTGTTGCCTCTTGGTTCGGGGTGGCCTTCTACTATCTTCCTGCCTCTGGTGCCCAATGGCGAATCCCTTACGCTTTAACAACCGTCCCGTCCATTCTGACACTTATTCTTCTTCCCTGGATCCCGGAGTCTCCAAGATGGCTTATTATGGTTGATCACCTTGATGAAGCATTACGAATTATTCGCAGCCTCCACGGAAGCAGCAGAGATCCGCAGCTGGACTCGTTCGCCAACGCCGAATTCGAGCAGATGAAGACTCAAATTGCTTTTGAGCGCCAGCATAAGGTCACTTGGGTTGAGTTTTTGACTTCCAAGCGCTATAGAAGCAGAGTTTGGACAGCTGCTCTGACATTTATGGCCAGTCAGGTAAGGCAAGATCCCTTCAATTGGTACATACGTGCTGGTCGCTGACCGCCTCTTAGTCCGCCGGCATTCTCGTGGTCATTAACTATAGCACCGCAATCACCAAGAACCTTGGATTTGGACCAGCCGCGCAGTTGTCTATCACATCCGCCTATCTCTCCTCCGGTCTCGTGGCCGTCTGCATCGGAGCTCTCATTGTCGATCATCTGGGAAGAGTGAGATCCATTATCATTGGCACTTTGCTTCAGGTCACGCTTCTTGCCTGCCTCACAGGTATCATTGCGAAATACGCTGGAAGCTCCAACAAAGCAGCAAACTCAGCAGCCATTGCACTCTTTTTCCTCTACTTTCTATCTTATGGCACCTTCGTTGAGGGGCAGATCTACACATATTGTAACGAGCTGTTCCCCAGTCATCTCCGAGCCAAGGGTGTCACTTGGGGCCTTTCCTGGTTGTATCTGTTTGCCATCCCATTCACCACGTAAGTTGAAAAGCAGCTTTGTTGAGATATTGTCTGTCTGTTAACGTCATCAGTGGCGCGTTGTATGCGTTCGAGACCGTTGGCTGGAGGTACTACTTGGTCTTTATTGTTGTCCCCCTTGTAGTTGTCGCTGCACTGAGATTTCTGGCCAAGGAAACAAAGGGGAAAACTCTGGAGGAAATTGGTGCACTTTTTGGGGATGAGCTTGTCGTCAGAAATCTTGACGATCAGCTACAGACTGACAAGGTTGCCGGCACCGAAAGTGTTCATGTCGAGAAGATCTATCCAACAGTCTCGGAACAGGATGAGGCGGCCAAGACATTCTAGAATGTACCTCGAAGGTGCCGCATTGGTTGGAAGTTCATAAAGCTTCGTTTTGCTGAGCGAGAAACAGATGTCCTGGGTTATTGCACCCAGATCACCTCTAAAAAGAACCGAAAGCCTGAAATCAAGGAAATGTTAGGCCTGTCTCACCCGTAGACTATCATCACTACCTCATTCTATATTGAAGGAATAGTCACAGTCTCCGCCGATCTACTTCTTTCAAACCGCCGTGCGTACTCATCCCGAATAGCTAGCGACAATTTACAGTGCATTCTTCGTCTTTCCTGCTATGCTTCACGGCTGCCCTAAGTAGCAAAATCGCTTTCGAGTACGATTACTGACGAAGTGGGAAAGAGCACAGGATGCCAGTATCCAGAGTCATGCTTCAAACTTCTCTAATCTTCAGCTATACGAAAGCCTTTGTAATCCTCTTGAATACAAGTGCTGAGCCGTTCCCTCAATGACTTGTACCCGCCCATGAAGAAAATGGTAGAGCCTTTCTTACCCTCGACATTGGTTCCTGAAATGAAGGACGATTTCGACGTCATATAAAGACTTCCCTTGCCCAACCTGACACATAGTTCGTTCCAGTCGCGCTCTGCTTGTGATTCTGCCTCCACTATAATCTTCTTGATGTCGCCGCCTTGATTTCGGCGCTTCTCCGCAGTAGCAATAAGACCAGTAATGAATTCCACGTAAGATTCGAGAGCCGGCGGTATATTCGAAATGATTGACTGTGGACCGCTTACCATGAACAGGTTAGGGAAATCGGATACCCCCACTCCAAAGTAGCTGGTCGGTCCATCCTTCCAATGTTGGTCCAGGGTGATACCATTTCGACCTGTAAATTTGATTTGCCGGTAACTGCCGTCAATGGCGTCAAATCCAGTCGCAAAAATGATCACATCCAGGTCATATCGGGTTCCATCTGCTAGCTCTAGTCCAGTCTGAGTGAGCTTCACAATTGGGTTGTCCTTGACCATCACAACATCAACGTTGTCACGGTTGAACTGTTCGAAATAGCCCGCGTCACAAATCGGCCTGCGATTCCAGATATCTGTCGGGGTTAATTTCTCCCTTTTGACAGGATCTTTGACGGTCTCGGCAATCTTCTTCCTGATAAACTCGCACGCCGTGATATTGGATGCTCTGTTGCTAACCAGGTCATTGAAAGTTCCACGGAGGAATCGGAGATTGTTCCCTAGATCCCATGCTTCTTGATATATTCTGTCCCGTTCCTCTGTAGAAACACCCATAGCAGAGATCTTCGGCTCGACAAACTCGCACGCAGTCGTGGTGCTCTGGACTTGCTTCCAGATTTCATCCCACTCCCGATTAATCATTGCCCGCTCCTCGGCTGTTACAGGTCGTCTTCCGGCTGGGACCGAGTACTGAGGGGTTCTCTGGAACGAGATCAAGGAACCCACATCTTGGGCGATATCGACGATGACCTGCACACCAGTGGATCCGTTGCCGACAACTCCAACGCGTTTACCCTTAAAGTCGTAGTGCTCGGGGAATCTAGCGGTATGATAGAGCTCCCCTTTATATGCGTCTTGTCCGGGAATACTTGGCCAATTGACTTGGGTGAAATGGCCAAGGGCAGTAATGAGGTAGCGTGCCTTGATGGACTTGCCGCCGGCATAAACAGTCCATGTGCCATCGCCTTCATTGAATTCGGCAGAAGTGACTTCCAGGTTGAACTCCATCTGTTTTCTCAAATTGTGGCGCTCCACGATGTGTGAGAGATACGCCACGATCTCATCCCTATACAGATAGTTGTCTGTGAACGGGTAGGTCATGAGATCCTCTTTGTCCCAGGAATAACGATATACGGTCGAGTGCGTGTCGCTCATCGCACCAGGATATCGATTCCACTGCCAGACACCTCCGACATCGACGCAACGATCGATCAACCTCACGTTCAAGCCCAATTTCAGTAGGCTATAAAGCTGATAAATTCCACCAAAGCCTGCGCCGACAATAAGCGCATCGTAGCTTTCAGCCGCCATGGCAGTGATGGTGGAATGATTTTCAGTGAGGAGCAAATTCACAACACTCTTGAGAAATGGTATTATTCTTTTCCCTGTGCTTATATATACTTTGTTTGGGCGACAATGGAAGACACACTGTTCGGCGTCCGGTCAACATACTGGAGCCGAAGAAGGCGTTCAGTAGAGATCGTTCGAAATCCTCAGATCATCTGATAAAGTGCATAAGAACCGAATAAGTGAAGGGGCAAGCATTGTTGTGGTCTGGAGGAACGCGGTCTTCGACTACAGCCCGGTTTGCCTTTTCGGAAAACCAGAGATTCGCGGACCGTCGGTCCGATCTGGCCAGGGCGCTTGGAAAACTAGGAGATGCGGACAGCTCTGTTGAAGACTCGCCATAGGCATCGAGGATGAGAAGCAATAAAAATCGAAAATTTGTAGTTCATTTCGCCCTTTATGACAAGCCTAGAGGGCAGCAGTGGAGCCATGCTATTCCATCGGCCTTCACGATGCACGCCCCATCGCTTGTGGGAGCAGCGCCGTGGCCCTATGGACGTTATTTTGACGGAGCACGACCAAGGAAGTACTCTCTGAAGCCCTGCCTACACTATACCTCACACCAGACGGCGAAGACTCCGTAATTGATGAAGGGGACAGACCGCTAGACATACAATCTTGTGGGTGCTGCGCCCGCCGCTATACGTCAATATCCTGTGCCTGGAGACTTTAAAAGCTCCGTAAATATGTGGCTGTATTCTGGGTCTGTGGGTGCCTCTCCTGATAGCGAAACTCCCTGAAGCCACTTTTGGTGGTATGCCTTGACGTTCTTCCAGTCTGACACAAGCTTTGCAAAGTGATTCCCTTTGTGATTATAGAGACCTGTAGGCGCCAGGCTCTGGAATTCGTTCAAACGAGAACACAACGTATCGATATATTTGTCTAACAATGCGGCCCGCCGGGAAGTGTCGCTTGTGGCCCAGCTCGGATTAGAGTTGAGAATGATGGAACACTTGGTAGAGAGCATGACAGTGAAATTGACCGAGCGCCAATCTAAACATGTCCAATCTGCCATAGTCTCGAGTGAAAAGTCGAGCACGTGGCTAAGATAGCTGGATGCCGAGGAGAAGCATTCGTAGATAATGGACACGCGGGTGAATGAGAGATGCTGTCCCTGCATGTGGCCGTAGAGGCCAACTTCGTGAATATAAGCACAGCCAATGTAGAACTGGCGGACGACGTAACCTATTGTGGGACCACCAGTCAGTTTCTCTCCTTCAAGATCGCAAAGTGAAGAGCACTGACCAAGACTCTGCACGCTTGGAGGAAGAGCTGCTTTCGAATCTTCCAGATGTCTAGATAGTGTATTAACAAAGACTTGCACTTGTTCGTCGTTGAAACCGCATGACTTCTCCTTTGAGCCGTGGTCGAATAGGTCGCTCGTCAGCTCTGTAATCTGCAGAGAACGCACTACATGCACGAGGGTTTCGTCTGAAGGATACTGCGAATCTGCCGCCAAGCTCGCAGCACATTCATCCAGGTATTGCTTGTTTATCAACCTTGAGGGCTTTCTATACCATAACAGGCAGCTTTGCAAGGGTTAGAAAATCTCGTTGGTTTTCCCCACGAAGGTGCATTGCTTGCTTACAAGATCGAAATGACGAATGCCCCAATGTAAGCTCTCTTTGCTTCCAAACTCCAGGAATTGGTATGATAATTCTGGCTTGCAGATGCAGGTTCTGCGGGGACCGGCTCACCAGGCGAAGCCAGAATCATTTCGTGCTGTGTGGGGTTCACAGATTTCTGAGGAATACCAAGCTCGGCGGCCATCGACACAACAAGCGCACCCAGCCTACAAGACTGAAATACTACCGGAGAAGCATACCAGTGGCACCTGTCAGGAGATGTATAAGTAGGATGTTCGAGTTTCGTTCTGGACATGGCACCATACCAAGCGAAATAAACAATCACTGCCTGAAACAGATCCAATGATCTCTCTGACTTCAGAAAATATCTGTCCCCTAGTTCTTTCACAAACTGTTGTTTCAATGAAGCCTGCCGCACAGGAGAAGCCCAGGAGGTCACGATAAAAATTGCCTGAGCCAGCATGGGGCGCTCTGCGATCAATGAGGCTGATGACCAAGTTTCTGGGATTAGAACGTAAGGGAAGTTGTTCTTCGACATGCGTCTGTAGGTACGGAGGAGCATTTCCTGTTCAACGGGTGGTACTTCGACAAGGGCCTCATCCACGTTTGATGGAGGGGAGTGAATATTCTGAGACTTTGATACACAGGGTTCATGGCGCGACTGCTTCAGTAGCGAGATTATCTCGGCGTAATTGTTCTCCAACAAATCAATTCTTCCTCGCACTGCAGGTCAAAGTTAGGTCAACGTCCAATTGGGTCCATCCAGAGATAGTATCATACTCCGGAGCTTTCGTTTCTTAGGTCGAGATTCTGGAATGCGACATTGCTTTCCCATTCTTGCGCACCTGTTTCAGTGACTATCGTCAGTAGCCGACGGGCAACCAGGCACAATCACGGCCGTGTTCCAGCAGGAGATACCTTTCGCAGATTCCATTCTGCTCACCGGTTGGTACGCAACGCATCTTTTTCTCTCTACACTCCGAGCAAGCCGGGTGTCTCCTGAGCTCAGACATCTCGGGCGCGATAAAGAACGGCCAAACAATCTTCAGGACGAAAGAAGCACCTCTGCACGGCAGCGTGTGTAGATGGTGTGCTTGGAGAAGAGTATCCGTGACCCCCATGCCATGCATCCCGATCTCTTCATCATTGTTTCGGCTCTAACAACACATAGGTCTACCAATAAGACGCTGGCTTCGGAATGCGGACCGCGATGCGTTCCGGAACGACATTGTACGATGCGATTAGAACTGGGGTTTAGTTTGTTGCTGCTCCTGCATTAAACGTGGAGTTAGAGGCCATGAGAGATCCGGGGTACATACAGTGACAATCCTACCCTGGGTTATAGTGGCTAGCTCATGCGTGCCTCGACGTGGCACTCTGAGGTCGGCATTTACTTCGCCTTCGGCTAGCCTCCCACGGTAGACATCTCGGCTTCTACCTGTGTTGCTCCTAGCCGATTTTGTAGTCCAGCAGTACAGAGGCCCTGAGTGCTTGATGAAAATGAGTCCATCCCGAAGTTCCAGACCACGGAAGATACTGCGTATGGTTCAGTGCTTTAGCACAGCTTAGGCTCCTGTGACAGTGGCGCCACCGCAATAAATAGCAATAAGACGAGAATTTACCAAAGAGAGCGCGAGATAGTTTTCCCCTGAAGAGACATAGGAAGTTGAATGTAAATAGTCTTTTTGGGTTTCTCAAACTGGACGAGGGCCAACCCAAACATCTCACCTCTAACTGCAACAAGTGCTACTGGCAACCCTGGGTTGTCCTCCCAAAGGCTCGTCAGTAAGCGAATCAGCGAATCCTCCATATGACGTCCTCCACACCCCCTCACCCCTTTCCCCTTTCCCCTCCCCCTTCCTCCGCCCTTCCCCCTCGCCTCCCCTTTTCGGGCGTAACGAGAGCCTGTGGGGTTCAAAGCAAGCACCCTCGGCTCCAGGTTGGCGAATCGACCGCCCCGGAAAAAGGACAACATATGGCCCCGAAGCCCCGAGATATTGCCTCCAGCTAGGACAGAAGCCCTGAGGTAGGCCACAGACTTAACTGGGTCGGGCGTAATTATTGCCATGCTCCTCAAGCAATTCTCGCTAACCAAATATCAACAAGCTTATCGACCTGGCAATGTTTAATGTCTGTTTCTTTAATACGTGTCTGAGCAGTGACACGGCTCCCCTGCTTAAGACCTACCGAAGCTCGCTATTATCCAGAATGATGACCAGTCCTGCCTCTAACACTGTCGACTACCGTCCGATTAGGCGGGTCAGACAAGCTTGTCTGAACTGCAGGTGGGTGATCATATTATTCAAGTTGCCAATGCCCCAAACTCAACTCCTGTACAGACGTCGCAAAGTTCGCTGCTCGGGTCAGCGCCCAACCTGTGCGTTTTGTCTGCGGCTCTCAGAAGAGTGCACGTATTCCAACGAGTTGACCAAAGCTACTGGCCAAACATCGAGCGTAGGTATCCAGTGAACGAGGCCATAAAAGAGAAGCAGACCTGATCGACGCCTGGTTAGACTCATCTCTCCAAAAGACTCTTGTCCCTCGAAGCCAAACTGGCCGAAGTCACTCAGGGTCTCCAACAAAAGACGACGTGAGTTGCAAGCTCATTCTAGAATGCGGCACTCACCTAATCTACAGGTCGAATGGAGGGCGACAGCATCATATCACCACCCCTGCTTCGCTAGGATCCAGCTCGGATGCATGGCCTCTGCTTCCGTCTCTGGAAGTTATAAGCCCTCCGAGCAGTGATAGGTACATAAAAGTGGCATTTTCTGGCAATTCCTGTGCCGAGATTCCCTGACGTGTCTACAGTTCAACCGAAATTCAAATACCTCTATCTGTTGTACAAACAGCAATTAACCAGTACTTCATCCATTGCCACAATCATCCACTGTCACTGTTCGACGAGCAGAGGTTTCGTCAACGGTGGGAACATGGTGTGATACCACAATATCTGCTCCTGGTCCTCATAGCATCGGCCTTGAGATTTTCGGGCAATTCATTCCCCCAAGACAAACAGGATGAACTCATCCGCAGCTACAGCAGACGTTCTTGGACTCAGATGGTGAATCGCTGGATGAATCAAGATGTTGAAGAAAATCCCAAAGTGGTACAAGCCGTGCTCCTTCATTGTCTGATAGATATTGCCGGTAAGGGCGCAAACCCTTTGGACGTGTACGAAAGATACCTTGCTGATACGACACTGATGGGAATAGACGGCCAGAACTATCGCGCGTCTGTCAAGATTGCACTTGCCGTTCGAATTAGCCAAGAGCTCCGATTGATGCTCGAGCCAGATCCCAGACTCGACCCCGCCGAGCAAGAGGAACAAAGGCGCATCTTTTGGTCGGCCTACGTCTTGGACAAGTTCATTACTTGCAAAAGAACACGACCATCGGCCATCTCCGATGACGATTGTAAAGTTCGTCTTCCTAGGGATGGCTACGATCTGCTTCATGGAGAGTTGCTGGAAAAGGAATATGCCCTAGACCAGCTCAAACTAATTTCAACTCTCGAGGCGTCTCATCTCAGCCCCTTTGCAGTGTTGGTCTTGATATCATCCACTCTGGGTCAGTGTGCCAACTATAGCCTGCACGAATGTAGCTGCGGCTCGAACCTACCACCCTGGGATTCATCATCTACATTCTCAGCCATCAGCTCCAGCCTAATGGTGTTCGAGTCTGTCTTTAGTCTCGACGAATCGTTTGCAGCTATGTCCTTGAGACACTCAAGCGTCGACGGAGTGATGGATCCCCGGATGGCAGGACAGCTAATTTTGTCACGCGCCATCTTTCACTTGTGCAATATCCTGCTCTATCATCCGCTCCTTTTATTGCGCCGAGCTCATTCTCTGAAGGAACGGGTTCCAGAGAGCTTTCTGCGACGAACAAATCAAATGTTGCGCGAGCATGCGGTCGCCCTGACGACCCTACTGCGGGATTCCTTTCATGCAGGACATCGTGGATCGAATGTGATGATAGCGTATTGTGCTTTTATGGCTGGTGTCACACACTGTCTCCATATTGCTTCTGGAGTATCGGACGTTGTGGACGACTTTGCAGAGCTTGCCGACTTCAGCATGACTTTGCTAAGCGAGCTAGCAAGCAAATGGCCTATAGCAGCCTCTATGGTTTGTCACGAATCCTCCCTGGCCCTTTCAATGATAACTGACAATCGTTCCAGCTTCAAAATCTCCGAGCTCTTCATAAAGATAGTCTACATCATAACGACCCTGCAATCCCTCCAGTCGACTTTCGCGACCTCGACAAGCGCTTTGTCGACCGCAACTTGAGATTGATGGACCAGGGACTTGCTGTTGAACCGTCAGGCAAATATCTTCCGTCTCAGTCAGTTTGTCAGAGATATGAAAACTCCCACAGTGACGCCTTAGACGAATACTCTCCAGAATTTACGTTGTCGTTCGAAAATGCTACGCTCCCAGCGCTAGATGCAGACATAGATGGGTTGCCGAGCAGTGGGGGAAATGAACAGTATGGATCTGCATTGGTTTCTTTTGACACGTCACCTCTGGCATCATTCTTGATGGCACAGGGTATGGAGACCGTGGAGGACTAAGCCGAACCGACCGCCTCGTCTAGCTAGCTAGATGGAACATGCACTCCATGGTCAGAACGGTCAACACAATTAGGCAAGTATGGCTAGCGTTCATCCATCTTAACTCAAGTTTGCACTGACAACACTATGTACAGCTGTGCCTTCTGGATTAGGACGAAACATCAGAGCGCTTCTCATCGTTGAAATGCCGCTGTTAATTGCCATTGCAGATCCATATCCGATTAATGGATGGTACCCGGCCCATAAGACTGAAGGTCACTTCATCCGCCGATAACTCAGGCCATGTCTATCAATATGACGATCTCACCTCAGAAATTCCATTTCCGGAAAGTCCGGCCCGCTTCCGAGATGTCCCTTTAATCACTAGCAGTTAGACGTATCACTGTCTAATCGGTCCGTCTGAATCTATGATGTGGTGGACAGTTGGGTTAGACCTCTGCCTTATGCCACTCCCCGTTCGAGCCCACGGTGGCATGATCGTCGAATCGGTGCTTCCGTGGAGCGGTCATCAATTTCGGCGAAGCTTCGTAACCCGTGCTTCAGCATTGTCAGATTGAGATACGAAAGCACAAGTTGATTAAAAGTGGAGTAAAGGTTGCACATATAGTGCTTATATCTACGTTAACCAGAAGCCACACGACAGGCTTAGGAAGAGGGAATCGAGAAGACATCTTTGTGCACACTTCCTTTCTTATCCTATCTAGAACCACCCGAGCACTGCAAACAAGCCGACCAGTACAATGGCTGCCGAGGCGACGAAACACTGGCAGCAAGTAGTCAAGGAGAGAGGTACAGATTCAACAGGGCCAACAAAAGCTTACCACTACCATGATCTAGCGTATGCTTTGTCGCAAGTCCCTATGGGCAAGCCACGCAAATTGAAAGTGATTGTCGCAGGAGCAGGCATCAGCGGCCTGTGTTTTGCCCACGAAGTGCAGTCTGGGTCAATCCAAGCGGTGGACTTGACGATCTACGAAAAGAACTCATCTGTCGGAGGCACATGGTTTGAAAACAGGTATCCGGGGTGCGTGAAAAGCGTTCCGATCACAGTTCTCGACGAAACAAGCTACTAACCTTTATGACACCCCAATAGATGCGCCTGTGATATCCCCATTCACAACTATCAGTTCTCATGGGCCCCCTATCCTTATTTCAGCTCATATTATGCCGGCTCCGGGGAGATTCGTAACTATCTAGAGAGAGTTGCAGACCAGTTCGAGTTGCGCCAACACATTAAGACTTCGCACAAGATTGTTGGAGCAATGTGGCAGCCAGATCGACAAAGATGGCACGTTACTGTTCGTCGTACTGACGGACGAGATCTTGTGGTATCCAGCCGAACGGAGGCTGATACCGAGGCTGGAGAGACGTTTGTCGAAGAATGCGATATCTTTGTAAATGCGTGTGGCTATGTTAATGACTGGAGGTGGCCCTCCATCCCTGGGAGACTCGAATTCGAAGGCAAAATGTATCATTCAGCGGCTTGGGACCCGAAGGCGGATCTGATTGATCAAACCGTGGCGTTGATCGGGAATGGCAGCAGTGGCATCCAGATTCTTCCGTCCATCATCGACAAGGCCAAGAAGGTTTACGTTTTCATCCGCAGTCCAACCTGGATCACCGCTGGCTTTGCTTCCAAATTCGCTGGACCTGGCGGATCCAATGTGATTTTCAGCGAAGAACAAAAGAAGCATTGGGCAGACAATCCTGAAGCGTACCTTGCATATCGCAAAGAGGTTGAGATGGAGCTGAATTCACGCTTCCGTCTTTACATCAAGGACACAGAGGACCAAAAGAATGCACAAAAGTTTTCCACCAAGGCAATGGTGGACAAGTTGTCGCAGAAGCCGGAGCTAGCAAAGCTCCTCTTGCCCGACTTTGCTGTAGGGTGCGTCTTACAACATTGGCTTGCTTCTTTGGAGAATGGTATGCTGACCTAGCTTTCCAACAGATGCCGTCGTCCTACTCCGGGCAATGGGTATCTAGAAGCTCTTTGCTCTGACAAATGCGAAGTGATCTGGGGCGAAATCGACAGGTTCACTCCCACTGGCCTCCGCTCTGCATCTTCCGGTGAAGAAGTCACCGTAGACACCATCATTTGCGCCACGGGCTTTGACATCAGCTTCTCCCCTCGATACCCGATTATCGGTCGTAACGGTGTCAACCTTCAGGACAAATGGGACAAGAGTCCAGAAAGCTACCTGTCCGTCCTCGCAGAGGATATGCCCAACTATTTCGTGTACTTGGGTCCCGCAAGTCCGATCGGCCACGGAAGTTTGGTTGGGTCGGTAGAAATCATCACCAGCTACATTGGAGACCTGATTAAGAAGCTCCAACAAGAAAACTATAGTTCCTTCTGCCTTAAGCCTGGCCTCGCAGCGGCTTGGAAGAATCACTGTTTGGCTTGGCTGGAGAAGACGGCATGGAATTCTCCTTGTGTGAGCACTTATAAAAATGGTACGAAGGACGGGAGCCTGGTGTCCTTGCACGGTGGTTCTCGACTCCACTATTTCTCTTTGTTGAGAAGAAAACGGTACGAGGATATAGACTGGACCAGCCTGTGCTCGGACCTGCCTTTTGCCTGGCTTAACAATGGTTTCACCGTGGAGGAAACTGATGACAGAGAGAAGTCGGACCTGACGTGAGTATTTGCTGCTTTCCCTTTACAAAACGCTGTGAACTGACTAGTATCTGATAAAAGATGGTATCTTAACCCGGTGGGCAAGCACGCCATATTGCAGCCTCCGAAGGCGACTAGTGGAGAAAATGGTGCCAGCGGAGATAATGGGCATGTGTAGAAGGGACGTTTTCACTGCAGTGTTGATATCAGAAGCCGAGTTGGCGAAAGAGGAACACATCTAAATATATTATGAGACTACAGATTGCGATGATTAGTGCTCTGTATTGTTTGTTGATAGAAATAGCAATGTCATCATGGAACAGGGAACATGGTATCGTATCTGATAAAGGTTCAGTAATAGGTAATTTTCCTCTGTACCTCTTCTTTATTGCTGTTTTTATGCGGCAAACATTGTCTATGAGCGATTTTCTCTATAGTCTTGGTGTTCCCATCTCCGCGCGCGGCCTACTCCATGCCTTGAGCTCTCGTCTCAGCACTTTGCCGGTAGTGTTCTTTGGCAGTTCGCGAAGAATGACGACGCCTCCACGTAGCTTCTTGTACGAACTGACCTTGGAGTCAACGAATTCAGCGATAGACTTCGTAAACCTCTCTTTTTCTGCGGGGTCCAGGCCAAGCTTGTTTTTCAATGTGACAAAACCCCGAGGCACTTCTGTGGCCTCGTCGTCGTGCCAGGTACCAATAACCACTGCCTCGTCGACAAGAGGATGGCGGAGGAGGATTCTCTCTAGCTCTGAGGGAGATACTTGAAACCTGGAACGGTTGGCAGAGGCGTTCTCTGAATATTACTCGGAGTGTCGAAGCAAACATACCCTTTGTATTTGATAACATCCTTGATTCGATCATAGACAAACAGGAAACCATCATTGTCGATGTATCCCAGATCGCCTGTCCTGTACCATCCGTCTTCGAAATAGTCTTTCACAATGCCACCTCCAGCCTGTTTATATCCCCTACGTCTCTCAGGTTAGCAAGTTGGAGGTTCTCCAAATGGCAAAGGGATTGTGGATACATCATGACATTTGGCCCGCGACACGTAATCTCTCCTGGACCTCTGGCACCGACATCCTTACCATCCTCATCCAGAAATCGTATCTCCGTATTGGCGATCGGTGTTCCGGCAGCTGTCAGCGGGAGCTTTACATCTCGCACGCCACTGTGAATGCTGGGCCCAGATAGCTCTGTGCACCCATATGCTGCAGCTAGGTTTAGTATGAATTTGCCCGAAGCCATCTCCAACAGTGGTACATACTTTGACACAGAGCCACCCGGGGAAACACCTGCTTGAGCTTTGTGGCGAGGTCGGGCTGGTATCAAAGAAACCACAATCAGTCCATCCTAAATTTCAATCATCTTGGCCGAATCTGAGGAATTCGACTCACATGCAACGGCGCAGCGGAGCAGCTGAAGTATTCCAGACATGGGTACCGGTATTGCTTCACCACCGGGTTCTCTGCCAACATTTTTGCGACAGGAGGAACCAGTCTTGCCAATGTGGCCTTACGGTCTTGCATCAGCTGACAATACCGGCGCAAGTCAAAACGTGGCATGAGGCACACGAAGGCTCCAACCCAGACGCACGTCGTGAATACCGCGTATAGTGCATAGACATGGGAGAGTGGAGGGAAAAAAACCTCTCTTTGACTACCTCTCCAGTTGTCTGGATTGTCCGAGCGTAGTTGATTGCACATGGCGACAAGATTGTAATGCGAGAGCATCACAGCCTTCGGAGAGCCCGTGGTGCCGCTTGAAAGAAGAACAGCAGCACAAATTTCGTCACTTCTCTGTCCGTCAAGGCTCCAAGGACCCTCCTCCCGGGAAGGCTCACCAATGGTGCTCACGGAGCTGGAGCCCATTGGTAGTTCGGGCCACTCCGTACTTTTTGGTCCAATGGTGTAAACTTGCAAGGGCCGTTTCTGGTCATGTGTGGAAATTTTCAAAACTTCTGGCAACTTTTGAAAAAGTGTTTCATCGATGACTATGAAAGTTGGCTCGACCATATCGACGGCGTGGCGAATTTCATCGACAGTCAACGCGTTGTTGATCAGACTGACGACTCCCCCTGCCCACCAGACCGCGTGAGCTGTTAAAATGCAATCGATCCGGCTTGAAGAGAGAATGGACACAATCTGCCCTGGTTGGAGTCCGACCACATTGCGGAGCAGTTGAGCGGTTGTGCGTATCTGATAGTGAAAAGATCCATAAGTGACTGTTTTCCCGGAAATTGCTTCCTCAAAGATGGTTTTCTCGGGCGCTGTATTCTCGATATTGTGTTGCATAAGCTGTGAGATGGTGATGTGTCTTGGGATCTCGACCCAGCACGGCGAACGGTAAACGGACATTTGGAGGACCAAAGCGGATGTCTCGTGGTGCCTGTCGTTGCAATGCACCGTCCATTTTTGCGACCCTTTTGACAGAGAGAAGATGTCCTAGGCAGACATCATGGAGGTGCTTGATCCGATGCGCGTGCAGAGATACCAGGCAGGTGGTTGACTTCGGCAGATGTTTTGTCTTTGCTTGGGCTTGTCAGGTCCGCGGAACAGGGGATCGACGCACAGGCCGACCCGGTCGGAGCGTAGATTCCGAACTCCCAACATGCCCCTGACTCATGAACGGTGGCTCCTGTCTTGTGCATGGTATCGACGAAGGCAAGAAGTCTCGAAGTTTATTGGAACTGGAAACGAGCACCGTGACGTCTAAGAACTCCTACGTCCGCTCCTCTGTCAAATCCGAGCTACGATGCACCTGCCGTTAGATCACGATACATGTGGGATATTATAGTTCTGAAGTCTTGCCTGCAACCGAATGGCGAGTTTGATTACCTATTGTTCGTGAGCTCTCCTCATGAAGCTGCTCGAGTTCTAGCAAAAGTAACCTTTCCAAACCTCTCCTCCATCGTTGTTCTCCATAAGGACGCCAAGTCGAGACTTTGCGGATCGCCCGGGGGAAGTAGTTGACTTGCGTACATACCACATATCTCTTCGCCAGGGTTAACCCACCAAAATAAGTTCGGCAGGCCGCTCCATGACAGAGTCCATTGCTTCTCCCCCTGCTTTTTGTTGAGCAGACCTAAGAGGCTATATTGATACTCGATAGCACCACCACTGCCGTTAGGATGATCTGGATCAGGCGCCGGGAGGCCACCGGAGAACATTCGCCTCGCTCGATGCGTCGCAAGCACCTTCAACAGGCTCTTTTGAGCATCCATGCCAACCTTTCCCTCGACCAGTTCTGGCTCAAACACATATTTGTCGATTGTAGATGGTTGGAGCAGTTTTCCGTCGTTACAGAGCAAAGAGGTGAGGACTTTGATGTATTCCGCGGGAGTAATATAAAGCGCTCCACCTCCCCATTCGTCTTTAGGGTTCAACGGGTATAAGGGCTCAGCAGGCATGAGTTTCCCCTGGTCGCGTTGTGTCATCCACACCCATCGCGCAGCTAGTTCGGCTGGGCTCAGGCGCAATTCCCGCTGGCGGAAGGCGGCGTCTTTGATGCCCAGAGGTTGCCAGATATGCTTTTCTGCGTATGCACCCAGACCTGGTTCTTCTGTTAAGCGTGCAACTACCACACCCGCCCAGTCGAGCCCGGGAGAGTAGGTCCATTGAGTACCAGGTTCGGCGATGAGAGGCGTGTTGTACAGCTCAAGAATGTTTCCATGGTAGTCGGCCACGTTCTTCCCACTGACCTCCCACCACCTTGCAATGTCCGGGTGGATGAAGTGGTTAGCCAAGCCGGATGTGTGAGTCAACAAATGCCGGAAAAGAATTGGCCGAGTAGATTTTTGAAGTATGGGTTTGTCATCCTCGCCGAAACCGAGCAGGATATCAGGGTGTGCCAGTTCAGGACAGACTTTACCAACGTCATCGTCCAGTGAAATGAGGCCTTGCTCCACAACCTGGAGAGCGCAAATGGCAGCTATCAGTTTGGTGCAGCTGGCGACCCAATAGATTGAATCCGGAGTAAGGGGCCTGGCCTTGGATGCGTCTACCGATGTTTTCCCAACGGCCTGCTGATATACTCGTTTCCCGGTCTTGTCATTGGCGAGAAGGACAAGGCCAGGGAATGCCCGAGCGGGTGACTCAGGTTCACAGAGAGACTTGAGCCGATCTTCAAAGGCTGACATGGTTGTTCTGTCGGTGTCAAAGAAATTAAGTCGTACTGTTCTGCTTACTTTCAGAACTGCAGAGATCATCCTAGATACTTTTCTAGTACACTGATGTGGCAAGTCACTGATTGCAGAGCGCACGGCTCTCGCAGTGAAAGGACAGAAGGTCGATGATTCCGGCCCGTGACCTCGGAACCTCTGGCTTTCCGTCCAACAGCGGGTGCTACTCAGCGCGTTCGGGTGGCCGAAAGGGGCTAGCAAGTGTAAAGACCCACATACCGGGAGACCCACCATTCAAAAGGTTCGGGCTCCCTCTACTGAACCGACACCACCGATGTTTTCCAGTCGGAACTCGATTCATACACAGGATCTACCTGTGCTATTTCTTGGAGATGTCTCCCTCTGTATCGACCTGCAAGTAACTATTGAACGGGCTCAAAAGATAGCAGTTCCGTTGACGGGACTGGCAACCCCACCAGGGGTATTCAGGGGCGAGGAGGAAAAGAAGAAGGTCCAGCGACGATTCTTCTGAGCTAGCCGACTCATTTTCTCCAAATCCAAGAGTTCTCCAAGCGGCATTCCCCAAAGAGCGATGATATACTCGTGCAGCAAATATCTCTCTGGGCTCGGCCACCTCTGGAAGCCAGGCGCGTCTCCTGCAACAGCCGCAAAATAACAGTCATGAAGCCAATCGAGGATAGCAGGCTCTTGTTTTACCCCGGCCGATGTCCTTTGGTTGGGAGCCCTCGCGCTCAGAGCTTTGTTTTCAGCTGCATTTCTCTCATTATAGTCTTGTGTCCATCCTGCGCGAATGAAGAGAACGTCGCCAATCTTGATGTCCCCTCCCTGGGCCTCAGGCCGAATATCCAAGCCTTGGTACTTGCCACATGCCACTAGATCATCGTAGGATATGGCATAAGCAGCGGTGTTGTCGTGCCTTGGGATTCCTTGAGCGTCGGTATAGGCACGATAGTCCAACAGCACTCCTCTTCCGCTGAATCCGTGCTCAGACCAGTAGTGGATTGAGCATCGGTCCGTGGCGTTCGGCCCCTGGATAATGTCCTCGTCCTTGGTGTTGTTGTAGAATGTTCCCGAAGCGATGTGGGCAAAATGTCTGAAGCCATCCCACTGTGTGCTTGACTGAGTATTAAATGTTATTTCATCATCGTAGGCGACGCCTGGTCGCCATTGTTTGATGGTGTGGAGGAAGCTGGCTCGGGCGAACGCGGGCTCACGAGGCACATTCAAGGGCAGGTCGACGCGGGCGAGTTCTCCTGTTCTGATCTCCGATGCTGCCGCCTTGACCCTTGCTGGCGTCAGAAGATTCAAACGACCAGCAAAGTCATCCTTTCCCCATACCCACGCAGCCTCGGGTGGATGGCCAGGGTGGCTAGGTAGGTCTTTCCGTAGAGGAAATGTTGTACTTTCGGGATTCCAAGGCAACGAGAGTGGGTCTTGAGCCATTTTTGCTCTGCGAACACTTTACTCGAAGGTCCAGGAGTCTCGGTATGCCAGGCTTTTGTAGATTTCATAGTACGCAAAATCCCATAGGCAAGTATATCGGACCGCGAATCGGCAGGGTGCGAAGTTTTGGACGGTCCGTGTCACACCCGTTGGCTGCGAGTTTTGTCGTGCTGATTTCGGCTTTCTGAGCTCAGGTCCGAGTACAATCGAAGAGGTGTGGAAGGTATTTCCATGATTGGGTGAACTAGAACCCCAATTGTGCAGGGAAATGCCCTAACTAGTTCACCTATACCGCTACAACCTGGCGAGTTTCCTGCTTTGTTTGACAATCATATCCAGCAGAATCTCTTCACTGCCACCACTGACAACCAGAACCCTCACGTCACGGCTGATTTGCTCTACCCGTCCGCCTTGACCTCCTCGTGAATAACCTAATCCCCCAAAGACTTGCTGACACTCTCTAGAAATCCTTTCTAGATTGTGCGCCGCCTGCACTTTGAGCATTGCTGCGAATGGGCTGAAGTCGAGGGGAGTCATTCGCACTGATCGGAAAACCAACTCCTCGGCAAATGCTTGCGTTGACTCTAGCATACTTGATATACGTGCAAACTTTTGACGAATTACCTGGTTTTCAAACAAGGGACGGCCAAAGGTCTCGCGCTTAAGTGCATATCTGTAGGCATCTTCGTAGGCGATGCGGCCCAGTCGAATAGCTGTTATCCCCACCCATAAGCGTTCGTGGGTGAAAGCTAGCTAGATATCAGCAGCAGAACATACTTGTACGCGTGGAATGCTCACTTGACATGATAATTTCAAAGCCTTGTCCTTCCTTGCCCATCAAATTCTCCGCGGGAACGAGAACGTCGTCGAATTCGATATACGCCGAGCCTAAGGAGAAGACTTTTCAGCACACGGTCGACAAATGCATTGGTCAGGAGATGATTCATGCACTTACCGCTCGAACTGACACCAGAGTTCAAGAGCTTCCTCGTAGAGATACCTGGTAGATTCAAAGGAACAATGAATACCGATAGACCCTTCGGGCCAGCAGGACCAGACCTCGCAGCGACCAGAGCATGAGTTGCCCACAGGCCTTGCGTGACCCATTTCTTCTCTCCGTTGAGCACCCATGATTTGCCGTTTCCTGATTTGGTCGCTGTCGTGGTGAGTCCACCAACGTCGGAGCCAGCTGCACGACGTCAGCTGCCTCTGAGCTCATGAAGATGTCCAGTTAAATGTGCTCCGCCATACCCTGGGGCTCTGTCACGCAAAGCGCATGACGCTGGTGTCCTCGCAGCAGAGGAGCCAAGTACCTTTCCTTCTGCTCTTCACTTCCGTAGCGATCAAGAGGAGGACCACCTACTGTGGCACCGCCATTGATGCCCCAGACAGTCCCGAGACAGCCACACCTGGCCATTTCATCGACGAGCTAGGTACCGGTCAGGTGGCTCAAGATTAATAAGCAGCGGAGTAGAGACACCCACGACGGCATCGTGAAACTCATCCCACTCATCAAGTCTAATACCGGCGGGCAATTCTATGCCTCTAGCAAGTTCTTTGGGGATGGGAAACACGGAAGCGGCCAGAAAACCAAGAGATGCGTGCCGCTTGAACGCCTGCAGGGGTCATGTCAGGCTTGGTTCACCAACTTTGGAGAGGTATGCTCGAACTTCTTCAGGAATAAAACCTTGTTTCTCCCACTCTTCCACGCTCGGTGCCACTTCACGGTCAACATATTCACGGATAAACCGCTGCAGACGGCGATGACTTTCTCGAAAGTAAGGATGATCTGGCCGGGAGTGCCATGAAGGATCAGCGAAGGGAATTTGGGAACTCGAAATAGCCATCTTTTTCGCCTTAGTGCCTCCCAGCTGCGTGTAGCAAGGAGAGCATGTTCAGGTGGTTATATGCTGCCAATAAACGTACGCGCTGCTGAGGTTAACTTCTTTGCTTTGTGGCCCGGAACCCGCCTGAGCAAAAGATTCCGTTTCCGACGCCCGCGGTCATTGCTTCGGCATCGACATCGCGAGGGACCACTGAAACTGGAGCCGATGGTGACTTTCTGTGGACTGCCGATGTCAGAGCCGAAGGCTCATTTTATCACCATTGCACTAACAGGCCTGTTGAAGTGTCAAGGTCTGAGCTTCTTCTTCGCCACGACGAGTCTATCATCCACGCTCGAAAGTGTTCTTTCTCTTCTATTACTGAACACACATCAATCAACTTGATCTTCTTGCTCCCATGGCTAGCGAGCGGCTAAGCCAGATTGAACGTCATCTGGCGGACCCCAGTCGGATTGATGACCAGGTGGTCCTCATCACAGGCGCTGGCCAGGGTGGGAACCCCTTTGTTCTGACCTTGAGGAATTCGAGGCTCTGCAATTAGGGGCTGACTTGATTTGGACTCCAGTTGACTGTTACCCTAGGTATCGGCCGGTCAGCTGCCCTTCTCCTCGCCTCGAAGGGTGCCAAAATTGGAATCAACGACCTGGACAGGGATAAAGCACAAGAAGTTGTCAACGAAATCCTAGCAAAGGGTGGGCAAGCCGAGTGTTATCCAGGCGATGTCCTCGATCCTTTGTTTCCAGGGAGCTTCGTGGCAGCGATCTTGAAAAAATGGGGCAAGATCAATTGTTTGATTAATAACGCAGGTACTTCTACCAATTTTGGCTCCGAAGATGTGTAACCTGACATGCGAGCTAACTTACACTGCGTTTCGCAATAGGCTTTTGTCACGACGGTGCAATCCACAAGATGGCAGACGAGAAGTTCGACATCATCATGAAGGTACACAACTACACGCCATTCCGAATGATCCGAGCACTTTCCACGCACTGGATGGATCCTGCCAATCTCGACATGGCCAAATCCATTGTCAATGTTTCCTCGACATCGGGCCTTCATGGGTCGATGGGGCAAATCAACTACGCCACGGCCAAGGCGGGAATTGTAGGGTTGACTAAAACGGTGGCATCGGAATGGGGACGGTAAGTGGCCCTGCCATAGAGTCCAGGTTAGCCTCTGAACTGAATCTCTCCCAAAGGTATAACGTTCGTTGTAACGCGATTGCCTTTGGCTGGGTCGACACTCGGATCACAAGACCTCCTTCTGGGTCGACTAGCCTCGTCGTGGATGGACAGAAGATTCAACTTGGAATCCCTCTGAACGCAAAAAGATGGCGTGACACTTCCGATATACCATTGGGGAGACCCGGCACTGCTGATGAGGCCGCCTGTGTTATGCTTTTTCTGGTCAGCCCTTTGTCTTCTTATATTACAGGTACTTGCATAGAATGCACGGGTGGAAGGTTCATGTAATACGCAGTGAAGAATGTTGACTATTTCGACATGAGAGTAACAGTGTAGGATAGAAGGTGGCCCATACAAGACTTTCATCATGCTCCGACATGCTATAGCAGAAAGAGACCATATCATTATCCCACAGCTGTCCTTGGATCAAGCTGCTCCGTCGAAGAGTCCTGTAGGAACGTTTTCAGGGTCGACGAAAAGTCTCCAGTGGACGGATCCACTTCGATCCCAGCAAACTGCTCGGGCTCAAAGTTCCAAATATCTCCGTCACAAAGAAATTCGAACAGCTTGGGGGTTATCGTCCCTGACCCTGGTTCAAATTGGGAACTCTGGCCATTGAGGGGGTCATCGTTCTTGAGCCATACGTTGATGATGGAAAACACTTGACTCAGGGCCATTTCCGCCCGCATGGCGGCCGCGTGACGGATTGAGACAAGGTGAATGATCTTTTGAGCATCCTTTACTGCGCCAATTGCAGCGTCTCGGTCAGGCTGAGAGACACCCATGACGATGGAAGGGATGAGTTGACAAACGCATTCCACCAAGGCCACCGTGATGAAGAATCCCAATTGGCCGATATTGGGGAACCTGTTCAGATACGACACCAGTGTATTGACTGTTTCGATGGCCAATGAGCCACAGAACGAGAGGGCGTACTGGTCATGCCACGGCTTTGTCAGAGGATTGTGGCGCAAGTTCAACCGCAAGAGGTTAAATCGCTGTGGAAATTAGGACAAGGAAACTGCTGTATGGAAGAGGGGATCTTACGATCAGAACGAGCAATCGGGCCCGAATTTGGAGTTCATGTTCTGCAGAGTGGTCCGCGAGTTCTAGTAATGAAGGATCCCACCGGACCTCTGGAGACAATCGACGACGCACGCCTTCAATCCGAGCATCCATCGCTTCCAGTTCGTCGACGTTGCCCAAACTCGGTGCACGAGCAGCGAAAAATGTATCCCATATCTTGCCCCAAATACGTGCCCAATCGACGAGAGTCTGTAGGTAAGCCAACTCCCACGAGCGGCTCGTCAGATTCATAGCTGGATCTCCCTGCTTGTCGTCTAAAGATTGGGTGAAAGAAAACTCTTGAACATCGACTTCCGTGTCGCGGATGAAATAAGGGCGGCTGCATTTTTCCGCTATTTTCCGGTCCATATAGTATAGTGACCACCATAGTGTTTTCCGCTCCATGTTGTGGTCCGGGTTGTTAGAGACCTCCCAAGTCTTTTGCCTGTTGAGACCCATGCGAATAGCCATATCGACCGCTGTTACAAGTGTTCTAGACGATTCGGCTAGCCTCTCGCTGTTGACCAGGTACATTGCCTCCAATAGATGGAAACGGAGGATGTCGAGTCCATGTATTCTGGTAGTTTGAGAAAGTGCCGATAGAGATAACGCCAGATGGTGCCAGAAGGAGCACGTGATATGGGCTGGTAAGGGCATATCGTCTTTGTACACAGGCTCTTGAGGATTTATGAATATGGCCAGGGCGAGTATCACGCAGAGCAGAGCGCCAAAGCTTGCCTCCGTGGCGGAAAGACTGACGGTTCGGGAGCCTCTCCCGTAGCCCTTGTCAATGAGCATTTTCAATAGCTTAGCTTCAAAGCTTTTTCGGTCGACACATGGATAGAAAAGGTTGTGTTCGACGAAATATATTTGTAGTAGGCTGAGCAATTCCCGCGGGCGTGGCAGTGGCAGTACAAAAGTGGCGTCGATCGGCCCAACGCTCTTCGAGGTATCGCCAATAGTCGATTCCATGGTGGGTGAAGTTGACATCACGGATTGTAGAGCCAGGTCCTCGTGCAGGGCGGTGAGTTTCGACGGCATTGTCATATCCTTCTTCCCATCACTGTTCAACGTGAACGTGTCCGTTGTCTCTACATCCCGCTTATCCCAATGAGATTTTTGCAGGTTCACTGGGGTTCCTGGGCCGTTGTATAAAGGAGCACCTCCAGAACGCTCTGTGAAGGTGTATTCATTGTGATCTCCGTAGTGATGATGCACAGGGCTCGATTGATAGGCCGTCTTGCTCTGTGCATCTTTCTCCGGAGCAACGATCCCGTCCACAATACTGCTGCTATCAGAGAGCCTCGTATTTTTCAACTGCAGATACTCCGTTTCCAGCACCTGAAGTCGTGCTAGGGCCGTTGAGTCTGTCTCGATTTGTTTGGTTCGCTGTCTTGTCCGCTCACGACCTGCTCCGCCCTTTGCTGGGCTGTTTACTACCTGCCAGTCGTTGTTCTGGCTGGAGCTGTAGTTGCATTCTTCGTTTTGGGCTGCGCATCGCCAGCAAGGAGAACTTCCACAACACTAGATGCACCGAATAATGAGCAGGATGTTCCTCTGTGCAGTATTCGCTAATATACCTTGACCTTCCGGCGTCGACACTGGTCGCTGTAAGAAAGCAATCAGTGGAATTCTGGTGCTCCTCAGGATCTCGACGGAACTCACCATGCCCGACTAGTATATGGCAAGCGTCGCTTTTGTCTGCTTCTTGTGGGCTGTTGAGGCCCTCTAGAATGGGTTGGTTGATCTGTCATCACAGTATGTGAATAAAGATTGTGGAATTGGTGCAAGTGGGTGTTTTCTGTTCCGCCAGCTCATGAACTTTGGGGGAATTTCGATTTAACGAGATCGTCCAAACGCGGACCGACGGGCCGTGCGCTCCGTTGATGGACAGAATTCGACTCCAGGGTAAAATTCCACAGACTATAAGCAGGTCTTCCATGCCGAACAATTATGGACAGACAATAAAAAGGGTGCTGATCGTCCCTCAGGTGGCGACAAACCATTTCGGGGTCAACGGAGCTCCGTGAAGACAATTTCATCGGCGGCGATGAGTCTCGAGAATCAGGTTATCGCCGTCACCGGCGCCGGGAGCGGGATCGGAAGAGCAACTGCGATGTACCTGGCAAATATTGGGGCTCGCGTTGGTCTGCTCGATATTCGATCACCGCAAGTTGTTGCAGAGACGATCAATCAGAAGCACGGGGAGAACAGAGCATTCGCTTGCGCCTGCGACGTGCGATCCTCAGGCGACGTTGACAAGGCTTTTCAGAGCATCGTCGATGCTCTTGGTCCTCTCAACGGTACTTCTCAGTGTTCTCCCAATATTTGAGTCCCCCTTGACTGATCAATAGTCAATAGGAGCCGTCAATCTTGCGGGAGTGGTTGGAAAAGGGCGTAAACTGGGCACAGAAGAAGGAAGGCTCAAGGATCTGTCAGATGAAGAGTGGGAGAGGGTAGTAGCGACTAATCTGACAGGAACCAAGAATTGCATGCGTGCTGAGCTGCAACGTCTCTCTCCATCGGGCGGCTCGATTGTGAACACGGCCAGTGTCGCCGGCCAGCAGGGCACACCTTACAACTCCGCCTATGCAGTCAGTAAAGCTGGAGTCATCTCCCTCACGAAGTCCGTGGCAAAAGAGACAGGAAAGCATAATGTGCGGATCAACGCCATTTCACCGTGAGTCTAATATGGCCAGAACCCTGTCCGGCCCGCACGCTTCACTCCTTCATCTCACACAGGAGGCAGTGGTGTTGTCGACACGCCTCTTCTCGATAGCTTCACAGATGATTCGTCTCGCCCCGGCTTTATGGCCAACACCAACGCGCTAGGACGAGCAGCCCAGCCCACCGAAGTGGCTAAGATGATAGCATTTCTGTTGAGCAACGATAGTTCATATTGCACAGGTGCTGTATGTCTTCTCCCGGTGTGTGCCAGTGTGGAAACAAAGCAACCTATTGACGTTAAACCCATCAGATATTCAACATCGACGGTGGTTGGTAACAATTGAAAGCGCTTGAAGAATTCTGAGGACAGTCGATGTAGCAGCATTACATCAATACCACAAGGCCTCCCTAAGGCTCATAATCCTTCCCAAGAGCGTGGTCGTCCTCTCGCTTGTAACAGGCACTTCCACCCGGACACATAGCTTGCTCAAGATCTTCCAGATCGAGTTCTTCTCAACTTTAGTCCACCGGCTCATAGAAACTCGTCGCGGCCATTACACCTCCATCCACATTCAGTGTGACTCCGTTGATAAAGGTGGAATGACTGCTAGCTAGAAACACACAGACATCCGCTACTTCCTCTGCATATCCATATCGGCCGGTGGGAATCTTGGCTGCCACATTGGCGTGATAAGCGGCCGACTCTTTCTCGTTTGTATCAATGCCTCGTCCCTGCAGCGTTGCCGTAATCATTGGCGTCGCGATCTGGGCCGGACAAATGGCGTTCACCCGGATACCCTTCCTCGCATATTCCAAGGCCGCAGTCCGAGTAAGTCCAACCACGACGTGCTTTGAAGCGACGTACGGGCCCATCTGGCTGATACCGCCAATTCCCGCGAGCGATGCCAAGTTGACTATGGTTCCTCGTTCGGGGGGGTGTGCAGTCTTATATGTCAGGGTTTGAATTGGTTCTTGCTTAAGCATTGCCTTTATCTCGGCTTGCATGCACAGCAGCGTACCACGGGCGTTGACATTGCAGATTCGATCATACTCTTCAATCGGAAGGTCTGCAATCGAGTATGGAGCAGGAGGAGGGAGCTGTGGGATGACTCGATTTAGAGAGATTGCTTCGCCGCGGGAAATACATACCGAAGCAGCATTGATAGCTTTGCCCGCAGTAAGTAGTGGTTCATATGAATGCTTTAGAGCATCACGAGCACTTTCACATACCATAGTTCAGCCGTCCAAAATTACTTACAGTCCATGCAAGCATTTCGTCCACTTGTTCTTTCCTCCCAATGTCGACCGTGAACTTTTGCATTCGAGCTTTTGGTGCAATTTGCAGAGCTAGTTGCTCTGTGACTGAGAGTCCAGATTCGTTCACATCTGCTAGGGCCAGTGCATCAATCCCACCTCTTGCAAGTGTCAATACCACTTCACGACCGATCCCCGAAGCTATAGTCCCATTCGGGCGCAATGAGCGCTAGTCTAGCAATGAAGGAGACAGAACGTTACCTGCACCAGTCACCAAGGCAGTCCCACTCATAGGAATCGCCATTCTCGCCACGTAGTCCGGGAACCCGGAAGGCAGTCAACAGTCGAACGCAATATTTGTAATGCAGATTCGAATGAACATCCCTTATGTTTACCAGGGCGAGCCATGAACTAATTATCTGGTGGATCCTGGTCGTAGCAAGGACTATCTTCCGCCGCGGACCGTAGTCTAGCCGATAGGTGCAACGATTCCTCACCACGGCGCGGGTCCGGCTTGCCGTATCTCCAGAGAGGGGATCCGCCCTAGGCATGTTCCAGGGGGCAATGGGTTTTGGTGAATGCTACCTAATGATTGTTACAACAGTATTTCCAATTTCTCACGCATGTTCAATAGGGGCTCTACTGCCTTCCGGACTTTCCTTCGTCCCGGAGCATGAGCCAACTTTGCCTGAAATCTTGACCGCATATTTCATGTTTTCATCAAAGGCACATTTGCTTCTTGTTCCAAGACACGGTCGCTGCTCGACAGTGCAGTCGTGAATGATGGTGCCTTCTTGCCAGATCCACAACGGCCCTGAAGGAAGCACCAGGCACCAGCAAGGAACACCACCGCGATCAAGCTCCCGACTGCTAGAACAATATTCAAATATTCCGTTCTCGCTCCACCATCCCGGCTCAGCCCAGAAGCAGCATATACGAGCATAATACCCATGACTGGCTCAAGGGAGCCATCCATCATCTCCATCGGCTCGTGCAAATGGGTGTCGTAGTACGCATTGATTGACCATTCATCATGAGGGGCGGTTACTGCAGGGATCTTGCAACTTTCGATACTGGATACATGCTCCGTCACCTTGCCCTTGTCCAGGTACTGGAACTCGTCGTACACGGCGTTGACACTGCATACAACCTTATCATTCCTGAGGAGATCAATATGCGTGCCTCCATCATGCAAATGACCTCCGACGAAGGTAATGGTTCCTTGGAATGACCCTTTCAGGATGGGACTAGAATAGTTGAATGCCGAATCTCGATAAGCAGGTACGTCGGAGGTTCTGCATCCTCCAACGTCCATCCACCATGGCGTGAGCGCATGGAAAGCTTGAGCGTGGCGGCCTTCAATATACTCGTAGGTTATTGTGAAGACAATGTCCGTCTGTGGTTCAGAATGAAGCATGTTCATCAAGTCGACAGCAAGGGCGACTTCGTCCGAGCGCCCAATGTAGTAACCGGCTTTGACAGTCCTTGAAACTTGTCAGTCAGTTCTCAATCTCGTGGATTCGGAAGAGGACTTGCCCGCCCGCAGAGAAGTCAAGCGCCGTCCTTTCATTCCCTGAGGCGGCGAATCTCTGGCCATATGCGCCGTCCCCGCAGACCGCGTCAGACTGGTTCCTGTTCACCATTACCCCATGGTGTAGCCACATGCCTGTGTTGGCATCAGCGATGCTTCCATCGGCATGCTCTAGCCCCATCTGCAGCCAGGTGATGAGGCAATCCCGGCAAGGCAGTGCGGTCGAGGGCTGGAAGTATTGGGCCATGCCATCGTTCTCGTTCATTGGCGGTACTGAAACAGGCGCATACTTGATGGTAACCCTCTCGGAATGGTATTCAGGAAAGAATGAGGCAGCGTGGAAAGCCTTTGTTGTCTCTGGACACTATTTAGGATCGATTGTCTCCAAGTATTATTCAATGCTGTTATTGCTCACCAAGGGGAAGCGGCTTTCCGCGCCCATGTCCGGCCCGGGCAAATTCCGAAAAGAACAAGAAGCTGAGCAAATAAGTAAGCACTTGGGCCATTGCGAATCGTTAATTCAGATCTGCTCTAGAGACACAAAATGTTCCAAAGACCAGGTTGTAGTGAACTCATCTTTTCGAGATGGATTGAACACTAAAAGGGAGCTGCATCTAGGCAGACGACAAAGCTGAAAGTCAAACACCGAGCTGAATGACGCATCTTTATAAATCGACTAGAAGAAGAACTCGGCAATTGGCCAATGGCACATGGTAGCCATTTTCCCACCCGGCCTAAAGCTGTGGCTTGCGCCTGTGCGACCAGCAAGGCGACGACAGAAATCACAAGAGGGCACGATCGGGTAGTAAAACAGAAGTGATTAATCATTAGTTATGGGTTTAGTATCACTGAGAAGGGGCATTCTATCTACTCTTGATCAGCGGGATTCCTACACTTATCACCAAGTGTTAGCTGTTTCTTATGGTAGCCTCCTCGTCGTTAACTGTGTCAGACTGTGCCATTTATTTCTGGTGCCGGCTCCCCCGGTAGAGCTGAATTGTTCACCACGTGTCCGTACGAGGGGCATCTCGCTGTTGAACGAAATTGTGGCTGCGTTGTCGACTTGCTGAGCCCTCTTTCCATGACGCTTCAGATCTGTGGGTCACAAGGCTGATATTCGCCGTATCGGGGAACTGCCGTGTCAACCTAGACCTCTCCGTCTGGCCCTGACGGAAACATTTTGATACACTAGTTCACGAACATGCTGCCTGAGGCCACGTAGGGGAGTATGGATCACAATAGTCGGCGCAGGGTCCGACCTCCGCAAAATAGATTGAGCTTTCACTGCTTGTATTTGCATGGGTATTTGCGTTGAGTTTGTCTGATCAAAGACTATTTCCGAGCTGGGAAAGAGCTCGGGGCGTGACGACGTTGAGAGTAGTAAGAAGAGGAAACTTAAGTCGGCTAGGGATTCTCCTTTGTCGAAATAAACCCGCCGGACTGATTCAAGAGCTTGTCGCGAATATCGTGCCTGCGATGCGAACCACCGATTTCACCTTTCAGCTTCAGGACGCGGCCGTTCCTGAATCGAGTCCGAATACGTGAAGCATAATGACCGGTTAGTGAGAACAGTGTTTCACTTGTGGGCCGTTCCAGCGGCCTGCTTGAGCCAGTTCGAATTCATCATCTCGGTGGCTAGGACTATAGCTTCATGCATGAAATGCTTCTGCCTAATGGCCTGATACCGAGTCCATTCGTATATACCCCTCGCGTTACTTCCTTCTGCCTGAGGAAGTTTCTCAGTCGCTTCCTTCGCCTGTTGCGCACGCAGGCCGCCGCCCTGAGCATATTGCATCATGTATGGACAAGAAGCCGAAGGTACTGACGCCCAGATGAGTTGTTCGCATTGACAGAAGAAGCTGACGTTCGGTGTTGAAGTTTGCCCACCGTACCAAACTCCAACAAATGCAGGCAGCTATGTTTTGCCAGTGATGTAGGCACCGTCTCGTTCGATGTCCTACCCTTGCTCACAATAATGGCAAGGCACTATCATGCTCCAACTCCACCCGTCAGACTGGCATGCACTGCGGAGCACTGCTCTGCTCCACCATTCTATCCGGCTCCGACTGCAATCCATGATCTTGGCCATGTTGAGGCACTCGTTGATTGTCCGTACTGTGGTATAAGAGGAAAGACCAAGACAAGCTTGTCCAGTGGGAATATGAACCAGTGGGTACTTTAACCGAAGCTCGTGGGACGAGTGATGACATTTCCTGGACAGCGCATGGGCAGGATGCTTGTTCTTTACCACCATCATCTTCACCTTTGCCCCATACATGTGCAGTAGCCTCAAGAACGTCGAGCATCGTTGCAGAGGCTGTGGGAAACGGCTTGCGATCTGGCATCGGAGTGGACATACAGTGCCCAAGTAGGACGCACAAAGCCCACGCAGGCTGCCCTGGGCTTGATCCCAGTAGCCGGGGTCATCAAGCAGTGTGCGATATTGAGGGTCGTGCTTGCGCCGAGCGCACATTTTTAAAGGACAGCCACGAGAGGCTCTGCAGTTCCCATCTCAGTGGATGTCTGAATTGAAGAATGATTCCCAGTCTTGATCTAGATCTGTCATGAAATCATGCACGCAAGACACCGCGTGAGACTCATCCTGTGCCCAAGGCAAGTCCGCGTCAAAGTTGTACATCCCCTCATAAACGAGTGTTGGAGATAGACGACTGAGATCACCGTCAGGGCCGTTGCTGGTCGACGGGTCTGCGAGACAGCCTGGAGATTCTGAAGGAGTGCCGTGCTCCCCCAATGTCCGTAGGCTTCCGGACTTGAGATGCCAGTTAGAAGCCACATAGAGGGTTCCGAAATAAGGTATTGTTATTTTTGATGGGACTGCGGAGCTCGGTGGGCCACCCACATGAGCGAGCGCAAGTAACGTTGATAGGGTTTTGTGACACTGACGTGCGACACGGTTGACCCTATTTTCAGCCACTCTCTGCAGAACTCTCACAGTCTCGTTGACCAGCTGGATGTCGCCGGGCACAAGAGGGATTCTGGAATCACAGAATGCCCCAATGACCAATATCACTGAAGCCATGAAGCCAACAAAATCAACTGACTGGCAATCGAAGATAGGGCTGCCGTTGACATGAGATCGTAAAGCCAGATAACGCCCCAGCAATTCCTTTGACGACTCGATCGCCATCAACCTGCTGTTCGCGTAAAGGTGGGATGTTGGCGATTTTAAGAGGTATGGTAAATGTAAGTATATCCTAGTTAGGAAGTATTGCGTCTGACTTATGAGCCTCTCTCGAAACTCATCCAGCTCACTCGAGTGACAAACTATTGGAATTTTATGATCCCACCAATATCTTGTCCTTGTGCTAGCCAGAGAAGTGAGCTCGTCGTCGATGTCCAGGATCTCGGAGAATTTCGGTCCTGTACGACTCTGAACCTGGTCAATCACACGGCCTGTGAGTGCCCCTAAGCGGATTGCAAAGGGTAACGTTGCGTGGCCAGCTTGTTTCGTTTCATTTGCGTATGTGACGGTAAAGGAGTCGTCCGAAATAGCATATGGCAAACCAAGCAGGATGGACAAAAATCGATCTCCGAGATAGAGCGTCCACCAAGCCGCAGTTCGTCTGGGCGAGCTCGAATAATTGCGGTGGAGGTTCTGCGACAAGTCAGCAATGCCCACAGAGGTTGTTCGAGGATGTGCCAGGGTAGACAACCATAGCCTGTGCCAGTGATATCCCGTGACGGTTGCACAAAAACGCACGACGAGGTTGACCAACTTCGAGATACACTTTTGCGTGGAAGACAGTCAGAAGAAGACCTTCCACGTTGCTCGCGAGGTGGTCGCCTGCAAGAACGAGACGATCAACAACCGAAAGATACCGCAAAGCCCCGGCTGCATTGTGATGACCGTAGGAGGAGACAAGAAATCCGAGTTCTATGGGATTGCCAATCATATAGACCCGTTCCAGAAACTGCAAGAGACTCTCGCGAGCGGGCGTTGTTCCGAATGTCTTGATATGCCAGAAGTCCCACCATTTTGTGTCGCCAGAGAAACAATGTCTCAATTCATCGTAGGGTGGCAGAGCAGCTCTGAGTTGTTCACAAACGCTAGAAATTTCTTCTTGAGTCGAGCTGGAGGTTGGCAACTGGAAGCCTTTTCCCTCAGCGTGAAGGCTGGTATGCTGTACTTGCTGCTCCGATCCACTCGTGCTTACGACAGGCTGAGTTGAAAGAAGCTGTTCAGATTCAGTCAGCTCGCTACCCTCACATGGGCAATAACAGACAGAATCTTGTCGCTCCGTACTCGAGAAGCCTCTAGTGCTGCAATCAGCGGAGCGCGGCGGGTGAACTCGGCCAGATCGTCATCCAAGTTTTGCTCTGTCACTTCAACTCGAGGAGAAACAGGAGGAGCAGTGGTTTGAGCAACATTCCTCCTCTCTTCAGAGAGTGATTCCACTAGACGTTCCAGGGTGGCCACTCTTTCTCTCAGAGTCTTCCTTTCTTCATTTACGTCTTCGATACCCCGTGAATTTGGCACAGCGCACGTTATGCCGCGCGCAAGACATCGAGCGCACGCGCTGCTGGAGTTGGTGTTGTATACACAACGGACTTTCCTCCGCCTGCCTGCATGAGATTAGTGAAAAACCACGACCAAATGCCATTTGGAGGAGCAGAGAATTCAGCAAGCGTAGAGGCATGGTGAGATAGAACGGTCTTACACTCAGAACAAGTCCGAGACCCCCCGCGCAGTCTCTTGGGCACCCGTGAGGCCACGGGCGATTGGGACATGGCATGCAGGAGATGTCTGTAGCCCTTTGAGACTCTGGAGAGATGCTGGCCCAAGGACGTATGAGTCGGATTGATGAGGAGGGAACCAGAATATATCGGAGAGGAAAATGCGGAACTGTAAGAGCCTGGGCATGCCAAGAAGTCGGCCTTCAAGTTTACTAGATACCTACCTACCTAGGTACCTAGGTATGTAGGTAGCGGTTTACCACCAGCACACGGCGGCGCCATTTACAGCCACGCACGCTTGAGATCCTTGCGAGGCTGACTACGAGTGCGGAGCAACCAGCAATACTTATTCTGCGGGTTTCAACCAGAGAACTTCCCCTTTTCCTGCAGCATCTCCCTTCCTCCCTCATCGTACGTCCCGGTCTTCAAGCGATAGCCTAAGCGCGAATGAACACTCGTTAGCCCCAATTCGACTTCTCCAGCTGGTTCCTGTTGCGAGCCGGGTTGACGCAGGCAGCATACCTTTGGTTCTTCCACCCCCTCAAACGCCCCCCACCACCTCTCAAGCTTTGTCGGCCGTGTTGGTCCAACGTGCTTGTCTCCTTTGCCCGACAAAAAAGCGTGAGGATAGCCCAGATCTATCGGAGCAGCTTCTTCAATTTCCCGGATGTCGTCTTCGGAGAGCTGTATGCTCAGGTTGTCGATATTCGCTTGGAGGTGTTCAATTTTGCGACCCCCAATAATTGGAAATACGTACGGGGCCTAGTCGGAGTCAACAGATTCTCGCTGTGGTCCACCTGCAACACGGGTTGCCCTACCTTCAAAGTGATGTACCTCAAAGCGATGCCCACTGCGTTCGTTCCCTTCCTCTTGGCGACTCGTTCCAGGGCTACGGTGGCACGCTCATATGCGTCCAGCCCCTTGCCGGCGAGATCGTATTCTGGCCTTCCTCCTTTTTCAGCCTTCTCGGCCTTGCTTTTGAACTTGCCAGCGCCCATGGATTCCCAGACCGTGATGGCCATTCCCTCGGCCTGACACATCGGGACTATGTCTCGCTCGATGTCTCGGGCCACCACGTTCCAGAGACCCTCATAGACCACAAATGGAGTCAGGCAATGTTGTCGAGCATAGTCATTTGCCTTGACGACCAACCAAGCCGGCCAGTTGGAGATTCCTAGGTACAGGACTTTGCCTTGTTTGACAACATCATCAAGAGATCTCATCAGCTCCGGGATGCTGGTCACTCCGTCCCAAGCATGCACATAAAGGATGTCAACATAGTCGGACTTTAAGCGCTTGAGGCTCTCTGCAAGCGACAGGCGCAGACTCTTTTTATTGGCGCCGCCAAAGTTGGATGTGATACTTCCTTCAGGCATCTGCTCAGGGAGTTTGTATGGCAGCATGAACTTGGTGCCAATGATCATCTGTTCTCTGACTCCACGCTCAGCCATCCATTCTCCAAGCCACTCTTCCGACTGTCCCGCCATGTAGAAGTTGGCAGTGTCAATGAAGTTGCCACCCGCAGCATGGAAGTGATCAAGGATTGCGTAGCTGGTCTCCTTGTTGCACTCTCCCATCACCGAGCTCCTATATCTCAATTAATTGATGCACTACATGGTAGACTGAAAGTTAAGTTTCAGTCATGAGGAGCTTTCTGTCACTGACCATATGTCACCAAAGCCCATGGCACCGAGACAGAGAGGGGAGACCAATATGGAGGCATTGGGACCAAGGACACGATGGTGACCGAGCTTTGTGCGTGGCGGTGGTGGAGGTTGAGAAGGCATTGTAAGCGGCGAGTGTCGAATAAGGGTATATGGCTAGTATCTGGCTGAATAGGAAGCTGTGAAGAAGAAGCGACCAAGAGGAGGTAGGGAACGTCCCTCTGGTAGACAGAAGATGCTCGCCTTTTATGCTACATGATCTCTATTCATTCGCGCATATTTGCGGCCCGAAAGCTCTTGTTGTATTCGCGTTTCACGATGCTACCAGGTATCGAGGTGCGGCCCGCTTTTGTTCCCGCGTCCACGCCAAGGTCAAAAAAAAGCGTCTTGAGGACCAAACCAATACCACGACGGTGATTTACTGCATTCGAATATCAACCGTGGTCATTTCAGTCTCTGCACTGCCGGATCGTCATCAACTGTGTGGTAATTGAGATCCCCCCTCTCCTCTTCATATTTAGGAAGATTCTTGAGAGAACCCAATCCTGTCATGTTCCACGAGATAGACATGGTATGGGAGAAACCTGTGCTGGATGCTTAAGAAGTTTGGGGCATCCCAGCTGTCCTTGCCTTCTGAACCGAATTTGCTCTGTTGTTTGGCTTCATAAGCAATGGGGTCGACAACAAGGGAACAACGCTCATCTGAAAGACATTTGCGGCACATCACTCAGCCTGGCTTGGTCGCAGCGTACGTTGTAGGCAAGGTCATCTGCCCTGGTACAGTTAGCGAGTGTCACCTTTGATTAGCTCGAACCAATTTACCTGGAGACCTGACCTGACCGGCTCCTTCGGGGCGTAATGGGTTGAACAAGTAATCCAGGTCCATGGCAGCCTTGAGATAGGATGAAACCGGGGTTCGTTGTCCATTCCCCATCCGCGTCTTGTGGTCTCCAGCAATGCCAATTCTCACTTTGGTAGACCTGGATGATCCAATGATTTCCGGAGTTATATCCTTGGGGAATTCTGCATCATTCCACCCGGTTGAAGAGCTCCAGCCGCCTATGCCCCCAAGCGCGTCATCCATGGTTTGGGCTACATCACCAGCCCCAGGGGGTTCCTCCTGCGACACGTTGGTACCTGAAGTGCAGGTCGAGCTTCCGCCACAGGAAACGAGTGAACATTTCGTTGTCTCGGACGGGCTTGTTCCAAGCCTGCTACCGGGTCGGGCATACTCGCCCCTTTCAAGACGAAGTTGAGCTTGAGATCCATTTTGGCTGAGTACGCTATGGCAACGATCCGTCGCCTGCTCACAGGGTTTGTGCTCCTGGGGAGACGGTCCAGGAGAAGTACGAGAAGGGGCATCTGACCCGTGCCTGGAGAAATCAGCAAGGACTGCCCGCCTCGACAGCTTTGGGAGACCCACCTGTTGATTTTATTGGTGTTCGATCTTGGATACTCTTTTTCCATGGCCGTGCACTTCATCTGGATTGGTGACAATCAGAGGACTAAAGAGCAAGAAGGTGATGTCTCTGCACGCACTGAGTGATGAAGGGAACCATACTCGTCTGGATTCGGCGCCGCTCTTATACTTGGCGGTCGTCGCTGGCTCAACTGCGCAGTTTCAGGCTGAGTGGTTGAGGTGAGCCTCAGCAGAGCCGATACAATATCCTAGAGTCCCCTTTGACTACATGATCAAAGGCGCGAAGACCAATACAACTCGAGGAAGCATCAAGTCGGATGGTAGAGCACCTTTAGATTGCCACTGATTCAGCAACCACAAGCTGGCAAATCCAGGAGAAAGGAGTGCGCGGCACGAAGCAGTCAGGGCCGTCAGCCTTGTTCCCCTTTGGAGGCTCAGAGTCCGCCCTTTGAGCCGACATTGGCTAGCCATATTTTGTCGACGGGATTTTCCTCGCGTCGGCTGTTTGAGGATTTGGATGTTTTTCGATGAGGCATCTGGTTGACCAATCCGTTCATTCAATCGAATATGCAGGCTCTGTTCACCAGGCGTCGAGAATCCCTGCGCTAAGAGCCCAGCTGCATGCATCCTGCAACAGCATCTGTCAAAGGACTCCAAACAACACCGTAGACTGCTAAATATGGACGGAGATCGTTTCACACAGAAACAAGAAAGATATCTCAGTCTTTTGTGCGTCCTGATGTCATGGTGTTGGCGAGCGATTGGTCGCCGGTGTGAGCGCCCAACTGGCGAGGCTCCTGGGATCTGCTGGGGTTGATTGGTCTTCGCCTTGACCCGTTCCTTTCTGGCTCGTTCGAGAAAGTGTGGCATAACCGTAGCAGCTGTTGTCGCCTTTTTCCAAGGGGTTTGATTTGGTCAAGATGTGGCCAGCGGCGGCAAATCAGTGCCATTTCAGCTTTGACATGGGAGCGCACGTTGATCGGAGATTTTGCTGGGCCTCTTTCAGCTCTCGAGCAGCCAGTTGTCGCAAGCGTCCAGCCTCACATCCTGAGATTCTCTACGTAAAAGTGGACCACCGACTCCCCCTCTTCCGTCACTCACAATCTGTCTAGCAATATCGACGCCGACGACCTTGTCTTTGCACTACCATGCCTCTTGACGAAATCCAATGGTTCTCGAGATCAGCTTCTCCAGGAAGGTCTGGCCTTCAGTATGATGAGCCATGATTTCCACCTAATGTACTTGCCTGCCAGAGGAGGACCAATTGTCGCAGGTTCATACCGAGCGTCCGCTTCCTTTTCATGATGCTGCCGCCTGTCTCTGTGGTCGAAGCCGTGCCGCAACCAAACGATCGCGGCCGTGCCAATCAGGACAAGCTATGATTGTCATTGTCAAAGCCCACAGCAACTTTGTGGCTGGCGAGGCTGGCGAGGCTCGCTGCCCGTGTCGAGGGAACTTTGTACCCCTTAGGACGTCGAACAGCCTCGTGATGGGATGTCCAGCAGGATCAATGAAAAGCCCCGCGAACATGGTTTGACGAGTGTCTGCCGTCGACTACCGGTCCTCGCTTAGTTTGTCTGTTTTCGCGACTCGTACTGGTAGGTACACATCGCACGCCACATGGCTTGGTGGAGCCTTCAAAAAGGGGCCGGATTCGGACGCGTCTAATTTCCACCCTTTCGCTAGAACAAACCTTCACAATCTTCTATCTTATCACCCCTTGGTACAACCGATGCTGTCCGACGACGCTTGTGTACCGGTGCTCGTATCCCAATATGCACCTGCATGTTGTCTCCCAGACTCGAATTTCAAGGCAAGAATTTTGAGCTGCTTTTACTGAGTGTAGTCTTGCCTTTCACCACAACTCGGACACCTCAGGGTCTTTCTGCTGTCATTTATCAGACTCGAGCCAGGCTCCTTGCGTGCGGGTATCGGCGCCACGTCAAGACATTTGGGCCTAGACGGTGGGTACCAGCGACAATCCAGAACCGTGGCGTAGCTGGCAATTACCAAAAGCCATGCTACACAATCTAGATCGGGGCCTTTTTGTCCAGCACAAGATGCAAAGTCCAGTCGGAATGCCTCCCTGTTGACCAAACGCACGCCTCCCGCAGCTGCCAGCGAGATGTCTTGCTATGGCTGCCTTGACGTCTAATAGTCAACTGACAGAGTTTCTACTGGTATTGCTACGGCCACGCGGCACGGGGCTGGCGTCGGGAGTGCCGAGCACGCGAGCAATGGACATGTTTCTTCAGCAGCCGAGTATAAGATCCAAAGACCCGCCATCAACAGGGCGAATCCTACCTTCTTGAGTGGCTTCGCTTTCAACCGAGAAGCTCCCAGCACCGACAACCGCGAAACGATGGATCAAGCGGCGAATCTCACCAGTGGCACAGGAGCGACGCTCGCCGCAGTCCTTCAGCATTGGCAACACAAGGCGGCACCTCGAAAGGCTGGAGTTGAGCCTCTACCAGACGAGCCGACAAGAGCATACAGAGGCACAAAGGTCGACATCACCGAGCTGCAGCCTCCGACACCAAGGACGCTCAAGACCTTTTCAGAACCACCCTTGCGAGAGTGGCCGCATGAACCCGTTCCCATCACCAATGAACCCGTCGTCGAACACACTCTGGACGCCGTCGACGTGATCTTATGTCTGCTTCCCTGTGTCCTGATAATGAAAGCCGGACTCTGTGTCCTTGCTCATCAGATTGACAAGACGCATGTGGGAGCCTCCATCGACAAAACCAGTCAGCTAACCCTGCGCCTGATCGAGTTTAACAACCAGCTGACCACCATCTTCACCATCCTCTTCATCGTCATTGTCTCCACGACAGTGCGGCGGTATGCGCTGTGGAAGGCAGAAAGGGGAGCCACTCTCGGGGAGATCGAGCAACTGCACGCATCCATCAGCTTGACGGCAACTCTCAAAGCTATCTGGTCACTGCGGAGATTCACTTTGACTGGTGTGTCATTAGTCTTCCTGTGGTCTTGGTACTACGTGGGATCTCAAGCGGCGACGCGGGAATATTCGTACCGCGATTCGGCCAACTTTGGGACTCAGTCGGTCGCATTTCTCAGTTCGCATGCCGTATCTCCTTTCCAAGGCGACGAAATCGACATCGACAAGGTCTCGCCCGTCAAGCTGACCGACATGACGGCGCGATATCACCTGTACAGTGCGTTCACGGAGGGGACCCAGAAGACCAACGTGCAAGGGGTCAGAGAAGTACAAGGAGCAGACATCTACGGCGCCACTCTCACACCGTGGTACGGCCCTGCGCGGGACAGTTCTTCCCTCGAATTCGACCGTCATGGATGGCTGGAGATCCCGCACATGTCTGACCAGCCCGTCATGTCGTCGATCGGGACGTCTCTGTATTGGATGAACCAGACGGCCGGAGCGAATGCTTGGACGCCGCAGAAGATGGTGGGATCCTTCACCTACCAGGTTTCCAACTTCCAGGCCAACTGCACGGCGCCGTTCCTGTCCACAAAGGCCAAGCCAAAGGGGTCGCTGCCGGCCGTGTCCACCACGATGAACATGACCACCATGCCCTCGGACGCGACCAAGCCCCGCGAGCTATACTTCTGGAACTGGGTCAACGACACCCACAGCCTGACCTCGACCTGCGAGATGACCAATGTCACAGTCCAGATCCATGCGATATGCACGGCGGCGACCTGCAAGCCAACGCGGATGAAACATGTCAGCACATCCCAACGTACATTGCTCGATTCCGACGTCTTTGCCACTCCCTTCCTTAATGGCCTGCTCCTGGCGTGCGGAATGCCGCAACGTGAGGGCGACTACTCGACATTCGACAGCGACAACGGACTGGTTGACCTGAAGAACGCTCTGGGCCAGGACAAGCTCGACGATGTGTCGCTCCTTGAGCAGGCCAGCGCGGAAGCACAATTCCCCCTGTCGATGGCCATCACGCGATACATGAACACGTACTTCACGTCCTCGCAGATGCTGCGCTACGAGAGCAATTTCCAGGACGACCTGGCGGTCAACGGGTTCCTGACGCTGAACAACAACTCGGATTTCAGCTTCCTTAGCATGAAGGGCGCCATCTACAACCCGCAATACTCCTTGTCGTGGCCGTGGCTGATCATGGACATCATGTCCAACACGGTCCTCCTCGCGGCGGCAGTGGCGGCGCTGTGGCTGCGGAAGCACACCCTGGCCCCCGACATCTTCGGTTTCGTGAGCAGCTTGACCAGGGACAACCCGCATCTAAACCTGCCCGAAGGAGGCAGCACGCTTTCGGGCATTGAGCGCAGCAGGAGGATGAAGAAGGTCCGGGTCAAGATTGCAGATGTGGGTGAGCATTCGAGCGTCGGACGCGTTGGCCTGACACAGGTTGATGGACTGGAGGACGTCAAGGATTTGGAAAAGGGGAGGACTTACTATTAATGAAAGAATCCAGGTGGTTTTATAGAGGTTGATGAGGAACAAATATTAATGACACGACGTCTTTTGGCCATCATATATCTATTCAGTCCGATGCCCCTGCAGCTGGACTCGACTGCTCATGTGTCTCTCTCTGTCGTTCGAGGCTATCGAATCGTAAACCCACCATCAACCCTAACATCCGCCCCATTGATCATGCCACTCTCATCGCCACAGAGAAACTCGATGGCGCTGGCCACCTCCTCCGGAACCGCAAACCTCCCCGTGGGGATCTCGGATAGATGCTTTGCCTTCTTGTCTTCGTCTGCCCAAGCTTTCGCGGCCAGGGGAGTCCAGGTCACTGTGGGTGAGACCGTGTTGGCCGTGATGCCCTTGGGTCCCCACTCCGAGGCCATGCAGCGCGTGAGTCCCAACAGGCCGGCCTTGGAGGCGCAGTAGGCGCCGTGGCCATCGAGGGCGACATGGGCGGCCTGCGATGCGATGCTGACGATGCGCCCGGGCGGTGGCGTCCTGTTCAACTGCGAGGCTCTGGATTGATAAAGGTGGAAGAACGCGGTGCTGCAATTCAACGGGCCCAGCAGATTCGGCAGGATATTTTTCATAGCCTCCTCCGACGACGTCTCCTCCAGGGGCTGCACCGAGACGTAGCCCGCAGCATTGATCAGGATACTCGGGAAAGCCTCGACAGTCGAAGAATCTCCAAGCATCCCGTCTTGGCCGAAAACCATTTTGACCGAGGCCTCGGACGTGATGTCGCATTCAAATGTCCATACCCGTTCGGGCTCCTCGGCACCAAACACCCGCTTCAGCGTGTCGACCACGCGGTCCCGTTCGAATGGTGCATATAAAAGGGCTACACTTGCCCCGTGTGCATGGAGACGATGGGCAATTGAGGAACCGAGTCCGCCTATGGCTCGTTGAGCAGGTCGTCGTCTTGGGTTTGGGGGAAAGCCGAGATGTTATTGTGCTGGAAGGGAATGAGAACTTACCAATGCCGCCGGCTATGATTACGAGGCGTCCCTCAAGTGCGGGAGCCATGATGAGAAGAGTTTACTTAGGTACACAACGTCCAGACAAGTCTACAAGGGAAATTGTGGTGTTCCTTGAAGCTCTTTTATATTCATGCCTCGTGGCCAATGCAACTCCATAACCCCGCACAGATTGACAGGAATACAGCCTGAAATCAGGTCATCTATGCGCCATTCACGTTATTGGAATGATACATCGACATGGACGTAGGTACCTAGGTAAGCATCACACTCGGTCTCTAATCATCGCGACCTCTCACTACAGACAGGGTGACACCAGACAAATGCGAACAGACAAAATGAGCTCCAGAGTTGATCTCGTGTCATTAAATCCGGCGCCAATATATATACCTAATATTTGCAGGCTCTGAAAGTCTGTACGCTCGGGAAACATGACTCTCCTTTCCGTCGCGTGGTTAAACTCCTGTACGGGCTCGCTATGAATTCTTCAATCGCAACAAAACGGTGTCTCGTGTGGAATCCACTATTGCCACTCCTTCAAAAGCAAGGCTCCATCGCTGTGAGACTTGTACCGACTTCTCGGCCCGACGTTGTAGACTATCACTCACGCCTGGGCCAAACTTCACTGGCCTCGAAAGCCTCCGTATGCTTTGAGCAGAACGGCTGCTAATTGGCAAGTGTTTATGGCTTCTCTTGGCTGAAAATCCTACAACGTTGAATTTGTGCAGGGCTCACAAGGGTAGCACCATCAATAGTTCGACATCCATGTTACAGTCCTAGCGATCCCGAGTTGATGGGGGAAGATACAACCACATTTGCTTGCGGACCCGGTTCAAAAGCCGAATGGATTTGCTGCAGCTATAGTCTTGTCAGTATCCCTCGAATCAGACATAACCAGTCGCATGAGAACTTACTCGCATTGGCAAGGTTTGCCCTTCTACCCGTCGGCTGAGGAGTCAACTTCTTGGCCTGAGGGCCGAATTTCACATCAGGTGCAGGGCCCGTCTTTTGTGGCTGCAAAGGTGCAATAGTCGGGAGTTGAGGAAGAGGTGGCAGCGGGGGCACCGGTGGCGCCTGGAAGTTCCCAAACCCGTTTTGCTGCGGCACTTGCCCGAAGCCAGTGGCTTGTGGTTGCAGAGGCTGTCCAAAGGCGGTCTGTTGGGGTTGAAGCGATGCTGGCTGAGGGAATCCTGCTTGGGGAACACCTGACCCAAAGCCATTGACCTGAGGTTGTGGAGGAGGAGACACGAACCCAGTCCTTTGCGGTTGAAGCGCTGGTGGAAGGACCGTGTTGATGCCGCCCGTCGGTGGGCTTTGCTGGAATTGCATACCTGTGGGTTGGGGCTGGAAAGGTGGTCGTGGATCCGCAAAAGGACTGCCCGCTGCGTTCCCATTGATATATGGCTGCTGTGGGAACTGGCCGAATTGCTGCGGCTGCTGGAAACCAGTAGGTTGCGGAGCCAGTCCAAATTGCCCGATACTTTGGTTTGGTTGAATGAAGCCGGTAGCCTGAGGTTGCAACTGCAACTGCTGGAATTGCTGCTGCAAGCGTTGCTGTGATAGATCATTCAAGCTCTGCCCAGGAGGAGCTTGCAGAGCAGACGCTCGTGGAATGCCTGTCAGTTGCGGTTGCAACGGCTGCAGTCCGAACTGGTTCTGCTGCGGGTTTTGAGGAGCAGAAGTCGGGCGAGGAGGAGGCGGAAGCAGCCCGGCACCGGCAAAGCTCTGTTGTGGTGCCAAGGGTCGCTGTCGGGGGACGTTCAACTGCTGCTGCGGTTGTTGGAACGCAGTCATCTGGGGCTGCAGTTGCGCAGGAGGCTGATTCAATTGCGAGAAGAAAGCGGCATTGGCACCGGTTTGTTGGGGTTGCTGTACAGGAGGAGACAGGACCGGAGCAGGAGCAGGAGCTGGTTGTGGCTGTGGCTGTGGTTGAGGTGGTGGCTGTTGAACCGGCATAGGAGCAGGCGCTGGAGTAGGCTGAAGAGGAGCCGGCAGAGGTCCGTCGAGCAGGGAGGACAAATCTTTTGTTGCTCCCGTGGGAGGCTTAGGGCCCGGTGATGGAATGACAGCAGCAGGGGCTGGCGCAGATTGTGAGGCGGCGCGTGGGCGGCTAGGTGCCTTGACAGTCCAAGCATCATCGTCGAAACCGCCCTTGACGGGCTCTCTCGGCGGTGCCTGGGTGAGAGGCGTCGCCCTTGCATCCGAAGGTGGCTTCTTTTCTTCATCCTTTGGTGCAAAGGCGTCTGCGTCAACAACATCGCTTGTGGACCGGGTTGCTTCCGGTCTGCCTCGTCGTGTATTATTATGCAAGGTTCCACCAGGGCCCGAGAAAAGGCCTCCCTGTGCTGATTCTCCATTGGTGCCATTGATCGTGGGAGCTCGTGTTCGCGCAAATTTTTGATCCAAAAACTTCATGACTTTCAAGATATCGCCCTCCTTGAAACCCAGAGTCCGCAGAGTTTCGGGTGTAATGTCAGGAAGGACACTTTCATCCATCGAATCCCGAATCATGGCCTGGGCATATCGGTCGCATTGATGAGGACCAACACCCGCCGAGAGAAAGAAATCGAACCAGTCGTATTCGGGGGCTTTCGGCTGCTCTGGTGCCCTCGCCCCAACGCTAGCTCCGCTCCGAGAATTTGGTTGTTCTTGATTCCGATGTCTCATCTTGATCAAATCAGCCACTGGAATGTGCTCCTCGATCGGTTCGTGAATTACCTGCTCAACGTAGTCAAGGTCTTCAGGTGACATCTTCGTTACGGGAACGGCGATCTTGACACCATTGACCTTGTGCAAATGAATCTTGCCGTCTGTAACTCGCAAGAACTCCGCTTCAACCTTGAATGTCCCCGAGTGGTCTGTCCAGGTTCTCACTTTCTCGGGATCCGGCTTCGAGCGACTCTTCTTTCGCTCATCCTTTTCTCTCCGATCTCGTCGGCGCGGTTGCTCATCGGCAAGGCTGCTGCCGCGCTGGGGAATTTCACTGCGAGATCTCGCGAGCTCCGCATCTTGACGAGCTCTGTCAGCTCGGGCTGCCTCTCTTGCCAGCCGTTCTTCTTCAAGTCGATTCTGATCAACCACGGACAAACCAGCTTTAGTACCCGAGCGCGAAGGCGGCTCTATTGTTGCAAACCCAGTAACCTCAATGTAGCTGCTGGGCACGACACCTTCTTTGCCGTTCTTCAGGCGTCTAACATTCCACCACTCTTCGGATTTGGTGTCGTCCAGGATGATAACCTCGTCTCCTACGCCAACTGTGACTTCATCGTCACCTTGAGCCGGAAAATCGTAAAGGACCTTTCCCTTCTTGTGCGTGCCGCCGCCACTGGCAGCAGTCATGACCTCCCGGAGGCCTTCGGCCCTCTGAGCACCCGCAATTTCCCCCAGGGCTGACACGATCTCTTCTGCAGTATCCTTTGCGCCTGCGTGCAGATCCAAACTCTTACTAGGCTTGACAAGCTCAATGAAGACGTGCTTGCCCTCGATGGAATAGTGCGTCATCTTGTCTGCAGTCCATTCCTGTGAAGGCCCGTCTCTTGACTTTTCAGGAGCGACCATGATCGTGCCCGTGGCAATATTGATGCCCAGTGTTGTCGGCATTTTCCTCCTTCTACCCATGGCAGAGACCATTTCACTTATATTGTATAGGTGAAAACCGCCGGCCGATCGAAGCGCACCCTCCTCGTCCTCCGGCTGTGGGATGGCTCGATTGTAGGGTGGAGAAGGAAGTGGACCTTGAGATCCTGATGTAGGTCGTCGCGGGAGAGCTGGTGCAGGCTCTTCTTCGTCCGAGGCATCTGGAGTGAATTGTTGACGAGGGATTGCAGGTGGCGGAGACGATATTGTTCGAGCAGCAGCTGGGGAAGTAGGAGCACCTCCTCCCAAGACACGGGCCAAATTTGCCGCAGGACTGTGAACAGATCGAGCCGGAGAGGCCGGACTTGCGGGCGCCTCTGGCTCAGCTGCCAGTGGGTTCGAGTATGCTCTTGATCGCACAGAGGGAGACCGTAGAGGGGCAGCGGGTGCAGTAGATGTCGAGCTTGATATCTCAATGTAGTTGGCGGGCGCAAAACCAAAATCATCACCAACGCCAACTAGGGTCCAATCTGGGTCGGAGGTATCATAGACGTCCAGTAGGGCATCCTCAGCGAAGGAAACTTCCTCGTCAGTCTGGCGAGAATAATCATAGAGAGCTTTGGCAGTATGGGCGGGCTTTGCATCTTCGACATAGTTGTTCGGGATCAGGCCTTCGGGTTCGTCGTCATCGTCCCCGGCTGCCTTTTTCTTTGCCTTCCACCAGTCATCCTCGGTGCTCTTCTCCAGGATATATAGCAACTCCCCCTCTTTGATCTCTAACTCGCCAGCGCTCTGTGGGTGGTAGTCGTAGATGGCGGTGCATATCGCAACGAAGCCCATAATGGGTGGGGACTGCAACGGAATCGATGGGCAGAGAGGAGCAGCAGTGGTCAAATGGACTGGGTGGAAGAAAATGCCATCAATGTGAAGTCGGACGGGTCGGAGAGAATCGAAGGGAAATGAGGTAGCGCAATTTGGGTGGTTTCACCTCGACGGCTAAGCGAACAGTAAGATGGCCTGCTAGCGGGCGAGGTCGAGTTGGGAGTGAGAGGGAGGATGAACGGCGAGGGTGACGGGGTTTGGGGCCCAGAGCTTCTTGATGGGTGGCCGAATGCGACTCTAGAGGTCCTCAATATACAGGAACTATCACGCTCAAAGACAAATAGTGGAACAAGCGGACGGGTTGGCAGGATCAAGATTCGAAGAGTCGAGTTGCTCGAGGTGGTCGAGGTGTGCTCGCAGGTTAGACCCGTCGAGCCGTGCAGCACGACCAGGTCCAGGAACATCCCCGGCGCAACTGGCCGCCAAGCAGGGGCCTACGACTGCGTCTCCCGTCACCATCACCGTCACTACAACCACCAGAGTCTCCGCCAACATCCACCGGCACGGCAGCCAAAAATGCTTACATCAACATGCATCGAGCCTACAAGCTAGATTACTTAGAAGTCGTATTTCGGCCTAGAGAGCAACATTCACACGTAGCTCAAAGCACTAGTGCAACCTTCATCGATCTGATGTTGTTATCGGCCATTTGGCTTAGGCCTCTCCAGCATATTCTTCGTGGCTGCCAGTCCCTTCTTCGTTCTCTTCCGATGGAGGATTGCTTTCTTCCTGTTCATTGTTCTCTTCGTCCTCCTCCTCGTCATCGTCTGTCGCCACCACACCTCTGAGTTGAATGTGCCCATTGACATCGTCCAATCGCTCAATCTTCCAGTCCTTGGTGCCGGCCAACTTCTGCAGCTCCTTGCGAAAGGCATCAATATCCTCCGGACTCAGATCAAGCTTCTCGAGCTCCGCCTTGGACATGCCAGAGATCTGTCCTTTTTTCTGCATGATGACTGTCTCGGCTTTCTCGTCTTTGGTCAGGACAATACGCCCTCTCTCGAGCCTCTTGCCCTCGCGACCTACAAGTTTCATGCCACCCACTTCCACATTGCCTAGCATGATCTGCTGAGGCTGGCCTTGACCCAGCGTCTGGCGAGAGCCCTCCTCTTCGTGACGCGCTTCCCACGCCTCTACCTCATCTTCCGAGATGATCTCCCGGCAAGTGATGGGATGGGCTCGACTCTCCTTCGGCGGTTGGAAGGCGACATCGTTGCAAAGCCGTGGCGTGTAGATGATCATGAGGTAGGCGCAGGTGGCCGTCTCCTTGATCCAGCCAATTCGGTCGGTCAGTTGCGGGTTGCAGTGGAACTGCACCTCGATCTTGCGGTCGTTCCCCGTGAGATCGCAGGGTGTCCCTCCCTCTAGCCGCTGGACCAGATAGTTGGTCTCGGCTTTTGACCTGACTTCTGTAGAGAGGGCCTTGTCGGAGCCAGACTGTGGGTTCGAAGCTCCCGGTCTCGGTGATTCAAACTTGCCCAGGACGTAGCTTGGAGTGGTGGGGTCTTCTTGCGGCGGCCATATCCTGCCGTTGGTGCCTGGCGGGAGCGCATGAAACTGGGTTACCTGAGCATTGTAGCAGAATGAATAGGTCCACCAGCCCGTGGAGTAGTATAGGCATTGATTCGACGCCATGCCCTGTAGTAGCTGTGCTGCCCTCGCAACGGCATGGTCCAACTCTTGCTCGCGATCCGCGGCAGATGGTTCCGGGGCGGTCCGATTGTCGACCGTGTCTTTTGCTTCTGGGATGAAGCACAAATAGGGATATCCATGGAGGAAGAGGCGTTGGTAGGAGCCCGATTGCATTGAGTCTGCTATTCTAGCATCATCGTCCGTCTCCTGGTTGACACTTGCAGAGACATCCTTCAAAGGCGTCTGCGCCGACCCGCCATCGCCTGACCGGCTTTTTCGTGGCAGTTGGCCTAAAAGGTCTGGCACATCGATGTCGAGTACGTAGGCCTTAGGGAATTCAATGCTATACTATGGCATTGTCAGCATTGAAGCATCATCCCTCTGAGCACAGAGAGAGCGCGGGAGTACCTGAGGAAAGGCAAACAGATCGTCGTTGACGCTGAAGGCAGTTTCGCTTGCCCAACAAACACATGGCGCAAAAGAAAGTACAAAGCAAGCCGAAAGGCCAAAAAGAATCCTCATCACGGATTGAACTCCCCAATTACATGACTGGTATTCGGTATTTCCGCAGTTGTGCCAATTCAAGTCGCGACAGAAACAACACGGTCGCATGAGTGCTCGCCGCGGAGCAGACGGTGACATGCGCCAAGGGATGCGGCATTCTACTAAAGGAATCAACACGCCCTGCAAGGGTCTAGGCCACTCGTGCATATTTGTTTTCATCTGATATCACAGAGCACAATCCTCCGTCCGACTATTGATACTGTTTACTCTGAATCACGTTTAGTATCTCCGCTGAACATGGCTGAGGAAGCCTCGTCGACCTTCTCCCTCGCCGGCAAAGGCCTCAAAATCGACACCAAGGAAGATCTCGAGAAACACATTGACCTACTAAGGTCGTCCTCTTCTGTCACTCACATCGATCTCTCTGGAAACACACTAGGCGTCTCTGCATGCGCCGCACTCGCACCCATTTTGGCCTCAAAGTCAACTCTGCAAAGCGCCGATCTACACGATATCTTCACGTCGCGTCTTCTCGACGAGATCCCACCAGCACTATCCTCTCTTCTCACTGCCCTACTCGAGTGCCCCAACCTGCACACGATAGACCTGAGCGACAATGCATTCGGTCTCAACACGAAGGATCCCCTCGTGGATTTCCTGTCCAAACACACCCCGCTGAAGCACCTGGTCTTGAATAACAATGGCATGGGTCCCGAAGCAGGCACTGCCATTGCCGAAGCGCTTATCAAGCTGGCGGAGAGGAAAGAGACGGCCAGAAAAGAGGGGAAGAGCGTACCATATCTGGAAAGCATAGTTTGCGGCCGCAATCGGTTGGAGAACGGGAGCATGCCTGCCTGGGCGAGGGCGTACGAGGCACACAAGGCCGGAATCAAAAGCGTCAAGATGACGCAAAATGGTATCCGACCGGAGGGTATCTCCCACCTAATCACATCCGGACTGTCAAAATGTGAAAACCTCGAGGTCCTCGACATGCAAGACAATACGTTCACTCTCAAAGGCGCACAGGCCCTGGCAAACGCGCTCAATGGTTGGTCGAATCTCAAAGAGCTCGGCGTTGGCGACGATCTACTGGGCGCCCGTGGCGCAATCAAAGTTTTCGAGTCTTTCTCCGGAGGAGGTAACGAGAGTGTGGAGATTCTCAGACTACAGTACAACGACATCACTCCAGCGGGCGTGAAGTCGCTGTTGAGAGCTGCAAAGCACGATCTACCAAGGTTACGACGGGTGGAACTGAACGGGAACAAGTTTGAAGAGGAGGACCCGTCAATTGAAGAACTGGCTGCACTGTTGAGCGACAGAAGAGATGAGTTGGGCAAGGACGAGGATCCAGAGGATCACTGGGGACTGGACGAGTTAGATGAATTGGAAGGAGAAGAGGACGAGGAGGACGAAGAAGAAGAAGAAGCCGAAGAGGAGGACGAGGAGCAGGAGGAGCTGGCGGAGAGAATCCTCAAGGAGGCTGAAGAGGCCGAGGGGGAGAAGGTGGCAGAGAAGAAGGATAAAGAAGTCGATGAGTTGGCCAATGCTCTGGAAAAGACGCATGTATGAAAGATGATCGATGCAGATTGGAGTTGCAGTGCATTGTTGAGCGTGGTTCAAGACATCAAGAATCCTTTTTTTGGCCAACAGAGCATAGCACAGGAAGATACCCCCAATAGACACAAAGTCAGAATCTTGAACAAGCCACATTTTTGGGTCTGCCCCATCCACTTCTGTTATACTGGAGAGTCCACTTCTCAGCTCGGCACTTCGTCTGCATAGTGCTTGCAACCTGATGTGTGCAAGCCTGTCACGGGCCAGACCACCGGTTCGTAGTTGACGTGTCCGCATAGCTGGTCCTGTATAAATAGTGCTCTTATTGGTGAGCAAGTATAGCGGTGCGAGAGCCTCGAGAACTCGAGCTCATAAAGCAGTGCGGCTAGATCTGTATTCGGTGCAGCCGGTGTAGCAGCTCTCCCACAGTTGCTGGGTGGGGAAAGGCGAACTGTCATAGAGCGAAGGAAGCGTTGGAAATGCTAGACGCATAGGAGGTCGCCGCATCCACGTCTCCCAAAGCAATGGAGCTAACTGCCATAGATTCGCAGCAGTCGATCCTCCACCCCATCAAGAATGCTCCAATGATCCAGAACCTCCAGATTCTCCGCCTCCGCCTGAAACATCTTATGAGGCTCCTGACCCGGACCAAATGGATTGGCATTTGCACCGGGGTTCATCTGCGCCATCTGCTGCGCCATCTGACTGGCTGCGTTCTCATTGCCGAGAATAAAGATGAAGACGCTTTGAAGGCCGAAAAGGCACAAAAAGTACCACGACAAGCTGGACACCCATCTGACATCCAGGTCTCGGGTCATGACGCCTGACTGCAGCATAGATTTGAACCGAATGGTGAGCGGAAAGGGCAACTTGAGAATGACAAAGCCGGCGAAGAAGGCGTTGATCCAGGACATGATCAGTGTCTGGGGAATCATCATGGCCATGTTTCCTTTCATCATTCCCATCATGCCCTCCATGGCCGCAGGATCAGACATTGGGTTCGCTGCACCTTGATCCTTGGAATCTGGTCCACCTTTCAAAAACGTGCCCTTGTGGTAGCCGTCGACAAGGTATTCTTTCCGGCGGTTGAATGAAGGTGTTGTCACCGCTGCTGCAGCGTTATTTCGCAGGTTGATCCCACGGAGGAGCGCTTGGCGTTCACGAGACTCGGGAAGGCTGTTCGGAGGTTTTGGCGGAGTATGCAGTAGAACCGTGGCGTAATGTCGAAGAACTCCAGTTAATATCATCACAATGGTGATGGGGAGCAAGATCCAATAGCTTTTGAAGCAAGTCAGTACAGAGCAGATATTGTGTCTGCAGAAAGCAACTCACAAAAGAGCAGGATCACGATGGATCATCTGCTCCGCTCCTTCGACCGCCATCTTTTTGCCGATCGAAATCCCGCTGAGGATGAGAGGAGGTGCGCAGACTCAGTTGTGTAGTACGAGGTACTGTAGTCGGACTGTAGATACTACTGACGATGGTCGTGAAAGTCGTTGACTCGCTCGGGAAACCTGCCTAGTTCTCCATGTGTTGACAGTGGGCCCTTTTCGCCCAAAGCGTCGAGGGCGTGTCTATCTTGACTTCCACCACCATGTCTTTCAGGAACTTCTCCTTCGTAAAGGGACAAAATACAGAGATCAAGGGCGTTGGCTACGGCGGCCTTACCGACGCCAACTGTGGTCCTGGTCATTAAGCAGGGGGTATATCGATGTAATATTCTTTGAGGAAAAGAAGTATACGTCGAAATCCCCAGTGTAGTGTGGGAGTGAGAGGGAGGACAGGGCGACCAAGCCGAGGAATGCACCCAGATATGGTACGTCGTGCAGATGCTCAGCTAGGCGCTTAGCCCAGGGAGGCAGAAGCTGGAGATGAGGGTGACCAAAACGCCGAGAAGACCAGGAAGAATGTAAAACCTCCGGGTCAGCCAGATCAACAACGATATAGGTGGGAAAGGTGAGTACGAAGTACTTGATGACCGAGAATCTCATTGTGTCTCCCTATGGAGACGGCGTCTTCTCTAGACGCGACGCAAACCTGCTATGCACATGAACGGGGATGTCACCACTAACGCCAACCCTCCTAAGGCTTTATTTGCCCATGGTGCATCGTCAAACGCCAACCCAGTCTTCAGCCTCGTCCTTACCCTTGCCCTCGCTCTCGGCCTTGTCAACAAGCTCCCATTCCGCGAACTCACAGTCGGCACACACCTTCGCCACAGCCAGCTCCTTATACTTCCTGACCTTCAAGTGTTTGGGACGTTTTGGCTTTTTCACCCAGCAGACGGCCCATAGCCCCATGCCCTTGCAGTTCGGACGGTTTTTGCAGATGTAAAGAATGATGCCTTCCAATTTGTTGTCCTCGGTCTGCTTGCTGTTGATTGTTGAGAGAATTTCAGAGGCGTCTGCGGGAGCTTTGTCCACGAATTGGACTTCGGGGCAAATGGGACGGGTAGGGAGGAGGTTTGGTGAGTTGTTGGGGACTTTGGTGGCCATTACGTTGTCTTGTCTGGTTCTCGGTACGGTGTTAGGATAGGTGTAGGCGCAAAGGGTTTTGATTTGAGATCGGTGGAATCTTTTGTCGCGCACAATTGACGTATTAGAGCAATGTGCTTGCTTGGTTTGGCCAGACGAGATACTGAGTGTGGAAAAGATTTTGAAAAAGAAGACAAAGGACCGAGCCTCTTGTGCCGCGTACATCTGTTGTGAACAGTGAGGAAAGGGTGAAAAAGCGGCGAGATATCCTTAGCTCGTCACATTGTGTTGTGTCTGTCCAGCAGTCACTAACAGCTTCTGCACAAGTTGTTGTCTGGTATGCCGTCGGGTTTCATACCCAAGAAGCCTCGCTGCGCGGCCTTGTCCAAGGAGGGCGACAGCCGGCCTTTGAATAGCCCGGATCCCTCTTAGGGTCGCACAAGCTCAGTGTCCACATGTGCATCCCTGTGTTCGATTGCAGCAGAGCCAAAGTGGTTGATCACACTCCATTCCTCGTTCGTATCACTTTCTTCGATCACATCCCACGACAGCTCCTTCGCCAAAGCCATGTCTGCTCCTTCAGCGGGTTCGCCCAAATGTATGTCCTCAAATCCAGCAGTGGACATCATCCGACTCTTCTCTCCAGTGCTTTCATTTTGCGGCTCCTCGGACAACCCCCGGTGTCGATGTTCTTCCTGGTTTACCGTATGCGGTCGACCTTCTCCCACAAAACGTTTTCTCTTCAACGCCTTTTTACACAGACAACACAACCTTGGGATGGCTATTTCCTTGTAAGAGTCCAAATCCATGGAGTTCCGAATTCTCTTCCGCGGTTGTGAATTCCACTGCACCGCCCAGAGAAAGCCACAACCCCCGTTGCAGCAATAGTAGTACTCGATGCCATCAGTTGGTTTGCCATTAAGCCTCGATGGTGGTTGAGTTAGCATGGTGACGTGCAGTCGCGACTGCACGACCGTGAGAGGGCTGGCTATCATCTGATCAACGAGCACCTTTGGGTCGTCTTGGATTGATTGAGAATAGCGTGGCGCCATAGCGACGAGGTATGAAAATGTCGAGCGCTGCTTGAACCAGAAGGGCTAATCTTGTACGATTCAGCTGTCCCTGCAGACCGTGAATTGTGACAGTCTCAATTTGCAGAAGACGAATCGGTGGCAGGAGATGATGTTGCACTCAGCAGGCTGGCTGTGGTGCGTGTTGCGTGTGTGGAGGACTCTCGCGATATCGGCTGAGAATGATGTTTACAAAGGTGAGGAAGACGTCTAAGAAGAAAGAGTGTCAAAATTTTTCCAAGGACGTGTTTGAGTTTGTCAAAATAATGGTTCCGGAATCCTCTCTCAAGGATCACGAACTGCGCGATCAATGTGGTCTCGGCGACTGTAACTGGGTACCGTTGGTGAAGCATCCATTCTGCCGGGCCAAACCATACGAGTAAGCTTTTATCATGAAAGGACCAACTCATATAAGGGGAACATGACAATCAGCAGCGGTGGCGACCAAATTTCAGGAGCAAACGCTTCATAAACAAAAAAACCAGAAACGGCACCAAGCCATTCTGTATCGGAAGGCCAGCTTCTGAGATATTCCACCATTCAGATCTGGTTGTTTTGACCTCTGGGAGATTTGTTGGAAGCAGTTCTTTGAAGCAGACGTGCGACATAAACCCATCTTTCATCGCAGTGCCATCATAAGAGACGGGCTCCGGATAGGTAAAAGGGCTCATTAAACGGGACAACCTCTGCCAAAGCATTTGGTGTCATCGTTTTGGTGAGGGAACCCATGTGTCCGGAGCCCAGTTTGCGCCGGGATTTGAGCCTGTGACCCCTGATTTCATCTGCTGGTCCTTGTTGCTCTCGACACTGTTGCTCATCTTTTCTGATTGTCGCGGCTGGCCGGGGCTATGTTCTGCTCGAGCTCGATCTTGTTGAGGGTCACCAGACAACAGCGGAGTGATGACTGATGGCTTTGGTTTCTCAATGTACCTTGCCTTTGCAGCCCATCTTTCGTCGGCCATCCTGGCATTAATCTTCAGTTGGGCCTGTCTCTGCACATCGGCGGCTTGCTCCTGTAGAGTCGGAGGATCGTGGCGGGTTTGGCGAAGCCATTGATGCCATTGAGGGGAGATCTGGACATCTGAAAGGGAGGAGAGAGTGGCTCGTCGGCGACCTTTCACCATACGACGCCATCGGTTGTGGTTGAGGGCATCTTTAAACTCCCAGAAAGTGTTGCCGTAGAGGTCTTGTCCTGTCGTAATGTCAGCTCATCGCTTTTTCCGCCCTTCAGCTCCTTCAATCACGCGTACCGACTAAGAACCTCTTCCTCCACGGCAAGCGGAGCATCTTCCACCGCAGCCAAAGGTCTCGAAAGCCTCCCATTGTGATGGCGGTCGATCAACACAGGTTTAAAATGTACCTGCCTTGGGTTGAATCAAAGAAAAGAACCTACGCAAAGGAGCGGGAGGCTGCATAATTGTTTGCTGCACATTTCTTGGATCGACGTCAACTTGCAGCGACGCCCTGGTGGGGCGCCGGTCCTGTGCTCGTCTCATTCTCCGCAGGTACCGAGTACACAGATACCTCGTACATGACAATCTTCACCTGGTCTCAGCACGCGCGGCCACGATCGGGTGTCTCGGGCCTAACATCTTCACTCACACTCACTACTTCCTATTCAAACACATACGACATCTAAGATTTGGAGCAATCTGCGAACATAGACAACGGCCGCAACCATGGCGTCGGTCAGAAGCCTCGATCAAGACATGCGCAAACTGCGCCTTGAACGATATACCCCCGGCGCAGCAAACGAGGTGAGAAACTGGATTGAAAGCACTTTGGGCGAGAGATTGGCTCCAGGTGACTTGATGGACGCCCTGCGGGATGGAGTTGCTCTTTGCAAGTATGCGTGATCTGTGGACGATATGGCAGTGATGCTGACCTGAACCTCAGACTTGTCAATCTAGCCGTGTCCCCAGGCATCAAGTATAAACAGTCGAACATGCCCTTCGTGCAGATGGAGAACATCTCCCACTTCCTCCGTGCTTGCGAGGTTGCGCCATTGAGTCTTCCCTCTCATGACCGATTCCTTACTGTCGACCTCTACGATGCTAAAGACCCCGCACAAGTCTTACAATGCATCGCCGCCTTCAGCCGCAGAGCGAACCAACTGAATCCTTCCGCCTTTCCTACAACCCTGGGAGCAAAGAGCAAAAGTGCCATGAGCCCACAAGGAACGGGCTCAAGTGGGCCAAGATCACCAGCTTACACCACCACCACAAGTTCGCGGCCACGGGGTGCGAGCAACGCAGCTACTGACAGTCCGTCTCTCACCTTCAATCCTCTCAACAAGTCCGCGTATTCTGGGCGTGTTAGCCCCACAAAGAACATCCTCAGTCGAGGAGGGCTGGCTTCTGGCGGTTCCGTCAGCAGTTGGAGCAACAAGGCTGACGAGACCAAGACCGCACCCGCGTGGAATATCCATCAGTATGGGTACATGGGAGGGGCAAGTCAAGGTAATCAAGGCGTTGCTTTCGGCGCTCGGAGACAGATTACCTCCCCAGCACCCAGCGTCCCCAGCATTGCAGAGAAAGAGAAGCGTCTTCAAGAAGAAGTGGAGAGAAAGCGACAAGAAGCAGAGGAACTTGAACAGCAGCAGCGGGCTCAACAAGCTGCAGAAGAAGAACAAGCACGTCTGGAAGAAGAACGTAGATGGGCCCAGGAAACGCAGCGGTTGAAAGAGCAAGAAGCCGCTGCGCAGCGAGACCTTGAGCGAGAACGTCTACAAGAGGAAGAGCGCGTTCGCCGTGAAGAACAGCGTCGCAAAGAGTTGGCCTATGAACGTGACCGGGAGCGAGAAGCGCAGGATCAAGCAGATCGAGAGGCCCGTATGGCGCAGGAACGAGGTCGTCAACGCACCGTCAGTGATGCTCGTCTCAACGGACAATTTCTCAGTCAGTACCAAGCCGACCAGGCTAGAAGTCATGTCGCTTCCCCACCTCTACCAAACCCTGCTGCCGAGCAGGACTCGGCTGAAAGTCGACGCATTGCGGAATTAGAGCGTCAATTGGAGGAGATGAGGGCGCAGCAGAGACAAACCCAATCTGCCAGACCAGTGCCTGAACCTGAACCTCCGGCACCTGCACCACCAAGCAGACCCCAAGTTAGCCAAGCAAGCCACGAGGACGACTGGGCTGCATCAGAGCGTCAATACCTGCAGCAAGAATGGCAGAAAGCACAGGACGGCCAACCTCCTCCCAAACCACCCAGGCCTGAATCCACACCATCAGCAGCTTCTCGTCCGCTACCTGACCCAGCGACCTATCAGCCAGGCACCAGCCGCACAGACCGATACCTTGCCTCGAACGCCGCTCCTGCTCAACCGAATGTTGCGTCTCACCGCCCTCAAGACTTTTCCACCACAACCGAAGTGGACCTTGAAAACCAACGCCGTGTCCAATCCCAACAGCGCACCAAAGCTGGGGGCTGGGCCTCGAAGTCCCTCCTCGAGCGAGAGATGGAACGCGAGCGAGAACGGCAGAGAGAGTGGGAAGAAGCACAGAAAGATACCGCATCGAGAGCCAGGGATATACAAGAAGGGAGCGGCCCTGGTCAGACATGGGATGTCCACCAATATGGGTATTTGGGTGGGGATAGCCAGAATCGTGGAGGTCCAGGGCTAGGAGTGGGGGGCGCCAGAAGGCAGATTATCGGCCCAAGGCCGCCCCCTTAGGAGAGATACAGAGCACATTGGGCGGGACTAGAAGTGGGCGTGGGGAGGTGTTGTCAGATCTTCCAAGTCGAGTCAAAAAGCCTACAGAGTCGACAAAGAGCATGCCTTTTGACGGTGGCATAGTCAGAGTTTTGGGATGAGCACTGCAAGCTGATTGGCCTCTTGACGTGGAAAGACCAAACAGAGTCGTGCTCGAAAGCTTCTTGTGTGGGATTCTGGGTATGCAGAGCGTTTACCAGCTTTCTATGTTGCTGTTTCCACACCCTTGCGAGCCTTGTCTCATGCTCTTATTCGTTCCTCCAGCGCCAAACCGTCTATCAGTAGGGTGATCCTCTCCCCACTCTCAACGAGCCATTCCCACGCGAGGCCTTCGTCTCCTAGTTTTTTCTTACTGCCTCCCTTTTTCTCTGCCAAATCCGCCATACGGCCGACCCTTTTCTCCACGCCGGTTCTGGCCGCGCGCGCTAGACTCTCTGTCTTATTCAGATGTCCAGTCCGCGCGAGACATCTGGTTAAGCTCTCGAGCAAGATGCTGACTCTCGCATTGGCGTCGACGCTATTCTTGGACGCAGCAAACGGGAGATATTCTTGCTCGAGCTTTTTCCCGGAGAGCAAGACGTGGCTCCGGATGCTCGGAGCGGACGTTTCGAGCAGGCGTTGGAGAAGGGCTTCACACAACCACGTCGAGGATGTTGGTCCAAGGGGATTGGAAGGGGTGGGAAGGACGATGTGCGCGAACACAGGGAGGGGAAGAGGGCGAATGAATTCCACGAAAAGGGTGTAGAGCTCTTCCAGGTCCGGGAAGGTTGTCGGCGAAGTAGACATCAGATTGTAGTGAGAGGAGATGTGGGTGAGCAACTTCAATAACCGGAGGCGAAGAGAGAGGCAAGAAGGGCCGCCGAGGCTGCTGGTGGACAGGGTGCCAGGAGAGTCCTCCCCGTCGTCTGCGCTATACGCGCTGCGTAGACTGCCTGCGCTAGACTTTGACTTTAGTCCCGTTAATGAAGGGGTTCGTGTTCGTGTCCGCAAGCGCTTTGAAGGTCGTCCACTTGCTCCGGTGCCAGTGCTGGCGACTTCGTCGGCAGCATCGTCGGCAGCATCGAAAAGGTCCAAGTCGTCCTGCGCCGAGTAGTCACCGTAGATATCCTGGTCAATATTGACGTCGACTTCACGCATCTTGATCTTCCCGTCTTCCTGCCTGGGTCCTTTCAATTCATGGGGGAATATTTCACGAAATTCGCTGAGCGAGCGCTGACTCCCATCCGCGAAAATGGCTCGCAGGATCCGTCTCGCGCGTGCATGGCCACCGGCGGAAAGTTCGATATACTGCCAGAGCAGGGACTCGTCGGCCGAAGTATTCTCTGACGTGTTTCGGAGATGCCAGTCTTCTTCTAGCACGTCAATAAGAAACTCAAGGAGGAGTTGGTAGTGACTCCATCGCTCGGCATGACTACCACGATGACATGCACAGTTGAATGCCCAGCCCACTAGTTGCCAGAAATCTTCGGCGCGAGCCCAAAGACTCTGCGAGCGGGCATAGGGAGTATTCAGATCACCTTCGCCAGCCGTGTTATCGCCTTCGCCTCCTGCGCCGTCATCGTCATCGTCGAGACGGTGATTACTGCGACGTGAGAATCGAAAATCGAATTTCCGGAAGGAAAATGCCGTAGTGAAATCGGCATTGATCGGTCCGACGAGGGTGTGGACCAGTCTGAGTAGTCGGAGACCAGCGTTGGCCTGATTCCACTTCTCGCGCGAGTCGGTCCTGGATGTATTGGTCGGGTGGACTACCAATGTGGCAGTAAGAGCGAGTTGAGAGGGTGGTGGGATTGTCACTGGTCCCAGCCGCACGAGAGGAGACGCGCTGTTGCCGGTGATTGATAGGAGAAAGCTAAAGGCTTGGGTGAAGAGTCCCTCTTCAAAGTAGGTCTGCACGTTTTGCGCTAGCTCAAAAGGAAGTCCCTTAGCTGGCCGGTATTGAACATCTCTTTGTGTCGTTGAGACTTCTCTGGGTATGGTCTGGCTTGGAGGTGACGACAGCGGAGATGAAGGAGCGGGAAGCGCCATGGTTGATCGGACAGTGCTTGAAGTTTTGTAAATTGCAGGCACACTTACAAAGGCTCGTAGAGCAAAATTACTCAAGTCCACGCGGAGACGCCTTCTCACGGCTGGCGCTGCCTAGATGAAGGGAAGTCAATCAGCCTTGTTCAGCCTTGTCGAGGTCAATTCAGGGTTAGCGTGGAATTTCTGCAATCAGGAGTCAGCCCGACGCAACGCGTTGCCTTCCAAGGTTTGTGTGTACGAGGTACAGGTATCCTTCTAGCAACCACCACTTGCCCGACTCCGACCTGCTTCGAGCGCGCACCCGGACCACAATTCTTTCAGTGTCCTGCAAAATGCATAAGAAACTCTCGAGAGAGACTCTTCGTCCTAGGCCGGAGCTTGAAGGCGGTCTTCTGTCCAATTTCATCTTGTTACAGTGCGAGCTAATTACTACGATTCTGAAGCATGCCACCATCTCCGAACTCCTCATATTGCGAAATGGATTGAGCATGAACACATCATGCCGAACCTTTAGGCCTCTTACGCTTTGCACATCACGACACGCTCCTCCTTCATGAGTCGAGTCTCCTCCTCAGTTCCTCCTTCGCTTCCCTGCACATTTCCTCCACATCCACATTTGCAATGATTCCATTCCTTTCATTAATCTCACTTTCGATCTTGACGAAATCTCTCCCTATGCCCTCGGCGCGCCACTCGTAGCAATCGCCAACCCACCGACTACTCTGAACAAGCCACTGACCCCGCTCTTTGCGCCGAGCAGTGAACGTTGCGAATACTGCGTCCAAGTCTGATGGAGACTGCACCCGCTCATCCGCGAGTAAGGAGGCAAGGACAGCAGAATCCTCGATGCAAAAGCCGGCTCCTGCACCGTGATGAGGGCTCGTCGCGTGAGCTGCGTCTCCAATGATGACGGTGCGGCCCTTGTGGAAAGTAGGTACAGGGTTGTCCCCCAGGTCAAAAATTGCCCACTTCCAGACCTGTTAGTATCGCTCGAGCTTGTCCTTTTGGGGCTGCAGCGACTCACCACGTCCAAGTCAGGCTTTGTTAGCTTTAAGAGTTGGATCACGTTCGAGCCATATCCGCTAAACTCTCTCAAAGCTTCCTCCCTCTTCGCTGGTCTCGTCAAGCGCTGGGAATCGGGCCAGTCTTCGGGACTCGTTCTGAAGGCGACGATATTCAGTGTCTTGCCATGGTTGACTGGAAACGTCAATACATGCCCATCAGGACCCATCTGTTTGTGTTTGGGATGTCAGCAGGGAATCGAAACAGACCGAACAAACAACGTCCGAGCTGCGAAGGGCAGACTCACGTGCATGCAAGAATTCACGGCCAACTCTTCGCCAACTGCCTTGATAGCGTCCTCCATCTGCACAAGCCCTCGATAGGCATACTTGTGAGTATAGCTCGGTTTCGAACTGGGATGGTCCTTTCCAACAATGATCTGCCTGACGCGAGACTTGATACCATCACAACCTATTACGGCATCGGCCTCGGCAGTCGATCCGTCCTCGAAATCCATAACCAGTCTCCCGGTGGACTCGTTTTCGGTGATATTGACGAGCCTCTTGCCGAACCGGGCAATGCCCTTGGGGACTAATTTGACCATCTCATCCAGATAGTGCGCGCGATGGACGCCATTTTGACCCAGAGAGTTCTTGATCGAGAATGCAATGTCCTGCCTCTCTTGTCCCGGTTTTGGTCCCTCCCAACCGTCGAGGTAGTCGAACCAGACATATTTTTTCTCAGGCCACACATTGAGCGTACAGACTTTCTCAAATGCGTCATAGACACCTTCATGACATAACTTCATGGCTTGTACTGCATTGGGGGAGAACGATACACCGGCGCCAATCTCGCCAAACTGAGGTGCCTGTTCATATATCTTGACGGGGATCTGGCGGTGGTACAGTGCTATGGCTAGGGTTATTCCTGCAATGCCACCCCCAATAATTGCGATCTCGAACTTCTTGGTTTCGGACATGTTGCTTCGTATAGGTTGTGGCGTTTGAAAGTGTTTGGTGATGCTCGAAAGACGGTCAGTGGGGGACATATCTCTGTGCTCGTTTAATACATATACTGGAGTTACTTTCGACACGCTTTCGAGACGACTTCCAGCGGCCTATATAAAGACAGATACTCAGCACGGATCTCGTTGGCCCGAAAAGCTTCCGCGAGGCTAGGAACTGTCGCTGCGGATTGTACTGGATGGAAGAAGCAGGTGTCGCTACGGACAAAAGCACCTCATTCATCACTTGCAGCTTTTCATGCACCCCCTGGACAGAGACAGACTCCGCATCTGGCCGGGTTACAATCTGGGGAACTTTTCCGGTCCCATTTCCGATTGTGCCGTCAGAAACACCTCAGTGGCAGTGACGGATGTTGGCAGCCAGAACGATTCCGAACAACCTTGGCACCCAGGCTGGTACGAAGGTCGCATGTTCTGGGCTTTCGGAACCTTTTTCTTCCGCATTGGCCTCGTTTCTCTCGCCGCGGGCCATTTGAAATGTACCGAGTATGGTACGAAGTCTTTGCTGCCGTCCTTCAAGCCTCTCCCATCCTCGAACCTCAATCCAAGACTGCGGCACAAACGGCCAGCGATCGTACCATCTAAGCAAGCTGCAAACAAAGACTCTGGTGCCACTTGGTTTCGCTGGCCGAGACCCAGATCACAGTACACGCTTTTGGTCAAAGAAGAATAATAGCTGATTGGAGCATAAAAGTTGATTACAGATTCAAGAGGTCCTTTCTCCACGTTGCAACAATCTTGACATGGTCATCCTTGTTCCTCACCAGCTCTTCTAGGCCCTTCTCCGCCAACTCCTCGACCGAGAGCCTTCGCGTGATCAGAGCCTCAGCACCAGCGAATTTGCCCGCCACAAAGTCCTCCACAACTTCCCGATAATCGTTATCATTGTTCCCCATGGAGAACTTGATGGTTAGCTCCCGGTAGAAAGCATATTGCATCGGTATCTTGAAAGGCTGCTTCCACCCGGCGATGTTGAGATACGTTCCCTTCAGCCTCAGGCTTTCCATGCCTGCTAGCATGCCCGCTTCGGCACCAGCACAGTCAAACACAATATCCACCCCTCTCCCTTGGGTCCTGGCTTTGCAGATCTCTGCCACGCTTGAGGACAATGGGTCCAAGAGATCTTCAGGTCCGGCCAGTCCCAGCCTTCGAATCATCTCACTCCGTTTGGCGGTTGGCTCGGAAACAAGCACCCTCCCACTGAGACCAGCACCTACTCCTTTCGCCCGCAGATTCAGCAAGACGGCCAATCCCACCGGCCCACCCCCGAGCACAAGCACGTTCAGACCTGCGAAATCCTTGATCCCGCTCGATGACAGTGCATGCCGTCCTACCGTGAGTGGCTGACAGAGAACGATACTATTCAAATCTACACTTCCGTCATCAGGGAGAATATGGCACATCCTCGTTTCAACGTTGACCTTCTCGCTGAAGCCCGCGCCACCGCCGCCGCCACCGTTGAGGCCAATGTACCCCCAATTGCTGCACATATTGTCACACCCACTTGTGCACGCGGTACACTTCCGGCAGAGAATGCGCGGATCTACCATTATGGGCGTACCCAGCTTGAAGGGCCCGTCGGCAGGATACCCCGAAGGCAGCGCGGTGATCCGACCAGTAAATTCATGACCGAAAGCGACGGGCAGATGGTCTTTGGTTATGCCATGGGGCTTTTCCGGCGTGTTTATTGTGTAAGGGCCGGATGTGTATTCATGGAGATCAGTACCACAGATGCCACCCCAGTAGACGTCGATGGTCACCTGGGATGATCAGCGGTGGCAGGTGATAGGTGAAAGAAGACCACGAAGGAAGCCTGCTGGGCTCACTTACCTCGCTGGGTCCTGGAAGCGGCGGATCCGGGACTGTCTCAATCCTAATATCGCGCTTGCCGTAATATCGAGCAGCTTTCATCTTTGCCAGTTGATCGCATTGACATGAACACAAACGAGGATATGTCCTGCTGGAGAGGGTGTGTGCTGGGCATGTATCGAAATATACATGGCAAGCCATAGCCTCGGACAGGAGCCTGCTCGGCATCTTGTGGGCACATTCTGGCCTGATTCGGCTATCCACATTGAGGACTTTGTGTACCAAAAGGCGGGATCGTCCTCTAGCCGTTGTCGCTAGGGTTCGCTTGTAAGATATGCGGGGTTAATGAGATGCAATTGGAGCAAGACTGGAGAACCTCGTAAATGCGTCTGTTGACTTTGTACGTAGCAAACCGACTTCAGAAATCAACGGCACAGTCTGACACTGAGTGCTCAATAACGACGAGGGGACCACCTGATCAGCGACAGCCAGTATTTAGTAATAAGAGTGAGGATCCCGCTGTGCTCAACCGCAGATAGAATACTCTTGTAAGTGAAGACAACCTGATAATTGATTGATCAATCACTGTTGCTTTATTGCCGCCGCATCCTCTTGTCGTAAGACCTGTGCCACTTACTTTTGAAGGCTTTTGGCTGACTGGCTGAGGTTTCCTCTGGTAACCCTTCCGAGGGACACCTCCTACCTGGGTTATGGGAGTGTCTTCATTCTTCGGCGATGATCGAAATCGTCGGGGGTGGCTGCGCACCGGCGACGGGCTCGCACTTCTACGCAGTGCTGGTGACTAGTAGCTGGAAACAGGAAAGCCAGGAGTAGCCTAAACCACCAGTGTTTCCTGCATCGAGGTGAGCTTTTCAATTGAATTGGCGGACAATGCTAATAAAATGCATGTCGCAGACAGCCTTGCCGCAGCTGCCAGTACCGGCACCATGATCCTCTGGCACATTGGCGAACACCATCAGCGTACAGCATCGTCAGCTCAGCCTTTGTCAAGCACTTCTTCGGCTGCGTCAAGCTGTGTATCCCTGACTTCTCCGTCTTGCACGAATGTTCCTGACCAAGCAGCACCCCAAGAGAGCATGAGGTGGTGGAGAATAGGTGTCGGCGTCTCCCGCGATCCCGATCTGTACTGTTGCTGTTGGGAGCTTCACATGAGATTTGATACCGTCAACGACAGTCAAACAAATGCATCATATGAAAAGCCACGCACGAGGCTTCGCGCGGTGGATCCCAGTCCAGGGAAAAATGTCCTTTCAGTCTGGACCCTTGTAGCGGCAAACATGCCGAGCGTTCGTAGACTTTGGATAGAACCAGTCCCACCAATGCAGGCATCTGTACCGTTGTTGCAGCCCGTCGGTCAAGCTGCCACCGTCACCGAGGCCCTCATTGTATAGTAGCTCAAGATTTCGGCTTGGAAGAGCAAGGCGATAGGATTTCGCATGGCGCTCATCCGCGCGAACAAAAGTATCGCCAAACATTTTCCGGACTGTGTAGTCTTCTTGCTCGATGTCACGCCCTCCAAAGCATTGCCACGTGATTATGTGCGCTACTAACTGATCACCTTTGGTAGATGAGACTGCAACGCGCAGATCTGTTGCACAATTTGCACAATTGATGTAATCGGAACACCGTGGTGCTTGGGAAGGACTGTCGAGGTGATCGATCGCGTCCATGACGAGAGCAGGAAGGGTGCCAGCAGAGTGGCGACAGCCAATGAAACTTAGAGGGTCGAGTTGGTCTGCCAAAGATTGCTGCAAGGACACCTGCAAACTGTAGGATGTTCGAAGTAGCAGTTTCCCATTGACGACCCGCGCCGCCGTGTCCCTCGATACATTTGGGGTCAAATTGTGCCATGGCAGTGTGGCATCACATTTGCGGTGAAGTTCTTGAAGTTGTGGGCCGTAAGAAGGACCGCGCTCGTATCCCCTCAAAAAGGCCGCGACCATCTCGAGGGGTAGCTCGCTGGGATAATGCTGTGGGCAGTATACATCCCCTGACCCTAGTGTGTGTGTGGGGTACTTCCCACAGGGAAAGCGTCGAGGACACTCATACCGTGGTGCAGACGCTTGCCATCGATAGAGAATATCACAGTAGTGACAGGCGATATACTCGGCCAAATCCACCTCAAGTAGACGAAGAAAGCGTTTTTGGGCGGCCATGTCACTGAGATCGGGGAGAACATACTGCTTCAAAGCCACATGGTGATATTTCGATATTAAGGCGACCACCGCAGCTGACTCGGCGGGTAGATACTGGATGATCTGTAGGAGTAGCTCCGGCGGCAGCCTGGCTAGACCTGGAAGGGCCACCACCTCTGGTTCGACAGCCGTTGAGGGATCTTGGCAAGGTGGACTGGAGGGCGATGCAGATGATGGTGAACGACGCGGCATAAGAATGCGCCTCAGGCGAGCAAACAGTTCGATCATGATTTAGTATGTAGTAATGGATCAGCCGGTCAATCTGGCTGGGAGGCTGGTCCGGATTCCTGTGCAGTGTAGTAGTGGTTTGTCTGACTTCGAGATGCGCAACGATAATGACGAACGCTTGGATGTTGTCGAAAAAGAGTGTCTGAGAGTGATTCTAGTGATAGAGTAGGGTAAGATGCTGAGAATGAGGTGAGAAAGCTCAAGAAGCCGAAAGTGGAAGCGGCAGTGGCTGGGCGGACTTGCAGTGCTCGGACGCGGGTCACCAAAGGCAATTGCCTTCGCCAAAGCTTCCTTGCGTTATCCGGGCGTCAACGTTGTTATTAGGAATGCCGCTTCCTATTAAGCATGTCCATCCATAGGCCTCGAGAACTCTATCTGCAAGCAAGAAGCAAAGGGAGAGTGGAGATGGCGGGACGCTGTCGACCAGACCGACGAGACCACGAACTGTGACCAGCAGAGCACGCAGCAAAATGATCAGCCGATATCTGAGACCACTGGGGAAGTGACTGAGGCGAATCCAGATCATCAGGTCGCGGAAAGAGATGAATCGGAATCCCAGCAGGCGACTCAACCCTGCGAGGGGGGCTGCAGATGGATCCTGGTGTCTTTGATCCAGTCTGGCAAGCCTAGCTCTCGTTCCAAATGGCCAAAAGAGTCTGTTCGTCCTGGAGTCTCCGAATTGTCTGTGTCGGCAAAAGTCTTTCTTGATTGTATTCCTCAACTGTCTCCAACCGATGCTCTTCAGCCTGGGCTCAACTTGCCGATGCTGTAAACGGAGGTATAGCGTGGGAAAGCAATAGATGTAGATGTGGCTGAGTGCCGAAGTCGTCTTTTCGATTTGAGTAGGTGTGGCGTGTCACGTATAGCTGATACCTAGTGTCTTCAGGCGTTTTGAAGTAAGTCTCCTTGTTGCGTGACAAGACTTGTTTTTGGCTGACTCGATCCCCCATAGGTGCGTCTCGAGGATCCATCCCGGGACTGGACGATCTATAACGCGTGGTTCACCAAGCAATTGGACTTCCGCACCAAGTTCACCCCCCCAGAGATTATACGTCCAGAATAGGTTGTTACCGACTGGTAAACGCCTTCCATAGACTTACTCGCAGGAGCGGCTAGAATATTGTGACGGATCGCTTTACAAATAAGCACAGCCTATTCGGGGCGGAGTTGCCCAGTGAGGTTTACTTGAACTTGCAATCCTCTTCCGCGCCTCTTCTACGTATGGTTGTCATTGAGGACCACAACACGAAACATACCTAGAGTCTCCGCCCGGAAGTCGCGTCGTCAACCTCTGCTCCATCGTGATGGTTCTCCAGGTGGAAAATAGTGGGTATCAAGACCTTCTCGCCTGATAGCTCGAGAAGCTGTACCCAGGCCGTAACGTGATTGGCTGGGACGTGCCAAGCTCGCTAGCGCCATCCTTTGTTTACGTCGCGGCTCGAAATGGATCCGCATCTTGAATCGTCCACTTGCACCTCCATTGACCATCCATCCTGATTCACGTCGCATTCGCATAACTCTCTCTATACGCTTGGACAAGTATCTCCAGAAACTCCAGCCGCAAACACCAACCCTTGTCTTCCTACCATGGCTCCCGCGAATTCTCGCAAGAGGAAATCAGACGAGATGGACGATCTCGCCGGCGGTGCCGTTACCCCCTCAGGCAGCCCAGCGCGCAAGAAGTTGAGAATCACACAGCAACAGAAGCAAGCATTGATGGACAACCTCCAACTCGAGAGTGAGAGAGATTGAGCTCTACCTCATCGTAATCATATCTGACATGTGCGTGGCCAGTTACCGAGCGAGCGCGACAGCTTCGAGCAGGATATGCTCTTCAATGTGCCGATCTGAGAGCTCGCATTGAAAGACGCGTCAACCGCATTCCTCTCTCGATCCGCAAGATGACCATGCGGGAACTGATGGAACAGCACGAATCTTCAAATGCTGCCAAGCACCAGCACCAACAGCAGCCTCGTGCACCCACCCCCAAACACACAATATCCGTCCAAGTGCCTGCACAACCCAAGCCTCTCCCTCCTCTCCCCCGAGAAAGTGGCACAACAACAACAACCAAGCTGCCTTCTCCCGTCCGATCGCAGCAACCACAAGCTTCAGCTACCCGAGGAGGAGGCAAGAAGCGTATGAGCCCTGTAATTCAGATTGCCATGGACAAAGTGAGCGAGCACGACCCATCAGAAGCGGCGACACTAGATACTCTTCCTGTGGTCAAGAATACCAAGCGTGGTGCCAAAGGAACAGCAGCAGCCCCGACAACACGCCCGACGTCTCGCGCAGCTGGAAAACACACACAAATCTCGGTTCTATCTCCACGCTCCCATAACTCTCGCACCCTGCCTCGCTCACCAATAAAAGACCCCTCCTACCTCCCAACCTCCCCTGTGAAGACCAATATGCTCATGCGCCCGACCGCAACGACTGCCATGTCTCCGATCCGGCCAACCTCGCCACTAAAGTCGGCCGCCACAGCAGCGACATCGGCCATCTCGGCCAGCGTGCACGGCATGATTGAACAAGCGAAACGAGGAGGGACCGCCACGGCCGCGAAACTGACCCGGACCGCATCCAAGGAGAAGAAAGAAGCCGCAGCAATGGCCAAAGCTCAAATGCTCCCTCCTCCCAAGCCGAGCGCTCCACCCGTATCTCCGCAGCGTGCGTTCAGCCAAGCAAGCACGCACAGCACTCTGACGGATGTTTCCGCGGCCTCGAGCAGCACTACGGTCGTGAAGCCAAAGCGCGGAGGCAGAGCTGCCACGGCCACGGCCAAGGCTACCACTACTACGCAATCGAAGGATCTCGCGGCTGCAGCTACAGACAAGAAGAAAGGCGGGATGGCCCGGGCTGCCAGCGCGGCGAAGACGGCGCTCAAGAGGAACGCGAATGCTACTGCTGGCGCGGCGGGAGCGACGAATAAGAGAGTCGTGGTGGCGGAGCCGGCAGCAGGTCGGAGGGTGCTGCGGAAGAGGGCGTAAAAAGCACGGAACAGATGATGATGGTACTGCAGGGTTTACTGTGTTGTAGCCAGAGTGCAACTGAAGAGCATGAGTAAAAGCGATGAAGAGGTATCAAGACGGACAGACTGCCGAAGTCGAGCGGTGGACATTGCATTGTTGGCTTTCAAGGTTGTTTTGGTGTACGTTAACCATGGACGGAATACATAAGCCTCTACCAGAAGAAAGGCCTATCTATACCTCTTGTCTTTTTCTCTTATCCTCTCTTGTCGGGTATAGATCCATGCTCCAAGCCGGGTCCAGTGCGACGCCCTTCCCAACCCAACCATATACAAATCAATTCTCGGCTAGCGGAAAATGTGGTTGGGCGAGGTATCTATCTACCCTGCTCTCGGATTTTCCAGCGTGCTCCCAGACCAAAGTACATAAGGCGGTCAACACTCCTCTGGGTCCGACGGACAATCGTCTCGAGGAACTGTCGGAAGGAATCGTGTCAACCATGTATATAGATGATCTGCAGCGGCTGACGCAGACACGCATTGGACGGACAAACTCGTGAGAACTTCGATTGGAAGGGACACCACCAATAGTTTCATTGTTTCTTTCGATTTGGCTCATGTTTGGGTTGGTCTTTCTTTTTTGATCTGTTTGCTACTGGAAAATGCTGTGTTCAGACAATGACAAGGAAGGCGATTTTTGTTCCATGGCAATATCCCCAAGCTCCAAAGCTCCATCCCAGCATGCCCTTGACTGTCGAGGACTTTGTGTTTCTTTTAAAACATGGCGTGCGCCACTTCAGCATGTCCGCCTCCCCCTACCTCGTACAAACGCGCGACGTAGAGGTGCCTTCTTCGCTTCCAGCCATATCACGTCAACATTAGTAGTCCAGCTCTGCACCCCCACCGGCCTGTCCCGCCGCCGCCGCTCCAGTGTTGCCTCCGCCACTGTTGGGCTGGGCGTCAAGATCCTCGTAGCTTTTAAGGCTTCTCCCCTGAGTCGCCTCTCTTGGTCCCATGGCGTTCATACCGCCACCAGCGCCATCTCCCCATTTGCCTCCGCCTCCGCCTCCGCCCTGGGCAATGAACCCGGGGGTGAGACCGGGGACAAGGTTGCCTCGCAGCATGCCACCCATATTATTATAGCCACGTTGGCTACCGCGTTGATTTCGGTCATATGGTCCGGGTCGATTGCCGTATCTGTTCCCGCCGCGTCGAATGGGGCCGCCAGTATGTCCTCCACTTCCATTCATACCTTCGGTGTTGAAGTTGACCCCGGGCACGAGTGGCCCATGGACATTCTGCACGTTCATCATGGCATTCTGGCCAAAGTTCATCATGTTCATGCCGATATTCTGAAGGCTGAAACCACGAGGAGTGCCGTTATTGAGATGATGGTTCTGAGGGAGAGGGAAGTGTCCGTTAGAGTTGGCATCTGACCGGGACGGGGCAATATGCGACGGGTCCAGAACGTATGTGTTGACAAGTTGAAGCTGCGATTGTCAGTGGTCGGTATCGGTGGAGGAAGGAATAGACAACTTACGTCGTTCTTGAGAGCCAGATACCACTCTTCGTGTCTCTTCTCCACATGCTTCCGCCAGAAATGCTCTGCTTTGAACAGCTTGGTGCATTCGGGCACCCGACATCGAAATTTGGCCTCGTCCTCTTGCTTGACAAACTTTGCCAGCTCTTCATCCAACGCCTCATCAACAGGCTTGCCTCCGATTTTCTTCAAATCCACGTATTCAGGTTCTAGAATCTGCAGGACCTTCTCCTCAAAAGTCTTGACCCAGTTGAAGGCTCGAAGCAGCTGCTGGTCGTTTTTGTTGAACTTCTGAGGGCGACGCTCTTGAACAGGGCTTTGTGGCTCATCATCCATGCCATTCTGACCATCTTTCTTCTTGCCGGGGAATGGCTCGCCGAGCGCGCTCGCCCTAGCCGCTGCCTTGGCCGCCGAGCTCAACCCAGCTCTCGGTCTTCGAAGATGGCCGCCCGGGCACTTGCGGACCAACTCATGGACTGAATCGGATTCGAAGACACAAAACAGGCAGAAGTTGAAGACTCGTCGAAGGTATTCAACCATCAGATCCAGCTTCTTTTTGACGACCAATAATTCTTCGTCGTCCTGTTCATCTTCTTCCTCTTCACCTTCTTCGCCCTCCTCTTCGAACTTGATCTCGTCATCATTGTCTTCAAAATTTGGCTTTTTGGGTTTCGGCGGAGGCTGTAGAAGTCCTTGATTTCTCATCTGCTCCACTCGAGCATCAATCTTGGCCAAAGCGCCGGAATGCTCATCCTTGCCCAGTTCGGCGTCGAGTCTCGCGACCAGTCGTCTCGCAAGTTCGTGATCGCGCTCGACTCGTTCCGGCGCCGAGAACAAATCCCAAAGAGCCTTCTTCCGCGGCGCGCTCGGTGCATTGTGGATACCCACATGACAGGTAAAGTCGCCTCTGACCGCATCAGTGATGGTCTTGCCATTGATAAGATCGAGAGCTTTTTGAGCAGAGCTGATTTTCTCCGGCTGTGGCTTCTCTTCGCCCTCTTCACCATCCTCGTCCCGGCCATCACCCCGCTCAATGTCCTGCATGACATCGCCGTCCTCTTCCGGGGCGGGGTTCAACATGATCCAGCCGATACGATGGAATTTCTTTGCCGGATTGGGGTCGCTCAGCGATAAACCCTTGAAACCCCCCGCCTCCTCTCCCAAATGCTCTTTGCAGAACTCCTCAATGCGGTCGCGGCCGACGTTGGGTGCAAGTGTCTTGATGAGCAGAGCGGGTTGCTGAACAGATTCGTCTTTCAGATCACCGCCTTTGGCAGGGACGAGGTCGAGCACGCCGAGGACTTCACCGCCACCAACGGCTTCGCCTTCTTCCTTCTCCACCATTCCGCCGGCCCCGTCGCTATCGTTCTTGTAGATCCCCTCGAGTGTGAATTCATCGAAAACTCCCGTTTCCAGGTCTTTGACCCATTGTTCGAACCCGGGTTCTCGAGATTCCATGAGACGCTTGCGAATCGGGTCTCGTACTTCTGGGACGTATCGTTCTTTGAACCATTCTTCTCCCTTGTGCTGCTGGACAAATTGCCTGGCCATCTTTACCTGGAAATCTTGTTTATACTGGTCGTAAGCCTGCTGGATTTGAGCTCGCTCTTTCTCGCGGTCTTCTTTCGCCTCACGTTCACCCTTGACACGGTCGGAAGGTCGTCTGCCGCCATGCTTGGCTCGTTCTTTCTCTTCTTTGACTTGTTGCTCAAATCGCCACCAATCTGCGAAGAAGCTGAAACCTGCTTGCGTATCTAGAGCCAGAGGGTTGGCGAGAGGATTGACCTTGACAGCAGGCTTGCTGGAATCTTGACCTGGGACGTATCGATCGATGTTTGCGGCAGTAGGCGAAGGTGCTCTTCTACGATCATCCCGCTCTCTTGCATCTCTCGTATCTCTTGCGTCTCTTGCGGCAGGTCTGGCGCCCTCATAGTAGTCATCGCGCGTGTTGCGCTCTCGGTCTCGGTCTCTTTCTCGGTCTGGTTGATAACGATCAATAGCTACGGGGGACCGTGAGCGGTTGCGAGGAGCAGGCCGGCGTCGGTCGTTCACTACTGTGTAGTCGGTTAGCCATGGATAGGAAGGGTCGTGGCCTCACTTACCAGGAGATCTTCGTCTGTACGAGTCGTTTCGGTCATACGACTCGTCCCTTCCACGGTATCTAGGCGGCGATCTGTCATTGGTAGGAGAGCCATAAGCCTCGTATGGATTCATGTTGTTCCGAAGCTTCGCGCCTTGGTGTGAATAGTCCTTGTGCGTCTGGATAACAAACCGACTTTGGTGAAACCCACCAACGCGCTATCTCATTTGCGGATCTAGAGCGCAGCGAGACAAAGTCGATTTAGGTAATGTCGTCTTCGAGTGGCCGAGGTTTCGAGGTAGGAGAGCTAAGAGTAAACATGACAGAGGTTAGACATGAGTGAGGGGACAATGAATTGGAGGACGACATTGAGAAATGAGGGTAGGCCAAGGTCAAAGAAGGAAGAAAGCTCGCAGGCATCGAGTGGCGCCTATCTGAGAAGAAAGAAGAATGCAGGCCAGCAAATGGTAACAGTATATAAGTGGAATTGGTAAGAAGGTGGACTCTGACCCAGCGTCCGAGAGACAATCGGGAACTGGAAAATGGTCAAAGTAAAGTGGCCGCAAAAGCGTGGGCGGCAGAGTGATGATGGATGGCGCGATGGTAGGAAGAGCAGAGGTATTGGGCTTACAAGATTCTGAAGCAAAGGAGTTTGGTTGCACGCTGGTATCGCAATGCAGCACCAAGTGCTGTTGATGGACGAGATGAGGAGGAGTTGGATGAACGACGAATCGCGGCGTGAAACCCTCCTCAGGCGCAGGCGACCTGAGCGGGAGGCGCAGTTGGCCGGGAAAGTGCCATGATTGGTTGCTGGGTGGGAGGGAGGAGGGATCCGTATCACGTGATATGGCTTGGCATCTCCGCCTTTCGTTGTTGAGAGTGTTATCCACGCCGGTGCTGAGGGTGTTATGGTGGATTGATTCCTCAGATATCATTTGACTACGAGGTACATGCTTATACTGCTCCCAAGCCAGCGGTCCCACTGAAGTCGTGCTTAACGCTGGACATGCTCACCCGTGGGCATTCCCTTTCCGAACCACTCAGTAAGAAGCTCCCAGTCCCGGTCGTCCAATGCAGGTTCCTCGCTCCCGTACCTGGAGATCAGATGGCCAACGAGGCTCCCGTTCTCCGCCGCCTTACTTCCGCGCCGTTGGCCAGGCTGATCTGCCCAGCCTTTGGCTCTCAAGATCCTGTCTCGATTTTCCGTCGAGGGATCGTTCGTGAAGCTTTCGAGTAGATCAAGCTCTGAGTCGTCCAAGACAGCGTCCGCCGTATCGTGAAAGTTGATGATCGAACATGCAAGCTTGTGCGACCGAATCTGCTCGCCGGTATTCCCTGTTCACCAGTCAGAGAGGTATGTCGGCCATCGAAATCCTACCTACAAGTCCCCTGTGTAACCGACATTATTGTGTTTCGGCACCTCGTGAATTTCTTTTGTGTCGGCCGGGTGTTTGGGATAGGTATCGACGATCAGACACTTGAAGGGGTCTGTCGTTGGGATTTTATAGCTCGCCAGTGTCAGGCCTCTGCCTAAAATCAACAAGGGATGGTCGCCACAGGGACCACTGCTTCACCAATCACAAGTGGGTGACATCTGCAGCATCATGCATGTCCCAATCACCTACCAATGAATCCTTGGACAACACCAACCTTGCCCCAGTCCACCTGACGCGCAATCCAGCCTCAACGTATCACTTTGCTTCGGCAGACTCAAAGCCCTTCGTCGATTGGCAGAGATGTTAACGCACAACATCTGGCCATTATCGCCGCCCTCTGAGGTTGGCCTCTGCGGAGACTGCCCTGCGTCTTGCGTGGAAGTCAGAGTCCTCCCATGAGCCACATTGACTTTCTTCAGAGCGACATCTTCAACGCTGCAAATGAACCATATAAACCAGGGGTGTCCGCAAGGGGCAAGGCTAATCCGCCTCTAAGATGGTGGTCTGTGGCTTGAGGTCCGTGTATATACAGAACTGGAGGGACAATCATACCACCGCGACAGGCTCGCTCAAATACCGCTTCATTTTGGCGCAAGAAAGGTGTTATCAAAACTCACCGTCACAACGAGCATCAGACTCTGGGGCAAGTCGATTTGCCATTGGGGAAGGTAGGCAGGCGAAAAATCCGGCAAACCCATTTCAAAAGGTCGTATTTCAAGATCCTAAGCCGGGGACGTTGGACCATGCATGTACTGAGCAAAAGAGGACTCCTAGAGTGAAAGCTATGATTTCATAATTATCGCCCAATTATTGAAGGGTATATACGCTTAGAGTCTGGCCTGTTATCGAGTGGTGCGATGTCAGGGCTACTAACTGACTGCTCCCCAACGGAGATCGATTTCGTTAAAACGCCGAAAACAGTTCTTTTTCACTCGCCGATTTCGCCGTAATGGCATTGATAGTGTTCAATGACTTGCCTCTCACGCCATCAAGGTTGTGCGATGAGGGTTGCTGCCGATATCCCGACTCAAAGGCTCCCCACGATGTGAGAAGTACCGATCGGTATCACGAATCCTTCTTTTCGGCCTCTTGCTGGGTCTCGGCTTCCTGCTTGATTGTCCATCCATTGAGATAGCCAGTCCCACCGGTCAAATACGTCGCAAAGCCCAGCCACGCGAGATATGGCGCCATCAGGTACGCGGCCGTCTTGTCCACCTTGTGCCAGACATAGGTCATGTAACCCACAGTGCCAGTCAGGGTCACCACGTCGAGCATGGCCTCAATAGGCCTGCCCAACCCAAAGAACAGAGGCATCCAGATGAGGTTCAGCCCCAGTTGTAGTGTGTACAATGTCGCCCCTCTCCTTGCGTGTTCGACCGTCTGCGGATTTGGGGATGCCAATCCGATCGTCCAGACACGGTGCGCCGCATATCCCATCACTAAATAAAGGGCGGACCAGGCTGGCGCGAACACCCACGGAGGTGGTCTGTAGGGAGGCTGCTTGAGAGCCTTGTACTGGTCTTGCGCGCTTCTGAACTTTCCTAAGTCTGTGGCAGCTGGGTCTGAGAACCTCTTGGGACTTAGTTTGCCAGGCTGGGAGACAAGGCCGGATCCCAAGCCGAGTCCGAGGGGGAGGAGGATCGAAACGGGGGCATTGGAGAAGACAGACGCAGGGAGCGTGAGGCCTGGAACGTAGGCCATCGCTGATGTTGGTTTGTAAGAGAGGTAGTTCTAGGGTTTTGTAGAGACGAAAGTCCGAAGGACGTTCAGGGAATGCTGAGTATTAGTCTTGTTCTGGGGAAGAAGAAGAATCCACGAGGATGAGAGTCGAAGGCGACGACCGAAAGATATGGTCGAAATAATAGCAATCAGGTGAGTTGAATGTTTTGGGTTCCTCATCAGGTGAGCCGAGCGCGTTCTGGGGTGTTGCTGCAAGATGACGCACCGCCCGTCAACCTTTTGAGGTCCGCCTCGTTTACCTTCCAGCATAAGTCCTATTGGGAAGCAAAGAATGGCGATCCTCTCGTTTGAGGATACACAGAATTGGGTGAAATTCAAATACATTTCAGATAAATTCATCTGCAGTCGCTCAACTATACCATCACGCACGATTTAGGCAAAAGCTCCCACAAACGCCATCAGCAGGCCTCCCAAGCCCACCGCGAGACACGCTTCTATCCTTCGCCAGCCGGTCAGAGACTCGTAGCTCTTTTCACTCAAAAAGTCCTCTGCAATCAGTTGCACCAGCCCAGCAAAGAGCAACAGTCCACTGGAGATTGCATTCGTGATTCCGACCATCAACAGTCCCACCTTACTCGCGGGGTCATACAAGGAGTGTAAGACGATCCCCATAGCCTGGCCAATGGGCGTTGTCGCTCCATACGCGAGTGCCATGAGCCAGGGTTTGGGTGAAGAAGCATCAAATAAGGTGGGTATGAGTGCAGCAATGCGCGAGCCGAGCGCAAATCCTTCAAATGTTTGATGGAAGCAAATTGCGATGAGCAGGACGGCAAACTGCGTGCCCTGCGCGACCGAGACGGCCATGCCGATGAAGATGCTGTGGAAGAGGATGCCTGCTTCGAGGAGCAAGCATTGGAGGAAGAGACGCTGCGGGTTCTCGTCGTCTTTGGGAGAGCGGCGATGATGGAAGTGGTTTTCATGCTGGGAGACTTTGCGCCGGTGAGGGTTGCTTAACGTCGCAGATTCGTCCTCGGCGGCTGGATCAAGATCGTCGAGCTCCAAATCTGAGTCGCTGGACGCGGAATGGCGCGGTTCCGGTGATGCATCTGTATACGGCGTCGTTGGCACATGCTGGCGGTCTGATGGGATATGGCCGTTGCCATAAAGCGACGATCTTCCTTCTCCCGTGGACTCTTCCTGGGGCATCTTTTCGAATTCGTTTCCGTGACTGTGACCCGCGCCTTTGCTTTGAAAGAACATTTCAATCCCCACCACCATGAAAACCGACAACATGGCAATCAACCCGGGCATTTGCGGGTATGTCTTTATCCAAAAGTCCGGCAGACAAGGATCGGTCATGGCAATAAACGCCGTCGGGAGAAGGTGGACGAACGCCGTCGCAATGAGGACACCTGTGCCGAAATGCCGCGAGAGGAAGAGGAAGCGGTGCGGAATAGGGAGTTTGGGGAAGCGGCGGGCAACGATGGGAAAGGAGCATGCTGTGCGAATTGTCAACATTGATGTTCTTTTCCAAGGGGGCGTGACGCGGCCTCGACATACCCAGCGTGCTCAGTACCAGGATCAGGAAGAGAGCAAAGACGTGGATTCCCGTATTGTAGGTCCCCCGTCTTCCCTCTGAGCCGCATGCCGGCTTCGCGGGTGCATCCTGTCGTCTCTGTAGTTCTGCATGGAGGAGATCGAGGGGTAGCCTGCTCAATGATAGCCCATGGTCATCTGCCAGCAGCCGTCAGATCTGTACAGTAATAGGGAGCGGGAGGGTAAGGATGGCGACGAACCTCGAGCGGCGAGCCCATGAGACTCGGGATGCATTACTCGTGCGCTTCCTCTTCACGAGCGTTGAATTGTCCATAAACGCAATAAGAAGGAGACCGCTGAGGTGTCCTGATGTCGGCCGCCCTGGCGCTCCAGAAGGAATCTCCGTCTTCGGATCTGGTCACTGCAGACATTTGAAAGGCTGGGTGGTTCTCCGCCGACAAGGGGTGCTGCCGGCCCAATCCCGAGCTCTCCGAACTACCCGTGAGAAATAAAGAATATATTTTTGTTTTCCCAAATAACTGCCATCAAGTCACCTCGACTTGACCTCCTGATGGTGTAGTTGGTTCATCACGTTCGGCTGTAATTGGTTAATTGAAACCGAAAGGTCCCTAGTTCGATTCTGGGTCAGGAGAGATGAACTCCCTATCAGGGTATATTTTTTTTATTTTTTGTGGTTTTTTTGAACCAGGGGTTTTGCGGGATCTCTTTTTTTGTTGTGTGAAATTACTAGTTCAGAACGAGTGCTTGGTTTTTAAATGTGCGGAAACCACGTGCGCGGCCTTTGCCAATTCTACTCACTCGTACCTGTAGGTACCTGTACATGCGGGACTGCTGACGTGTGCCTCGATGTATCTAAGATATCTTGTATCTAAGTTGAAAAAGGTTGCCCAGTGTCGACAGTTCTAAGAAATTGGACAATATCGTCGACCTGTTCAGGCTCTTTGAACCAATGCCCTTCCTGCTCAGCGCCGACATATTCCTTCCACATCACCTCGAAGAAGCCCACCCTTGTCAAAACATCTCTCGCGTGACGGCCCAAGCTGATGTCGACATAAGCGTCATCCGTACCGTGTCCGAGAAAGACTGGCGTCGACAACAAGGGATGAGGTCCGTCGTGGCTGTGGCTTGCAAGAGACGATTTGGTAGCTTTGAACATGGAATTCACGAAGTCCAGGGAGGTTGTTGTGGTCGTTGTTGGCACGGGGGGATCTGTTGTTAACTGCCCGACGTCGGTATTGCACAAAACCCTTTCGATGTAAGAGGAGAACGGAAGCCAGCAACTTGCTCCCACAAACCCTCCAAGCTTGCTGCATGGCGCTTCCCGACCGTGATAGAGCAGTGCCCACAATCCCACGGCAGCGCCTTGACTGATGCCGCCGAGGACGATGTTTTGTGAAGCTCCCCCAAGCCTGGACGCCTCGTCGTGCAGGATTCTGCTGATGTCAAGCACCGATTCTCTGATCCCATCCATCTGCAGGTCTTCCATAAAAGTGGGATCGGACAGCGAAGGCGCGTCAAACCACGCGGAGAGCTCCTCTTCAAAGACTCTGCTCCATCGAGAAGGCGCTGAAGGAAAGACCCAGCGCCATGAAGGGAACAGCGCCGGTAGTGTCTTCTCGCTGTCGCCGCCAGCTCTTCCCTCGGAGAAGCTGGAAGAACATAAAAGCTCCTCTGCGAAATCTGCTCCGTTGTCTCCCTGTCCGTGAAGTAATATCGCCGTGTGTGTATGCTTGGTGGTTGGATTAACGATGTAAATCGGTAGAGTAGCCCGGTCCGACATGATGAGGATTTGTGTATTGTACCCCAGATGGAGAGCTGGAGTGTCAGATATTGTCCACTTTATGAAGCCATACTGACGGATGGTTTTTACACAAGCATCGCTTTCGAGGAACTGCGAATGAGCAAATTGTACTAGGTTCGTTATGGAGGACTTATTTCAGGCCTTCCGCATTGGATTTGATCTTGACTTCTCGCCGCACATTTGATTTAGGAAATCTTGGATGTACCTGGAGAACTCTATGGACCATTGAGATGGTGGGTCGCCGAAGCTGTATTATCTTTCTCAGCAATACATAACTCCTACGTTTCGGTCAATCCGGGCTTTCTTCCAGAATCATATCCGCCGCCTTCTCCGCGACCATGTACACGCTACTCTGGATGTTGCCAGAGACATGATTCGGGAAAATGCTCGCATCCACGACCCTCAGGCCGTCGACGCCTTTGAACCTGAGCCTCGTGTCCACCACTTCGCCCATTGCACAGCTCCCACAGAGATGGTACTGGGACGCCCAGACCCCCTTGGCATGCTCGCGCCGATCTTCCTGCTTGTGGAGATCATAGTCCGCTTCACGAGGGTACGTGCGTCGGGCGATCAAATCCTTCAACGGCGGGGTGTCAACAAGGCTCTGGATAAATGCTAGAGCAGCAGACGCCGTGACGACATCGGCTGGGTGCCCGAGCATGTTTTGGTTGATTTGGGGCTGGGCGTATGGATCGTTGGATACGGCATGAACCCAGCCTCGTGCAAAAGTGTATTGCAAGCCAACAGCGAACCCAAATCCGTGCGGCGCTCCTTCTGGGAGCGTCTTGACGAATACCTTCGACTGGTCTGCATATCCTCCTTCCGGATCGCAGTCCACAGTGACGGGTGCTGGCGATACATGGATAAACGCCGACTGAGCGTTCTTGATCTGCTGGAGAACATGCTGCTGCTGGGCCTTTTGGAATGAAGACATTCCCGATTGTGACTCGACACTCTGATTGATCTCGTCGATGTCATCGTCATTCAGCCATGGCAGGACAGGAGCGAAGCCTTGGATGCTGCTAATGCTCGCCAAAGGGCCGGTCCCATGCATGCGATACTCCTCCAGAGCCGCGTGCTGGATCTTTTCATCTTTCATCACGTCCGCAGAGAGGACCCCTCGCTTCAGTTCATAGGAAACAACCATGGCTGGGTGATCCTGCAAATTCTCACCAACCTGCGGCGACTCGACCTGACACTCGATGCCGGCTCTTTCGAGCAACTCGCGATTTCCTATCCCTGAGAGCTGGAGAAGGTGCGGAGACGACAGAGCACCGGCACAAAGAAGCACTTCTCGCTTGGCTCTGACGTTGTAGTGCTTTGCCCGATGGTCAAATTCTGCACCCACGGCCCGGTTTCCGTGCAGCTGTATCTTGGTCACATGGGCGTTGCAAAGAACATGCAGATTCGGGCGGTCAAGCACCGGTTCCAGGTACGACCTGGCAGCATAACTCCTCTTACCTTTGTTCAATCCCGAGCGATATACGGTGCCCAGGCTGCGATAAAATCCGAGGTGGTCCCCAGCCCAGGGATCGACCAACGGGGCATGAAGGCCGCTAGCTTTGATGCCAGCATAGTATACAGCTTCCTCGAGAGGCATCAGAGGCAAGGTGTTGAAGCTAGTATGGATAGGTCCGTCAAGGCCGTGGTTCTCTGCAAGACAGGCGATGCCGGTGCGTTCGGTAAGAGCGTCGTCCAGCAGTTCCAGGGTCTGATGCCTCAACAGATACTTCTGCATATTGGCGGCTGCCCAAGACGGATCTCCCACTAGGGAAGCCCAATCGTCCAAGTCCTGACGTGAAGGCCGTGTATAGACCATCCAATTGATCCCACTTGATCCGCCGAGCATTTTCCCCCGTGGCAGATGGCATTGAAACCCCTTGGGCCCCTGGGGGCAAGTGACAAAGTGCCAGTCATAATTTTCGTCTCCGGTCATCGCTATTGCCATAGCGGGGGCATCAACCACTGAGTCATCCAGATGATCTGCTCCTGCTTCCAGGACGCCGACAGTGAAGCGAGGGTCATTGCTGAGTCTGTTCGCCAGGACAAGGCCAGCAGTGCCGCCACCAATGATCAGGAAGTCGTATTCATGCTTCATGAATTCATTGACATCGGTAAGCGAAGACCTCGTGCCAGCTGCAAAAGTCTGAGACATCGTAGGCTTCAAGGCAGCTACTACAGCATCTGGGCGGAGAGGACAGTGTGCGGAGAAGAGAGCATATGTGACGGCGACCAGAATATGGCCGATCAGGCCCCAAGTATGTCAATCAGGCCCCCGAACCACGCGAGTGGGCGTAGAAGTCGGCCTAAATAAAGCGCAGAGAGGTCTGTAATTACAGCCACGGGGGCCTCTACATCCAGGGCAAATGCAGGAGATGGGAACGTTTGACAAGGCAGAGCTACCCTCCCTGGTGCATTTTCTTTTTTTCACATTGGCAGATGAGAGCGCCTGTCCTTTCTCTAGCAGCCCCGTACCGTCTATTTCGCCGCATTCTTTGCCATTGTCTCATTCAGCCACTGACTGATGAACTGCTGAACCTCCTTGTTATTCTTCTCAATGGCCAAGAGATGGCCGTTGCCGCGTATTCCTCGATCGGCGAGATACACATGCTCGACGGGCACTCCGGTATCTTGGAGGAACAGGACTGTGTGATGATCATACGTCGCGTGGTAGGATGCTTCAGCCGTCACCACAACAACAGGAATGGAAGCCAGGTTGACCAGCTTGGGTGCAGGCGCCGTCAGCCGCGCCCCCGGTACACGGGCCTTGTCATGGGTCTCTTCCGAGTCTCGTGTGAATTCCAGTCCTTTGGCACCGTCGGGCAGAGGCGGATCGTAGGTCAATGGAGTTGCCGTGATGCCAAAGGGGCGGACACAGAACCCCGGCTGGATAACTTGGGTCCTGGTGTAGAACTTTGGCATACCTGGGTAGATGAACGGCGGCCCATTCGGCTCCAAAGCCACAATGCCTCTGACCATGTCGGGACACTCGTCGGCGATATGCCAGCCTATAAGCCCTGCTTGCGAATGAGTCACCAAAAAGGCCGGCCCTGTGCGAGCGAAGAGGTCCTTGGCCAGAGGACGAAAGGACCGTTCCACATCTCGATACTTTGCTCTGTGTCCGACCTGGCTGGCATAGAAGGCGTCGAAGAAGGCATCCCCCCTCTTGCCGGTGCCTGGCCATTGGGTAAGCAGTTTCGCCTGAGGATATAGATCATGCGGAGGTGATGTGAAACACTCCTCCAGTTCCTCCACCGTATATTGAGTCAGTTCTCCCATGTCGTGGGCATGATATCGCGACCTTCCCACGCCGGGCTGGTCGACGACATAGCATTCCCAGCCTTCCTCCGCCTGGAGCAAGGCGATCCCAGGACGGCCGTCTGGTGTGAATTCATAATGAGTGCCCGTCTGCGCAGCTCCGTGGATATAGATGATTGCCGGTCGGTTGTCGACTTTCTTTCCATATCGTCGTACGCATATTTGTCCCGTCATATGGGTTCCTCGATCATCCTGGATATATTGACCACCGACGTAGAACACGTCGCAGAGGTCGGCGAGTGTCTGAGTATGATCCATGGCGGCGGGCATGTAATGAGACCGATACTCGGTAGTGAAGCCTCGCAGCAGTTGTGAGTCAAGTATCCAATTCCCCTCTTTTTGATGGGCTCCCTAGGCTCCCTTTCCGCGGGAGTGACTCTGGTCGGCGAATGCGACGGCGAATTCGTACTAGGGCGAGTTTGCATCTAGCTACCTAGTCATTTAATTTACCCAATCATATTCGCATTCAAACCTCGTCGTCGTATATTTTATATAGCTAACTCTAGTTGGCCCTTTTACGAAATCGCCGTCGAAATCGCCGCCATCGGTCATACGCCGCTCGGTAAATGCTTGCCGTTCTGCAGCCGTGTCCGCTGCCTATATTTACTAGGTGGTTTCGGCGACATTTCCGAACTGCGGGCGGTTGTAAGGCTTAGGCTGGATAAGGCCAATCGTTTGACAGAAGAGGATGGTATGTAATAATGGTGAATGAGAGGCTGGAGAGGCGTGATGGCAACCAAAGTTCCCCCACACAGTCTGGTCTTACAACTTGTTCCTATCTAGGTCGCCAGGTATCTTTCACCTGCCAACCAGCTCTCCATCATGATGGTTCCTGCAACAGTCTCGGCAAGATGTTGCTGGTGCCAGAGGTCTGATATCTTCCCAGTATCCTGCTCCTATGCCTTCTCCAATGGTTGATTGTGGAGAGAGACACGTGGAGTGCAGATCATCCAGCTCGACTTCACAGCTTTCTGTGCAGGTTCTCAGGGTTTGAACTGGGGGTTGAAAAGAGGGAAGTGGTCAAGTCGTGTCTACCGACCTGCGCATACGACATGGCCACTTCATCCAGCATCTTGGGAACAATCAAAGGTCTGATTGTCTGCTTCTACTCGTCCATCATCTTCACATCGACACAGACACACCATGTGGATAACACTCAGCCGGCCCCTCGGGCGCCCACCAACTTGACCTTGACAGGGCACATCCCGCCAGACCAGCTCTTCAGTTTCGTCTACGTGCCCTTCAACGTCTCCGCCGAGGTGACATCCATCTCCGTTGTACAGAATTACTCGTTCAAGGGCGCGGGCAATGCACTCGACCTAGGTGTCTTTGATCCTCACGGTATCGCGCCTATCAATAGCGAGACGGGGTTTTCTGGCTCGCGAGGCTGGTCGGGAGGGTCGCGCAACAACTTCACCATCTCTGGAAGCGATGCCACGCCAGGATATGTAAGTTTGCAGAGCCACAGGAGGCAGAGGAGAAGGAGAAGAGAGACCATTCCCCTGAGAGCCCTAGACTTCTCCCCTAATGATGATGCTTTTGTGAAACCAGAATGCTGGACCTCTCCTCCCTGGAACATGGAATGTCGTGCTGGGGCCTTACGCAACCAACCGCTCGGGGATTGACTGGACACTTGACATCTCCCTCTCTTACTCCCCCCTAGACTCTACCCCTTGGAGTCCCTCACTGGCTCCTACCTACAAAGAGCCACTTTCCACTCCGTGGAAATGGCTCCGCGGTGACTTTCACATGCACACCATCTACTCTGACGGCTGGTACCTACCCAGCGAGCACATGGCCCACGCCATCTCCCAAAATCTCGATTTCATCTTCTTCTCCGAGCACAACACCGATTCCGGGAACAACAACATCGGGCGCCACATCCCCCGGACCGCGAATGCGTCGAGTGATCTGCTCATTGGCCGGGCGATTGAAGTCACCACCCGACACGGCCATTGGCAAGCGATAGGACTCGAGCGGGCGCAGCAGGTGGAGTGGAGGTATACCAATGCCACGGGCGACACGGGCTTCGTCGATGCGGCCACTCAGGTGCGCCGTTCCGGCGGTCTGGTCTCGATCAACCACCCATTCGAAAAATGTTCAAGGTGCGATTGGACGTTGGACTGGGAGCACAATGATGCGATTGAAGTCTGGAACGGCCGGTTTGACCCCCGGGATGAAGCGGCAGTGCAGTTCTGGCAGGGTGAGCTCGTGAAAGGTAAAAAGCTCACCGCATTAGGAGGAAGCGATGCACACAGGCCGCCGGATGTCAATGGCTTGCCCACGACCGTTGTGAGGGTCACGGGAGCCAAGAGCCAGGCGAGTATTGTCGAGGGCGTCAGGAACGGCCGGGTATATCTGGTCCAAGGGCCTGGGATGGACATGGACTTTGGGCTAGTCTACGGAGACGGTAGAAAGAGGGCAGAGATCGGGGATGTCGTCCCAAAGACGGACTTGGGTGCTGATACATACGCAAGTCTCTCTGCTACCGGGTTTGAATCATTAGCCGCACATGCTTGCTTTGTCTCCGAGAAGGGCTATTTCCAAAATGTGTCCCTTCAAAATGCGCAGCGTGTTCAGCACAGTTTGGCTCCCGACATGGACTTTATCAGAGTCGAGATTCGGAATGCGTCGGATACATTGCTGGGCCTGACGAATCCGGTCTATTTCGAGTGAAAGAAATAAAGCAAATAGAAGATGCTTACTGAGGCCACTGTTGCCTGGTGCTTTCATCTGCGATATCGACGCATCGCAGGCCAGACGGGCAAAAAGGGGGTCCACGTGATCCGTCAGTCTCACCAACTGAACAACACCGTCCACCAGCCTTCGAATTGCGAGGAATGTGGCCGTGGTGCCGTGATAAAAATATCCTCGTGCAGGTCGTCCAAAGTCCGTGCTCTTCGAGTTTTCAACGGTGGAGTCTCCAGAAAATAAATCTTGCAATGTATTCGTTCACAGCAATCCTATATCCGTCGTAATCCTAGGTAAGGTATTGTACTTTTCCCCCCGAGTCTGTGTGGGCACTTGCTGTTATTCTCCAGACATGCTTCCGTCGCAGGGAAGAGCCTCAGGCACATACCTCCTCCTACTTGGAAGGGATACCTTCGGCGGCCTTGGCCACCTCGCCTGCAATCTTCTCCTTCTCGCTATCTCCCAGCTCCTCTCTTCCCTCTTCAAACACTTTGTCGAAATCGTACTCGCCCCATCTGATGTTGGGGTTCAACCCGGCAAACTTCCACTCTCCGTCGACCTTCTTGTACCAGTGCATGTTGCTGCTGTGTGCGTGTCCCTTGACCAGGACCTTGGTGCGGGTGGCGTCCGTGTACTTTTGGTGGGGGACACGGAGCTGGTGGTATCCGATGATCTCAGTGTCCGAGACCTTCTCCCATTTGCTGGCACCGCAGAAGTGCTGGGTCATCAGGCGCGGGTCGCCCAGCACCTTGGGGTCCGAGATCATGGCGATGAAGTCGTCGGCGGGCATGGCTTCCCAGAGTTTGTTCAAGAAGGAGCGGTAGTCGATGCGGACGGTGGGGGCGACGATCTTGCGCAAGCGAGCCCAGTCCTGGAGATCAGATGGGCGTGAGTAAAGAGGTCATTGCGGGAGAAGAGGGGTCCCAGTGAGAGGGCCACTCACCTTGGAATCATAGCTCTCCGCCCACTCCCAGTAGGCGTTCAGACAGCCCTGGTAGTCTGTTGCATTCGAAAGGAGACGACGGTCAGCATTGATAACACAAGAAAAGCTCCAGTGTAGAGAGAGGACCGAGACTCGATCTCCATTGGAACCGTTGCGGGGACGAATCTCTCTCACCTTCCCAAGAAATCAACGTGTCCTTTGACGGCATGTTGAAACGGAGCAAAAGGAACGGAACAGTGCGGTCGGGGAAGAGTGTCTGTCGCGTGCGAAGGGGATTCAGGTGGAATGAGATGGAGAGAGGAAGAGATATAGGAGGAGGGGGGAAGGAAGAAGGAGCGCGAGGGCGGCTTTCTTTCTTGTCCGCATCTAAATAATTGCACACCGCCCCTTTGGTGCCGTGTGTCGCATGTAATTATCATTCTCCTTGGTTTATTTATTTCCACAATGCACACATGCATTAAGCCCACACCACCCACACCTGTCTGAACCTAGCGGCCCCCAGCTTGTGCAACGGTTGGCCTATCTCGGGCCAGCCAGGACCAACTGTTCCTGAGCAATACCTGCACGAGACGGACGCTAAGGCGGGAAGGCAACCGGGGGGCGTTAGAGTGCCATGGTGTTCGAGGCTTCAAGCGTGTCTCTAGGGGTGTGAGGGGTACTTTGGGGCTTTAGGGATATCGGCGAGGGCCTTTCAGGGGGTGGTACACCTGGAGGACATTTAGGGCGCGGGGTCCGACGCCTAGAAACTAGTGACTAACTCGCAATAGCTTTTCACTTATCGGGAGCGGGGTGCCATTTTTGGGAGCATCTTAGGGTACTAGGCACCTAGCACGCCTACCATGTACCTAGGTAGGTACCTAGGTAGGTACGAGGTACTCGCAGGCGTCCGGAGTGAGCTGCCAATGCCGCAGCAGCGGAGTTTCTCGCGCTCCTGCCCCTTCCCCCTCTCCTCTCCGTCCCGCTCTCCTCTGCCCCCTTGAATCCGCAAGGTACAAATGAACCTGAACAAAGGAAATCATAACTGACCGACTGACGGACTCAATCAATCATTGAGCGATCGCTCATGGCCATCATGTCAAGCAGTCGCCAATCTTCGTCGCAGGAGCAGCGATTCGTCAGACTCGCACAAGGCTAGGCGACGAGGCTGAGAAGAAACGTCCCCCTGCAGCCTTAGCGCCTGATGCGGCATCACATCCCAACTCCGTCGTCCATAACCTGCCGAACCAGCGGTCGCTACAGTTGACAAGATCAGCGACCCGTACTGTTGGCGCCTAGCTTCTTGTTCCTCGATCCGCTGTTCAGGCAAGGCATCTCATCTTGGTCCCCATCCGGACCGTCTTCGTGACGCCCACAGAAACCCTGGATGGCTTCAGAAACCGACAGGCCAGACCCGTCTGAGCATTCCGGAGCATCCCACCACATCTGAAGTGCCCATTCTTGTCCAAAGGAAGCCGCCACAGGCTCATTGCCACTCGCTCGTAATTGCCAAAGAAAGCGTGCCCACGGATGTCGTCTTTGCTACGCTTGACCAGCCCATGACCCAATGTGACACAGATTTGACCTCCGATCTGGACCGCGTGGCCGTCGGAGTGGTGGAACGGAGCCAGCAGCACAGAGAAGACGCTGCCCCGGAATGGCACGATGCTTCTGGCGACGTCGTTGGGAAACTGCCATTGTCCTTGGTACTTGATTGGATGCCATGGAGTGACCAGCAACTCGCCTACGCGGCACAGCTCCTGCGTCTGGCCGTGGATCCTCGTCTTCAAGACGGCAGCCACTGCTCGTGGCCCTGTGGGAGTCCACACCATCATCCCCACCTTGAGGCTCTTGATCGGCGCCTTCGACATTCCGTCCCCCATCAAAATAGAACAGTTGCCCTCGAAGCAAGGTCCGATGCGCGAGTTGTAGCTTGCCATAGGGGTTTCTTCACGATCAAAGGTCCTAGTCCCCGTCACGGCACCAGTTGAGCTGTACGTTTTCACCACTCTCCGCGGACGAGATGGCTTTGGAGCGGGGAGATTGTCAAAAGCATTATCGAGCTCAGTGCGGTATTTGATGAAGAGCGGACTGTCTTTGCCGTAGAGCAACGGCCCAGGATCTTTGAATGTATTGCACATCTGACGCTCATGTGCGTGGAGCAAGCTGGGCAGATAATGACGACCCCATTTATGCCAGTAATCTCGGCCCGAACTCGAGATGAGGGCTTTGGAGATCTGACCAGCTGGTTCCTGGCCGATGAGCTCATCGAGGAGCGCTTTCAGCTCAGCTGCATCTGCATTAGGAGATTGTTGCATCGCGGTGGCGATGTCGGTCACGGCTTTCTGTGCTTCCCCGAGAGAACATCTATCCATGGTGGCCGTATGCTCGCCACTGTGCTCCACGGGAAAGAGAGAGGATAGGAGTCCACAGATTTGAGCTCGGCGCAGATGGTATTCAACCCAGACTTGAGGCTTGACTGTCTTGTCGGAAAACATTGCGCGGCTCTGAAAATCGTGGCAAGCTCCGTTGCCGGCTTTGTAGTTGAGCGTTACGGTGATGACAGTGTCTTCAGGTATACCTTGCGGGCACACGAACACCACCTCTCGAGATTGGCCGTATTGAATGTTGCCCAAATCCAGGAGGTGTCCTCGTTTGCCGGCATTCGGGTTCACACTTGAAGTCGTTTCTACCGCAACGTCCTTTGACAGCTCGACTTCCAACGTCGCAGACAAGCCGAATGTTGCGTACAGATTGGCAACCGAATGCACGAATACCGTTCCGATCATGCCTGCATCAGGAATGAACGCGTAAGTTCCCCGACCTGTGTCTGCAATCGACTGCAGCAGTCCCGAGCGGATCTGGTAGCCAAATCCAAACGTGTGAATCGTGGGTATGACTGGTCTTTTAGAGGCCGCCAACTCTAGCATGGGACGGAGCTTCGCGACATAGCTGTATTCAGTCAGGGATCGAGCATTCAAGTTTCATTGTTAACATGTGGCTTCATACCCCTGTTTCGGACAGAGATGGTTTGGCATCCCATCAGTCAGAACGTAAAGGCCTTGCACGTTGCCCACAAGTGGCGCCTCCGAGAACAAGTTCAGTCCAGTGCGGATGCCTGCCCAGAGGTTGGTGCATGCATCTTGACGGAGGGTCTCGATGCTCCTCCATGTTGCCTTCTTTTCGGCCGGCTTCATGAATGTGAGAGGCTGGACAACCTATTGTTCTTCCTGTAAGTACTGCTCGTATTGCACGAAATCAGGTGGCCGACTCACCCTTGCATCATCTGAAAAGGTGACGATCCCCAGTCTGTCATCCTCGCCCAGAGTCTCCAGGATCGTTCTTGCAGAGTGCTTCACAAGATCAAGAACACTGAGCCCAGACGCTTCCCTCTCAATCTCGTCCTCGACACCCGGGATGGGTGCCGCAGCTGACATGCTGCCGGAAACATCGATGACAAGCACAATATCGCAAGAAGCGCGTTCGAGGCCTTGCTCTGGCACTTGTGGTGGTCGGACTGACACAATGAAGGCGTCACTGTCTCGGAGGGGATGGATTTCGGCAACGGCATCGTGTTGGGCATGTCTTGGGTGAGACCGTAGTGATAGTGCGTGGGAATGAATTCCTGTAACGCCATCGTCTCGGGCATGTGATGAGCGCGGCCGTAGTGGAAGGGTGGAGGGGTGATCAACCATGGTAAAGTCTTCTGGTGCGTCGCTGTTGGCGATAGAGCTGCTCATGGCGCTGTCGGATGGATTTGAAGTGTGAGGTGGTAGGTATGTGGAAGACGTTTTAAGAGCCAGTGCGAAATGTGGATTGCTTGTCCCAATGCTGTTTGATCTCATGTTTGCTTTTGGGCCAGTCTCTAGCTGGATATGATTGCTCTTGGTACCACCTAGCTTAGTGTCAGTTCTCTCTTTGTCGCAATCGAGCGTCAAGCTATAGTCAGCCTCCGCCTAATGTAGTTTTCCGCGCTTGCTCAAAATGCAACAATGGCACAGAAACCCTTCTTGCAATCAAAAAAATCTGGGAAGATTGCACGAATGTGCCAGAGCATGCTCATGACAGGGTGGGCGACGGCCTTCAAATAGCCTCATCGAGGAGGCAGTGAAGCTCTGCTGTCGCTCGCGTTGCCTCCCAGGCTCATCTGTGGTGGATAGTCACAATCCTTCCCTTCCATATTCAAGATTGTACCCGTGGATTCGAAGTTCATTAGCGTCAAGACACAGGCAGGTAGGAAACCCATCTACCTCGACAGACCTTGTTAGCAACGAGAGGCTTAGGCAGCTAATAACCTGCACAGGAATTTTGCAAAAGTATGAACCCCATCGGCCAGACAAAGGCGGGACCACAACACAATAGCCCTAGTCAAGAGCCGCGGCACATAGACTCGAACGCTTGATTCCAGGCAATCATGAAGCTTCCCAAGGAATATGCCCGTGCGAACTCAGTCGCAGACCAGTCGACTGCAGGCTATAAATCGCACCCCGATCGTTGCTTCCTGTTGAAACTGAGTCACTTGAAGTCGTTCAACAACTGCGCGATCGGTGTCGGGCGGGAGCAATTGATTTTGCCTCGCTAGTCAGCCTGACGAGGCTGAGGGATAGTTGCGAACCAGCGGGTGGCGCCTCCGAATGCGCCGGTGCAATCCAGCGATGCCGCTGCTGGAAAAGCTAATTTTTTGCGAGGCTTCAAGTCATAAAAGCCCAGCAGGCTGAGGACCAGAGAACTTTGGGTTCCGCTGAAGCTTCGAACAAAGTCCCTAAGGGCCTTTAAAACGCCCAGCCCGCCGATGCCGACAACAGCGTACCTGCAACACCAAAATACCTGCCAGAGGTATATTCATGACATTGCCTGGTGTTGTTGAGGGTGCTAGTGCTGGGCTGATCAGCTCGTGTCTTACTATTATGGATGTATTCGGTTCCAAGTTCATGCCATACAGGTTGTCCATCTCCTCCTACCGGCGTGGGAGTCGGTTGCATTCTTGTCATGAAGACGACGGTGCAGCCTGTGTTGCTGATTCATACTTTTCTTTGGTTGTTGGCGGGAAGTCTGGGCTCTTCCTTGAGTCAGCGACACTTTCAGCTGGTCCGACTCAAGTCCATATCGTTTTAATTCCATATACAGCGGCAAAGTGCGGCTTCCGCGGCCGCACAAGCTCTTTAGTCAGCGAGGCCATGAACTAATCGGAGATGGCCCAAATGCCGGGTTGACGGCCGACCTTGGCTTCTGTAGAGTGTCTTCCTCTGTGTTGGATATAGTTGGTCCATATCAACCATCAAGTGGAATGATTTAGCCAATTGTGGCAGGGGTTATATGCGTCCCTGTTGGTTAAATTGTGGCCTAAGAACAACAAGACTTGCCAAGAGGAGGGACGCCAATATCGAGATGTCCCTTCGAGCGAACAATGTTGTATGACACCGCCAACACGAGTGTACTTGGAACATGGATGATACCCAAGAACGAAAAGGAGCTATGAAGTAGACACCGCTATATCCCGATACTGGCGCTTTCAGCCTATAAAAGAACTTGACCCCTCGGGAGCGGTTCTTGACACAAATGTATCAATTGAAGAGAGGAACATTGCAAAACTTACCTGTCGATCAATCAAAGCCTCCCATTGTCCCATCAATCTGTCGAGATCATCAATATGGGCTCAATCTCCCCAAGAGAGGAGACCATTCTCATAACTGGTATATCAGGATTTGTGGCTTCGTGAGTCGTCCCCCTCTTGCAGATTCTGAGTTACTGCCAGACTGGGGCTACGATGCTGCCCGTTACCCGGTTCAACCAACGCTCTTGTGTTGACTTGTGGTGTAGGCACATCGCTCATACCTTTTTGGAAGCTGGATACCGGGTCCGCGGGACTGTCCGGTCTGAGAGGTCCATTGCTGGCACAAAGCAGGCTCATGCGAAGTACGGCGATCGGTTGTCCTTCGTCATTGTCCCTGACATGGCCGCCACCGACGCTCTTAACGAAGCAGTCGATGGAGTAACGGGAGTCATACACACGGCGAATCCCTTTATTTTGAACCCCAAAGACAACGAAGAAGAGCTTCTCAAACCCTCCATAAACGGGGTCTTGAATATTCTCAAAGCTGGGGCCACCCAAGGCCCAACCTTGCGCCGTGTCGTGCTGACTGCTTCCTTTGCCTCTATCCTGGACCTCAGCAGAGGTCTTCGCCCAGGCTATACCTACACCGAGTCAGATTGGAACCCTGCCACATATGAAGAGGCTAAGAAGTCGTCCAGTGGTGCTTTCACCTACTGTGCGGCAAAAGGTCTGGCAGAGAAGGCCGCTTGGGAATGGATCGAGAGAAACAGACCATCGTTCTCTTTCACTTCTATCAACCCACCGTGGATTTTCGGTCCTTCACTGGCTGGAATAAGGTCTCTGGACCATCTGAATGAGTCGACAGAGGCAATCTGGAAGCTCGTTGATGGATCCGCCAAAGAAGTTCCGCCCGCTGATTTTGCGGGCTTTGCAGATGTGAGAGATGTCGGCCTCGCCCATCTGCGTGCATATGAATTGGAAGAAGCAGGCGGCCAACGCTTTATTGTCGGATCCCACTTCGACTATCAGACAGCGGTGGAATCTCTCCGCCACGACTTCCCACAAATCCAGGACCGCATACCACGAGGGACCCCGGGCAAAGCAGAACCGGTGTACCAGTTGGACGGAAGTAAAGCAGAGAAAGTCTTGGGTATCAAGTACACCCCCCTTAGAGTGACCCTGAAAGACACAGTGAAGGATTTGCTCGACGCAGAAAAGACGCTGTCAACCTAAGAGGCAATCGAGCAGCCCACAACATATACTCTGTGCTCCATTCATAAATACTCGCAAATCGCCTTGAAGGGCGGTGCTGTGGGTCGAAGAATTCCGTCTGGCACAGAGAAGGATGACTCCATTCAGGAGGCTCTGAGACCCTAATACTCGTGCATAGTTGGTGCTTGTAAACATGAGAAAGCGAAACCAGGCTGCTTGTACTCGTACTCGAATGCCCTCGCAATCCGTCAATCTGGCTCCAGACTTTCGCACCGTCGCAATTAGCCCTGTCTCAAGCCACAACATGGTCCAAGCTTTAAGTGGCATCGGGTTGTTGTCTTCATGGTTGGCATTGACCAGCCTTAATTGTGAAGCGCGGGTAATAATGCAGGATCTCCATCGCGGAGCAAAATTTCGCGTTTCCATAACGGCAGGCGTGTCTGTCGCGACGTATACGAGAACTGCTGCAGTGGCGACCACGGATTCGTGGTTGCTCGGCGCATAGGGAATCTAACTAGCTGCCGTCGCCACGTGGTTCTCCCCCTGCGCGAAACAACTAGCTTCTCGGTGATTCGCCCCTTTCCTGTCGGCAAGCGGGATCGGAAAGACCGCAGGCCAGGCTAATGCTGCACTCAGGGAGAGGAGCAAAATGAGTGTCTTAAAAGCTCGTGTTTTGCGACGTCATCGGGCGGGCGAGGGTTGGTATCGTGGGATGGGTTTGTGGCATCGCAGCGAGCATCCTTCGGTTCCCGGGACCGGAGATGCAGACGACATTGTGAACTTGTGCTGGCTGTTGCAGAGCAATTACGACTCTTTTTTGGCCATCTCTGATCTGACTACCAACTTGTGGCATTTTCCGGCCCGCGGATTTTCTATCTGGCCCGTTCCTGCATCCCATTTGGCATGTCCGTGGGTTCTGGCCATCAATAGTGGCAGAAAGTGAGGCTTGGAGGCGAATATAACAGGCAAAGATCGTCTCGAAGGCTCTGGTGATTCATGATAGGCAAAGATTGCAGGATTTGACAGGGCACCGTCGGGTTCGGCCACTGCCTAGTTCCAGTAACATTAGTCTTTAGTTCCTTGGGGAAGAGCCGGGAACAGGCATGGAGACGCAGATGGACCCTTTATCACTCGGGATAGGGGGCCACCCTTAGGGGCCAATGCCTGCGAGGCGGTCGGCGACCAGGCCCCAATGCAGCATAGTTGGCACCTTAATATTGAACTGCCGACATGCGAAATGCTCGGCTCCTCCCTGTCAGAAGTTGGAATACGGAGTACCGAGAGATGGGCGTTTGTAACCGGGCGGGAGGAGATGAAGCTGAGGAAAAGAAAACTGATTGACTTCTTTCGCACAATTCTCGATGTCACAAAGAGGCGGAAAAACAAAGAGTGATCGACTTGAGCGAGCTGATGATACTCACTCGCACGAGGATGCCACGAGTTGCACAGCAGAGAACAACGGTTGTTGGGGCAAAGATTTGCGGCCAGATTCGTGTCCGTGGTACATGGCAGCATGCAAGTGACATGCAAATGAGGGGGCCGAGAAGATCAAAGAGGCGACAAGAAACAAGACGGCACGTGGGCTAAGCCTACAAGGTGCGTCGCTCATCCACTCCGGATACTGGAAGCGGGAAACCGAAGAAACAGCCAGGGTCTCGCTACTGGTAGGTCGGGCCTAGAGAAACACCTAATCATCGGAAGGCAATAGGGAGGATTTTGAGCACCTATGCCTACGAGTTGGTATAGGGACCTACCTAGGTAGTATCTCTTAGCAACCAGGAAGTGCCTGCACTTTACTCGGTACTGCCATGTAGCGCTCGAGTTGGGGCGGCGGGTGGTAATATGCGAGTATGGTGGTGGTGGGGTGGGCTACGGTCCTTGGCCCGGGTAATCATACCTACGAGTACCTTTTGGGTGCCCTTGGGCCTTGGGTGGCCTTCAGGCTTCAGGGGAGGGTCTGCCTCGTTCCTCGCTGCTTGTCCTCCCACGTTGCTCATGTCAGACACAGATCTCCAGTTACTGGCTCTCACGCGGCACCATGCAGTTGAACTTCTCAGCAACGGTGATAGACCGTTCACAGCATCATGCCGTAGCAAGGACCTCGTAATAGGCCACCAGCACCGAGCACCTCGTAGATACCTCCTCGGGGCACCCTTTGGGGGTACCTGGATCCAATGTCATGCCCACAGCAAATACCCAAAGCAATCTAGTCGGCTCTTGGTGGCTCTGCCAAAAGGGAAGAGGTGACGAGGAGAAAGCCGGGGCGCCACCAGCCCAAAGCAACCACTGGCGTCCAGAGCTCCCTCGCTCCCCCCCATTCCACCCAATTCCAATTGATAGCCCCCCCAAGTGCACCCCCGACCTAGCCATAGAACGTCTCTACCACGTCGACTCAGATTCGACCACCAGGGTACCTGATTTGATGGTTTGTTCCAGTGCCTCCAGTGCCTCCAGTCCCTCTCAGTATCGTATGCCAAAATGGCAAAGAGTGGATCTGCTTTCGCCCACTGCCGTGGCTTTGGATTGGGCCTGCCACCTGCATCGCCATCGCCATCTCCATCTCCACGTCCACGTTCGACTCTCTCTCTAACTCTTCTACATCGTACTCTTTTTTGCCTCTGAAACTTGTTTTCGGCTTTGGCCTTTGGCTCAACCTTTTTGCTCCCTTTCTGCTATAGCGAAACTATAACGAGCACATGCTTTGACCAGACCATCGACAGAATATCCCATCCTATCATTTACACTCATTTACAACCCCTGTCTCTGCGCCGCGCCCACCTGCGCTTTTCTTACTCTCCGGATCCTCGCCAGAAAGTGAACATCCCTCCTCCGAACCTCTGGGGTTAACCAACCTTACCCTCTCTCCCTGATCCGTTCTTCTCCTGGCGCCACCTCTGGCCTGCCCCTCAAAGTCGCTATCTCAAGATACGTCTCGCCGACACAAAATCAATCATCTTCGACCTTCCTCTGCAGTCGACCGCAACCAGTTCAAATCCCTCCTCTGCCATCTCCCGCCGACCGCTTCTCTGTGCGACGCCCGATCCCGCGAATTCGCCAGTTTCAACACCTTCCTACTGTCTTTTTTCTGGCAAGCTGCATGCCCTCGATCTGGCTCCACAACATCTCCCGCTCCACGTTTTCTGAATAGGATCTTGAATCCCGCGCAGGTTTACAAAGACACCTGATTCGGGCGCTCTCCGATCTGGCACAGACCTTTTCGTAAAGAGTCTGGCGGTTGGTGCATAGCACGTCTCGACACTTGGACGATCAAGATAGGACTTCGTTAATACGGGTATCAAGCGACCGAGTTGGGTTTCCACGTTGCGAAGCGCATTGATCCCGCCCCAGTCACTCGATACTGGGGCCCGTTCTGCGCTGGGTCGTCGCATCTCTCCTCGAGAGTTTTGTGACACTTACCGCTGCAGTGTCAGCGTTCCTGGATCACCTTTCCACTACAGTGCACTTGACGTTTTCTTTGTCGCATTCTACAGGCCAATAAATTTCGGAATCGGGAGCAATTCGATCGACTAATCAGGGGCCTTCACGATCGGGTTCGAGCGCCATATGCGCGATTAGGCACTCTCTGCTCGCCATCTGAGCTGATCACATTCGACACACACATCAACACCTTTGACATGATGGAGACAACGAGCCACCGACCCTGGGAGTCGCATCCCCCTCCCAGCCTTCCTCAGACACTGCCGTCAATAGCTTCTTTGACCTCAAAGCTCCCTGTCCAGCCTCTGGACAGAGCGCCGTCAGATCTATCGATCCATCCGCCCCAAAGAGATTCGGGAAGTTGGATGACTCCCGGTACCCGTGAGTTTTCCGGTCCCTGCCAGATACCGGTTGTCTCGCTAATCCTCTTGTTATAGTATCGGGATCTTCGACGAACTCGATGCCCTACCTAAACTCTGCCCACTCCCCAACCGGCACCGGAACGTCGCCTTTCACTCCTGACAACCCCTCTGCACCTCCAGCACCGTTCAACGGTGGCTTGCACCCGCACACTAACGGACTTCCAGCGCCAACGTCAGACCCAAACTCCAATCCAAACAGAGGTAGCGGCGACTTTGACGACTCGCGGAGGAGCAGTGTTGCTTCAAACAGCATTCACACAGGCATGAATAACCTTGGGCTCGGTCCCACATCTCCTTACACAAGCACCAATGCATCTCAAACGTCTCTTGTGTCTGGCCTTCAAAGAGAGCGAGGTATCCAGACGAATGGGTATGCGGGAGGAGGCGGCCGATATTCGACCATGAGCGGTCCAATCTCATCGTTCGGTTCGAATCGCGGTGGAAGAGGTGGTTTTGCTGCAGGACGAGTGGCACCCCCGATTCTCGAGAACCCTAAGCAAGAAGTCTACAGTGCGGAAGCTCCCACTCGAGGCCAGGCATATGCATTTCCCGATCCAGACGCGCCTCGGCCGCCAGGCAGACCTCCTTCCACGTATTCGCGCAGGAACAGCTTCGCAGATTCATTCTCTAGCAGTATTTTGACAATGGAATCCAGCAGATTACCATTGGGGCAGCAAGGTGAGCATTCAAGATGCGCGAAACTCGTATCGAAGCTAACAGAGACCAGAATTGCCCGACACTCACCATCACAGTCTACAACACAAACAGCTAGACAGTCTTCGAGGCGATCCCGACTCTCCCAACGGCACCACACCCTACAGTCGCACACCGGAACTGCGAGTCACTCACAAGCTGGCCGAGCGCAAGAGACGAAGTGAAATGAAGGACTGTTTTGAACAGTTGAGAAGCCGATTACCGGCCAGTCAAAATAATAAATCAAGCAAGTGGGAAACGTTGTCGCGGGGTAAGGAAAGTTTACACCGTGGACAAGACATACGCTAATTTCCCTTAGCCATTGACTATATTTCTCAGCTTGAAAATCAGAACAAGCAAGCACGAGCCGAGTTTGAAAGCCAGCGGATGAAGATGGCTGAACTTGAAGCCAAGATGCACGAAATGAGTCGACAAATGCAGGGAATACAGCAGCCTCAGGGCTCCTTTCCACCTCCACCGACTGTGATGCCACAGAGCCCCCTCGGATACGGCTCCCACTTTAACAACCATATTGATGGCTCCAACGAGCCAGCACGGACACTTCCGCCCATAATGAACAGCACCTCGATGCAAGGTATACAATATGATGACCGGCGGTAGTGCTATCTCTGATGGGCATGGGCGCCCTACGCCCGGCCATCTTTTCTTTGGGTTACCTGTTTGGACATTTTGATTCTTCTGTGCATTACACTGGAATTGTGGAGCTTTCAGCCAAAAGCCTCGGACATTCAGAAAAGAGGCACGACATTCTGGGCTCCGGGGTAAGGGGGAATCAATTGAATCATGATACCATGGTCAACGGGATATGTTTTTCGGGAATGGAGCAAACTCAAAGGGACTGGACAGTTGTCGAGCCCATTCTGTCGCCTTTATACGGTTGCGACACCTATTCGAGGACAAAGCTAGGAGGAGCCTTGCTTCCAGACCGTTTGATGAGTAGAGTTCTCGTCAGTCTACGGCCGACATGGTCTCTGTATATGAAACTTGGAAATACAAAGCTACAAATCACGTCCGATTTCATTGCCACCAGCTTCGAGGCTGTGTCGCAGCCTTGTGAAACAACGGGCCTTATGTAATCCAGCCTTGCATGGCTCTGATTGGCTCCCGAGGCTCCTGTATTTTTATTGACCGCGCGCGTAATTTCGACCTCGTCTTCCTCTCCTCCAGTCATTGTCTACCTTCCCATCTGAAGCAGTCATTTCTGAAGGCCGGCCTAGCCGCCAGGCCAGATGCCATGCGACATTCCCTGTTCTCCATCGAGATCTATGTTTGGGACATTCTGCCTGCCGCAAGCTCGGGTCCAAGGAAACGTGTCGCAGACCAGAGCCTCAGACAAACAATGGGGCCTGGCAGGCCTCAGAGGAGCCTCGTCTGAGAACGACCCCCGCCGGACGCGGATAGGTCTTTGCAATTGTAAACACTGTCGGCCAGGTGTCTACCAATCCTTTTCTGCCGGACCGATTCCCGCCTTTCACCAGGTCAAATAATGATGCCATGAAGAACTTCCATTTCTTCCTCACATCACTCTCACCTCTTTCCTATTGTTGTTTCCTATTGTTATTTCCTTCTCATTCTGTTCTTTGTACAGTAATCCACATTGATCCTGTTGACAGGATCTATTCAGGTTGCCCAGACGCGGAATCTGTCAACTCGAGACAGTCTCACCGGTTGATTCACCAAAGACATATCAGATGATATTGACTCAGATCAATGACAATGAATAAAAGGCTACAGCGACGAGCCTAGAAAACTCCTTCGATACTCATACTTTTGAGAAGAAGCCATGCCACATTTTGTCCCTGATTCGCCCTCCATACGCTGTCAACTTTCCCAATTATCCTCCACTAGCAATAATGGTTGTCGCTTTCGAAAACTCCCGCAGTCAAGGCGCAACTTCGAAGAGAGCGGGTTTGGCGCATCGCCAGCCCAGCTCGGTTCCGGCATTTCCACTGTCGTCGCCTCATCAAGAGACTCTTACGACGTTCAAACCCATCAAGGGCGGCATCACATTGGCACCAAAAGATACCTTCTTCTCCCCGAACCCCTTCGCTTCCAGCTCTTCCGACGATGACACCGGATCTTCTAGTGGGCAGGATGAATTCCATCTTGAGAGATACAGTCAGGAGACGGCCAGAAATGGACAATCCTCACGACCGAGTCGCAAGCAGTCTAGTCGACGAAAGCATCAGCCGCAGCCGGCCGGAGCACGACTCGACAAAAAGACTCGTCCAGGGCTGAACATTGTCACCAACTTCTCAGGGCAGCCAAAAAGGGCCCAAACTGATGGACTTGTTATTGACCAAGTACAATCCCAGAGACCTCGACTTGGCCCGAGATACGCCACATCCATCATGTCAGCTAAAGCTGAGCATGTAAGCCACTCGGCGCCGGAACCTTATGCAATTAACGCTCCAGACGGATCGCCAAATCAGAAGACAGAGGATTTGAAGAGGATCATTGCCCGACAAGCTGTTTCAAAGTTGCAAGAATCGCAAGCAGCGCGAAAGGCGAGGGCGGAGTCAAGCTCGGCGGGAATGATGGACGCTGGAGAACAAATTCGTGGAATTGCCAAAGAGGAGGAGCTCCGAGGGCCCGCCAACGCCATAAATGATTACTCTCCAGGTGCTCGGTCAATCGTTATAGGAATGAGTGTGCCTGAACATGAGGTGGATGCACACCGTTCTGTTGGTGGAGCAAGCACTGTCTACTCCGCGAACACACCCGACACACCTGCAATTGTGGTCACTCCAGCCGAAGAGACAGACTCGTGGAAACCGCCCTTTTTCAGCAAAGGTCGCCCTGTATCGAGCACGTATTCTTCGCACACTCGCAGTGAAACGCAGATTCAGCACAGTCGCTTGCCACCAGTGCCCAAAATCCCTTTGAGGCATGCACGACACGATGACCAAGTTCAGCCAACGGCAGGTGCAAGCATTGTTCGGTCCCCTCAAGGGCCTAAACCGAAGTACGCGGAGGACTATGATAGCGGTGATGAACGAGACCGTCGATCTTTGGAGGAGGTGTCAAGGATGTCATCCGATAGCCAAGAACGAATCCTCCCGTCAGACATAGAAAGCAAGCGGCACAGGTCGCAGGGCTGGTGGAACCTTATGCTCTCGCCCATGCTTTCGAGGAAAGGGACGATAGTGGAGAAAGTCAACAGCACGAGTCCTGAGACGCCTCCAGTTCCGTCACTGCCGGCCGATATACGGCCTTCCAAAAGTGATATCGTTTCTCCGCTCACCTCCGAATCTCCTGAGACACCTCGCCGGCTCGGACTAGCAAGTGCCAGGGCAAGCATTTGGTCTAGGTGGACAACATGGGAAAGAGAAAGAGATGGCAAGATCCAATCCCCTCCACCCAACCTGCCTCATCCTGATCTCGACCAACCTCGTGGTTTAGTACAAGATGTCGACCCAACCTCAGCATGGCCTGTGGTCGATCTCACCAAAGGACTTGCAGCAGAATACTATCATGCATGTGCTGTCGAACAATTGACCGGCGTTCCGTACTTTGAATGCCAGAATCATTCTTGCGCCAGCCAAGAGCCAAAGCTACATTCCGTTTTCGACAAGGAAGTGGCCTTGGAGCGGTCACAAGACGTTCCTACGTCGAGGCAAGCGGACAATAATATTGAGGATAACACTCACGTTCCTAAAAATGAGGAGCGAGAGCTGAGGAGTGTCTTTTCAATCCATTCGGAGCCTGAGGAATTATCACCCAATGTCAGACAAGCAGAAACCGCCGCTGTCGTCAAGGCAAAATCTGTGGAGAGCCCGGACCTCAGTCAAGGGGAACCACATCAGCAGGAGGCCATCCTATCAGCACCACGTGCAATTGAAGGTTTACAGGTACAAGAGCGATCGGTTTCCAAGACGGGGCAACCTAGTCGTGAAGCTCAGTATCGCAGCATCGCTGCTGTCGCGGAACAGCCGCCGATATTGTCACCAGGGCCTGTCTCTCCGGCAATGCAGCATACAATGACATCTCAGGGTGCCGTTCCGATGACACAGATTGAGCAACAACACAGTCAACCACGTTTGCTGGAGCAAACCGCACCATCAGATCAACAACACGTGCCGGCGCCAACGCAGCCACCATCGGTCACAATACATAACCACACGTTTTATAGTGAAAGATTCGCAGGCAGAGATGATACCGCTGTACAGGAGGCAAGAAGAGAGGCCATGGAGCGACTCGAATCTACCGTCTCCGCGCGAGAAGTCAGCCAAAAGCAGGAATTTGCAAGACAGGAAGTACCAATCTCCCAAGAACCGGAAGCTACCAAAAAGGAAGGTCTGATAACCAAACTGAAAAGGCTACTACGTCGAAGGCAGGCCGATGATCAGGACCATGCGGACAAGAAGAAGAAACGCCGTTGGACGCTCATCATTTGCATTATTCTATTCATCGTGGTCCTGGCGTGTGTTCTGCTCGCCACTTTCCTCACCAGGGCAGGCGATGGCACACCTGTGCAGAGCCAGTGGCTGAATCTTACTGGCTATCCTCCGATCCCCACGGGCATATCCACTATAGCCAGACCCGATGCCGTCAAACAGCAGTCCCAGTGCGTTGGACCCAATACGATGTGGAGCTGTGCTCTGCCCAAGGAGGAGCAGTTCCAGGTGGTCCCCAACTCTCCAGACCAGCCGAACTTTCGATTCGAGATTACCTTTCGAAATGGCACTGTACCAGCGAATATGACGGTGCCCGTCCAAGAGCTCAGGAAGAGGTCAGGGGCGCGCCTGCGAAGGCAGGCGGATGATCCCTTCACAAATGATCTTTTTGATCCCAATCCGGCGCCACCAAGCCGCGCGGACCAAATCTTTATGGGCAACACGACCGACAATGTCACCCAGCCGTTCGAGGGGGAACAGACGCCTTTCTACATCACGTTCATCCCAGTGTTTCCTATTGATCCCTCAAATGCCACGGCCACAGCATCTAGCTCGACCGGCTCCAAGCTGCGAAGGCGTCAGTCGACGAATTCCTCAAATATCATCCCGGCGCCGGACGTCCTGAGCGATGGCAGTGCCGCGCCTGCCAATCTCCTTCCCGAGGATCCATACCCTTCATCTCAGCCGGTCAACCTGTACAACAGAGGTCAAGCAGACGAGCACTATGGCTTCTACATCTACTACGACAAGGCGATCTTCTTGCACTCGACAGCGGCTTTGAACACCTCGGAATTCGCAGACGACAGTGGCATCGACCCGGAGGACGAAAACGGTGGCTCCACCCGCGATCAGTCTCGGTTGCGATGCACCTTCAGCCAAACGAGATTCTTGGTGCGCATGTGGACGAACCCGGCCTTTGGCGCAACCCTATTGCCTCCTGATGCCTCCAATAACGGTACCAACTCAAGCGATGCAGCAGGGAGTCCAGGCAACTCAGCCACCGATTTCAGTCGACCGGGTTCATTCCCTTATCCGACAACAATCAGCATCGATCGACACGGGGGCAACATCAACAAGAAAGCCGTGTACTGTTACGGGGTGGACCAATTACAGGTCATACAGTCGGATGTCAAGGGGATTGTGCCAGAGTTCCGAAGTGTTGGGGGCACTTTGATCAATGCGGCCCCGGGGCTGGTGAATGGCACCATCAGCGACGACCCCAATTTCGATCAGGAAGCAGGCGGGATTGACGGGGGGACAGGGGGATGTGAGTGCGTTTGGCAGAACTGGAACTGAATTGACGGAAGGCTGGTTTGTCTCCCCTTGCTGGAAAATCCCTGGGATTTTTGGGGGTTGGGAAACAAGCACTGTATCGAAGATGGACTTGCATCAATAGGACATGAAAAATTACCTAGGTATGGAGTTTGCGGAACGGCGGCAGAGACGAGCTGTGCAGCAGGAACTGTACGGAAAAGTACCTCTATGGGCTTTACAAAAAGACGATAGAAATCTAATTCCAGAAAATGCCATGTATACCACCTATAAGGACAGAGGCTGAGATTGTTTGTTTCCTTTTACTCTGGCTTGCTCGGCCTTCATTTGTTTGTTTGCGCGTAGTCACTGGCCTTTGATGCCGACCAAGTCTGGTGATGTGATGACCGTGATACGGTGATGTTGATGTGAGGTTGATGTGAGGAAGATGGAGATGGAGGACGGGAGGATGGCCAGTGACGTATTGAGGGTTGGATCCAGGGTTTGGACGATTACGCAAGTCGTGACCATGAAAAACCATGAATTGCGCTCATGCCACAGCAATTCAGGTCAGAACTTGAAACAAAAAACTTCTTCAAAATCAAATCACGACATAGGGATTATTGTTTTCCTTACTCCTTCTCTTCAACTTCTGCTTGTCGATAAAGGCAGAGTCGCTTTCTCATCTATCAAGCGATACTCACTCATTGCTCCTACCGTTCACCATGACGAAGCAGAAATCTAGACAGAAGAGGCTGGGCGACTGGCTCCCCGATCACGACGTCCACCGAGAATGGCTCGGCGGCATCATCGACCACGTGGACCAGAACCCCAAGGAGCTTCACCCGGTGCTGGTCGAGTTCAAGGAGTTGATCGAAAACAACACCCGCGTGTACATGCTCGTTGAGTCCATGTTCGAGCAAGTCCCCAAGAAGGAGCCCTACAATGACGACCCGCGCGGACACGGCCATCCCCAGGTCCGTGATTACGACCACATGCTGCGTGTTATCAACCACATCTTGACGACGCCGCCATCCTGGTCCGAGCGCTCGGCTCGCGTTGGCCTGGTCGGTCTTCCGTTCAACGCCCTCTTCGATTGGCCCATGGGAACGGCTTCGGGATATGCCGTGTTTCTTGACCCGGACGTCAACAAGATGCTGAAGAAGGTGCTCAATGTCTGGGGGGATTTCCTCCGCTCTCCCGAGTCAGCCAAGGTTTTGGAGAAGGACGCAAAGGAAAGCTGGTTTGGTCCGCATGGCCAGGAGGAGCTCACCACGACTGCAAATCTAGGGAAGACGAGTTACAAGTTTGAGGAGTTGTTCCAGTGCAATCCATCGGCGCCTCACATGGGCTACAAGTCATGGGATGATTTCTTCACGAGGCTGTTCAAGGAGGGGGCTCGGCCAGTGGCCAGTCCGGACGACGACAATGTGATTGCGAATGCGTGCGAGTCCAAGACATTCAAGGTGGCGCGCGACGTCAAGGTCCGAGACCATTTCTGGCTCAAGGGCCAGCCATATTCGGTCGTCGACATGTTGGCGCAGGATCCCTGGGCGGAGAAGTTCGTTGGGGGAACTGTGTACCAAGCTTTTCTTAGCGCATTGAGCTATCATCGGTGGCATGCGCCCGTGTCTGGCAAGCTGGTCAAAGCATACGTGGTGGACGGGTCTTACTACTCGGAACCTCTGTTCGAAGACTTCAAACCCCAACACTCAGCGGACCCTGCCGGACAAGTGACCAGCCAAGGATATCTGACTGCCACCGCCACACGGGCCATCATGTTCTTTGAAGCAGACAATCCAGCTATCGGGCTCATGGCGTTTCTAGGGATTGGCATGTGCGAAGTGTCGACTTGCGAGATCACGGTCAAGGAGGGCCAGCACGTCAAGAAGGGCGATCAGATTGGCATGTTCCATTTCGGAGGATCGACGCATTGCTTGATGTTTAGGAAGGGGGTTAATGTGGAGGGGTTTCCGGAGCCACATCCCGAGCACAACATTCCAGTGCGAAGTGAGCTGGCGAGGGTGAAGGGGTAGTCGGCGTTGACAGCAAGCAGAGAGCAGAGAGCAGATTGAGAGCTGGACAAAACTGCACAGTGTACGGAAGCCCGAGGTCACGTGCTTGAAGAGCTGGAGGTCACGTGCTAATAGCACTTCCATCGTGGTGCATTACGTCATAAAATAAAAATGCTTTACCCGAGCCAGTGTTGCTGCTTTTTCTTCTGTTCAATGAGCGGTTTTCGAGGAGGACGTCACTGATGGCCAGATGCAGTTAGTCGATTGATGCGTCATGGTGTCCATTCTGCAACATTTCGGCCGCGCTTTCCGGCTCAACGAATACCATTGGTGGCTGGCTGCTTTATAACGCCCTGTCGCTGCTTTACACTCGTTGCTGCTTTTAAGCCCAAGGGCACTTCCAAGGTTACTACTCGCTACTCGGTAAACAGACCCCGAAAAGCAGCCAGTCTCACCTTTTCTCCCTCTTTTATTCTCTTCCCAACTCATTGTTACTACCTAGTAGGTTACAACCTCCCACACCCACCCGGAGATTGACCTATACGAGGTACAAAGATGGGTAAAGGATACTTTCCACCCTCTTCTGGCGTTATGCTGCTTTATTGTCGTCTCCCCCTCGTCGTTCTGCATCTACCCCAGACATCTCTTGACCACCTTGAGCCTAGATCCTCTACCCACCATTGGCCTCCTGGTAAACCATTTCCGGAGTTTCCATGACTACAATTAACTCAGCTTCACCAGTCGCCATATTTCTCTCATGTAATGGGTGACAAACAACTTTTTCCGTCCGCAAATTCTGCAGCGTCGGTCACTTTGCATGCAGAGATGGGTGTCGGACCATACTTGCACACCTTTTGAAATGTCCCGCTATTCTCACGGTCTGCTCCCGGCTTCAAGTCATGCGTCTCCTCGCCGTTTCCCCTTGGGCTGACATTACCTTCCCTTTGGCTAAATCGGTAGGTGGAGGCAGTTCTAGATCTGATCTGACAAGCTTGATCTCTCTCGCTGCTTTCGCTGTCTTCGCTGCTTTCTCTAACCCAGTCCAATCGTTTACCCGACTCGCTGCAACTTCGGTCGCACACGCTGTTTTCATATTCTGGTGTATAGGTATATGAACAGCCTTTGTTGCCCCTTGGTCTCCCACATTGGTAAAGATCAATCAGTACGCCTCTTTCAAGACAAGTCACTCGAGACATAGACACTGCCACGCCCTCCATGCCGCAACAACAGCCTGCCAATAGCCTAGTCAAGGCTCAACCCCCTAAACCCACACCAAAAGTCGCCCCAAAGCACACACCATTCGACATCGACAACTACCTCAATCCTTTCATTCCTCGCAACCCCCTGCGATTCTTACCTTCCTGGGTCTCATACTGGTTCGGCTATCGCTCTCCATCATCTGCTGATGCACATCACCCCTGCCTCTGTATCCTTCCCCACCAATACCTTGAATTCTTCTTCCATCCTCCCGAGTGGTTCTACATCTATCACGTCCACACCTTTCTTCTCTACCTCTCGATCTTGATTGGCGCGTTCTGCGGCGTCGCCATCATCGAAAATGTCTTCCTCGCCTTGCCCCAGTTATCCGGCCACACGGTGCCCATAGTGATCGCGTCCTTCGGCGCGGCGGCTATCCTGGAGTACAACACCATTGAGTCGCCCCTGGCTCAGCCGAGGAACCTGGTTTTCGGACACTTCTTGTCCGCCCTCGTCGGGGTGGGCATCACCAAGCTATTCTTGTTGCTGCCACCAGACCAGTTTGAGGATCTGAGATGGCTCGCTGGCGCGCTCGCGGTCGGCTGTGCATCCATCGTCATGAGCTTCACAAAGACCATTCACCCGCCCGCCGGCGCGACCGCGCTGCTGGCGGCGACCAACGTGGAGATCCAAGATCTGGGATGGTGGCTGTTGCCCCTTGTCCTGCTGGCGGCCATGTTGATGTTGGCCAGTGCGCTGGTCGTGAACAATCTCTCGGGAAGACGCTATCCGGTGTACTGGTGGACGCCGGTGGATCTGAAGCACCTCAAGGAGGAGAGGAGGAAGGCGAGGTTGGCGAGGAAGCTGGAGCAGGGAAAGATCGAGGGAGATGTCGAGAAGGGCGCCGAACTCGAGCCGTCGACTGCAAAGGAGGACGTCGAGGACCTTTCGGATACCACGACCGAGGCAGGCGGACTCGACAACGACGGACTTGCTCACCACACATCTTTGCCAGAAAGAATGACCATGATCAGTCGAGCCGTGACCTTTTCCTCGATCGACCGGGTTCCCAGACCGATCGCGGCCGCCGAGAAACAACGATCCAAGTCGTCAAGCAAGAAATCCAAACAATCGCAAGAGCAAGATCTTGGCGAGGAGGTCGTCGAGGGCGAAAGCATCCTCATCTCGAGAAACCGCATGATCGTGCCCGAGTGGCTCGATCTGAGCGATTGGGAGGACGAAGTGCTCCGGATCCTGATGGTGCGGATGCAGGAGCACTCGCCTTCTTCGGACCAAAATTGAATTGTACCAGCGTGACTGGGAAATGATTGCTTTTCATCGTGTGTGTTATATACATGGAAGGATGGGGCGGGTCAGGTGTGTTTCAATATCTGCATGCATAGCAAGGCGTTCTCATTTCTACGGGTATGGTACGTGCATAGGCTTGGGTATGGGCATAGGCATGGGCATGCTAAGCGGGACGGACATCAAGAAAGACTCAACAGGGACCACACGGCACATGGATAAGCGGTCCTCCGTATATTAAATGGGCGGGTATATTCTCAGTTTCCACAGTCTATATCCGAGTATGGATATATTATGCACATATTATTACAACACCTACAATTGTCAATAACGGACTCTCATTTGACAGAGACCATTGACACACACTCGCGACTTTTCTCACGGACTAGCCGAGGATGAGATGATCAGGGATCGGATTGAACTTTGGATCTCTATCGTATAAGATTTTATAGAGTACCTACCTAGGTAGCCAAGGGGCGCGTCTGCAGGTGGCTAAGGACGGTATTTCAGTCCTCGTAATCTGAATCTTCAATCAGCAGGCGGAAGCCTCCTCATTTTCATGCTATTTCTATTTGACAGCTCCCAATCTGTGATCCAGAGCCCTTTCGAACTATCCTACCTAGGTACTTTTAGCACCTTATTTCGTCCCAAACAGATCCTTAGCGACCAGACCGCGGCAGATGGGATGGTAAAAGTCCTTGTTCTTCTCAAACGTCTCCACCGCGAGCTCATAATCCATCTTCATCAACCCCTTATACAGCGGTCTCACGAACTTCATCCTGCCGACTTCGCCCAGCAGCTTGGTCACGAAGCCCTTCACCGCCCAGTCCCCGGCCTTCATCGCCACCTGGTAATACCGGGCTGAGATCTCGACGTTCTTGGTTTCTTTGAGGTCGTAGATGTAGCCCATGTAGTTGACGTGCGGTTGGGGGAGTTTATCCGCGAAGGTGAGCAGTCGCTCCAGAAACACGACGATTTGGTTCGCCGACCAGCCGTCCACGTCGAACTTGCTGGGTCCGAAGTCCGGGTTGGGGTTCTTGGTGAATTTCTCCCACTGATCGGCGAGCCGGTAGCACTGGTCCACGAGAGACGTGTCAAAGTCCGGTTTGGGCGGGAAGCCCGGCTTGTAGAACCACGTGTCCCAGTCGATGGTGGCGAGCTTTTGCGACACCTTGTCATCGGATCTGAAGAAGTCGAGGAGCGTCTGCTTAAAGTCGTAGCTGTCGAGTGATTTCCCCCGCCACGTCTCAAAGTAGTGCGGAATGAACTTGTCAAATAGCTCCTTGGAGATCAGTTTTTCAATGTAGTACAAGAAAATAAATCCCTTTTCGTACGGGATGCTGGAAAATGCGTCGTCGGGGTCCTTGCCCTTCAAATCGATAACAAGCTTGGTGAACTCGTGTTGGTCGCCAAACTGTTCGATAGACTGCTCGAGAGCCTTCCACCCTATCACCGCCGAGAAATCGCGCCACTTGTCGCCGCCGTGCACGATGGCTTGGATTCGCCGTTCCAGATAAGTCGTCCAGCCTTCGTTCAGCCAGAAGTGTTCCCATGACGCATTGGAGACAAGATTCCCAGACCAGGAGTGCGACAATTCGTGCGCAATTACATCAACATTCTGGCGATCTCCGGAGATGATTGTAGGTGTGGCAAAGGTGTAGACGGGGTTTTCCATGCCGCCATAGGGGAATGACGGCGGGAGAACGAGGACATTGTACTCACCCCATGCGTATGGGTAGACGAGCGACTCGCCTGCTTGCAGGAACTTCTCCGTATCCTCTTCCAGCTCCCACTTGCAGTCTTTGAGCTCGTCAGGGCCTGTAGCAACAAGACTCCGAGGACCAACATTGGCGGTGGCGATGTCGCCGCTAGCAAGAGCAAACAGATACGAGGGGATGGGCACCTTCTGGTGGAATTGGTAGAGCTGGGAGGACCCATCGTGGGACAGGGAGGATGGATTGTCTTTTGCCCCAATGCCGGATGCAATGACCGGCAGGGGCGACTTGATGCGGAAGTCGAATGTTGCTTTGACATCCGGAGTGTCCTGACAAGGGAAGATGGATCGGGCGTGGATGGCTTGACATTGCGAAAACATGTACGGATGCTTCTTATTGGAGGTTTGAGCCGGAGTCAGCCATTGCAATGCGGTGCAGGAGGACGTCGTTTCTAAGTCGATTTCAACCTCAATCTTCTCCTTCAACTGTGGCTTCCGTCCGAGTCTAATCTTTAGGGGACTGCCGTATGGCTCGAGCCGCTTGAGCAGTTCCCACTTTGCTGGTTTGCCGTCAGCCTTGACGTCGTGTATTTGGACATGACTGGTGTCGAGCAAGATCTCATCACTCTCGCCATCCGTGATGGATTCAAAGCTGTGAACGACGGTGCCTTTCAGTTTCTGTTCGTCGAACAGAATGTCCAAGCTAGTGGACGTGTGCAGGGTCCGCCAATTGTTGTAGTTGGAAAGGGTGTTCGGATCCCTGGGAGTGTGAATCATGGTTGCCATGTTGCAGACAGTGGTCCCACAGAATCTGCTTCGAGGACCGAGGCCAGGCTGTCCAAAGGCCAATCTTGAAAGAGTTCCAGGTAGGATGCACGTCAAGGTGAGGGTGGCCCGGATTTGATACCTGACCATGCGGTGAAGGCTTAACACCAGCCTCCCCTACCAATCAGCGTCGAGGTCAAGCAGCTGCTTTGGCTCTATTAGCCTGTCAGTCTCAAGATGCCAGCAGGAATTGAGCGAATGAAAATGCGCATCTCTGAGAAGTCGTGAGCCTTGGATTGAAGGCTGGCGGTGAGTTTGACGATGCTTGGCACTGGCTCCGGAACAACCTTAATCCGCACCCATCGATGAGTCACGTGAGAGACTGCCTGCGCTGCGCATGTGCAAGTCTCAGTCTCGACTCTCATCCACTTTCATTCCTCCATGCGAAAGACCCCCAACTTGGGGAAATACCTCCGCAGCATTTACCTTCTGCCTAGGATGCCATGGCGCCTGAATTTTCAAGCCTAGCAGAGCACCCGGACGGGCTGAACTGCAGCCACTGAATCCACCCACTGTCCAGCCTTGGAGTGTGTCCGAAGACTACGAGAACGCCATCTGATAGTTGCTGTGATGGCAGCGGTGTGTTTCAGCACCCGAGCTTCAATGGGTCAGGCATAACCTAGCGTCACTTACTGCACATGTTGTGTAGGTTTGGAGCCCTTTCGGTCTTTGTTTTGGCAGGTCCAAGTTGCTCACTGTCGGGTCAGTCCAAGCCAGCCTGGCCTCGGACGAGAGGAGATTGGGATGGCGAGATTCCAAAATAGTCACGGCCCGCAAACAACCTTTCCCTCGATGCGGTGGTATGATTGTCCTTGGACTTGACCAACTCAGCGCTGCGGTCCGTGTTAGGCTCTCATGATTCCTGTCTGCAGCTCAAGCAGCTCAAGCAGCTCGGCTGTGTTGTACGGCATCCGTCTGCAGCTGTCTGGAACGTCTGGAAGGATCTTGAATGTCCCGAATTTTCCCTCACCGTCTTTGCGCTGTGAGCCTCGCACAGCCTCGTCGCAACATGCGCTCGACGACGGACTGCCACAAAGAGACTGGTGTTGGTCACTCCATGTACACAGTACACTATTCATCAACGCATAGATTCAGTGGAAAGGCTGCGTACACTGAAGATGACTTGTGTTACATTGACAGATTACAAAGGTATATTTTTTCCTCAGAACAGCTGTCGTATCGTAACGAGTTGGACCCAAGCCTTCCGTCAAGTACTCATTGCTTTATCCACCCAACATGTCTGCAGCTGCGGGAGACAAGATCCCATGCATCCCTACCATCCTTTTACGAAGAATTTTGGGGTTCACCCCTTGCCAACGCACGCCTCCCGCCTCTCATGCCCCGTCTGACAAGTTCCGATTAAGTACAACCCTCCAACGCTCCAGTCGGTTTAGTCGGACTTCTCAGCCCTCTCGCTTGCTCCCTTGACGAATCGGCTGAGGTCGCCCACGGGGAGGTTGAGGGGGAAGTCGACAGCGGCAAGAAGTTGCACGAAGAAGAGGTACCATCCCAGCAGACAAACAGCAAACGTGGTACCTCCGGCGGCGTGCATCATGCCGGTGTTTGTTACTCCCTCACCAATCTGGAAAAAGAATTCTGCCAGGCATGAGAATGCGGCAACGAGGAGGATAAAGATGAGCAAAAAGACGAGATTGGTTCGGAGTGCGATGACGGCGTAGACGAAGCACAACACTGCCATGTAGACGTGGAAGAAGGCGAATGTAGAAGCGAAGGTGGGATCCGTCGACGCCTGAGCCGGGTGTGTCGGGTCGTAAGCGATGGATGCGTTGAAATATGGTGTTAGAGTTGCTCCAAACGAAAGCCAGAAAGCACCAAAGGAGCCGAAGACCACGAAAGGGAAGGTATTGCCCAAGATGAATTCCAGGAGTGCACCCAACGTCATGAGCAGACCGCCGAAGAAGTAGTAGACGCCCCTGCGACAGCCTGGTCAGATAAAACATCATCCACTGATTCTTCGTGACTTACACCTCAGCCGCGCCAAGTCCACCGGATCCTCGCCATCCCAGGAGGATGTTCGAAAGAGGAGTCAAAGACAGTAGAAATCCGACGAGAGCACTAAGTTCGGTCAGCGTGCGGAGCAAAAAGATCCCAAGGAGACATACAGGGGAGTCGGGTTACCAAAGGTCGACCGAATATTGTTAGAGACCCGATTCTTGGGAGACAGATAGATCTTCTCGAAGAGCTCTGGAGTGATAGAAATGCTTCCGGCCGTCCGGATCCTCCTCAGAGCAGTCTCCTCGTTGTGGTGGTCGTGGTGAAGATCATACTTGCCGTTGACAGAGTCGCTGCCGGCATGATCCTTCTCGACGTCGGGCACGTTGTTGGAGGCCATGTTGACGATGTTCTATGCTTGAGGAAAAGGTGCTGTGACAGTACAACCAAGGTATAAATGCTTCAAGAGGGACCACGTCAAGGGTCGAGGGTCAGGGGACTGGGCCTAGAATCAATGTAGGAATCTCACAGAGGCTGTAGCAAGGAACACAAGCACTCATAGGACTTCCCTCCCCTTGGGAATGGGTAGGGAGGGACTCAAATAATATAGGACATCATGGTGGTCGCGTCACAGGTCGATCGATGATTCTCCTCTCGGTGGAGGGGATAGCCCCTAAGCCGCTCAACCGAACCACCGTCCCTTTAGTGCTTGGTGCGTGGTGGAGTCGAATGCACCATAGCACTCTCTCGAAGCAGGCCGCGAAATTGAGCCAAATGCTTGACAGAGTGGACAAGCAAGGGTCCAGGCCATGAACCCACCACTCGCAGAGTGCAGACGTGGTGATTTCAACCTGGATCAAGCACAGGCTCCAGAGCACAACTCAGAGTGGCTTGAATCTTCGCCAATGATCAGACGGGATGGTGTCTCAAGCTCGACACTAGGACGGTGACTAACACAATCGCCGGTGCCAAAGCTGCGGGGAAATACTGGGGAAGGAAAGGTTCTGGTAATGATGATGATAGTCTGGTGGTTTCCTTACACAGCTTTGAACAAACGCTCGATGATCATCCACCTCCGCTCGACACTTCTATTCCAGGACCTTCTCCAGAATCTTGGGCCCGAAAAGGCACGGAAGGTTTGGAATGAGGCAACGAGGATTGCGGTCATACAGCGCCCAAATTGGACGCATCCCGGACTTTCAAGGGTGCACCCATGATCGCGGGTGGTTGGTCTGCAGCAAAACCACCTCTGGATGCAGGCTTCTCGGAAGAGACAAGTTTGCGGGGTTGGCGCCAATACAATTCGCATATTCGATCTCGGGAGGTGTTGAAGGAGCAGGTATATCGGTCTAGGCAAGCATTGCATCAGCACCCTGGGAGGGTGGAGATCGGCCTCTGAGAGTCTAGTCTTCCGTCATAGCACTGGGATGCCATGTATGCACACAAATGAAAAAGCATAGCGCTAGGTGACGAGTACTGCCGTGAAATCCTGCCTGCAACCCTCCTGTGAGTCTGTGACTCGCCCTGCACCTCTGGCGTCTAGCTCTTTTTCTGGCACTCGTTCGGTGTTTGTCCGAAGCGTGTGACACCTCATTTGACAAGGCGAGAGGGTTGAGAGAGGGGAAAGTGGCGATCGAAGCCCAAAGGGGTGGCTGGGAGACGCTCGCAGTGTTGGCAGTTCCCAAGGGGGTTCAACCAGGAAAAGGGAGGAGAAAGGCGGTGATTGATCTGCGGTTCCGGATCGCCGTCTGCCTTCAGAAAAGGTCATTGCACCATCATGCTATCCAGTGTTAGCTCCATACCGGAATTGCTGCGCGCTGTCAACTCGTCCTCCGAGCTGACTCGACAGCCTCAGGAACAGGCAGATACGCTGTCTGATCTGCTCAAAATTGTCGTATGCCAAGGGCAGAAAGGGCAGAAAGGGCCGTTACCGTAGTTTAACTTCCCCTTGATCCTCTTGACAAACAGCCTCTTGTCCACTGTCGAAAATTTTAGCGTCTGACCAGATCGATCGGACAAATGGGCTGATGGCGGGTGCGAGTGACGGTTCCAGTTTCCGTTGACCCAGTGAAAATACGAAGCCAGAGCGGAAGGATCAGGGGGACGCTTCCCACCATGTTCCGTCGGTACGAGAGACTCGCCGGCTTGTGTGGCTTGTGTGAAAAGTCTATGATCGTATGGAGCTTCCCAGTCATCACGTGATACCGGATCAGGCGGCGTCGGCGGGCACACAACATGAACTCTAGGACTCATCCAATGGCCGGCACATATCTGCTTCACAGCTTCGTTCCGGGTCGATTGTGAATGCGGAGAAAGGCAAGGGAGGGCATTGCATAAGGGCTGACTGAGTCCTTTCTTCGGGATCACATACGGCATGTTTGTATGGTCCCTGTTGACGGTCACCTGTGCGTCTATTGGAGACCAAGGCACGCGGACCCGACTCCAGCCGTTGATGCTTGCAAGAAGTTAGAGGCACATGCATCCTGCAGCAAGGCCGGGGTATTTGATGCTTTTGTCTGCAACGGGCTGTAGCAAGGTATGGTGTTTGCAGGGCACGCAGGGGTGTCAGAGGCCTCGAGAGGATTGTGACCCCCATCAGATGGCCAGGTACAACTGTTCAAAGAATGAACCGCATCGGTGATTTTGGTTCGACCAACGGCGATTTCTCTGTATGTTGCACTTGGATCGCGCTCCGAATATCCGACCATGTCGGCGACAACTTTGAAGCATCGACATTGCGACGTACATCGTGCAACAGGGGAAGGGGTACACATCCTCTTTCTTGTCAATGGGATCATGATTTTACACGCAGCGCAGATTAGAACAGCGCGTGCCTCCAACCAGTATGTACAAGCTGTGTGAGATCCGCCAGCGCTTTCCTTCTGGTGTGAGGGCGGCGTCCGCCATCCCCAAGACCAGACCGCTTGGGTATCAACTCGAATCAACGCCCGTATCTATTGTGGTTTCCCCAAGCTTTTCGAGATACCACCCATCCTCAGTTTTGAGATCGCTTTGCTCCTTTGTCCGGCGTCATCGCTCAGCTTTCGGCGGAAAGCTTTGTTAGGTATGCCTCGAGATCGAAATTCTTGTCATTGGGATCCGTAATGACTGTGTCCTTGTCAGCCCCATGCCTCCGCGACTCCGGCAGTGCATTCAATTCATGGGATTCACGTACTGTCATCGCTGGCCGTCTTTGATTGAGGAGGCAGCGTCTTCTTCGCCCATTCCAGCTTGGCCTTTTGTATTAATTCGGCTTTGTGGTCATATTGGGCCTTCTCGTGTGCAGCCGCGTTATGTGCGTTGATCGTTCTCTGGTGCGAAAATCCGTAGAAGATACCTGCAACAAGAGCTGACCACCGGAGTACCTGGATGTAGTCAGCGGCTGGTTGGTCACAATGCGAAAACGCATCAACCAAGCATCTGGAAATGTTGGGCGGCTGGGAATTGCGTACATTGACTCCTTGGGATGTTGACATTGTGACACAGCCGCACCCTGAGTCGCAGAAGCTGAGCCCGATATTTAGAGCTCAAGTATGCGACTGTCTTCGTAGAGACGTTCAATCGTGCCTGAGAACGGCTGTGGCGTCGAGAGAATCTGGAATCAACTGCTGCCGAAGTTGAAGCTGCAAATTGTTTCTTGGGGAAGTCGGAGCTTATCCCTGCGTCTTTTTGGATTTCCTAACCACGTGATCGCGCGATACTAGACCTGCGCGCACCTCAACGTTCGATCTCTCCACCATCTGCACCTGATGCCCCTTGCCGTCCGAATCCGAGTCCACCATGTCATCGCGTAAGGACGAGCTGTTGGCCAAGAAGGCTCGACTTGCAGAACTACGGCGACAGAGGGAACTGCGTCAGGAACAGTATGGCTCGAGTCGGCAGAGTATTGGCGAGGTATGGACAACCATCGGCCTCAGTTGAAGTCCATGCTCACGATCACTAGGCCCCTTCACCAGGAAAAACCGCCGAGGAGCGGAGGTCCGAGATTGACAACCTCGTTTCCAGTCTCATCGATCGGCAGCGAGACAAAGATGCGACCGCGTCGCCCAGCAGACGTGGAAGTCGACCGAGTTCAATCCAGGGCACCGTCGCAGGGCACATCACCCCTCAGCAAGATGTCGAACCATCGCCGAGGAGGTTAATGCAATCAATAGCCACGCAGACCGAGAGCACGGATACTTCATTCCCCATTTCCGTCGATGCTTCCGCCCACGAGCCTGTACCTTCAAAGAAGGAATATATCACATACACCAAGGGCGTGCAGACAGAACCCTATCTTGAAGAGCCTGTCAAATCTCTAGAGCCTTCCGACGATGATGACATGTCCTTACGTCAGAGGAAACGGCTCAGCCGGCGTGACCAAGAAAGAGACGAAGAAATCCGGCAAGCACTGCGGAAGGAGATCGAGGAAGAATTACAAGCCACGCACAATCGAGAATCAGTAATTTCAATATCAACAGGTTCTCATCAGCAGCAGCGCTTCCCTTTGCGGACGCTCACCAATACTGAACTCAATGCTGTGGTTGCCTCCCCCGAATTTGTTTCCTTCGTTGAGCGTTCTTCAAAGGTCATTGAGCGTGCCCTAGATATGGACGACGAGTATGATTTGCTGGCAGACTATACTCGTACATCAACACTTGATGACGACGACGACAACAATGATGCAACGCCTTATTCACGAACCGGCAAAAAGTCACATTCTGTACGCGAGTCTTTTCAGTTGTTTTCCGACCGATACACACGCAGACGCATTGTCTCGGATATCCAATTCTCCCCACACTTTAATGAACTTCTCTTGTCTTCATACACCAAGAATCCTTCAGCGCCTCATGAACCGGCCGGTCTGGTTCTGTTGTGGAACACACATGCTCCATCTCGGCCAGAGTACGTTTTTACGGCGTCGTCCGATGTTCTTTCAGCTCGATTCTCACCATTTCATCCCAATCTCGTTATTGGCGGCTGTTACTCAGGTCAAATATGCTTGTGGGATACCAGAACATCTGGCAGAACGGGGCAACCGGTCCAGAAAACACCACAATCTGGATCCCACCTTGGCCACACGCATCCAGTCTACAGCATAAGCGTCGTGGGGACACCTAATGCTCATAATATCATCACCGCTTCGATGGACGGCGTTGTCTGCTCGTGGTCGGTTGACATGCTTACACAAGCCCAAGAATATCTCATCCTCAACACTCCCGCTCCAGCTAAAACTGACGATCTTGCTCCTACAAGCATGAGTTTTCCGGCTGCAGACCCAACCTTTTTCCTTGTCGGCACCGAGGAAGGCACCATTTACCCGTGCCACCGGTACGATCGAGCCGGAGCTCAAGCAGGCGTGGACACCCGCGTCGCCTACAAGGGGCACTCTGCACCAGTCATGTCCTCGCAGTTCCACCCTGCACGAGGACCCGTTGATCTGGGGGATCTACTCCTAACTTCTAGCTCCGACTGGTCTGTCAAGCTGTGGCGGACGAAGCCCGCTGCGAGTTCGAGCACGAGTGCCTCAACTATAGCAGCCGGAGGGGCAGCGCCGACAATTGTGAGCCCTATCCTCAATCTTGCGAGGGAAGATCTCGTCTACGATGCAAAATGGGCGCCACATAAACCATCAGTGTTTGCTTGCGTCACTGGCGCGGGAGAGTTGGAGGTGTTTGACCTCAGCTATGACCTGGAAGTTCCGATTGCCAAGGTAAGTCCCTCAAGGGGGAAGAACGGGGTGGTCCCGTTCAAGGGTTTGAATAAGGTGGCGTGGGAAGAGAAACGAGGCAGCCACATGGCTGTTGGCGGGCTCGATGGTGTCGTTACAGTGTTTGACGTCGGGAAAGGATTGCAATGCGGCAATGGTGAGGCCAGCATGGATGAGTGGGTGAGCATGAAGAGGTTAGTGACGAAGCTTGAGGGGGGAAAGTGATGCTCTTGATCAGCCCCTCTGTTGGCAGGGTCAGCTTTGGATACCATGCCATCCTCCTGATCTGGAGAGTGCCGACGGCAACGGCGATTGGTGGCCGGATCTTGTTTGCTTTGGCTTGGCAAATGATACCCCCTGAGTATGTCCTTTTTTGGCCGGGATGTCAATGTGGAAGAAAAGAATGACATCGCAACCGACTGGCTATTGTGGCCCGGGTTCCAACCATCACAATACCGCGTAGCCTTTTGAGCAACGCCTCAAAGCCTCGGCCTCCCTTTGTTTCCGTACCTATCCAACCCCACACCACTCAAATCTACCCCGATCTTGTTCTGCCCCAGTAGCACCTCCTGGCAATCGTCCTCTGCAACACCGTTCACGAATTGCGTGACCAAGAAGTCGACCCGTCGCTGGCCCAATACAACCATCGGGGCATGCCATGTTCCGGGCGCGTAAGTGACAGCTTGGTCTCCTCTAGCCACGAAAGCACGGAGGCGGGCAAGGTCCGGGGGATTGGTGATGGCCACCGGTTCGCTTCTGCTGGAAGTGTTTGCTGTAACGGCGGTAGTGGAAGAAGACATCGAGGGAGCCACCACCACGAGGAAGACTGTTGAAGGATCCGAGGCGGCCAGGCCGAGTGGGCAGAACGTCTGAGTCGTATACGGATGCCGCTCCAGGATGGAGACTCTGAAGATGCTGCCCTCCCCACCGGACTGGGACGGGGACGCCTCAATTCCGATGCCGCTCAGGTTTCTGGGAAAGCAGGAGAACATGCTCATCTGAGGTTTCGAGGGCGGGGACACGGGGTAGTGGTTGCTGAACTGCGAGATCGGGGACGTCTTGAGCGCGGAATTCTGGTTTGCAAACACCGGCGCGGGTTGGTGGGGAGAGTGGAGCGGGACAGGGATAGACGCGGATGAGCGGGGCGGTGTCGTTAATGACGAGTCAAAGGGAGGGCTTATGGCGGTGCCGAACTCGGAGAATGATGATGGTGTCAATGGTTCCAGTGAGAGGAGCGCCAGGTGCTCGGAAGCTGAGCGAGACAGTGCGAATGGGAGCGTTGGGGGTGTCATTGTGAATGGGTTGGACTGGATCGGAGAACTGAGGCAAAGCGATTTGAACCGGTTATGATCAAGGCGGATCCTCGAGGACGAGGCTCGATTCCCTTCTTAGGCCCACAAGTCGAAAGGCTGAACCTGTGGGTTGCTCGAATTCAGGCTTGCGAGGCTCGTCTGTGCTTGTCTTGTGCAGGAGAATCTCCCTCCCGACGATAGACAAGAAACTGCTTGTCTGATACAATCCAGCAGCGGCCCGGTCTCCTCGTTCTTCGCAGGCAACTGGGTCCAATGCTCTTCTCAGTCAGACAGGTGTTGAGTAACTGTGGTGTATTTTTCTCGGTGAGTTCAGCGACAAAGGCCTCGATGATAGACGGCGTCGGGAGTCTTGGCTCGAGATCACGTTATCCTCCAGCCAATCAGCGATCGTGCCTTGTTCATCGCTCAGCCTTGCTCGGCCAAGTACCCGATGCAGTCTTACTGTATCTTCCTCTCGGAATATCAGGCAAGCAACCCTCCTTCCCTGATGTATCCATTTTCTGGAGCATCTCCGTTGTGCCTGCGGCGTACAATGTACTCTCCGCGGACACGTTTGCTTCTTGCAACTTTTGATCGACTTCGCTGTCCGACACTCGGATAGCGCACCGGATCATGCTGGATGTCAACGTCAAATGACGCTCTACTATGAGCCCGAAACAGTGAAAAGGGAGTCCATACTGGGGTCGAGATGGTATGTTTTATGCGCCTTATGGGATGCCTTATGGCATCAAAAGACGTCATGTTGGTGAGAGAGTCTTCTACCGACCCTCTGTTTATATCTCTGTGTTAACCCTGCCTCTATCTTGCGCTCGCTGCCCCGTGCATGCAATTCTTTGATCGGCTTTCGACATGGAAACATACCTACAATACCGCCGGATAGGACAAGCCTTGAAGGAACAACTCGAGTCTGATGTCGAAGCTGTCCGGAGTCTGCCATGTCTTTCTCGTCAAAAGACTCGCATCGTCAATGGTCGAACAGTCCTTGTCGTCGAATGGGATGGACCAGACGATCCTCTGCATCCACGCAACTGGCCATTTCACGAGCGCTTCAGAGCTACCCTTGTCATATGCAGCATCGGCTGTCTCGTCGGTGCTGCCGCTTCCCTGGACGGTGCAGTCATCCCGCAAGCCGCAAAGGACCTTGGAGTCAGCCAGGTCACCGAGAGTTTCGGCGCCATCAGCAGCTTTCTGTTAGGCTTTGGGCCCGGCGCCTTGATTTGCGGGCCGTTTTCGGAAGTCCTTGGCAGGAACCAGATCTATCTGCCCTCGCTGGCGCTGTTGTGTCTCTTCATCATGGCTTCAGCGCTTGCGCCTGATATTGGCAGTCAGATCGTTTTCCGATTCTTCGCTAGCGTTGTCGGTGCAGCGCCCTCTGTGTGCGCCGGAGGATCTGTTGCCGACATGTTCACCGCGCTGGAGAAGACCTTCATATTCCCATTCTTTAGTATATTCGGGTTTGGAGGAGCTGCGCTCGGTCCTGTGATGGCCGCTTGGATCCCGGAATCACCTGTCCTCCATTCCTGGCGCTGGGCGGAATGGGTGACTCTTATGTTTGCAGGAGTTGTCCTCTTGACCACCTTTCTGTTCCAACCGGAGACATATCCTCCTGTCTTATTGAGCTGGAAGGCGAGGCAGTTGCGAAAGATCACTGGCGACGATCGATATTACGCTGAGCACGAAATGGAGCGCATATCATTGCTGACACGTCTGGGGGCGGCGCTTCGCCGGCCGTTTATCCTAGCTCTGCACGAGCCGATTATTCTGCTTGTCTCGTTCTATTTATGTCTGGTCTACGTTATCCTGTTCACGTTCCTCAACGGGTATGACTTCATCTTTCGCCAAACATACGGAATCTCACAAGGTTTGACGAATACAATCTTCGTTGGAATATTTGTTGGCGTCTGTATCGCATTCGGATGCGTACCATGGATCTACAATAGGACGGTCAAAGCCCAACGGAAGGCGGTTGCTGAAGGGAAGACGCAATTCGACCCTGAGATTCGACTTTGGTACGCCATGCTGGGTGCACCAGCCATGCCGATCTCATTGTTCTGGATGGCTTGGACCTCTTACCCACACATATCAATTTGGTCTTCGATCACAGCCTCGGTCTTGTTCGGGTTCGCCGGCGTCATGGCCTTCATCACCACATACATGTATCTCATCGACACATATGAGACGTACGCTGCCAGCGCGCTCGTATTCGCCACGCTCTCGCGCTACTTGTGCTCCGGTGGCATGGTAGTCGCCGCGACTCCCTTCTACCAGAACGTTGGGCACCACTGGACGCTTACGATTCTTGGGTGCCTGAGTCTCTTGCTGACACCCATTCCCTATGTTTTCTACAGGTACGGACATATCATTCGGAGGAAGAGCCGTTTTGCAGTGACCACCAAGGATGACCTGAATAATGGGCAATTGGAGCTGCCAGTATCAATGGGCTCTTCGTCTTCGACCCTCCCAAGCGAAGAAGATGAGAAGGTGGAGGAGCAGTCGTAACGGAGGTATTGATACGACGCTGATCTGACAAGAAAAGATATTCCAGATGTATATATATTAATGTTCAATACCCTCAGCTCTCACGTGGCAAATACCATCAACAAGTAGGCTAACAGGGAACAAAGCGCATGAACAGAAACTAAATTTGTGACAAGAATGAGCGTTGATGAAAGGATGACATTAGCAAACCTGTTGCCAGTTGAACGATTCTATCTTCGGTCGGCTTTGAGGACCAGCCTCATCCAAGACAAATATTCAACTAATGAAAACAAAAAGCCAAGTAAAAAAGCCCCTACCTCTGTTTGAACATCACAAGGCGTCCATCTGCCTCACCTGAATTTCCAAGAGGTCCACAAAGGAGTCGACATCCACCTCAGCTCTGCACATCGGGCAGCTCATTTCATCTTCATCTTCATATTCGTCCCTATCGTCCATCTTCTGGAAGAGCCAGCCAAGCATACATGCGACGTGGAATGGCCTCCGGCAACAAGTGGTCACCATTGGGTCGACCGCGATCTCCCCGTCTTCTCCTGCAAACTCGTCATAGCAGATGAGGCAGGAGGTGTCGTCTGGGCGCAAAGGCGGCATTGTGATCGCTTCCCGAGTCGTTCCCCTCTCCCACGAGTAGAGGACATTTTCCGTGTAGTCGACCTGCTTCAATCGCTCGGTCTGCATCGCTTCCACAGACCTCTTCAGATAGTCTCGATGTCTGCACCGTTCGAAGCGCATAAGCCCCCACAAGAACCTATCGCCAGCTGCCAGTAAGGAAGCTTCCTTTTCCACCAGGAAACGCTCTACCTCGAAGAGGCGGGGTCTGATAGTATCGAGCATCCCTTCTTCCCTCTCGAGCTGTTCACGGATCGTGAGCGACTCCTCCATGGTGAAACCAAGGTTGTTGCCGTCGTCATCGTCACACTGGAGGAAAAACATGTCTTCTATCGCATCGAAGCTATCTTCGATTGTGCAGAGCAAGGCTTCCAGTGCCGTGTCTTGTGGATTTTCCCCCTGGAGTAGGGTCAAGATTCGGAGCATTTTGTAGGACAAGTAGTACAGGGCATTTTGGAGAAGGCGCATATCCCGTGCATAATAATAAGCCTCCAGGAGTGCGGGTGAGCTTTCGCTTTCCACGTTATTAAGAGACTCTCTCGTTCCCCGGTCTAGTTCACCTGGCATCTCTGAGTCAAACCATCGGGGTATCACCACCCCATCCCAAGATCGCGCCGCTTCTGGTGGCGGAGAGAACTCCATCTGGTTCCCGTCATGATCGGACATCTTCGTAGTAGTTTCGAGGTTTCGAGGCTGTCAAAATGCGAAAGGCGAGTTGTTGGCATGCCTGCAAGCAGACCGGAAATCGAGACGGCCTTAAGTACTTTCGAACTCAGCTGGCTCAACAAAGCTCTCTCGAGATGCATTCATGGACAATGGAGTGGCACGTAGTCCCCAACAATCCGGCTTTCTCAGCTCTTTGTCCAGCGGGGGCATCAATAGAACAAAGATCAACAAGGGAAAGTCACAATGAGTTCATTGTCCATGGATCTCGAGAGTCGAGAGTGCCCAAATCTGTCTCTTTGACGCCGGAGCCAAGCAAACAATGGCTAAGATGACGTTCGATGGGATTGGCCGTGGGAAGAGAATGCCCATGCTCGCCCTCAAACAGCCTTGAGTTGGCAGCGGTGTTCAATTGGGTGATAGAAAAGAGCTTCAGAAGCCTGTTGCTTGCCAGTCCCCGTGTAGAAGACCGTCGAGGCACCATTTTTCACCACCATTTCGAGCTCAAAGTCTCGGCTAGCGGCCTCACAGAGGCTTGCAAAACCTTTCCTTGGATAGAATCGATGCAATGCAAGGTGAGAGTACCACGGAGCCTCCACGGATTGATTACATTATGGAGTAATGATGTAAGAGGGTGCCCCAGCGTATCTGTTCTCACGGTAGCAGATTCAGCTGCGCTGTCCGTGTCTCAGAAGAGTGTATAAATATATATATATAGCTGGGTGGACATCTGCGAAGTGTCAGAATCCACACAATGACCCCACAGCATATACTGATGGTACGACTGATGCCGCGAGACACATACTCATAGTTCCTTTACTGCTCCAGTACCGGAGAGCATAGATGAGTGTTTAGACAGAGATGTGCGGAACCGACCCTGACGTATTTCTCATCCGCCGATGTTCGTAAAAGATTTGCAGCAGACTTCTGCTCACGGATTCGGCCTGTTGGTGCTGAATAGACAGAATATGATTTTTGCCGATTCAAGATCTGTCCAGTATTCTTGAAGAGAGACATCTGGACACAAGGAAGGCTTCGGCGCGTGTGCCATAAATGGTGACATGGTCGGCTGCGGGATTCCCAAGACAATACACTATTTTGGCACTAGGTAGCGAGTACTCCATGCTGAAGGATGCAATGGCCCAGGGTGCCCTTTGACCCTATGCACCTCCATCAGCATTAGCCAGGAGGCATCGTAGTATCTGTGGCAAGTGTCCTGCATTGACCCCTTGATGGAAGAATGAAGTGGTCGTTCAAGTCTGTTGTTGGTTTGTCTTGAAGGGATTAGCGCCTTGGCGATCTTGGCATCGATGTCGACCTCAACCTCGAGCTTCATCGATTGTCTCCGCTGAGGCTTCTTCCTCTTCTCAGTTTGCGAGGTATTTGTTACATCGATTCCAAGCTCTCTCGAGGTGTAAACTTGTTGCTCGACATGATTTCTTTGTTTGGAAGTGTCACCGAAACTCGCTTTGTGTTATGTCCATCCCCACTCCCAAAGCCTTTTTGTTCTCTTTATGGCTCTCTTCAAAGGCAGCGTCTTCACGGGTCCACATCGTCAACCCCATAGCCATTAGAGGGATTCCAGGGTTCGTATGCTAACAATAACCCGCATAGTGGATGTGATATTCACCGAGATTTTGCTCAGGCTTCCAGAGTGGAAGTCAGCCACCCATCCAGTGACACTCCCGAGACACTTGGGTCAGACATGAACAAGCCCAAGACCGCTGCTGACAACTTGCGACTATTTCCTTCTTTCTTTGCTTCTTGTTTTGACTGCATGTAGCATGGCAATTCTGCTTGCAATCTTTCTGACGGGCCTCGCGGAGGCAACCTGATCAGGCTAGTGGCTAAGGCTGAAACTAAAAAGGGGCTTCTCTCTCCACCTTCTTGACTCTCACTCAGAGCAAACGGTATGTAGTTATGCGCTTACATGAAACTCCGAACAGATCACTCGGTGCCGCGGCTTGGTTGTTCAACAGATGCGTCTCGTGGGTCGCCCTCCCTGACACCCGTCCGAGTCTCCATCTCGTTTGTTGCGAACGGCTAGGTGATATACCCACCACATTTCCCTGAACACAGTCAGAAATCGGACGCAGAATGTCATGCCGCAGCATCAGTGACAGATCCAACCCCATATAAGTACGTCTGGAATACCTCGTATACTTTCCTCCATTCTCACAACACCTACTGTTCCCCTTGCTGCAGGCCCACGAAACCAATCATCAGTCATACCTCAATTTATCTATTCGCAAAGTCTCGAACGCACCACCGTTAACCATCCAGCATGCCCCGACGCGGCCGTCCACCTGGCAGACGACCACGCCCACCTCGCGATGGCAGCTGCAGTACATGCGGCGAAAACAATCAGGGAGACGGAGCTGGTCAACTGCCAGGATACTTCGGACACGGCAATCTGGGCGAAATGCAAGGACCAGAGTTTTATCCCGATCCGGTGACTGGCTTCCCGAATGGCCCCAGATGTGGGAGCAGAGGAAATGGCGGAGGTCGCGGAATAGGTCGTCGAGGGAACAACAACCAAAGCGTTGTTGCAAATGCATGGGGAGTCGACAACGACAACGGCTTTGAGGTGTGGAATAACGGCCAATTGGTGGCAAGCGGAGGAGGGCGCTCAACCCGCGGCACAGGCCCCCGGGGTGGAGGCGATATTGGCTTCGACTTCGATGACGACGACTCCTTTTCCGACGATTTCGACGACTTTGGAGGCAGCCCATTTGGAAGAGGGCCCCTCGGCAGAGGACCTCGTCGAGGACCAGGTCCATTCCCTCCAGGCATGGGGCGTGGCGATATTCCGGCATGGCTTTGTGACGAGTTCGACGATGATGACTTCGATGATTTTGAGATGGTGAGTGGGTTCGGGGGCAGACCGCCAGCAGGACCAGGGATAGGACCTCGCCGTGGTGGCCCAGGTGGTGTCAGAGTTACCCGGCAAGGAGGGGCTATCGTGATCGGCAACGACTTTCCACCTCGCGGAAGTGGAGGACAAAGTGGTCACGATCTAGATCCCGAGGCAGAATACGACGACGACTACGATGATGATTATGATGATTTTACGGGAGGCAGCTTTGGTGGGAGAAACGGGGCTCGTATCTTCCGAACACGGGATGGAGGGACGTTTCGCATCCACCAGCGTTGATAGGCCTTTGCAATGTTGCAAGTGCTACCCTGGGGTTGTCGAAACCAGGAACCCATGCGCATTTTGGGCAGCAGAGAGCGCGAAGGCCTTCATTGAGAGTCACATGGGCGCCTTCGTGACGCAGAGTTGAGCCGGAGTTGGTGTTTCTGTCAATGGGTGTGGTGTCTATCACCTCGAGAGATGACGAGGCTGGCAAAACAACCCCCGTTTGAGAGCTGTGACAGATGTAAAAGCACTATTAATACAGACTACAAATTCAAATCCTTTTGATTCCTCTTTACCTTCCATCAACCTTTCAGACACTGTCAAAACCCCATACCACCTTCCGATAAATATCCTAGAACCGACCGTTGAACATCTTCTGAGTGCAGGGCTCCACGATGCCCACCTATGCCATCCATCGGCACAGACCTGGCGTTGCCACAATCACCAGACTTGACAGCGACTATGAAACCGATCTCGAATATTGGGGGCTAAACGACGATGTGATGGGGAGCGAAATGTTTTTCGACCTTGGAGATCCACCACGTCGCCGACGCCGAAGACAACGAGAGGGCCGCCGGAGATCTGGACGAGAAACAGAGATCTCAGAGGGTGAATGGGAAATTGATCCAGCATGGCAAGGCCGCAGAGGAGACCACGAGGATAGGTCCGGACGCCCAGAAACACGAATAACGTCGAGCCAAGTATGGGAATACGCCCCTGCATGGCGGGATCTCCCGGAGAGAGAGCGTGAGGATAGGCGTGGACAATCAGGGACTGTATCTCGGGGCGGAGGTTGCCGGAACTGTCACTGCCATTCGCGTGGTCAGCGCCTTGATGGGGAGAGAAGTTACCCACGAGGCCAGCATAGGAGACGGACAGACAGACGCTGGGGCTCCCGTCGCAGAGGCGCAGGAGGGTTGGAAGGAGACAATTCGGACAGCGAGGTTCCCTGGTCGGAAATCTCCTGGGAAATCGACCCTCTCTATCCATTTCATCGGGGCGAAACCGACAGCATATTGGACAGGATGAGAGACAGACAAGAGCGACGGCGCATCATGGATGACTTGTGGAGATAAGGTTACCCAGGTTGCTGTGTTATGGCAGAAGACATCACGATCGAGACAGGAGAACAAAGGCTTCATGCACTGAATTCGTCAACCGTGCACGAGGGACGATGGGGCGCCGGGGCTGTTTCACGATATGCTTGAGCGAATTGAGGACTGGACCAGCTCATACATACATATTGTACTGTGATTGGCGGTAGAGCCGGACTCTGAGGCTCGGCTGATAATGTACATACATTAGTGAACAGGGGATTCCTGTCTGTCAACTTTTGATACCTGGACTCTCGCATGTCCTTCGCAACGAAAACCTAGACCAGGGTCTCATACCCCAATGCAGTGCCCCTCGACCCGTCCGTGTCATTCCCATACCATCTATCCAGCCCTGCATACCAACGTACTCTCTCAAATGATCCATCGAGCCGTGAGATCTCAAATCCCGATCACCGCTTCCTCCACCTGTCCGTCCTGACATCGTCCATCCATCCAGTCCTGCATACCAGTGTGCTTTTTCAAACCATTCATTGTGCATTAACATTCCGTTGCTTGAGACCCAGCCAAACACCCAGCTCAGTGGCTAACACACCCATTGTTCATCACGTTCCCAGCAAAATAATACTCATACAGAATAATTGGAAAAGCTCATGTCGAGGAAAATCAACAGCCCCTTCTCAAGGCCAACACAAAACAATGAATTTGGGAGCCGAAAAGTCCTGCCGGACCAATAGCCTTCAAGCCGAAAATGAAACAAGGGAGGTGGAGTTGGAGTTGGAATTGGAAAAGTTTTGTGAGAGGCGCCATCTATCGGTACAGCCTGGACTTGGCCCACGAGATGCCGATATAAAGCACCACAGCCGTGAGAGCTGGGCAGAAGACAGAAATGGTTGTTGCTGAGACGGCAGCGCCGGCAAGGATTGCTGTGATGGACCAAGATGGGGTGTTGGAGGTTACAACAACAGGTTCTGTCGCAACGGAATCTTCTGTTGGAGATTCTTTCGCAATCCTGCTACTGGGAACCTGTGGATTGTTGGAAGAGTCGTCCTTGACAGCATCCTGATCAACAGCGGCAAGTTCGAAGGGTCTTGTCTCATCATGTTCCTCAACAGAGCTTTCCACCTCAGGATTATCAAAACCGTCTTGATCAACAGCGGGAGATTCAAAGGTTTTGTTCTCATCATGTTCCTCGACAAAGTCTTCCGCCTCATGGTTTTCAGACGCGTCTTGATCGAGTGCGGCAGATTCAAGGAGTCCACTCTCACCATGTTCCTCAATGGAGTCTTCCACTTCCAGCTTGTCAAAAACGTCTTGATGAATGCCGCTATCCGTACAACTCTCAACAGAGGCATCACTTTCGACAGAGAGACCAGTTCCGATGGAGGGATTAGTCTCGATAGAGAGACCACTTTCGTCAGAATGGATTTCGATAGAGAGTTCGTTTTCGAATGCAATTCCAGTTTCGACAGGGGAACCAACCTCGACAGGAGAATCAGGTCCGACAGGAGAATCGGTTTCGACAGTAGCCATAGTGTCGACAGTGATATCAGCTTTGACAATTGGAGCAGTACCGATAGAGGGTTCAGTGTCGGCTGTAGCCTCAGTAATGATGATGAGCTCATCGTCGTCAGAAGCATCATCTTGAATAGAGGTCTCAGCATTGATAGTGACCTCTGCATTGACAGTGGTCTCTGCATTGACAGTGGT